GTTGTACTTGTGGACCGCTCCAGCGATGTTGGCTGCACCGTCCAGTCGGCCGAATTTGGCGATTGTCTCGTCAATCCAGTCTCTGACCTGGTCCTCCTTGCTGACGTCCACGACCTTGGTGAAGAACTTCTGTCCGAGTAAAGCTGACGTCTTGGACTTTTCTTGAAGTGCCGCCTCCAACTCCGCCATCCCCTCTGGGTTGTTGCTCATGGCAGAGACAGTGGCGCCACGGGACCAGAGAAGAAGGGTAGTCGCCAGCCCGATACCGGAACTTGCTCCTGTGATGGTAATCACCTTGCCCTCGAAAGGATGTGCCGACAGAGGTGCGGGAAAGTCTACTTCAAGACCCATGGTGAATGTTCATCAGCCAACTTCCTAAACGTTCAACGATACTATGGTGATTGTAGTTCCAGAAACGACTCGTCAATGGCAAACTTGGCCGTCTTGTAAATGTCTCGGCGTCGTATCGATACGTTTGTTCACAAAGGTCCCATTTATCATTATTCTACCACGAGCTATCACAGGAGGCAAATATGATTCACATTCCCCACAAAATCATTTTGCATGAGCTGAACTACTGTCTGCAAGATCTCGGGAGAGTCTGGAGAGATCCACAGTTCGATCTATCGTGTTGTTTATTGGTACTCCACGCCTACCCGGGGGAATGGTTAACTGGTCTCGGGTAAATCTGGGGTAAAAAGGGGTTGATTTCAAAGCCGGATCCACCCACTCACGAACTCGTGCGATGCTTCGTCTGCTTGCCATCCCCAGGTTTCTGGCTTTCTCCATGATCGCCTCCAACAGAGACATTGACATCCTCCGAAGGTGGAGAAGGCACGGTGTCCTGGTTATTTTCTGTCAACAGAATCTGCCTTGATATTAATTTATATTGCGGTCAACTACAAAGCCTGCTGGTAGGCGCTGTCACATTCTCCGCCATTATTGCCTGTGTAAGCAGACGGCACATCCATAAGTTCAGGATGTTGCGAAAACCACCATTGCTCCAGTCTCGGTCACCATTCGATGTAGGCGCATCTCTCTTATGCTCACAGTCAAGCATTTCTCGTGTAAGGGCACCGAGGAGGTACCTTAAATCCCGCGCAACGTACGCGACTGTGGTCGAGGTACGTATCCTATCACCAACTGGACTCATCATTTTTTTGCTTCACTAACCATCGACTCCAGGCACCTAGATACGATGTTGAATATGACGTGGTAGTCGTTGGTTCAGGGGCAGGGGGGCTGACAGCTGCCTTAGCCGCGGCCCTCAAGGGAAACCGAAAGGTCCTTGTCGCTGAGAAAACGAAATGGTTTGGAGGCACATCAGCGTACTCGGGAGGAGCCCTCTGGCTCCCTATGAATTCTGTGTCATTGTCTGCAGGTTTCCAGGACTCGAGAGAACGAGCAGAAACATACTTACGGAATTACTTGAAAGAAGACTACGACGGTTCGAAAACGATGGTGACAGCATATCTCGAAGCAGCTCCAGCGATGACCGAGTTCTTAGAATCCAACTCGGCGACAAAGTTCGTCGCGGCACCAACTCCAGACTACTACTTGGAGCTCGACGGTGCTTGCAAGGCAGGGCGAACTGTTTTGAATGCTCCCTATGACGGCCGAAGATTAGGTCGTATGGTTAAACAAGTACGATACCCACTACAAGGATACTGCGCCTTTGGATCATTACAAGTTGACCTTCTGGACATGAATACCTGGAGACAGCCATTCAGAAGTCTGGGAAACTTTTCATCTGTTACACGAGGTGTCCTTCGATACGCCTTTGACCGAGTGCGGTGGGGGAAAGGAACAAAATTGTGCAACGGCAATGCATTAGTCGGTCGACTACTGGAGAAGTCTTCACAATCTGGTATCGATTTATGGAATAATGCTCCAGCTGTAGAGCAGATCCTAGAGGACGGGCGCGTCACCGGTATGATGATCAGCCGAAATGGTCAGAAGATGAGAGTCCGGGCACGGAACGGAGTCATCCTCGCAAGTGGCGGGTTTGCAAGATCAAGCGAACTCAGCCGCAAATACCTATCGAACCCCGATTGGACAGTCAGCCCTCGAGGAAATGTGGGAGATGGCATGCGATTCGGTCTTGCAAGTGGAGGAAGCTTGCCAGAACCCCTGGGTGAAGATGCCGCCTTATGGTCTCCCATATCGATATTGAACTCTCCCAAGGGCCCTGCTCGTTCCTATCCACATTTTGCTACTGCTATCACCAAGCCAGGCTCGATAATGGTAGATGGCGACGGCAAACGGTTTGTAAACGAAGCAGCCGCATATCAGGACCTCGGACGTGCGACTCATAAGGCTGGTGTCCGCGTGTCTCAGCTCGTTGGTGACAAGCGACATCTGCGGAACTATGGAATGGGCATGGCCTTGCCGGGAGGTTATCCTATCAGACACCTCATCAAGCGCGGCTATCTCATTACCGCCCCCAGTATTCCGGCTCTTGCAGAGAGGATCGGGGTCAATCCCGCCAACCTTTCAGCTACTATCGAACGGTTCAACGGTTTCGCTCGTAAAGGCAAAGATGAGGACTTTGGCCGCGGAGATGGATCATTCGACCAAGCCTACGGCGATTTCGAAGTCAAGCCGAATCCAAGCTTAGCACCTATCGAAAAGGGTCCGTTTTACGCTTTGACGTTATTCTCAGGAAACGGCATCACCATGTATGGCTTGAATACGAACAAGGACGGCCAGGTGCTGAAGGAATCAGGAGAGCCAGTCCCTGGCCTATATGCTGTGGGTGCAGACTCGAATCACTTCTTGCGAGGGAAATATCCTTCTGGGGGTCTAACCTTGGGCCCATCAATGGTGTTTGGATATCGTGCGGGTGTTCATGTTGCAGGTTGATCGTCTCCTTGTATAGTACTATTATCTTGTTGTGGCAGAGGGCCCTTCGATCTAGATTGCAAAATCCAGGAAAGCTTCCACGTTTCTAAACTGTGATACAAGCTTGAATGTCTCAGATTTACCAAATATGGCGAGAGGTTGCAGATTCAACTCTTGTCCTGTCCGGTGCAGTTACTGTTATTTCAGAGAATGGCTCTGCCTTGAAATCACAACACCAAAGAGCCCACTCGTCCCAGCTACAGACGTCCTAAAGTCCCAATTCGCCCTTCGTATGTGTTGACTCCAGGATTTTCCGATGCCGCGACGGGAGGCCATGGAGACGCCGTCTCCACTCTTTCAACTGGGGAAATCTGAATGACGAAGGGGTAGAGCATTCGGCTTCTCAACTCTTGCGGCAGCATCGTCCTATCTGCTGCCACTACCAATCTAGTGGGAGCCTCGGCAACTGGAACTGATTTGCTATAAAGAAGTATTTCATCGTTGCGATGCTAAGAGTTAGACCTTCTCACCAGCATCGTCGTCAACATCAATTCGGCAAGGTAACACCAGGACCTTAGACCAAGGTGAGTTCCTTCTTGCCTGTGTGATTCTTGCAATCCTGGTGACAATATTGTACAAGACCTTTCTCATATTGAGGGCGTGAAAGAATGGCCGCCACAGCATCAGCAGCCTCTAAAGCCGTAAGTCGCATCTTGTGCCATCCCAGATGATTTGGCTCATGTCCTGTTCTAGGTCAACGGCAAATCTTCAGTCCTGAAGATTGTTGGACTCTTCAAGAGAAAACCGGGAATCTCTCCAGAGGCATTCCGAGAATACTACGAAACCAAACATGTCAAGCTGTTTGAGCAGCACGTTGCTCTGCCTGGCGTATTGCGCTTCTCTCGCCGCTACCTGACACAGATTGATGGGATGTCCTCGCCTCTTCCGACTACCACCGGTGGCTACGATGTCATCATGGAAGTGTGGTACAAGGACCGGAACTTATTTGAGTCTCTGAGAAGCAAACCAGACCCCGAGTTCACCAAAATTGCCATTGAAGATGAGGAACAGTTCATCGATCGAAATTCCATGACCATGTATTTCTCGGATGATGTGGAGACTAAGTCTGGACCATGGGAAGTATAGGGTTGAAGGACAGTCTATTTTGAAGCAGCTTAGACAAGGATTTATAAGATCTCTTGTCCTTTGATAGGAGTGAGCTGTTAGCTGCTCGATTCTGTTTAATGCAATTCATCCTTGGCTCTCACACTTCCTTCGAGGTATCTGTCATCGACAAGATTGAATCCGCTTAGTCGGTCATACTCATGGAGGTCTCGAGCCACCCATAAAGGCCTCGTGATGTCCCAGTACGGCTTGTAATAGTCCTTCTTGATCTGAACATCCATGAACCAGTCGTTATCCTTGTTCCATACTTCGACAAAATGGAACTTGCCGGATTCTGTCTTGGAGTGAAAGACGTCGAAATATATGCATTCAGGCTCCTTGCAAACCTCTAACCAGCAAGCCCGGAACGCCTGGAGAAATTCGTCGATGTTTGCGGGATCGATCTTTATGGTCCCTACGTGTGTTACGCCCCGATGAGGCGCCAGGAGCGGATTAGCCATAAGGAGGTAGTGGTGAAAGTTGACGACGGCCTAGGACCCAAAGCAGCGCAATGTGGCTTATAGTTCAAACGAGACAGGCTGCGAGATGAGGAGGACAATATTGAACAGCTGAGGCATCGCACTAGGTAGTGCCGCGATCCTTGTTATACTGCTTCATCTCAACGCCCTAGGGTCGGCTGCGATGGGGTGCATTTCCAGAGTACTTCTTCACTTTCGGACCTACCTGCACGAATACGCGAGGAATGGGGTCGAGGGGTTCAGGGGGTTCCTTGGTGGTAACATGCTAATAAGTCATGGGGAACTCGGAGAATCTATTTATCCGCTCTGAACTCGCAGCCTCGAGTACGAGTTGTTTTGAGCCAATGAAAACGTTAACATGTGACTGAGACTTTATATCTCTGAAAACAGCTTAGCGTATGACACCGTCGCCGCTTTGTGCTGCTTACGGAGGAGCATACGCTCCAAGTAGCGGCAGTAGCGGTCATTTGCCGTGCAACTGCAGCCTGAAGAACGAACATCAACACCATCATTGAGACTCGAACAAGAAAGATCATGTTTGGATTCCTTCCCTTCATATACAGCGACACGGCGGAATGTATAGATGGCCTCATCGTTTACAACAAAGAGTAACTACATATTATATAACAGCGTGGGGGCGGGCGAGCCCTCTCACTCGGCGCAATATCATTCTCAACCGTACTTCACAACATCTTCACCTCGCCACCTGAATTTGCACCTGCCATTGCTATTGTTGTACAGATTTTTCTGCCGCCATTGTCACCAACCTTGCGTGGAAATTTTTCTTGGTGAAAATTTTGCTCAATAAAAAAACTTTTCGCTGTGAAGACCAGATACCACTCTCACAAGGACAGTAATGACGACATTTTTCTAACTTCCACCATCAACTTTGTGATAGGCAATGATGGAACAAAGCAACAAGGACATCGATCCCGGCATTATGGAGGTCGATCAAACTACGAGCAACAGTGTCGCTGGCGACCCTGTTGCCCATGCTGACTCCGCCGAGTCACTTCGTCTTCGAAACCTCGATGCGCATGTGCAGGATCAAGATGACCTTGAACGCAACATTGGTCGCAAAGCAGACAGACTCCTTTTCGAGCAAGCAAATCAGCGAGATCAACAAAGACTCGACAAGTCTAAAGCCCAAAGAGAGAAGCTGCAGAACCAGATCCGAAAACTGCGTGAGGAGATCAGTCGGCCTATCGGCATCACCCAACGCACAAAATTGAAGCGAGACGTCGATCGAATGCAGGGTCAGATACAAAGTCTGGACGATGACATTGCCGACATTGAAGGAAGAATGCATGACCGGGAGACACAGGCAGACCAAGATCAACAGCATGATACTTCTTCAGCCGGCCGTCTGCCAAATGAGACACAGAGAGATTTCTTGATCCGAACTGGAAAGATAACACCTTTCTCCAAGTTCGGACTCTCGAATCATGGGGAATCTTCGGCTACACTTCAAGGCGCACTTCTCGATGCCGAAGAAGAGACAGACCTTGCTGATCTCAATCCTGATATCACAGATGGCAAAATCATGTCTCATCGAAACCTCCGACAGCCCGGCTTTGCTTCAAATTTCGTTGATTCAAGCACAGAAGAGAGCTCAAGCTCTGACCGACCACGCAAGCGAAGACGCATCGTTCAGAAGACCAAGAAGACGGGCGATGACGATTCGTATGGTGAAAGTTCTCCACAGGATGAAACCATGACCGACTCTGTCGATGAAGACGAAGACGAGTTGATGCCCACCACCACTGGTAAGAAGAGACGAAGGCAACAGAATCCACTCGCCGGGATCGACGACGACGTTGAGGACTTCCGCGGTATCGACGACGGTAATGAAGCGGTGTATCGATCACGGATCAAAAAATGGGCTCTCAGACGACGCCGTGCTAGAAATCGGGTGCAAGAGGCCGAAGGAGTAGAGCGTGTTGATCTCAATGAAGATGGTGATCCAGAGAGGATCACGAAAGAAGAAGCTCATCTTCCTCATCCCGAGATTGCCGACACTGTCTTCGATCAAGGCTACAAGCTGCCCGGAGATATCTACCCTAGTCTCTTCGACTATCAAAAGACTGGAGTGCAGTGGCTGCACGAGCTCTACACCCAGCAGGTTGGAGGCATCATTGGTGATGAGATGGGATTAGGCAAGACCATTCAGATCATTTCCTTTTTGGCAGGACTACACTACAGCCACAAATTGACCAAGCCCGTCATTGTCGTGTGCCCAGCCACGGTCATGAAACAGTGGGTCAACGAGTTTCACAGATGGTGGCCTCCTTTCCGTGTTGCCATTCTGCATTCATCTGGCAGCGGCATGATCAATGTACAGAATGAGGCAACCAAGGAAGATCGACTACTCGACATGGCGTGGGACCCGAACCGAAGCCGCCAGCCATTGACTCCGGCTCAAAAGGCAGCTCGACGCGTCCTCAACCCCATCTTGGAAGAAGGAGGTGTTCTTGTGACGACATACTCAGGAGTACAGACCTACGCTCCGCTTCTCATCCCTGTCAATTGGCAATATGCTATTCTAGACGAAGGCCACAAGATCAGAAATCCCGATACTGCGATAACTATCTATTGCAAAGAACTACGCACACCGAACCGAATCATTCTCTCGGGTACACCCATGCAAAACAACCTGGTCGAATTGTGGTCATTATTTGACTTTGTCTTCCCTATGCGCCTCGGCACCCTGGTCAACTTCAGGAACCAATTCGAAATACCCATCCGACAGGGTGGTTATGCCAACGCTTCCAACCTTCAGGTTCAAACCGCGTTCAAATGTGCCGAGACTTTGAAAGATGCCATTAGTCCTTACTTGCTCCAGCGTTTCAAGGTTGATGTGGCCTCAGACCTGCCTAAGAAGAGTGAACAAGTACTCTTTTGCAAGTTGACTGCTCTGCAGCGAAGTTCGTACAAGCGCTTCATCGGTTCCGGGGAGATGGATGCTATTATGAATGGCAAACGTCAAGCCCTCTATGGAATTGATATCCTCCGAAAAATCTGCAACCATCCCGATCTCGTTGATCATAAACGCCTTTCCATCAAAGCTGGCTATAATTATGGTGACCCTGCAAAGTCTGGCAAGATGCAAGTTGTCGGCTCACTCTTAGAGCTTTGGAGAGACACTGGTCACAAGACACTTCTGTTCGCTCAACATAGGATCATGCTTGATATCCTCGAGAAGTTCGTCAAATCCCTACCAAGCTTCAAGTATCGCCGCATGGACGGAAACACTCCGATACAACAGCGACAAAGCATGGTCGATGAGTTCAACACTGACCCTGATCTCCACGTTTTCCTTCTGACTACCAAAGTTGGTGGACTTGGCATCAACCTTACTGGAGCAGATCGAGTCATCATATACGATCCGGATTGGAACCCTTCCACTGATCTGCAGGCTCGTGAGAGAGCATGGCGGCTTGGCCAGAAGCGTGAGGTGACCATTTACCGTCTGATGACCGCTGGTACAATCGAAGAAAAAATTTACCATCGACAAATCTTCAAGCAATTCTTGACAAACAAGATTCTGAAGGATCCTAAACAGCGACAGACCTTCCATTTGAACGACCTCCACGACCTCTTCTCTCTTGGAAATGATGGAGCACCCACTGAAACCAGTGCGCTCTTCAAAGATGCTCAAGTACAAGTCGGTGCAAAATCGGAAGGGAAGCCGACGGACACGTCTTCGAATGCAAATGCTCAAACAAAGGCTGCTGGTGATAGAGGAATAGAGGCGCTGCCTGGTATATCTTCGATGGAACAATATGCTGGTGAAGTCGAAGAGGAAGAAAAAGCCAACCAGGCGGGAGCGAACAATTCCGAGGCGAGAATGATGGAAGGTATCTTCGCGAGATCTGGGATTCATTCCGCAGTTGAGCACGACGCCATCATTGATGGTACAAAGCCGGGAAAGATCATGGCAGATCCAGTATTGGTAGAACAGGAGGCCCGAAGAGTGGCTGCGGAAGCTGCGAAGGAGCTTAGGCGTGCTGGTGAGGTGGCTCGAACCGTGCCAGTGGGAACTCCAACCTGGACTGGACAGTTTGGAGTCTCGGGTCGGCCACAAGAAACAACTGCGCAGCGAGCCTTCAGTTCGGGGCCTCGCGCCAGAGGTGCAGGCATGCAGTCTTCAAGTCTCCTCGCTGGCTTGCAACAACGACAGGCAGGATTGGGATCAAGCCGCGACGCAACGCCCAGAACTTCAAGCCCAGCACGATCGTCTGGTTCGGCAGCTTCAGTTTCTCGATCTGGCACGCCTGCTTTGCCACAAGGAAAAGACTTTGGGAAGTTGATTCGAGACTATCTTTCAAGTCACGGTGGAAGTGTTTATACCCAGATGTTGATTGATCACTTCAATCGGTTCTGCACCACGCCCCAGGCTACTGCCGAGTTCAAGGAGACTCTCAAGTTGATCGCGAGACTTGAAAAAGGAAGCCGTGGCCGAGGTCGGTGGGTGTTGAAGGACGAGTACAAAAAGTAGTGCTCTGTCATTCGGGAGTCTAATTAATGCCTGTTGATAGACAGAAGCATAGTGTGATACTCGTAATAGAAGTCCACGACACCTGCGCACTTGCAAGTCATTCGTTCTCATCAATCAAGCCTTGGGGTGACCAGTACTCTGGTTCGCGACACTGGGAATCAACCCAGACTAAGGAATCGGCCAGCAGATCTTGTATGACTGTTTCCGCACGTGCTCGTTCCCAGCCCAAATTCAGCGTCAGAAGTGAAACGGTCACGCTACCGAGGAGCTGTAAAACTTCGAGGACGGTGGATTGGTCATTGTTGAATTCCTTCGGCACAGAGCGGATGAAGCGTTTGCCCGCAATTGTGAGAATCTGAAACCCAGAGCCCAGAGGTTCTAACGACTTCACGGCCTGCTCGATGTCGTCTTCGGACACTTGCAGCCCTCCACCGATGGCCCTGCCTTTTGCCACACTTTCGCAGCATTCTTTCAAGCCCAGTAGTCCTCCGTTCTCGGCTCGTGTATATCGGCAGAGCTCTACAACACGCACAGCGACCGAGAAGTAGAAGTCGTTCACATCGTGACCAAGCACCTTTGCCCACAGGGAATCGGCTTTCTTGCCCTTGATGTTACTACCCGCCAGCGGGTCCACGCCGATGGCGTTACACATTCGTGCAAACTCAGCCCGGAATGTCGGATTCGATTTGATGGTCGTAGCATGTTCGAGGGCAAAGTTGTGCAAAAGAGATTGGAAAACTTCCAGCTGAGTCTGGAGCGAAGCAGCGTTTGCCGACTTGAGACTGGACCCATGAGCTGCATACGACTGTGCTGTAACATTTCTGTTGGTGAAGGCGCCAAGACCTACACCTCTTCTGGTAGACATTGCCAGATATCAGTGTATAAAGTACGCTCGTTGAGAAGTGTTGATGGTGAAGACGCTGGCATTTCGTACTAGGCAGTGATGCGAAGGCTAGGGACGACTATGACTTACATAAGCTTTCACTTTCGACATGCCAAGACCTGAAGTAGGCGCCTTTCCTTTCTTGATCTAGCCCACACTCACCAACCTGCGCATTTTCTTATCCGCGCACTGGCATCTGGAATTTCCTTTTCGTTCCGCCAGCACTCAATCTTCCCTCGACAACCCATCCATCTCAGTGCCCAACGACAAAATGACGAAGCCCGTTGTCAAGTCGTAAGTATTCCTTTGATATCCTGCTGACAGTCGGAGTCTTCAGATATGGTCCGCTCCCTCTTTGCTGGTGCGCATCCTTTGCGCCAGCTCGATTAATCCCAATGGCTCCTCTCGAAGAAATGTGAACGAAAACACTTTTGGAAGAGGGATCTGGGGCATTGAGGCTAGAGAATTCATATTCCCTTCCTTGAAATCCATTGAGCTCGTTCAACATGGCCTCGTAACCTAAACAGGTATCGAGATCCTGTTGGAGAGTGAAAAAATTCCTGACTTTTGTCGGGGTCTTGTCGGTTGAGATCTCTGGGTATTCCAGATCTGCTTCACTGCGTGTATCAGTCTACCTGTCTCACCGATCAAATTCATTTCGTCGAGTTATGCCTATCACCAGTTTGAGAATGCCGCGCCATAGCTGCAGTTCCGACTCGGCGATCTTCACCGTGCGGACTATACTGATAGCCATCCTCCTTATAGAACTGTCCCTACCCAGGACCAGGTCCTCGTCCCCGAGACTCTGTTGAAGAAGAGAAAGAGCCAGGAGAAGGCCAGAGAGCAGCGCAACGCTGACATCGAAAAGAGAAAGAAGGTTGGTACACTCCAGCAAACCCATAACTCATTTCGGTGATGATAAATACCACTACGCGACTAGGCTATGGCCAATGTTGTCGCTTTTGTTAACCATCTTTCGGGGCTGAGCATTTGATTCTGTTTCATCACTACGTACGGGTCATGTCTGGACTGGAGGCTAACCGTGTCTTAACAGGCCAACAAGGAGAAGCGTGGTGTCATCTTCAAGCGTGCTGAGCAGTACGTCAAGGAGTACCGTGATGCCGAGCGCGAGAAGGTCAGACTCGCTCGTCTGAGCAAGCAGAAGGGCAACTTCTTCGTTGAGGAGCAAGCCAAGCTTGTCTTCGTTGTGAGAATCAAGGGGTCAGTAACAGTCTCAACGAACTTTTGGGGAGTCCGCTAATGCAACTCAGTATCAACAAGATTGCCCCCAAGCCGCGCAAGATTCTCCAACTTCTCCGCCTTCTCCAGATCAACAACGGTGTCTTCATCAAGTTGACCAAGGCTACTCAAGAGATGTTGACCATCGTCAACCCATACATTGCTTACGGCTACCCCAACCTCAAGACCGTCCGAGAGCTCATCTACAAGCGCGGATACGGAAAGATCGACAAGCAACGCATTGCCCTGACCGACAACCAGCTCATCGAGGACAACCTCGGCAAGTACGGCATCGTCTGCATGGAAGACTTGATCCATGAGATCTTCACCGTCGGACCAAACTTCAAGCAGGCCAGCAACTTCTTGTGGCCATTCAAGCTGTCCAACCCCAACGGCGGCTTCCGTGCAAGAAAATTCAAGCACTACATCGAGGGTGGTGACCTTGGTAACCGAGAGGAGAACATCAATGCTCTTATCAGACAGATGAACTAGGGGAATGCCAGGTGCCCGGGATGAATGATTGCGGAATGTCTTTTTTTACGCAGACTAGATTGCAAGTGTGTGCCATGCATGGGTGGCCTGCAACATGTCAACATGGGGGACGGGCGCTAGTTGTGCTCTCAAGCGATCGAATGACTGAAAAGTGATTCCAATACCAATGAAATAAAATTTTTGACCAATCTCGTCCTCTATTCTTGTTCTTGGGTAAGCCACTGTGTGCTTCTGGTGTCGAAGTTGTACTGTCAAGCCTTGGATGGAACCACCTCAGAGAAACAACGTGATACTTCGGAGTCTGAGACTTCCGGCTCTTTTGACGTCTGGATTCCGACAATCTCGCCGACATCTCGGAGTGTTTTGTCATACCCACCATCATATGTGAGAGAAGTTTGATGTGCTTCGAATGCAAGGCATGAGTACCCAGCAGTACTCTTCCTCTAAGCGGCCATTGATCCGACGGAAACACATCTTCGACGATCGGATAACCCTTTATAGGCATTGGGGCCATTGTCTCAATTGAAGCAAGCTCTTTGGACAAACTCCAGTACCCTTCTGGTTCAGATAACAATGCACAGATCCTTTTCGGTTCATGAAGCATAGCCACCATTGCAAGCCCTACATTGTGTCAATATCGCGAGGCGAATCTAAAATAGCTCCTTTTGACATTGTCAACGAATTTTCGGAGCCGCAAAGGGTGTGTACATCGAGTCTATCGGAGCCTTGGGTCACCTTCCTGATTACCTATATCATGAGATACGAGACAAATGGGAATTCTTCATTAAATCAAGGTTTCGCAACTGTCGTCACTGGAAGGACAAGAACAAGTCAAATGGTTAAGGGTGAAAGCTGTTCCACCTACCTCTCATCCTTGAAATCCCTTGCCCTCAAATGGTGTCAGGGCAAGATCGCTGTGAGGTTGCCTTTGAGGTGCGAGAAGAACATGGGCACGATAGACAAGTGGACACAGAATTGTTCGTCCTTCCCTGTCTCGGACTGCCATCGAAGAAGGGGCCATAAAATCCAGACATGCACAACGAATTTCTCCTCCACGAATGGCTGGTAATCTCGAAATCTTCGAGATGGCTGTATTTCACGCACTCTCCACAATGCATCGTTTAGCCCTGTCTCTGGTCGCCAGTACCCTGCTCTTCTCGATTGTAATGAGGTTGGCAGGATGTACGACACATGTTTTCAGGACTGGGCTATCGAAGAGTACAGGGATCTCTTCTACATCTGAATCACCTCCTTGAGACCTTTGACACTGGCAGGAGATGGGGCTCAAGCGAGGCATTCTGACTCGACCTAATATGTATATGAGTCGAGGCCTCAAAGATGGGTTCATCATGCCTCTCTTGAACAAATCTATTCCGCACCTTCATCATGGAAGTCTTCCGAGAGATCCAAGTGCTTCTACTCGACAACTGGTTGATCCTGCTGCTCACTTTGTTCTTCACCAAGCTTCTGTTCAACAAGTATGGTCAGGGCCTCAACTCAATTCCAGGGCCATTCCTCGCCGGCTTTTCTGACTTTTGGCGTTTCCTCTGCACCACCTTCTCGACTGCGCATGAAGTCCATATCGAATTACATCGAAAAACAAATTCACAATTCGTCCGCATAGGGCCACGAACTATTTCGATTTCAGATACAACATTGATACCAACGATCTACGGCACTCATTCGGCTTTCACCAAGAGCGATTACTATAACCTCTCCATGATGCCTTTGGACGGTAGATATACTCCAAGTCTCTTCACCGCAGTGGACGAAAGATACCACACTTCAATTAAAAGACCCATCGCGACAGCCTACAGCATGACCACGATCATTGAATTTGAGCCGTTGGTGGACTCTACCAGTGCGCTATTAATGTCAAGGCTGGATGGGTTTGCCGCTTCTGGCGTCTCGTTCGACTTTGGAGTGTGGCTGCAGATGTACGCCTTTGATGTCATGTAAGTTTTCTGAAGCAGGGACCAGGATTTGATGTAGCTGACTTTTGGCAGCGGCGAAATCTTGTTCAGTCAGAAACTTGGCTTCTTAGAATCAGGCACCGATGTTGCCGGGATCATGGCAGACATCAGGGGCAAGATATCATATGCGGCTTGTGTATGCTCAAGTTTTTGAGGCGCCCATAGCCCCTAGCATGGAGTGTTGTACTGACCATTATTGGCTGGCAGGTAGGACAAATTCCATTCTTGGACAAAATTTTGACCAAGAACCCTCTGTTTCTGAAAATAGTCCCGACCCACCCTATTGTGACATTCACATTGGAGAGAATGAGGGAGCGAGCAACAAGTATGGCGTATGGGGCTGGTCGAAAACGCGATTTCTTGACAAGGTGTATTGAGGCACAAGCCAGATACCCGGATATTGTCACGGACCGGATGATCATTCTCTACAATGGCGACAATGTCGCTGCAGGAAGCGATACAACTGGGATTGCGTTAAGGACTGTAGGGAGTTTCACGGCCACAAGTGCCGACAAGGCCTGCTGCTGATCAAGATATTGCCAGATTTTCTACTACCTTCTGAAAACGCCTGCATGTCTGCGCCGAGTAGTCGATGAAATTGATCACGCAGACAAGTTAGGCCAGCTGAGCAGCTTTGTCACCTGGCACGAGTCAACCAGGTTGCCCTACCTTCAGGCATGTATCAAGGAAGCTCTTCGTAAGTCCTTGGGCATGTACTGTCTACCCACCGCTGACCAGGGCCTGCTTAGGCATACACCCAGTGGTCGGTTTGATCATCGAAAGATGCGTTCCAAAAGGTGGCATCGTCCTGGGCGGTCATTACCTGCCTGAGAATACAGTTGTAGGGATGAATCCATGGGTCACATCGTAAGTCTCAACATGTCGAAGAGACCTGATGCTGAGAAGACAACTGTAGTCGAGATGAAGGCGTCTATGGAGCGGATGCAGACACGTTCCGTCCAGAGAGATGGCTAGAGGCGACACAAGAGCAGCTCATTGCTATGGAGCGTGCCAATTTGACGGTATTTCGGGGCAAATCACGGCTGAACGCTTCCACTGACACCATGATAGTTCGGTTATGGCAAACGGGCATGCATCGGCAAGAACATCTCCATGCTTGAGATATGCAAGGTGGTACCTCAGTTATTGCGGCATTACGAGGTACGGTATTTCGAAGATTTTGTGTCGGATTCCAATAGTGATGCCTGCACCAGTTGTCCTTCGTGCGGCCAGACCAGGAGTGGACAGTTCGGGGAGGATGGTTTGTGTGGCAAGATGGCTTCGAAGTGTACCTTCGAAAAAGGCCTGGGGGGATTGAGCTAGACGTGAAGGGTGAAGTCTGAAATGATGAGGCTAAGCATCTCTGCGCGGCCAGACTATGATTACAACCAAATGGCCATGGATTTTCGGAGGATGAGAATGATGGCATAGAGATAGAGACGCTGTAGACGCTGTGGAATATTCGCCCGCCTCTTCATTTATTTCGGAGCGGGGAACAAAAAGACTCGCGCTCCACTTAGTCGCGTACTTTCTAGGGGGGAAAACGCGTCTCGCGCGTCACTCAAAGGTCTCATTACTACTGACTCTACATGCATATTCTTCTTTTCACAACCTCTCAACTGTACTCCGTACTTATCCTTCTGTACATGACATTCCGCAAACTTGAAATCGAGCACCATGTCTCACCGGTCGGCATTGGCTCAACTTCGAGCTCAACGTGCTGCTGGCAAGACACGTCTCGATTCGTACCAGGTCGAAGATCAAGGCGCCATCTACGACGAAGTCGATGAAGACGGTTACAAGAAGGTTGTTCGCAGCCGCCTCGACAAAGACGACTTTGTGGTTGACGACCACGGTGAAGGCTATGCGGATGACGGTCGTGAAGAATGGCAGAACGAGCGTCAGTACTACAGCAGCGACGATGGGGACGATATCCCACTCAAGGGCAAGGCTGCGAAACGAAAACGCGACGAAGACCGAGAGAAGGATGAGCGTACCAACCACAAAATCATGAACTACTTCAACAACGGCCCAGTGGCTGCTCCCAAGCCCAAGGTAAGTATTGTCGTCGGCAAATGGCTCTCAGAGTGCTGACCAGAACGCAGATACAAACTACCGCCGAAGATGAAGCATTCATGGCCGACCTGTTGGGCGAAGTCGATGCCAACATCCTTCCGGCTCGTGTATCTACCAAGAAGCATATCAAGTCGGAAAACCGACGCAAGGTCAGAGTCCTCTCTCCTCCCCTCACCCAGGAGCGACCTCGACCAAAATACCAGGCACCCGAGCCAGACCTGGTCGACACCCCTCCTCCTCAGGGAGCCCACGATGGCGACGACACTATGGCAAACTTTGACGACGACAACATCATGAGCGACCCTCTTCCTTCTTCTCCTGTCGTCAAGGCTGTCGAGCGCAGAACAAAGGTCCAAATCAAAGAGGAGGAGGATGACGATGACATGATGGATGTGGCCCAGGTCGTTGCGCATGAAGGTATTCAGTCCGCAAGCGTCAACATGACTGGCAGCAGACCCCCGCCGAAGATCAAGTCTTCTCAGCTTCCCACCCCCCAGAGCTCTTCGCCTCCTCTACCTGCAGTCAATGATGTCGATGCCTCATCGTGGAACAGGATCAACAGCAAGCTCAATATTCAGAGCAGCCCGTCTTCAGAGTCGTACGTGTTCGGCAAGATGAAGCCTCAGGATGCAGTAGAGCAAGACGGCAGCTTGCGGTTCTTCTGGCTAGACTACACCGAGATCAATGGCAATCTTTGTCTCTTCGGCAAAGTCAAGCACAAGTCCACCGGGCAGTATCTCAGCGCGTTTGTGAAGATTGACAATGTCCTTCGCAAGCTGTTCTTCCTCCCCAGGAAATATAAACACTCCAATGGTCGAGAGACCAGTGAAGAGGTGGAAATGGATGATGTGTACGGCGAGGTCGACTCGTTGATGTCTAAGATGAAAGTCACAACGAGGAAGGTCAAGCCATGTACAAGAAAATATGCATTTGAGCTGCCAGATGTGCCCAAGGAAACAGACTACCTCAAACTGCTGTATCCGTACGACAAGAACTCTCTCCCCATAGATTTGCAAGGTGAAACCTTCTCGCGAGTCTTCGGCACAAACACTTCTCTGTTTGAGCAGTTTGTGTTGTGGAAGAACATAATGGGTCCTTGCTGGCTGAACATCGAGGATGCAGATTTCACCTCTGTCAACAATGCTTCATGGTGCAAGCTCGAGTGTTCAGTAAGCCAACCGAAAAACATCACTGTTCTGAAGGACTCTGAGGGCGTGGAAACCCCCAAACTCACCTTGATGTCTCTGTCCTTCCGCACTCAACTTAATGTCAAGGAGAATAAGCAGGAAATTCTGATTGCGAGTGCCAGAGTTTACGATAACGTTTCTCTTACAGACACTACTCCACCAGAGAAGCTACCGTCAAGAACATTCACAGTCATGCGACCATCTGGCTCAGCATACCCGCTAGGCTTTGATGCTGAAACGAAGAAACAGAATGGCACTTTTATGCTCGAAAAGAGTGAACAATTCCTGCTCAGCAAATTTTTGGCTCTGTTCGAAAAGGTCGATCCCGACGTTCTGATCGGCCATCAATTGCAAGAAGTCGACTATAGCATTCTTCTTAGCCGTCTTAAAGAAAAGAAAACACCTGGCTGGCACCGCATTGGCAGGCTGAAGCGAAGTGAATGGCCCAAGACCTTCGGAAAAGGTGGCTCCTCATTCTTCACCGAGCGCCAGCTTCTCGCCGGTAGACTGATGTGCGACTTGGCCAACGACATGGGAAAGTCGCTAATGACGAAATGTCAGCAATGGAGCCTTACAGAAATGTGTGAGTTGTATCTTGGACCAGAAAATCCTCGACGCGAGCTTGACAACGAGGAGTGGTTGAACAAATACGTCAAGAATCCTCAGGGGCTACTTGACTATGTCAATCACTGTCATGCAGATACCTACTTCATTGCAGCACTAGCCTTGAAGTTGCAGATGCTCCCACTGACCAAGGTTTTGACCGAACTTGCTGGTAATTCTTGGGCCCGTACATTGAGCGGCACGAGAGCCGAACGAAACGAGTACATTTTGCTTCATGAGTTCCACCGAAACAAATACATTTGTCCCGACAAGGAGTATGGAAAAGGCCGGGCGAAGCGTACTGAAGAGAACGAAGATGACGACGAAGGTGCCGATACCAAGAAGAAAGACAAGTACAAGGGTGGTTTGGTGTTCGAGCCTGACAAGGGCTTGTATGACAAGTTTGTCTTGGTGATGGACTTCAACAGTTTGTACCCCAGTATCATCCAGGAGTACAACATCTGCTTCACCACCGTCGACCGAGCGAGTACGGCACAGAATGAGCACGAGGAGAAAGTGCCCGAGGTGCCTGTGGACCAAGCACAGGGTATTCTCCCAAAACTCATTGCCACTCTCGTCATGCGTCGTCGTGAAGTCAAGAAGCTGATGAAGGATAAGCGAGCGACACCGGAGCAGATGGCCCTCTGGGACACCAAGCAGATGGCCTTGAAGCTTACCGCCAACTCCATGTACGGTTGTCTGGGTTATACCCAGTCACGATTTTACGCAAGACCCCTCGCTATGCTCACTACTTTCAAGGGTCGAGAAATTTTGAGGAGCACAAAAGAGCTGGCCGAGAGCAACCAGCTTCAGGTCATTTACGGTGATACAGACTCGGTCATGATCAACACCAACGCGGACAACATCGCTCAAGCGCTAAGTGTCGGTAACGATTTCAAGAAGTCTGTCAATGAACGATACAAGCTGCTGGAGATTGACATTGACAATGTCTTTCGTCGACTGCTGCTGCACGCAAAGAAGAAGTATGCTGCTGTCAACATGGCTGAAGTCGATGGCAAGTACATTGAGAAGCTCGAAGTCAAGGGTCTTGATATGAAAAGGCGAGAGTACTGCAACCTTTCCAAGGACGCTTCCAAGAAGCTTCTCAACGAAATATTGTCCGGGGACGATGCCGAGGTGGTCCTGGAACGAATCCACGAATATCTTCGCGACCTTGCGAATAAGATGAGAGAAAACACCATCCCACAGACACAATACGTCATCTACACGGTAAGCTCATGTTCGTTGTCTTTTTGCATGCAATTACTGACCAGGAATAGAAACTCGGAAAGAATCCAACCGAATATCCCAACGCAGACTCGATGCCTCAAGTTCAGGTGGCACTTCGAGAAATCGCTCGTGGAAAGAATGTTCGAGTCAACGATGTCATGTCCTACATTGTCACCATGGGCGATGAGTCTACTAAGGGTCTACCAGCGCCCAAGCGTGCATACACACCTCAGGATGTGCTCAAGCCTGGCTCAGGCCTTGTGCCAGACGTGGAGTATTACTTGTCGAAGCAACTTTTCCCGCCGATTGAGCGTTTGTGTGCTCCGATTCCTGGCACCGACTCGGTCAGGTTGGCAGAGTGCCTGGGACTAGATGTCCGCAAGTACCAGATCAGCACGACGAGCGGTGACAGTCGGCAAAGCAACGAGATCTTCCCTCTGGAATCGCAAATCCCTGACAGCGTTCGTTATCGAGATGCGGCTCGGCTCAAGCTCCGATGCCGACATTGCGAGCAGACGACAGTCTTTGAAGGCCTGTGCGACTCAACAACTACGTGCACACCCGAAGGCATTGCCTGTAGCAATGCTGATTGCCAGCAAATCTTCACCAGGATGGCTGTGACGACCCAATTGGAAGCACAAATTCGAGTCCAGACCTGTCTTTATTATGAAGGTTGGCTTGTCTGCGACGATTCATCGTGTGGCAACCGGACCCGACAGATTTCAGTGTATGGTCACCGATGTCTTGGCCCCAACGGCCGTGCCGAAGGGTGCCTTGGTCGTATGTCATACGAGTACAGTGAAAAGAAACTATACAATCAACTTCTGTATTTCGCAATGTTGTTCGACGCGGAGAAGGCGAAGAACAAAGCAAAGTCTGACAAGGAGTATACGGACCGACGGGATCGCATTGTTGTTCTCGCCGAGACGAACAAGGACAGATTCGAGAGTATCAAGACTGTTGTTGATGGCTACTTGAGAAAATGTGGACGACAATGGGTAGAGATGGATACATTGTTCGGTTTTGCTCTGAGATGAAATGGATTTGGGGGGTGTTGTTGTTTTCTTTTTGGAATAATGAGCTTGCATTGAGAGAGCGTCTTTTGATAGCGAAAAGGCCGTCAATTCATTCATGACTGTTAACATGAGATGCCATGTGCATTATCCAGTAATTACTCGTACCATGAGTGAGTTGGATTACGTTCGATTGACTTGTGTGCGAATAAATCACAGAGACGACTGAATACTTGCATGTTGGACCTATTGATGTGGTGGGGGGAATACGAATACGAGAATGACAATTCTTATTCGCCGACTTTAACCATCTTTTTGCCTGAGGTACTTTGACCATTTCTTCCAATCTTTCGTCCAGTTGATCAACCAAAAAACAGTCCATCTTTTCTCGATGATATAGAAAACCAAACACCTAATTCCACGTCGTCCCGGGTGAAAGTCCGACAGATCTTTCAGGCTACAAGATGGCCCCTCCCAAGGTTCTGGTCATTGCCGGCTCTGATAGCTCGGGTGGTGCGTAAGTAGTACATTTTGATCATTACCTATACCCTTCGTATATGCAGAGATGGGAGAGGAAAAACAAGACAGTGGACTCTCTGGACAAACAAACTAACATGATCGTGTGTTGTATAACCAAAAAGAGGACTCGAGGCCGATCAAAAGGTGTTGGCTGCTCATGGCTGTTACGCAATGACGGCCACTACGGCCTTGACGGCACAAAACACCCTCGGTGTACAAGATGTCCACATCACTCCTCCAGCCTTTGTCGGCAAACAGATCGATGCGTGTCTGAGTGATGTCGGTTGTCACGCTGTCAAACTTGGTACTTTTTTGATGGTCCTATCTATATCCCTTTCCACCTCTTCCTCATGGGGGGTTTTTTCCCTTGGAGGTGCTACTCTGACCACTTCGTACTGACCGACGATATTCAACAGGCATGCTCGGATCTGCAGGGACCATCAAAGTGATAGCCAAGGCATTGGACAAACACAGAGTCAATACGATTGTGCTTGATCCGGTAAGCAATTGCAATTGCATTTTTACTTTTCAGAGAGAGTCTCGAAGACCACTGATATCACAAACCCCCCGAGTCGTACCTCCCGAAATGTAACAGATTGTTTTGATCATCATCCCACCTCCCCGCTGTTGACAACGGATCGATTGTTGGTTGATTGACAATTCTGAAACAAAAAAAAGGTCATGGTATCTACCAGCGGTCACCAACTCCTCCCGGGAGACGCCATTCGGAACCTACGAGAGTTACTCCTGCCCATGACCACACTCTTGACACCCAACATCCCCGAAGCGTTGCTCCTCGTCCGAGAGGCAGACTCGGACGCAGACGACAATATGCAGTACGGTGACGAGACTCCACCGACGCCGTTGTCCCCGACGTGTCTAGAGGACCTCAAACAGCTGGCCAAAATGGTCCACGGTTTGGGCCCACGGGCGGTGCTCCTCAAGGGAGGGCACATGCCCCTCACGACGTCTTACGACAGGGCGACGACCGACGAGGAGATGGCCGTGACGGTCGACATTCTCTACGACGGCGCCCGCTTTACCCTGGTGGAGTCCCCGTACCTGCGGTCCCGAAACACCCACGGCACGGGGTGCAGCCTGGCCAGCGCGATCGCGGCCAACCTGGCCACCACCAAATGGAGACATGGGGGGACCAAACTGTTCGACCGGCGGGACACGCTGTTCGGGTCCCTCCCGGCGGCCGTCCGGTCGGCCGTCCACTACGTCTCCGTCGGCATCCAGACCTCGCACGACGACGTCGGCGGCAGTGGCGACCGAGGTTGCGGTCCGATCAACCACTTCCACAACGTCCACACCCTCCCGTTCTCCCGCGGTCACTTCGTCGACGACTGTCTCCTGTCGGACCCCCGGGTGGCCCCGGTGTGGGAGAGGTACACCCGTCACCCGTTCGTCACGTCGCTGGCCCGCGGTACTCTACCCGAAAAGCTCTTCAAGAATTACCTGGTGCAGGACTACCTGTACCTCACCCACTTTGCGCGGACTCACGCCTTGGCGGCGTACAAGTCCCGCAGTATGGACTCCATCGTCGCGTCGGCAAACATCATCTTGCACATCCGGCGAGAAATGGACCTACACTTGAGCTATTGTGAAGAGTTTGGTATTCAAAAATCCGAACTCGACCTCGACCACGACCTCGAGCTTGACCGTGACGCCGTCGTCACCCCTTCCGCCTCCCTCTCGACGTCCGGGGGACGACGACCCGCCAGACGGACCAAAAAGGAAAGTTTGGCCTGTACGGCCTACAGTCGTTACGTCCTGGACGTCGGTTCGAGTCAGGATTGGTTGGCCATACAGATGGCACTGGCACCTTGCCTGCTGGGTTACGCCGAGGCGGCTCGTTTGGCCCGAGTCGACCCGGCCCGCAAGACCACCGCGCAGGGGAACCGGTACTGGAGGTGGGTGGAGAATTACGTGGCCGAGGATTACCTGCAGGCCGTCCGCGCCGGGAGGGACCTGATCGAGAGACACATGACGAAACAGTCCCCCGAGAGGATAAACGAGTTGATCGACATCTTCGTGAGGGCGACCGAGATGGAGGTCAAGTTTTGGGATTTTGATGCCCATCCTGACATCGACGAGGACGATGAGTAAAGGACATCTTTGGAGGAGAATCTCTCTGTCTCTCTCTCTCTCTCTCTCTCTCTCTCTCTCTCTCTCTCTCTCTCTCTCTCTCTCTCTCTCTCTCCCTCTCTACAGTATCAACCTACAAGGTCAAAAAACTCTGGGTCGAAGTTGATGGAGAAATGGAACAAAAACACCAGAATACAAGGAAATAGGAATAGAAATAGATACCGATACAAGTACTAACGTCCGGCCTTGAGTAAGGTCAATTTCTGCGAGGTAAAAAGTACAAAACGACCTACTGAAACAAAGTTGCCAAGTATTTTCAGCGTGCGTTCGTTCCAGACACACTTTTTGGTTCCTTGGGCGAATTGTTGTTGTTACATGTAGCTACAGTTACATTACGGAGTACAGGAATATTCAACCGACAACACTCCCACCGAAACCGACAGGTCTTCTCCTCCCTCCATTCTCTGGAACGATCGTCATGACCTTGTAAGCTTTACCCATCCCCTTGGGCCCGGCCTCGACCAATCTCTTCCAACCCGTTTCCACTTCCACCTTTTTCCTCTCGAGCTCTTCGGTACTACCGAATTGACCCCTCTTGGTGAGCTCCGCGACAAGTCTCTCCGCGCGTTGTTTGATGCCGAGTTGACCCAACCAGAATCCTTGTTCGACCGGCCCGTGGACTTCGATCCCGGGACTCGCCTCGAGGGCCGCGTGCGCGAGCGCCACAAAGTCGACGTCCGCACTGACGTCCGCTTCACCGGCGTAGACAAACGGCGAGACGATCTTGTGCCTGCGGATGGCTCGGAGTGAATCGACCGGGACCGTCTCCAAGGGTCCATAGTCGATGATGAGGGCAGCACCACCGTTATTGCCATCAAGAGGAGACTGGCCGGTGCCTTCTTTCGACGATCGGTTGCTTGCCACTCCTCCTCCGATCCTTCTTGCAAACTCTTGAATGTATCGCGAACTCTCGGGAGATACTTCCACCCGAGACGAGACTTGATTCTTGAGGTGACGATAACGAGGTCGTTCGGGGATGACCAACGAACTAGGCGTGCTTGCCTTGGCGAGGGTCAGTTGAAAATCAGGCTCGGGTTGTTTGTGAGCAGCAGCAGCAGCAGCACCCGCGCCGTTCCCCAATTGTGAAGACAAGTCCAATTTTGGCTTGGTCGGGGCTACCAACAATTCTCGCCATTGCGGCAACTTGCTGGCCGTGGATGGTTTTGGTACAGGCTGGCCCATCTCACCGAGCAGCTTACTCTGTACCTCCTGCCCCTCCTCCTGCACCTCTTCCGGCTTTGGCGCCACCGACTCGAACGCGTGGATGGGTAGAGCGTCGAAGAATTCGTGTGCGATGATGAAAGGCACGGTCTTCTGATCTCCCGAACCCCCCGTGCCGTCGGGCAGCAGAACGACATCTTCGACCCAGCGCACGGGAATGCCTTGTTTGCTGGTGGCTTCCCACCAGACATTCTTCCCCGTATGGTCCTTGACCTCTTTCATCTCGGCGTCTTCTCCGCAAAGGACATCCTTCTGTTTGGCCCTCAACCCTTCTCCCGCCTCGACGAGCCAGACCGCCGAGATCGACTTGGCAAACGTGCCAAACTGTCCGATGGTTCTGAGGACGTCACTCATCAACGTGCCCCTCCCCGGACCCATCTCGATAAACTGGACACCCTGCGAGGGACGTCCCTGTGCCATCCATTCGGTCATGAACCATATGCCCACCAATTCTCCGAAGATCTGCGAGATCTCGGGAGAGGTTATAAAGTCACCCTTTGTGCCAAACTGGTCTGCATCATCTTTGCGGGTCGTGGTGTAGTAACCGCCGTCGGGGTTCGTGAGACATTGACGCATGTAGGATGCGATTGAAACGGGTCCGGTGACCTTGTACCCAAAAACATATTAGCCTGATTTGGTTCCGCTATTCGAGCAAGAGAGGGGTGGAGGAAGGGGTTGGGTGTTTATATGGGCATATGTGTAATACGCAGCGGGAACTACGTGTATGTTGTATATGAAAATATGCATCAGGTGAATGAACGGGGCATACCTCGATTGCCTGCGCTATTGTTTTTGCCAAAGGTGTCGACCATTGTCGGACAGGCAAGGTTGGTGGATGATTTGCCGCAAGAGTAGTACTTGACTCAGACGGCTGCGACGTAGGCACTTGTAGGGAAAGTTCCTCGTCTACGGCAGGCTTTGACTTTGACGCCGCACTGCTCGACCATCTTTGTTGTTGCTGCTGCTGCGCCGGATACGGACGGCGAGCCACCACGACGTGGTCATGATGTCGAAGCGGAGAACCGTTGTTCTTGTTGTTGTTGTTGTCGCATTGAACAATTGACCGACAAGTAGTGGTGAGTGTCGTCGTCGTCGTCGCCGCAGCAAAAGGCTTGTTGTGGTCGTTCAGCCGAAGCACTCGTTGAAGAAGACGAGGTGCTCCATATCTCATTCTCGAGGTTGCAAACCCTCCAAAAACCTCCCCCTCCTGTCACTTGCACACACACACACACAACAAAAAGGGAAAAAAGGAACGGGGACAATATACAAGAACAGAACACAAAAAAGTGGTTGGTTGGGTTTCAACAAGACATTCTCAAAATAAGAGGTGCGGACAAGTTGGAAAAATAAATCTAATGCGGCGCCGCCGAGTACAGAACTTCGCGTGTCGACACTGGAAATTATGACGATGTTTTTTGGCGGCTCAAGCAGCATACGGGCCTTTTAGTTAGGTACCTTTGTAGTATTGTAGGTACTTAAGGCAAAGCACCTAAACAACCCCTTACCTACAGTATGTCCTCCCTACTACCCATAAAACACGCACACATAAATCTATCTCACTCGACCTGGAGTGACTCTGTCGTGTTTGTAAAGTACGTTTTTTACATTTTTTACAAAATGCATCAGATATTTTCACAATGTCTAAAAGAGACATAAATTAGTTGAAGTCGAGAGGCTGCTCCGGCTGCTCACAAATGCATACAGTCCCTTGGTATATAGGTATATATGAAAGACGCCATCGCTATGCAACCAAAAAGCATACACAACCCCGTCAATATCATACAAAGGACACCGCGCGACACGACATCATCTCTCTAGATCAACAAAGCCGCCTCTTCCGCTACGTTTTGCCAGATCTTGGAAACCCCTGCCCCAGCCCTCGTAGTCCTTCTTCTCCTTGTTACTGCCTTTGAGTTCAAACTTCTTCTTTCGTGGAGGTCCCTGATCCTGGTTCGGTCGCAATACACTCTTTGGAAATTGTGCCCGGATTCTCTCCTCCTTGACCAACTCACGCTTCTGGATTCTAGAGAGATTCCTCTCCTCCCTCTTCTTCTCCACTTTCGATCGGACCGCCTTGATGGATTTGAGTGTTCTTGCTCGCTGTCCGTAATGGTCGTCGAGACGGCGGTTGCCGGCACCATCATCTCCTTCATTGCCATCTTCTTCATCCTCCCAAGCCGCTGTGCGTGATGCTGGCCTGGTCGTCTTCTCCCCAGGTGGACTCTGATCAACCATGCTCTCGACTTTCCCCAAGAACGCCGCGAGTCTTCGCTTCTTCGACCAGCACTCCTCGATGATGGAAGAATCCAGGGGACCCATTCCATCATCCTCCAGCCGCTCATTGACTCGCAAGATCTTGTCATATGCGCCAATGACAGTTCTTAAAAAGTCAACCATTGGGCCCACGCTCTCCATCACACTGTATGGTGTGATCCTGCGTTTATCCAGCAATGTCTGGACACTCTTGGTGCGGGCCTTCACATCTTGGAGCCGTTCAAGCTCGGTGACGTGGGATTTGATCAAGCGCATAACGTTCGTGACCTCGGGTTTCAACTTTTCCAAGGCCACAAATGTATTGTTTTTGGAAGGATCACGCTCAAAGTCCAGATCACCTTCCTTGGTCTTCGTCAGTGCTTCACCATCAAGTCCTTTCGTGGTCGCCATGGCCAGCTGCAAATATTTCTCAAGCACCGAAGGTGCAAACTTCAGCCAGATGCCTTGGTTCTCGTCTTCTGAAGCCTTTGCTTCAACACTGTCTTCCATCAGCTTAATGATGCGGTTCGCGATCGAGAACACGTTGGGGTTCTTCTTGTCTCGGTAACAGGTACTCATGGCAATGATAAACGTGCCTCGGCTCATTAGTTGCTGCTGGACATCGGCTGGCCGTGGCTGCAGCAACAGGTCAAGTGTTGCCTGACTCGCACGGGAGACACGAAGTAGACGCATGTACGAAATGATGTTGGCTCGATCGGCCTCTAGCTTGTAAGGGCCCTTTGGTGAGGTGAGTAGTTGCCAGTAGTATTTTCCGGCACCAATCTGTCGAAGAGCGGTAGTGGCCTCCAAGAGCATTGAGAGTGTGTTCTTGCCCGGCGCAGCGTAGATAGAAGAGTCGATGTTGGCAATTGGCATCGACTGGACTGTTCTGAGGGTAATATCGGTTGACGAGGGGGCTACCTCTTCAGATTCATCGGTCGCGCCGGCCGTGAGCATTCGCCGGTCTTCGGTTTCCTTCTCAGGGGTAAGATCGCCTGCAAAGCGGGGAATGCTCATGGTTTGTTGGACCAAATTTAGTACGTCCTCGTAAGCCTTGGGTTCGGAAGACAGCAGGAGGATTCTCCCCATGGCACAGACCAGTTGTTCGTCAAGCTGCAAAAGACCCCTCCTCCATCGAGACACAATGTCGGTCCAGAGGTTTCGAGCGTCATTTACGGCTTCCTCGAATATCGGCTGAGGGTCGTACTCGCGATCTGGTGAACTCGCCCCCAGCTTCACCGCACGGTGTCGAACTTCCGAGTGGATGGTATTCATGATGGTCGTAAAGGTGATGTGATCGGGGGCACCAGGCCCCTGCTCCGGGAGTTTCCCAGCAATCACCCACATAGAATCAATAAAAAGTGCTCGGGCGCAAACATTGAGGACCGCGTTGGTGTGAATAATGGTCGGTTTGACCGCTGAGTTGGCGGCGCCGATGGAGTTGTAAACCTTGATGGCGTCTTCGACGACACCCGGTTGCTTGTAATTTTCTCGGTAACCCCTTAGCATTATCGTATAGGTATGTGCGTCAGGCTTATGGCCTCGCTTTTTCATCTATAACGTCGACTGGTCAGCATTCACCCAGTATCTCCCATGGTCAGGCACCATACCTCGTTGTAGATTTTCCATGCATCTTTGGGTCTTCGTTGTTGCATCAGCCAGTTGATCAGATGGTTCCAACTGACCGTATTGTCGATATTCACCCGGGAGACACCAACCCCTTTGTCACTCTCGCGGACAAGGTTCAAAGCCGCATCAAACTTGGAATCCCTCAGCTTGTCCGCGACAGTCTGAGCTAGCTTCAACGGGTCGCTCAGGTATTGCAGTTCCCGTCTCGCATTTTGTTGGACTTCCGTCCGGCCATGGTTGTTCATGAGACGGAGACGGTTGTTCTTCCTCGCCTCGGCATCTCTGGAGGAGGCTCTCGCGACGGCAGGCTCGCCTCTCCACGACGGGCCCTTGATCCGTTTCTCCGTCCGCAGGGTTTTCGTGAGGAGCCTCCGGTGATGGCCTTGCTGGATAGACTGGAGAGTAGCATGGTTGCGGCGGAAGATGGCCGTTGTACGGAGTGAACACGAAGGGGTCGTAGTAAGATCGACGGTCAGGGATCGAAATGCCCATAGCAGACAGGCCGAACAAGTAAACATTGCTCAGAAAGGCCCGGCACGAGCTCAGTCGAATACATGTAGGAAGGACCTAGTTACAAGTCGCCACTGCAATCCGCAAGACTTCATCTTCGTCAACCAGCCAGTTCCTGCGCCGTCAACTTTTTTTTCCACCGGGGCAAGTAAGCCGAGAGAGACTGGGCCTGATACGCACGTGATGCGAGAACTTGAACCCACTGTCCACCACATGCCCTTCCAATCATTTCGATTCTTCCTCGCAAACTACGCCTTAGACAGGGAAATGGGTTCAAACTGCAGAATTGGGAGACGGATGGTTCTCTGGATCTCATACATTATGGGCAGATCACCACTGAGTCCCGAGTCGAACAACTCGACCGACCACCTCTACTCGTATCACGACCAAACCGATCACTGTCCAGAAATCCCATGCTTTGCAAAAGAAGCTTGTCCAGTTTCAACATGATCGGATTTATCCAAGGATAGGTGCACCGGTGCGTCTTGTTACATTTTTTCTCAGACTCGTGGGGCTATGATGAACCCTTGTCCACCCACGTACCTACGTACCTAAAGGTACATAGCCAATACTCCACGACCACCCACCACGAGGAATACTGCGGTCCTAAACCAGCACTGAATTACTCCCTGAAAGCGAGGGCTGAGGCAGGGTGCCTCTGGTGGCGTGGCCAAAACCGTGCTTGCTCGTATTACCTGTGCGAGATGCCGTCTTTCGATCTGGCTCCCCCGCGTGGACTTCCGAAGTGGCGGATGTGTAACCTTTCTTAGCTCGGCCACAATTGCATGTGCGGTACGGAGTAAGTACTGCTCGTAGTGTACTCGAACTATTACAGTATGTCCTTCAGTTGCGCGCGTGTTATATCTACTTATCTGGGGGTTTTGACGATGCCTCACGGTCACCTGGGTCGCCTCAAGCCGCATCCGAGCCATCCGAGACTTCACATTAAGACTTGAGCAGGCCGTTGTTGCCGATTTCGGGTTAGATATCCTTTCTTATTGTCCATCCTCCTTTTGATTAAGAGCGCCACTAGATATCCTTGTAGGAGATTTCGAGCCCTTGAGTTAGGTCCGCTAGGGGTCCATGTGTTCTCCACGTCGTCAGGCTGAGCTGTGCGCGAAATGGCTGCATAAGTGGCGTTGTCGGTGGCAGTTGGAAAGCCTCGTGTTGACTAAAGGTCTAGCGTCAATGGAAGGGCCCAGGCTTGTGGTATTGTAGGTACCGGTACATCGCAGGGATGGCTAGAAGGATACGTCGTGGGACGAGTCCAGTATATGTAAGCACGATGGAGACCTGTGTGACGGTCTGATGCAGAACGTACGTAGTTGGCTTTGGTTTGGCGACAGATTCACTAGACCAGCGATCTTGCCGAAGGGCTCTACTGTACTGTACATAAGAGAATAGGCAGTTCTGACGTCTTTTAGGGCCGCTCCGCTGTCGACCAAAAGATGCACAGGTAGACTATTTCTCTAGTCCATCAGCTTGTCCGCACCAGTGTTAGTGGTGTTGGTTAAAGGCCGTGAAGCCTAAAGCCTCTAGTTCCAGAGCCCAGGCATGCCTGTATCTTTTAGCCCTGGCGCCGTTTCCACCACACACACACACCACTGACATGGCACACGCACACCTGTTCCCTCCCGTCAAGCTGCCACTATGGCGCCGGCGAATTTCTTGCATCAGCCTCCTTCTACCCCAGAGTCAGACTAAATCCAAACTCACCATCCGGGCACCATATTAGTTCCCATAGTCTTGTGTAACCGTGCTAGAGTCCAAATTCGAAACCCGGTAGGTGACTTTGCCACACGCCAAACGTCCACCATCGCGTGCCCTGGTATAACCTTAACCATACGACATCAGACCATCCAGAAGTACTTCTCATGTGCCGCATTCCTTGAGAGAATCAATTCCAATGACATCAATCAAGACCCCAGAGACGGAATCTACGCCTACGCATGTGCTATACACTTCTATGCCTTTCCTCAGTCAGACGTTGTCCGAGGTTTTACGAGTATCGTGAAAAGATAAGCGACGAAAGACTAGAAGAACAAACTGTATCATGATTCTGTAATGGTATTTTGTTTGGCTTATCTGGTCAGACTCGGTTCTGGCAAGACCACGCCCGTATGTTCTAATAAGATAAGCACGGCCATGGCAAAGTTCTGGCTTTTTGCAGAAGCCAGCGGCGTGCTCTGCTCGATTCTGAAGAACATCAATGTACACAAGATGCACTCAAACACCTCCCCCTCTGAGGCAACTGAATTGCCGCTGCGGTTGCAGCGGCCGCGACCAACAGAGGGTTTCCCTTTTCACTCCCTCGGGTCATAGGCTCGTGAATGGGATGTGGATATCGACAAACATCCACACCCTCATACTCTTCTGTCACCTCAAAAACTGCATACGCTCGGCCGTCGTAATATTCATCCCCCTTGCTTCAAACCTCGGAGCGCTAGGCCGGTTCTGATGCACCCAGCCATAAGAAACGAAGAACGAAAAAAAAAAACTCTCATCAACAAACCACAAACCACAAACCACCAGCCAGCCATCTGGCAATTAACTCCTGCCAGCGTCGCCTCGGTTCTTTTGAGATGCCCGGTGTTGTTCATTATCTCCTCCTCTCCCACCTAGGGTATCTGTCGCGAAAATGAAGTGGCACCGCACCAATGCATACAAGCACGGCATCATAGAACAGCCCTTATGTGCACAATTGCAGTCTGCAAGCTATTCAGAAGCCACTCAACCTTGCTGCTGGATCAAAAGCTCTAATATTGACGTTGTTGATAGACCTGACCCTGTTGAGCATAGGGGGAATTGGGATAGTTGGCGTAGCTGCCCATCTGGCCGTTTCCTTGTGGATAGACCATTCCGCCCTGGGGTTGTCCATATTGTCCTTGAGCATGTCCATCGGCGGATTGATAGCCGATGGGTGGTAGCGAGGGTCGGCCCCCATTTTGCTGATAGCCTTGCCCCGGAACTTGGTGCGCGTCACCAGGTGCACCATCCACTTGGCTAGCTTGAGCGGCCTGTCGTTGTCTTTCCTCCTCGGCTTTGCGAGCATTTTCTTCCTCCTTCTTGCGGGCCTTCCACTCCTTTCGGATCTCTTTGAATTCTACCCAACAAGTCAATTTGAGTGTCCATGAAATTGCAGGAAAGTCCAATGCAGTTGGTCGGGAGTAGACTCTTAAGGACTCGGAGTTTGCTTACCCTCTGGCGTTCTCTTTGTGCCGTGCGACTGCATTGTCACATGCGCATTCAGATGATTCAAGGTGCCGTATGCCTTTTCGCAGCCATTCCAGCCACACTTGTACATTCTCTCAATTTCTTCATATCGTCGACGGGGTCGCTTGTGCTGCTGCGCACCAGGAATTGGGACGAACGAGTAAACCTGCCTTTTGTCAATGACGCGCTACCACGCGCACACAGAATTGGGGTCCTTACCTGGCCCGTACGAGACGCAGCAGAAGTCTGCGGTGGGCCTTGGACGCCGGGCCCAGGGTGCGGATAGGGTGCCGGCATGCCATGCTGCGGCGGATAGCCACCCCATTGCTCATGGGGTGGTCGCTGTTGCATGTACGGAGGATGTTGAGGCTGGTATGCGTGCTGCATATTTCCATCCTGCGGGTATGGCGAGTACGGCGGGTAGGTCGGGCTGGCTTGGGATATCGAAGGATCTATAGGCACGTCCGAGTTAGACTTCACAAGGTGGGAATTTGCGGTTGGGTTGCCATTGGGCGCTCCCTCTGGCAGGGTCATTGACGGACTTGTTGGTTGTGCCATTGTTCCTACAGCACCTGGATGCGGAGGCGTGTGAGCGAACTGGCTATATCGCAAATGCTCTGGCGGAAACCCCGATGAGCGCGCAGACGACGGTGTCAAGCCGTAATCCGACTGTGGCGTGTTGTTGCTCGAGATGGTCGCGGAACGTGGATCTTGCGTGGTGTATGTCGCAACAGACGATTGATCTAGCGACACGACTTTCTCAGAGCTTGTTCTTGTGAATCTTCTTGTGGTGAAGGTGCTAACCTGACTGCGCGTATTCTGGTGCTCCCCTGTCCATCAAATGCGACCTTCAATGCGCACCACGTAAAGGCAGGTCGTGGTAAATGCACGAGGCAGTGGCTGGTAGGATTTCGAGTGGTACAAAGGCCTACTGAAGGCAGTGGATGACAGCAGTCGCGCAAAAGGTAAACTGTCTAAGGGCCGCAAGCTCGGCCAGCAGACGTCGATAGGACGAAGCAATCCTTAGATCGAGCACCGGTGTATTCTTTATTTTGAAGGCTGCCCAGGCGAGGGGAGGACATCCACCACTCGACCTAATGTCGGCACGGTGGAGAGAGCGTGCCAACGACTCAGAATATGGGTCGGGAGCTTCTTTGCACGAGGCGAGTCCACCAGATCGGTCAGCAGTCTCGCAGTCGCACGAAAAGGGACAGGTTGATCTCGAGCAGGGGCAGCAATCAGTCTAACCGATGGGGCGAGGAAGTGGTTCGAAAAGTGAGGGTTTAGTTCTGTTTTTCGTTGAGCTAGCAGCAAGCTCGGACACTGCGAGAGCAACGTTACTTTCTTCGAGATGGCGCGGAGGGTCAGGCTAATAAAGAAGACGAAGGACGGATGGCGAGCCAAACAAGCTTCGCGCCTGCCACAGGTGATAAGAGGGAGGTATTCGAGCCCCCAGTACACTCGTTCCAGGGTCGCAATGCACGGCCTTGTCCCTCTTTTCGCCCTCGGTTATGTTTGGCTGTATGATGCCAGGACTATTATGCACCCGGATATCCAGGTTGATTTGACAGGGAAGTTTTCCTTCGCCCCCTAGAAACTTGACCGGGCTGTTGCCTCCACCCGGAACAGCCACGATCACAGATGGCAAGAGCACCTGCTGGACAATAGTGGGTCCAACACGACGCTGACCAGGCTTCAACGTGCACGTCTCTGCCAATGGACGCCGGTCTTGAATGGAGAAGAGCGGTCCTTCAACAACTCTGTGACTTGCGCTTTTCGGCGTTGGAGAATTTGATCCACTCACAGAGCGCGGACAGGCGGTCGTGGGTATGCTTTCGGCAGCTGTCTTCGAGTCGGAGCAGGAAGGTTTATGATGGTGGATGAAGAGTGGAAAGGGTGGTAGCGTAGTTTTTCGACAGGGACTAAAGGGCGGCAGCTAGCAGGGGGGTGGGTTCTGAGTGTTTTGATCACGCAGACCCACGGCCACCGCAGGCTCGGTAAGAGACTTTCGCGGGATGATTGTCTGTTTGTCTCGAAAGTCTTCCTCTTGTAGGTGGCAGTCACAGGATGCGTGACGTGCGCAGGCAGACAATTCACCAGGAAAGGTGGCAATAAGATGTAACGCAAGGTGATGACCGAGTGAGACGTGGTTCGCTGGTCCGATACGAAGCGTTATCTGCGGCGCGTTGTCGAGAGTCGACGTTGGCGAGCAGGCCACGGCGGCGCGGGATAGGCGGGTGAGAAATAACACGACTAGAAAGCCGTGAAGCGAGATGTGCAATCCTCCAGTTGATCCTACGCTCGGAGCGGTAAGGTGTGCGTCGCAGTCGTGAATCATGCACCCGAGGGCGGAAATGGAAGGTTTTGGCAGGGATTCTGATTCGCTACTCGTAATGAGGAAAACTGAGAGGAGAATGGGTGGTTGGGGGAGGGAGCAGGGGTCGACGCTTGGTGCCCGGCAGTGGCTCGTGGGAGGTCGGAGGCTGGAAAATTGACCTACAGTACTCCGTATTCAAACGGAGCACTCGCAGTTGAAGAAACGGTGGAGCCGGGCTTTGACGACCAAGTAAAGGGCTCCGTACGAGTAATGGAGAGCCTCGAAATGGGTCAATGATGCGGTAAAAGTGGAGTGAAATGAGGTAGCGAAGAGAGATTGACCGTCGAAACTTGGAGTCGCAGCAGACACAGGCACCTGGTCGCTTGTGACGGTTTTGGGGGGTTCCGTCTCCGAACGGGCGAGGGGCAGGAAGTGGAAGTAGGTGAGAGAAGAGAGCCTGTGCCTGTACAGAGTAATGATGAGTTGTGCCTACGAGTCCAGAGAGGGGGGGTAGTAAGGGCCCTACCTCAGGTATTCCCTACTCGCCCAGAGTACTGCTTTTTGAACTGAAGCCTTCCTCAACCACAACTCACGCGCAACTACAATCCTTTGTACTCCGTATAGTCGCTGGTATGGCGTTGGGAATCTTTTCGTGCAACTTTTTTTTTCTCGATTCCCAGACTGTTGGCTCGTCTCTCGTTCCGGAGGCTTTTTTCCCTTGCAGACACACTGTCCACTAGTGAAAAGAGGAAAAGTGCGCGGGTGCAGGTCGATGGCGCAGAGTCAGTCTCGCGGTGTCCAGTGCTTTGCCCCGTAACTGCCACTTCCATTTGTCCCGCACTGACACCTGCAGCTGCCTGTACGCTAATCTATTTATGGCCTCATATTCTTCCTTGGCATCAACACACCTTGCCAAGGTACGAGTACTTGGTCGTCACCCACGAGTTGTTCTCCGACTGCAATCATCCCTACTCCGTAACAATTCCCAGGGTACGTAGGTGTGGCCCGCGTGCAAAATGGCCACCGGCAGTCATTCTCGCCAGGTTTCCTGAGATGGCTGTTGTTGTTGCTGCTCTCTTCAATGCCACGGGTGACTGACCCGTTACCGCCCGTCCTGTTCCTTGACCTTGTGCCGCCGTATCCACCGTTCCGTGTCTCATAGGCACCAGCACACTCAACCCTGCAATCACCTCTCACACCACCATGATGGGGACATGTCACAATGTGCATGAGTCTCACCGCTGGGAAGAAACATCACAGACAGCGGTCAATCGACTGGGGACCTACTCCCTATTCCGCAACCCAATACGTCTTCAAGAACAATCATTACGTCGATAAGCTACAAATATAGAGAGTATACCGAGTGATCCCAATGGCGCATTATCCTCAAGCACCAACTACTCGTATTTTCAGGGGTCCCACGAGGATGAACATGTCTCTTAGCTTCAATTTCCCCGGCCTGCCACTTACGTTGACCAATCAATGTCCACGAGCCCGCTACCACGATCGTGCTTAGCTGCCTTGCCTTCTCAGGGCAAGTCAAGAGCACTGAACTCGTTCGGGCCCGTGTATCTCTTGACTTTTGTTCCCAATGGGAAAAAAGCCCAATGCTCCTATACATGTGTACACATGAATACTCTCGCAAAACCCCTATGACTACAGCTAGGTTGATTAAGGTGACGAGATGGTCTAATTGACCTGGCACGAGTGCCTGTATCACCCAGGCCTATACGCCTTCAAACACTGTGCTGATAGCTGGTTCCGAGATTCCTGAGGCGTTCGTCCAAGATGACTACTGAGGTGGTCAGCCTCGCGCAGCCAGAAAGCATTTATCGCATTGCTGGTCATCCGCTTTCGATAGTGTGGTCTGTATTAGTCTACCAGATTGTATGCTGGGCGTCCCGCTCGTTCATCAGCCGAAGTGGTCCCTGCCGCCCAAAATTTCATCGTCTTCAGAAGCAGGGACTCAACATTAATGCCAGCAACGATCTTTTCGGGCCTTGGGCTGCAACTGCGCTACGTTGCGAGTACATTGCTAGTCTTCAGATGGTGCTTGGGCAGCGAATTTATGAGGAACTGGGGCTTCATTGGCTGTTTTGATCCGACGGTCGAATTGACACAATCGCGGCAATTTGTCGTTGCCAATGTACACTGATGATCTTTGACAAAACGAATTTCTCCTGATTGTCACACAACTGGAGATGGGCACGCCCGACGTGGAGGGCTCGTGGCAGGAGCATCATTGCCGTCTATCCGTCTAAAATTACACAGAATCTGAAGTGCAGGGAACAAAGTCACAGTTGTCGTTCCAAGAACCGCAATCACCCACTCTCGAGTCGTGAGCCATGACCTCAAAGCAACGGAGGTTAGTCGAGTAAACTAGACCACATCAACACAGGGGGCCAGAATGCATGCAGGCTGGGCATCATGCATCCATCAAGCAAAACAAAATGTGACCCTGTCATGTTCCTGAAGCGCCCGCGCAGGAAAGCACCTGGTTCAGGGTGAAGATGTGAGTACTACAGTTCGGGCCGAACTGGGACCCGACGCTTTTTTGGAATTCTCCAGACTCATCTGTCGGTGTGCCAGGACCTAGAGGTACCTAAGTGACTGAATATTTGGTCATATCCGTACAGTTGAGACATAATAGTGGCATACTGTGAGATCTATCTACTAAAATATAGCGACTGGACTCGACCTTTTTTAGGGTACCATATTGTCGGTTACCATCGCATTTTTCTCACATATGTATACTCGTCCTGACTTGCACCAGCAAGTACAACCAGCATCCATCAGTTTTAGGGTCAAACGGTGGAAATATGTCACCGGCACTGTCTACGCTCTGTCGTCGGGGGCACGACGGACTCGTCGATCAGGAGGAATGGTATGTTCCGCAAGCACGAAAATCTCGCTCCGCCAGAACGAACTATCCTCATCGAGCTCAGGCCACGACTCCTTAACAAAGGCAATCATAACCGAGGCCTCTCTCGGCTACGGAAGATGCGTCCAGCCTCTGTCATTCCTGTCGCAGCACGAGCCCCGTAGGGATATACAGTACTACTTCTGCATGTCGCAAACTCCTGCACTATCCAATATGAGATGTCGGAAAGTCACAACCCCTAGTGCCTTAGGAGTGCCAGACACCGGGGAAATCATCTCTTCGAGACGCGAGTAGCTGCAGGTGACAGAAAGAGAAAAGTGGCGACCCAGATCTTCACCTCCAGTTTTTCTCGCCTACCTTGTACTGTTCGATACAGAGTCGATATTCGGTTGCCCAAAGCATCACTTACAGTAACCTGGCTGTGCTCTTACTCCATATTCTGCAGAATGATCCGCATCCACTTCTCTGCATTCTTCCTCGTATCGTTGACCAGCTTCATTTTCGAGACTCCAGCCAGGGCAAATAGACTTTCCCACCTCATGCTGCCATCTTCGACCCTGTACAGTAGTGCCTGCCCATCGAGGATGGGCCGGTCCAAGCTCACCAACCACCCTGCTCACCCTCCCATCTTCCACCCTCTCCCATAGGCTCCGAGTGTAATCTTATTCGAGCAAGATGCAGAACACGTCCATCTCCACTTCAAGTCCTCTACTCCGTACAGTATCTGCCGATGATACACGTCTGCCGCAGTGATGTTTTGGCACACTATCCCACCCCTTACCGGCTACGCAGATTGGATGTAATTATCCTTGTATGCAAATCGGTCGTCGGTCGCTTCATCGGAAAATGCGTGAACGCGCCGATTGGATCAGAATTGTACCGCAAAAGACAAGGGGGGCGCTGCTTGGCATGCACACAGAGACGAAGAGCTAGGCAATCTTTCACGATCCATTATCTTGGTGGTGTTTGGGCTCGAGGGTCTGCAGACCGAGTATGGCTGGTGACGGCTGGACCGCCCTCCTCTACTTACACCACATTCACATCACCTACTCGCAACTCACACCAAGTTTGTCTCAAGACACCTTGCGGTCCGCAACCTCGTGTTTCCGCCCGACGATATATGAACGGTAGACATTTCGAGGCTGGAATTGGAGTTTTCCAGCCCCGAGGACAGAGAATTCGTCCAATACTCCGTACGGACTATGGATTGTCCGGAAGCATGGTCTCGATAAGAGCTCGTACTCGTACCGAACCTGGGCCACTCCACAAAACACTGACGATCTCGGATGCATACCGAGGCAGACCTGATACTACTACGAATAAACCTCCCCCAGAAGCTGGACTCTTCGGTATTGTTCTACACAGTGATACTGTACTCGCATCACTGGAATAAAAAACAATAAAGAGGTTTGGACCATTATTGTGGTAGCAGCTGCGCAATATCGAAGGCCATCCAAGCATGCTCGGCCGAGCTTTGGGCTCTACAGTATCGTTCCCAACAAAGTGGTGAATCAACACGGTGCCTTGGAATAATGCGGATCCGATGAGAAGCATGTCTCCCCTGGCCCCATGCGGGATACCGTAATGATGCATGTACGGAGTACAGGGCGCACTTTTGTGTGCCCCGACCTCACTCGACTCGACGCGACGCTAACAATCAAATGACATGATTGTTTTCCGCAAATACTGACTGTACAAAGTTTAATTGAGGGACGCGAATCCAACGAGAAGTCTTCCGGTGAAATGGGAGTCGGCCCAATCTATCGTTGCCCGCCTACAATAGCCTTCTGGCCTTTCCCAAGGTTCAAAATCCATGCCATGATTTTTGGGGGTGGGATCATTTCATTACGCTAGAGAAATGATATATCTTGGAAGATGTTGAAAGTCATCTAACAATGATGTACTAGCTCGTAATCCTGGGATTGGCTGCAAAACACACACCTTTGAAAGGCTCGAGAAGGATCACCCAAGCAAACGCCCCGCGCTTGATCAATCCAAGAGTACAATGATGGCAATCAATCTTTGTGGCCATCTTTCTTTGGCTAATGAAAAGAGCCTTTCGGAATGGCCCTCTGCCGAATCTCTGAAAATGGCCCTAGTACGAGTTGCCGAATCATTTCATAGACAACTTTTGTGCACCGCACCATGATGAAGCCATCCTGGAGATGAGCGAGCAAACTCATTCTTTGCTTGCACCACTCAGAACGATTGCCTATTGGGCGGCAACGTACATCTACGGAAGAGAGGGTGACTTTTCTAGACATACCTCTACAATGTATGTGCGTGGGATTGTGGCTTCAGCCTATGCCATTTGCGACGAGTTACGGGAGACATGGTCGAAGGTGGGTACTTTCTGGTGCGACGGTGTCCCCAATTTTCCCACAGTCATCGAGGCTTGCTTCACTTAGGCAAGTGGAAGAGTCAAGTTATTATTTAGTGCTCTGAGATTGGGGGGTTCACAGAGCAAGAAAAAAAGAAAGATGCAGAGACCTGCATGCCTACTCAATCACGACAGTCGCATCATGAGACGCTAGGCAAGTAGCTGGCACACACAAGCCAGACCTTTCTTTTCGTTTTCCCCACGAACTGAACGCAGGGTCAAGATTACTTACGGAGTGTGTCCATGTGGTGGTTATATGCCGCCACACAATACAGTAGTGTCCTCGCTTTTTCCCACGCATGGCCGAAGGTTATTCGGGTCTCACCGACAAGATAACAGAACTCTGTTGTTGATCATGCTCTCCTACTTGTTACTACTCCTAGTCTGAGGTGACTATGGATCGACAATTTTGTGGTGATTCCACTCCTGATGATCCCTTTCCTGGACCAAGCTCCGGCATTTTGTTCTAATGTACGCGTTACCGTATGCTGCTGCAAGCGTCGGCCCAGTCGGTCGTGGCCAAACAACCCAATCTCTTCTGACAACTCGGCCCCGAGGTCTGCAGCTTCTTCGGTGTGTATTCACGTACATTTTTCTCCGGAGGTGAGGACCGACAACTCCTTTCAGTCGTGTGTGCGTGATGATAGCCAAAAAGAAAAGGCACGAGTCAAACAACTACGACGACCTCCTTTTTCTTCCCTGAAGACTCCCCCCCCCCCCCACGATCATGACCCGTGCTGCTTCTTCCCATGACACCGCAGACTACCGGAAAGGCCCAGGCCGAAAACTCCATTTCATCCCCGGATATACTGCGTACCATGTTACGGGTATGTACCCATAGCAAAAAGGCTTTCAAAGTCTACACCCACACAATCAACGTTCTCACAGACTATCTTCCTCCTCTTTTCTTATTTGACGAGTACCAAACTGAGGTAGAATCTCATTGTGTCGGGAAGGGTCATATGAACAGAGAGTAAAAAAAGAGGAAGGCATAAGCAAAAAATTGTGAAAACAAAACCCGCTTTTTCCCCTTCTCAGAGAGAGACAAACGACCTCCCGTGTCCCCCTTTCGCATCCATACATATCTACCTAATAATGACTCTGCCCCCGGTCGTGATTTACACACATCGCCAAGCAAGTAACTTTATGACCACAATGGTTTCGTCCGACAGGACTTTGTTGGAAAACTTGACTTTGTCTTTCCTTGGTCGTTGTGATCGTTGTGAAAAGTACTTGTGACCAGGACCAGGACCTGATTTGTTCAATAAGTTCGGACAGACTGACGTTATAGGAGGGGGAAAAAATCACTACGAGATCATGATGATCGATGAGCTCTACGGAATTTTTTTTTTTTTTTGACTCTCAACTTCCTACACGTTGTTTCTCATTTTTGTTTGAAGAGGAGGGGCAAAGACAAGAAGAAGAAGAAGAAGAAGAAGAAGAAGAAGAAGAAGGGAAAAAAAAGAGAAACGACAAAAACTTGATACCTAGGTACTTGAGGTAATGATGGAGAGGCTCCCCCAGCGTGAGAGCACTGCCATGGGCACATGTATATACCGAGAGAGAAGAAGAAAGAAAGAAAGAAAAAAGAAACATCCAAAAGGGAGGAGTAGGAGGAGGAGGAGCAACATCAAAAGGATGTGATGGGATGGGATGGCCATTGGGTCATCAACTTTTTTGCCCCCTTTGTACCTTGCACACAACGCCCCAAGTCACCCTGTACAGGAAAGAAGACGGGACAAAAAAAAAGGGTGTAAAGAGAGAGATATACATCTCTCTTCGACAAGATATTGGACTCCCCTCCGAGTGTACGAGTGTACGAGTGTATAGAGAAAAAAAGATCAACTCGATTCACCTCTCCTACAAGTAACATGATTTCCCCCTTTTTTTTCTTTTTTCTTCCCCCCCCCTCCCCCCCCGGTGCAACAAAACATCATCAAGAACAAGAAGGAAGAAAAAAAATCTCCGATTTCGACATGTATAGTAGATCAATGGGAGAAGTCTCTTGTTCGTTCAGATGAAGGAAGTCATGACCCGACCGAATCAATGGTTAGTCGAGATAAGTAAAGTGAAGTGGCCAAATGACTACATGTTGGAAACAGATACCAAAAACTGCGTAATATATAAATCATTACTCCGTACCCATCACCTACTTCGTACTCTCTGAATAGACGGTCAATGTCCAAGGTTACAAACAACAACAACAACAACACAACTCGGCGGCAGTGTCTACTTCTTCTTCTGCTCTTCTCAATTTGAATTTTTGGAAGATTACTCTCTCTCTCTCTCTTCTCCCCCTTCCCCCCCTCAAACTCCAATTGACAGAAAATACCTCCCTAGCCAAGTACTCTAGGTGTAAAACAAAACATCAAGTCACTCGTACGGAAACTTACAGAATCAAATAGTTCTCAAATCTCGATTTAATCATGCAGACAACACTGTTTTTCATTCGATCCCAGAACCAGAGAAGAAAACAAAACAGTCGTCGTTCCAACAATTCCTGGGTTGCTTCCATCGACGACGTGTCACAACATTTAATCCCCGACATAGACAAAAACGATCAAAGAGTCTTCTTCAAGGATCATAATTTCTGAATTCAACGTACATATACACACGGTCTTGTAGAGCAAAAGGTTCTATCTCTATTCCTTGAAAATCAATGCTCATGCTTATGCTTGTGTGCTTGTGCCATGCCAGATCATCCTCTGCATCATCATGGCCACCAAGTCTATCACCATTTGCTCGCCACTTTCATGTCGACCCAATTTTTGTGGCTGACAATCGTCAAGCTCTGTTGATCGAAATGAGAGGAATCATCCCCCGGCCGAGGCAAATATTCTCTCTCCCCAATGAAACTCAACGCCTGAACCCCAATGTGAATATCGACAAGATCTATCAGGGTTACCCATAAGTTTAAAGAAACCGTTAAGAAAAAGCTCCGGTGATGCAAAATGGATAAGCAGATCCGACAGCACGCTGTGTCGGTCATAGTCACGAGAAGCACGAACACCTCTACCAGCGGCTGCGGCCCAGAGGTGCGGCATTGGAAGCAGTGAAACCACCACGACCACCGCGATGGCCTCCACGTCCATATCCTCGACCGCCACCGCCACCGCCAGAGTAGCGTCCCATTTCTGCGAGACGAGGGTCGATGTTCTGCTTCGCTTCTTGCAGAATGTTCACCAAGTCGCGAGCTTGCTTGGCATCTGGTCAAAAATGTTAGTGGCCCTCAAGACAACAGAGAGGGCAAATAGACTCACTTTCAGTGGTGAAAAGCGTGATGGCGGTACCCAACCGTCCTGCACGACCTGTTCGACCAATACGGTGAACGTAATCCTCCGAGTTGTTGGGGTAATCATAGTTGAACACATGAGTAATGTCTCGCACATCTTGAAGTATAGGTTAGCAAACAAGCCAATGGCAGTCTTACGAGGCGTTGGGGACCATGTGTGGTCGTGTGAGCCGGAGATGCATATCACTCTCTCATAAACTCGGAGCATTATCCTTGTGGGTGTCTAATGTCCAATGTCCAATGTCCTGGTGTGTCGGCATTCGTCTACGGTCCTTGGATGAGAATCCTGGATTTGCAGCTTGATATGGTCAAGAAAAATGTTCCACGACCTACTCGTTTTAAACGTAGCAGACGTGAAAGCCAAAGAGCCGGAGCCTGGCAAACTGCAATGGGAACCCAAGATTGTCCTAAGAAAGACCAGAGAGGAAACAAAAGCCTGGACCAAGTTACGCCTGTTTCAGAGAACGTAACGAGCAAGAGAGCGCGCACCATGTCACACGACGGCAATGGTAAGAAATGCAAAATAAGAGAGAGATAAAGGAAAAGAAAGGGGATGGGGAGGGGGATTTGTTTGTTCATACCAATACCACGAGACGCGACGTCCGTAGCAACCATGATGGGGCTTTTGCCGTTCTTGAATTCATTCAAAACCCAATCACGTTCGTTCTGTTGCTTGTCACCATGAATGGCTGGACAGAAGTTAGTACTGCAGGAAAATTACCAGTAGGAAGATACTCACAAAGTGCAGGCCAGCCATCTTGTCGGAGAAAGCGGGTGATGTCATCAGCAACGCGTTTGGTTCCTGTAAAGATCAAGATTTTGTTGCTGCGATCTTCCATGATCTGCTCGAGATGTTTGATCATACGATCACGCTTCTCGAATTCGGACACTACTTCGACGACCTGAGTAATGCGGCGATTGGCAGACAGATCCATGGAGCCGATGTTGACTTGGATAAAGTCGTTCAAGAAGTCGGAAGCTAGCTGACGGACGTCCTTGGGCCAAGTTGCGGACCACATGCATGTTTGTCTGTCGGGACGAATCTGACCGATGATCTTTCGGATCTGAGGCTCAAACCCCATGTCAAGCATACGATCAGCTTCGTCGAGAACTAGATAAGTCACACGGCGCAAGTTTGTCTTTCCGGATTCAAGCATGTCGATGAGTCGACCAGGAGTAGCAATGCAAACTTCCACTCCCCTCGAAAGGTCACGAATTTGACCACCTTTCGGGACACCACCGTACACACACGTGTTTCGGATGCGAGAAGATTTGCCGAATTTGGTCATTTCTTGTTGAATTTGAACCGCGAGCTCTCGGGTAGGCGCGAGGACCAGAACGATCGGACCGTCACCAGGAGCAAGGAGGGGCTGTGCGTTGATGTGAACAATCGCGGGAAGACAGTATGTCAAGGTCTTTCCGGATCCGGTCTCGGCAATACCGACGACATCGCGTCCAGAAAGAGCCATGGGCCAGCCTTGTGACTGGATAGCTGTAGGGTGAGGGAAGCCTTGGGCCTTGACCTCGGACATGACATATGCCGGAAAGCCAGCCTCATCAAAGGTTTCGACCGGACGTGGAACATTTCGACCTTGGATTGTGATCTCTTTCTTGCGGCGGAATTCATCGACGTCTCGCTGTGATCGGCTTGTGACGGCAGGATCCTCCTTGTAGAATGATTTTTCAAACTTGGGCAAAGTAGCGAGATCCCAGTGTTGTTGTTTCAGACCTGCACCCAAGTTGGACATTCTGTCACCGCCACCACCTCCGCCAGAGTAACCGTTCGAGCCGCCGTGGCCGCCGGAGTAACCATTGGAATGACCGTTCGAGTAGCCTTGACCACCAGAGTAACTGCTCAGATATCAGTAATGTTCAGAATTTCGGTGATTCTGAAGGCTTGCTAGTCATAGCCTTGCACAATTGCATGCGCAACAGCCAGACTCCTCTGAAGCCTTTCAAAATGAGTTTTGTCAGAATTGTTCACATACCCGTTGGAATAGCCGCCGTCGCGCGACGAACCGTAGCCGCCACCGTAAGACATGTAGGGCGCCAGGTTGGAAGTTGTCGAAGTTTGAGGGCGAAGAAACGCTGCGAGAGGTAAAAGGCTAGGGTTGGAAAGACCGTGGAAGAGTAAATTCACAAGGGTCAAAGGGTCAAGATGGAGGGGAGAGTCAAAAGAGAAGGTGAAGTGATGGTAACAATTGAAGTTTGCTTAGTCGAGAAGGGGCGAGATTTGAAATTTTAGAAACAAGGCAGTAATGATAAGCCGCACCCTGGAGGGGGCAAGTCTGCCGAAGCTGAAAATTTCTAGAATCTCGGCAAAAGTCTATTATCTCTTAGAGCGGCAAGACCATGATACCCCTTGCGGACTCCTACAGATCTGCCGAAAGCCACTAGCATACCATAGGAAGGCCCTTTGCCCTGCAAAGAGGTGAAGTTCTCAATATAAGTTACTTCCCAATTTCTCTATATTCGCTGCCTAGCATAGACACAGACCGGATCATTAAAATTGCTGGTAGTTCCCAACGCCCCAGATATCGGTCATATCAAAGTCAAACAGTGTGTCTGAAAAGGCATTAAACTGTCCACCCATGGGAACGAACGCCTCCATATCGGGCATCGCAGGATTGGGAAGTTGTCCGCTCATGCCCACAAGTGTGTTGGCAGTGTTCATGGCGGCATCTTCGACTCCAACGGTCATCTCGTCTGCTGGGTTCTCTTGCCGATCCATCATGTACCGATGCAGGCCAGCTACACGGTCGGCCGTCTCCTGAGCATGCACCTCCGGCAGCTTTTCAGGCGATAATTTTGATTGGAGAAGCCCGAGAGCACTGCTTGAGAGCCAGTAAGAGTGAAACCCTTGTCCCAACAGTCGAATGCGATCCTCCATGATGTCCACTCCTTGTTTGATGAGATTTAGCGTTGTGATTCTATCATGCATTAGCTCCCGTGACTCCAGGGACATTATCATTACATGACATAGCGCTAAAAGAGCTCTGAAAATGTCATCCCGCATATTGGTCAGCATCACGGCCGTGTTGGATCGCAGCTCGGCATATATTCTGACCGTGGACAAGGCAGCATCTTGGCGACCCATCCTAGAGAAGAAATGGCATGCCTGGGTATCTCCATGGGCCACGAGGGGTTGATGTATCTGCAGGAGGAACTCGTGAAGTAAAAGTTCAGATAACGGAAGTGATGCAATCTTTGCACTGTGATCCGTCCACTTCGGGATCTCGTCTAAATGCTTTCGAATCTTCTGATCAAGGTCGAGCGCATTATCGCTATCAATGCAGTTGCGAACACTATTGATCCTGGAGAGAATGTCAAGTCTCAACGGGAGATGCTTGAAAGCCAAACACAGGAAGGAGGTCCGAGTGAACTCGGTCATTGGCCGAGGTCGTGGCATTTTTTCGGTGGTTTGATCAAAGTCTTCATCGTGGATGTTCAATGGCGCCAGACAATCCCAATCGAGTGGACCAAGGCTGGCGCACATGCCGCGGTCCAGACTGGCCTGGATTTCCAGCTCGAGGATAGTGAACCACAATCGGCGGCGCATTTCCTGGTCAAAGGGAGAAATCTTTTTGCTGAGAAACGTGGGTTCTCGATGGAGACCGAGAGCCATTGCATGTCTCAACAAGTGTCCGGCAACAGTCCAAGACCGTTTGATTTTGACACAGTTCATCTTCTTTGCGATGCCAATCAGCACCTGGATTTGAAATACTTCGAGTGTCATGTGCTTCTGACTCTGCAAGTCAAGCCATGTTTCGCAGACCTCGATCCATTTGGTGGCGATATCACGCTGAACTGAGCTTGGGCCGACGAAGGCTGCCGGCTTGTCCGGTAACAGTGTGTTTGCTGTGGCACACACGAGGAGAAGCTGGACAACGAACGCAGTGGAGGGCTCATGAGAGGCGACCCAGAACTCTTTGTAGCTGCGAAAGAATGTCGGTGCATGAAGGACTCTGTAGGTAGTCTCGAACACTTCAAAATAGAGCTGAACAAGCTGTTCTGTGGTGACTTGGTCAGGTATAAACGAAACCAAGGTTTCATGATCCGGCAGAACTATTGAGGGTTTGATAGCCCGTCTGCTCTGCTTCCAGTCTTTTCTAGCTTTCTCCAGTGCGGGCAGCCGATGGAGGATATCTTTGACAAAGCCTGACATTTCTTCGAACTGGAGTAGGAGACTGGCGCCGTGACTTGGACCCATGTACTGCGTTTTGAAACCGGTCCCTCGTAGAAGAGCTCGTTCGAAATCTTGGAAAGCGTTCTTATCGCTGGGGAAGCCTGGTGCACTCGGCCGACTGATGAATTTCTCCGAGGTGACGTGCGAATGATTCGACTCCAGACGAAGCTCCAGGTCGTAGATGCGATCTTGAAGCTCTGAAACTGACTTCGTTGGCGGCGGCCCTCGCTGGTTAGAGGATGAAGGGTTATTAGCAGCGTCGTCCTGTGGACGAATATTGCCGTCTCGTTCTTTCGAGCGAGAATACCATACGTTTGCCTCCTCATGCCAAGATGTAACCGAGGATTCTCGTTGTTGATGCGGACTCTCATCTGAAGGGGTTGGTAGGCCTTCTTTCGAAGTGTAAGAAACATAATCACAACTGACACCACCTTTCTGGCAGCGAATACATGTCGGATAGGTTCTGTCGCACTTGACCTTTCTCTTGCGACATGCCACACATGACAGCGCTAAGCGACGCCGCTTCTGGCCCATGATTACCGAAGGCCACAAAGACCGAGGATGTGACCGAGATGAGGGAAGGCTGGGTTGGCCACGCCAGACACACAAGACTCCGGAAACGTGACCAATACAAACTATAAATGATTGGCTTGACGACGCAGGTCTTGAAACATGGAAAATGCACCGCCGATTAGGGATGTTTCAATGTCGTCGATGGTATAAAGCCGGCGCTTTACGTTGACTGAGAATGCTGTGGTGGACGGGGCAGAGAAGGTCAACGACAAGGTGAAGTCCCGTCGACGACAGAAATTGCTGATATTAGTGTTGACGATGAGCGACATAGGACACTAGGACTGACTTCAGGATAGGCAGAAGCATTTCTCAATTGTGTCACTACGATGGAGACTGCAAGAAGCTTCACTTGGTAGTCGAAATGCAGGTTGTTGAGCAGGAGGCCCGAACCTGCCGCATACTCATGCGAGGCTGACTAACGTCGGCGAGGCTTTTCGGCCGAGCGTTAAAGCCGAGCGGTCCGTACTCGTTCGTACTTTTGATTTCCTCCGACCACAACATTCTTTGGCATCGTAGTGTTTGAGATTGACGGTCTTATTCCCTGATTCGCGAGCGATGATCATAAGAACAATCGTACCAGTATATCCTCAGTCCTTCCCTGGCCAAATATCGTGTGCCCTCCGACCATCGGCCCCAAAGTCTCTAAGAGACTTTTCAAGACCACAATCGAGTGCTCCATCAACTGCGATGTGTGTAAAAGCAGTCTGACCCAGAACCCACAGTGTTCTCTCTTCTTGTATGATTGATCATTGCGAGATGGATGGACTCTGGATGGATTTTCTGTAATCTCATGATCAGGCTGGGTTCGACTGCGGTTCTTTTGCGGTGGTATCAACGTACCCCGTCGGCCAGGTGTCCGAATATACTCGATGGCAAATGCGCTCTGACCTATGTCCTTGATCTTTATAGCCATGCTTCAGCCTCCAAACGATCACTCCAATCATTGCTAGTATGACGCCAATGGCCGCGCCGATGCCTATGAGTTGGACTGTGTCTTGCATCGCGTAATGGTATTGACGGTCTGAGGGAGGGCTTTGATCAGTATTGTTCGAAGTGATGAGGGTTGAACACGTCTGATGCTCACGAGAACAGCTTTCTTGGGGACGCTGTGCCAGACGGTCTTCCTCGCTTTCGGGACTATCGAAATTGGTCAAGATCCACAGGCACAGTCAAAAAGCAAACAAAGCACAAGTGATGGGGAGGGGCACTCAGTAACAATGCAGCCAAAGAGCTACCAGACAAAGACTTTTTGTTCACACTTCGTCTTCACAGAAAGAATCACTCTTGAAGCATCAATCTCACTACAAAGCGTTACACAAGGGAATTTGAAATGCCTTCCCCACCGACCAACAAGCGACCTTAAACTCGACTATTACGATCAAAGGGCTCAATACAATCACCGTCACAAAGTACGTGTGCATTGTCAATATATGAACCGCGTTGAGGCTCCGATGTATAGGATATAAGGACGGTAGGCATGCCCGGTCAAATTCATGTCCTCCGCACACCTTCACCTATTTGTCCGGACACCCTCGAAAGGGCGTTTCACACAGCTCGATCACGCACAAAACTAGCTCAACAAGTCTTGCTCTAAGCACAACACCGCAGTTCAATCTCACTTCAACTCAAAGCAAGCACGTGATCCACCCTTTCGAGAATCATTTGACAAGTAGGGCCAGCTACAACCGTTCAACGTACCAAAGAAGGCCTATAATTATATCACTATCCACCATTGCGAACCACGGTTCAACTCCAAGCCGACCGAATTCGGAATTTGAAGAAGACCATCATCCGTACTTGCTAGTCAATATGGCTGACCAGTCCAATCATACTCCTCCCCCTCCAACGAATCCCCGAGTTCCACAGGTTGCTCTCAATAACACCGCCACACGCCCGCTGCGCACCTTACTCCCCGCCCCTCGAGGCTTGGATCCTGACATCGAAGGCAGCTCCCAGCAGGGGTTGGCTCAATCACAAGGTGTCAGACAGCACCATGAGGTAGAAAATACCGCGAGAGTCGTGTCGATGGCAAACCGTACTCTGACCTCCGCTGCCACCAGTTCAACTCCTGACTACATGTTTGTCAATCCGAGCGACCTGATCCAACCCAGCACCAACGGCCAAGATGAAGACGTCACCATGGATGACGCCTTGACGGGGACAGGTTGTCTGTCTAACTGGGATCTTCCATGCGGTCAACCTTCCTGCATTTTCTGTGGACAACGTCAAGGTGATGCGGGAGGGTCCAGCGCTGGATCTCAGCAAGTCGGGAACCCCCCGACTCCATCTTCACGTACTTCACCGTGTCCCCCGCCCCTTGATTTCACATATATCCCGGAGATCGACAACTACTTGTTCGAACCCCCGTCGGATACGGCAACCGAATTGGCGTACCCATCGTGGATCATCAGCGAGGAAGATCGTCAACAGTATCGAACTGCTATGATTGCACGTCGGATTGATGAGCGGGCAAACCCTGGACCACGAGGACAACAACTGCAACCTGGTGTGGATTCTACCGCTGATTCCTCATCGGCCAATCAAACTCAGCCAGTAGTTCCACAAACTTCTTCGCACCCCCCTGTCCAGTCGTCTGCTCAGAATGCACAACCCCAAGCAGCCAACACGCAGTCTTCTCCTCCTGTTCCAGACAACAACAGCTCTCCCTTTGTATTCATGGTCACCGAGCGAGAACTGCCCCTTGGGTACTGGAAACCTCACTATGCACTGCCAGGCTCTATACAGTTCGTGCCCACGAAGTTTTCGTCCGACACGACCGACAAACCTAGCTCGGTCGCTGCCGTAGAGGTTGACTCGGTCGGAAACCCCCTGATGGATGTTTACATCATCACAAAGGATGGCAAGTCACTCGGTAGGTGGGTCACCTTTGCAGGACCGGGAGGTTACAAACAACCCATGCCGGTGGAATTCGAATTTTGCGATCCAGAGTCACCTCGTTCATCGTCCCGGCCTAGAACTAGAACCAGAACTGTGCCTTCGTCATCATCAAACTCACGTTCAAAACAACGCCGTCCTGGTTCCGGTTCTGGCGCTGGCTCTGGCTCGAGATCCAGCTCTACTTCGAGTTCCGGTTCTCGTTCCAGAAGCAATTCTCGCTGCAGACGAAATCCATACATGTCCAGAACGGCCTCACGGGAACTGGACAAGCAACGAGAAGCAAGACGCCTCGCAAGAAAACAAGAACTCGTGGACCGAATACGTGCAGAAGTCCGGGCACAACGTGAACGCCGGCTTGCCGCAGACAGAGAACGGACCGAACGCAGAGAACGCAGAGACCGACGACGTGGATCATCCTCGACATCTTCTTCCTGGTCGTCCGCTTGAAACTCTATCCCCACTCAACATTGAAACGATATATATATCTACGGACTGTGTATATACATACATCATATCATCGCAACGGTGTCTCAACAACAAGGCAGGCAGGTCCTGTCCAAGGTAAGTCGGAAAAAAAAAGGTAAGGTCCCCCTCCTTCTTTTCCAGCGCCTCTTTTTTTCTTCTTCCCTTTGAAAACAGACCAAAAATGGTTGCCGCAGAGCGCTCCAAGGCTCGACTGCCAACACTGTCAGCAACAACAACCACCAAAAAAAGGAAAAAAGGTAGGAAAACAATCAACATAAAAAGAGAGAGAAAGGTAGGATCTTTTTTTGGATTTTTTGGATTTGTATCTATCGCAACAGCATTAATAATCTATTTCCCTTAGAAAAACAAGTAGTAGGTCAGTGAATGATATGAATTCAACCCCCCCTCCCCCCCAAGCTCCATATCCTCTCTCATGTAACTAAGTAAGAAGTTCTTTTGTTCCGAAAATGTCTACTGTCCAAAAACTTTGGATTTATATTCATAATACTCATACACTCCTCTAAAACCGTACACCGACTCCGAAAGGGTTGGGAAAGAAATCCACAGATCAAGGCAAGCTTTGATGAATTTGTCACTTGCTTCGTCGGAACACCGTCGTCCCCCAAAACTCCGCCTTTCGTGAGCTCAAATCCTAAAACAACAACAACATTACAACAAGTTCTCATCATACCAAATCTTTTTCCTTTTGATCTTCTCCTTCTTCTCCTACTTCTTCATCATCATCATCATCGTCATCACCATCATCAATCAACCCGGTGAGACAAACCTCACTCACTTTCGACTCATCCAAGTAAACTTTTCGCCAATCTTACTCGTAACATCACTCAGACTCATGCCACCGCTTGAACTGCCCGACATGCCCGTCTTGCCAGATTCGCTAAATCCGCTGCCCAGGCCGGACTTGTGACGACCATTCTCGTCGCCGCCGCCAAAGATGCGTTCAAACTTGGCCTGGATTCTTCCCTCGGCGATGGCGGACACAATGTTGATGACCCCAAACGCCGACGACCCAATGGCACGGAACAGGGCCAGCGCGGCCACCGACCACAGCAGGAACGTCAGGTAAAAGTTGGATCCCAGGTGCGCACCGACCGGGTACGCTTCCGAGACCGCCATGGCCAGCACCGCGTTGCAGACCATGTACGACGCCACCACGTACGTGCGGACGGACTTGTAGTAGTCTTCCTGCAGCTGGTTTTCGCTGATCGATGGTTTGGGGACTTCGACGCGATCACGGAGATTGCGCAGCGCGACGTCGTACGCGGAATCGATGTCGAGTTGTTCGGACGGCATCTCGACTTCGACAGTCCCAGAGCCAATTGCTTTTGCCGCACCGAGATCCCTATGCATTATATTGTCGCCCTTTGTGCCCCATGTGACGTCGTGCGTGTTGCAAAAGGCGTATACCTGAAGTGTGCAAATGTATGATGGCAAGAGAGCAAAATATTGCGCCGCACTGGTAAACATGTGCCACGGGTCGAGGTACAGGAAGGACATGAGGAAGTACAACCCAATAGTGCTCAGTGTGCTCACAATAAGGTTGGTGAAGATGTTGTTACCAAGCTTGTACGAGTCCTTGTCGCCGTCAGCGTGGTTCGTGAGCTGCTTGACAACAATGTACAACGATGCAAATGTCGTGTAGGCCATGATGATCGAGTACGTCACCATCGTTCCAAAGAAGAGTTTCTTCGCTCCCTGAGGTCTGTTACCCAAGCTGAGAATGAATTGAAGACAAATGAGGAGCACACAGACATAACGGAGGACGACGAAAATGTATTTGCCGATGTGGTGGCCAAAAGGGTCCATTTTTGGATCAGACAATGATCCGGCGATGAAGTAGAATGTTAGATAGAAGTTGGCCAGGGAGAAGAATGTAAAGAGTAGCGAGATGAATTGGTAGATGAACTCGATGTGTAGAAGGATCTTTCGGGCGAGAGTATGATCAGTCTGCCAGATTTGTTTGAAGTGGACCAAGGAGTAGACTGCGGCGAAGAAAGCACCGTTCAGCCATCGTCGTCGTTGTGAGACAAATTCGGGCACCGCATCTGTGGAAGTATTAGCGTCGTTGAAGATATTTCCTGTAGAACCTCTTACCAGGGACATCAGTTTCGCCATAAGCGCTCTTGACGAACTTCAATACCCACCGTTCGCCACGTTTCGCAACGAGCTCCCAGCACAGAATTCGATCTTCTGCAAGATACATGTTTGCAGTGAACACGTCAGCATCTCGCCCGTGAAGGGTTTCGCCCTTGAAGTACTGGCTTAACGGTCCATGGCCGCTCGGATCGTTTTGGAGAGCGTAGTATCGATATGCTGAAAGCGCTCCAGGCAAGACCGTGATGTAGCCAAAGACCGATTCCAATGGTTTGTCCAAAATGTTACTCATCTTGTACTCGAAATTTTGCGAAGCAACCAAGGGGTTGAGCAGGCCCATCCACCCTTTTCCTTTGTCGGCTTTGATCTCGCCTGCAGCTCCGGCAACATTCGAGTCCTGGTCGAATGCTTTCCAAAGATGGTATAGAGCTTTGGAATCTGGTTTCGTCCCTACGTCGAGTAGGATGCAGACATTAGGTGTCAGCGCGCGACCGAAGGCGTTGAAGAACCATCGGTGAGAGTTGAGCTTTTTCTTGTTCTGCTCCTTCAAGCAAAAGATCATCTGGCAAGGCACAATTCCTTTCTCGGCGCCTTTGAACTTCATACCTTCGTCTAACGAGACTTGCGTCGTATACTCATAGACATGTGCCGTCACCTCTTTCTGGTTGACAATGTTCTTGGCTATACCATCTTGGTATACACCTAGAGCAGCTAAGGCATTTAGCGTTCGTGGATGGACCTTTTGTCTGCCGTCCGCAATGACACAAACCACGATCTTCTGCCAGCCATCTTTACCCCAGGTTCTGGATTTAGTTCTTGAGCAAAAATGACTGATGTTTCTCATGATGCCGTGCATAGTCCGGGTGAACTCTATTTCGCCTTCGTTATACATGGTCACACATATCAGCAGTTCGGTTTCGCGCATCGTCACGCCAAAGTTTTGACGGAGTTTGTAGCCTTGCACTACAAAGTCATCAGGATCGCAAGTGACGGCAGTATACCGCATATGGGTAAACTCTCGTTCATCTCTTCGGGGTAGGAAGCTGTGCAGGATGGTTGGGATTTTGCACTCTAGAATCAACTCTCCATTGATCAGTCGGACCTCCTTTCGTGTCATTTGTGCTTCTCGCAATCCGCGTCGGTCTTGTTTTCCTTCTGGAGCAGGCCCATAGTAGCCGGACTTCTCATCTGCTACATCGTCCTCTTCCGTGAACGTGGATTCACTTGTGTATGAATGTGCGGATTTCAGACTCATCCTAGGGTCGTGATCTGGCATGATCGAAGCGCCATCACCAAAGACGTCGTTCTCTGACTCTGGTTCGGGCATAGGTATTGTTGTCTCGGCCGCACCGCCTTTTACTGAAAAAAGAGGAGCTGGGGGAAGAGGCCTCCGTGGGCTTCCGCCATATTGGGAGGAGGGTGTGCCTGGCCGAGGACTTCCATTGAGGTCTGCGGGTTCGTATGATACAGTAGAAGCTGTGGTTCTCGCCCAATCTGTCGATATGCGTGAAGGGGTGGATGGCCTTATGGGAGACCGAGTATGAGCCGCCGGGGGAGGTATTGAAGGGGGACGACCCAGACTTGAGCCGGGCCGGGAGCTGTAGGCTGTTGAAGCTGCAGGTCGGTGATATCTGTCTGGAGAACCTCGAGTAGAGGGGGAAGCTCTGTTCGAAGATAACTTGTCAGTGTTTGGGCTCTTTCTAAGGGTCACAGTGGCTTTGAGCGTGGGAGCTCGGCCAACAATCCTGTAAGTATCGCGAGTGCGATTCAGTCTTTCCTCTGCCTCTGCAATGAGAGACAACACGGGAGTTGCCAGCCTTTCTTCCTGGGTAGGGGACTCTTTGGGAGAATCATTCCACTGCACATGCGACACCCTGGGACGGGCGACGGGTTTTCGAGGAGGGGACAGAGTATTACGGCTCTGAAGATGTTTGCTGGGAGAGGTCACATACGATCTGTAATCATCCTGGATCTGAGGCAGCATTCTGAGGGACGGGTTGTTTGATGGAATGCTGCTCGAACGCTCTTCTTCGAGGTTTTCGTTCACATATGACGGCGGTCCATCTGCGTAGCTTGGAGGCAGGCGGGTTGGAGTTTGTGACCTGTCCATATTGTATGTGAGAGGGAAAGGTTTGTTTACTTTGGGATAGATGTGGGATCAGATCAGAAAGGAGTCCATGCGCGCAAAGATCTTTGTAGGAGTAGTCAATAGGCAAGGATAGATACACATGGAAATGTGATAGGTCTGAGCGAAGGATACTTGTACAGTATGAGCATCTGTCAATCAGCGGAAGTGTCATTGCGGGATTGTCGAGTGTCAAAGTTGATTTCATGGAGTTTGCGACGTCGACCGGGCAACCAAAAATCACACACGCGTCGCAGCCTCGCAGCCTCGCAGCCACAGCCTTGCCGATTACAGCCTTACAATAGGGTGCTTTGACATCTGTACTTTCCATCCCACCGAAGAATGTTTCTCGTTTGTTGATGACTATCATTCATTGTTCATTGCCTCGACACAGCAACGTTTACCCATATAGCACCTCATTCATTTCATCGAAATGCCATTATCTTAGGATCCACAAGCGCTTTGTGTGCAAACAATGACGACCACCTCAATGCAAAGGCTTGTCCCATGTACAATGGGGAGACCTCATTGTACAAGCTTGCCCTCACCACCACTACACAATGCCGAGAGTCATATAGACAAAAGACTAGTGATCTGCGTTTTATCCTTTCATTGTCGTCAAGTGCTGAAGAAAAGACATATCTACCTGACCGAATCTCTGTTCTAACGATATCTTTCCACCATCTACCGCATCACTCTGAGACTGTCAGCGCAGCCTTCTATACACAAGGCAGACCGTTCACAACCGAAGACAGCAACTACAAACTTATCGAAACCCAAGGTAAGAGCTCTTCCGTTACTTTCACAGCCAACTCAGAGTCAGAGAGCAACTACAACAGGTGAGTGAGACCCTTTTCAAAACCCCACCCCCCTTCAAACATGTGTCAAATCTACGTCGAAAGCTTCAGCTGCGGCTGCGAAGGCAGACAGTACCTGTACTCCTGCGCCCTCCCGTCATTCTTCTGCCAGGGTCGCCACCAGCCCCAAAAGGCACGGTTGGAGTCCAACTGCCCCAAACATTCCCGGTTGGTGACGCAGCGCAACGGCCGTCGAGACTCCCACCCGGCTCTTCGCCACCACTCGTCGTCCGAGAATCTGCAATACAACACGAGCGCAAACATCCGGGATGTCCGCGGCGACCTGTACGACATGCCCGCCGAGTACAACAACAACAACAACAACAACCGTCGAGGCTCGCAGCCAAAATGTTACGGTACGTTGCGCAACGTCTCCGACAATCCTCACATTCCGGAATTCGTCAGTGACGCGGGTGTCCGCAAGAGCCTCCAGTCCCGCCAGGCCGACGTCCGTCGCCAGAGAGAACTGAAGGAGAAGTGCGAAGGGTTGTTACGATCCGGCCGTTTCAACACCGACTCGATCCGCTACCACGCCTCGTTCAAGGAGCTGTGCGAGCGAGATCAATGGTCGGTGATTTTCGACTATGAAAACAGACACCTCGCCAGACACACTGCCCCGCGACCCGGCCGAGGCGGCAGGAGCAGCAGATCAAGATGCATTGTCATGTGAATGGGTCTGTCTGAATCTCTTTTTTTCCCCCAACTTTGCCCCCACCCCCGTTCTCTCAGAATCGCAAAGTCGTTTTCCCCCTCAAGGGTTTTTGTCTACAAATTGATTTGAACAAGGTAAGGTAGGTAAGGTTATGAAGCCATCGAAATGGATTTCGACATGATGCTTCTTTGTTAGTTTACGCCTTTTAATCATATTTTCGCATTCAATATCCCATATCTGAGTTCATTACTAAGGTGCTTTTCTTTTCTCTTCTTGTTCTTGCTCTTCTTCTTCTTCTTCTTCCTTTTTTTGGTGCGTTTTTGACATACAAGATTACAAAAGTTTGAAATTCACCTGAATTATGCATCATATCATTGACTTCATCACCATCATCATCGTCAAGGACTACTTTACCCTAGCACGACTTTCTCCCAAGTCACACCTGGTTCATAAGAATTTGCCAGACAGCTCTGCAGTAATTGTCCGATGCCTCGTCTCTCCCATACCCCATCGACCAGACGTATCAACATGACCCAGAAGACCGGCTCTTCCGCGACTTGTTCACAATAAGTGTCAAACTCCAACGGAAACTCAACCTTGTGACATTCTTCCAGCACGACGAATTTCTCCACATTGTCGTCTTCGAGCGACAGCTTCTCGTCGGCATAGAGCACGCCACAATCTTCGTCCCCGCGACCCCCTATCTCGTAAGTACGCGACTTGTACTCCGCAAAACTCGGACGCTCGGCGTCGTCGTTGTCAGAGTCATCTTCGTCATCTTCATCATCTCCGCACTCGGGTATGGTCTTCACGCGATACCATACCGTAGCAGTATGGAATACGAGTAAGGGATACTCTCGAATGCGAAGATCATCGATAGCATTGTCGTCCGCGACCGACAGACCAGCTGCAGCAGCAGCAGCAGCAGCAGCAGCAATCTTTGTGTTGCGGTCTAGACGGTCATCATCGTTGTCCGACGATGCTGAGATGATGTCCGATCCAGAACCGGCGAATTCTGGCAAGGCAAGAAACAAATCGAGCCAGTTTTCCGTATTGACGGTGCCATCGGAGTACTTTTTAGGGACTACTGGTGGTGGCGGTATTATTGTCGGTTTCCATATCGTTTCAGATTCGACGTGTCGTCGTCCATCTGGGCCACTGCCTTGGCTCTCCAAACCATTCAGGGTCTGAAAGGTGACCCAACATTTTCCGAGAGCATTCTCGAGTTCCTTGTCCTCGTTGAAATCATTGTCCTCGTCGACCGCATTCATCAGATCCATTCGATCAAAGGGATACCACGACAGCTCCCCTCCCTTCCACCCCGCCCAGCTCCAGCTCGGGAACCGCTTTCGTCGTCTCGTCGGTGCTCCACGAAGTCCTGCCGCCGCGTGCAGGAACAACAACGACAAGGGAAAGATTCGGGTCGGCATGCCTTGCACGATGCCCGTCCTCGCACTGGTGGCGACACGACCGAGGATGCCTGCCATCGCACTCAGCGCGTCGTTCTCGTCCGTCAGGTCCCGACCTTGATAGATCTCCAAGACCTGAAACAGAAAAGTGTACGTCGCGACGTCACGCATCCCCAGGTCCATGTTGTCCCTGGCAAAAGTCAAGACGTCCAAGTCCTGGCCCCTGGGTCTTTCGGGTTCAAGGTCCGTCCAGAGTTCTTCGTACCAAGTGCGTTGTCGACAGCGAAAGTAAGCCTGGTCGTTGACGAACGTGATGCTCCTACGACTGAGGTAGTACTCTTGCAGTGTCCAACCTCGGGTGTTCCATTTTGAGTGCCGGAGGTGTCGGTCGACGGAGTGAACTCGCATCACCTCCAACCCAGGTTTGAGTCGTTGAACATCCTGTCTGTCGTTCTTCGTCTTCTCTCGGGGGAGCAAGCCGACACCAGGTATACCAGTGTCGGCCGATTCGGTGTCCGCCGCTATCAGAGTGACGTACGAAGACTCGTAAACGAGTTCCATGTTGGCTATACCTCTCGACAAGTCCTCGAGGTCGTCCTGGATGAGACACAGCGAGTCGAACCAAAGATACCGCAAACCCATCTTTCTGGTGAAGGTGAAAAGATCCCTGATCGTTGCCGGCATCGACGGTACCAGATCTTCCAGCGCTCCCGGGATCGACAACGTCTCGACCTGACTCTTGAACAATTTGGGAGGACTCGCTCCTCCCCAGACGTAACTCAAAGCCACGTACCTTTTGTCGTCGTCGCCATGGTCGTCGTCCCAAGAAATATCCACGAGTCTCATGTCCTGAGCGTCTACCACCCTAAGTTTTGGGAGTGCCGCAGCACGTCTCTTCTTCTCGACTTCACTACTTCCGTGCTCTCCGTCGTACTTCGTGCAAACCCCTCGGTGTGAAGGTCCAGTGTCGCAGAGACGTAACCACCTTTTCATCCTCTCATAGTCAGGCTCGTCACCCACGAAGCGACCAGTCCTCGAATCGCCTCCGTCTTCTCCCGCCGTCACCAGGACAATCTGCTCGCCTGGCAACATCAAAGACCCGATGGCTTCTCCGTCCGGGTCGTCCCCCGACATCACGCGGAGCCAAAGGAACTCGTCCTCCGACCTCGCCGAGACCTGGACGACGAACAGGTCGTCTCCTCTCCGGCCCGGGTGCGTGAGCAATTTGGGGGCGAACCGAGGCGACGCCGCGCCCCGAACGAACCGGCAAAAGGGACACCGGTCGCGCTCCCTAGATAGGACTTCATCCTTGGTGCCTATCGGGATGCCTCCCCTGCCGTACAAGTCCTGGGCGCCGTGGGAGATGAGCAGATCCGTAAAGGAGCGTCGGACTTGACTTTCCTCAAGAGGGACCTCGAACTTGCTGACCAATTGACAGAATTGACCGTTGCAAAATGCATCCTCTTCTCTTTGTTTCCCGTCCGCAAGTACAGTCAGCCTCGAACACGGAGTATGTATTGCTGTGAGGTGAGGTTGGGGTTGGTATGGGTATGGGCATGTACATCTTGTTCTATTTCGGATCCAACATACGACAATAACGACAGGTACGGGGGTAAGGAGTAAGAAAGCAAAGCTTACAGGTTCTCCCGAGTCATTTCCGTTTGCCAGTGACTGATTCGAGGGCATTGGGTTCGTCGTGCCGCCTGACGATCGGGTGCTTTGGAACAACTTGCTTGCTTGATGCCGGATTGGAAGAATACGCTGTTTGACTCTTATTTTCTGGTTGCAAACCCGATTGATCCATGGATATCACAATACGATCACAAAAGGACGAGTACTGCCATAGGACGCGAGAAACATCAATAAGCAAGGGAGGTACTCGGTAGTCGGTCAAGCAGGAAATTGTACTTTACGAAACAAACAGTTGTTTCAAGAATGCTTTCGGCCCCCAACAAAGAGAATTGACTGTCTGTCGGTGTTCATTGGGTTGCATGCCGAGCACATAGGGTGCCCATCGATATAGCCTATATTCTATACAGAGGGCCATTTGACTAGAGGACCACAGGCAGAATGAGGGACGTAGACCCAACATTGCTAATCTGGCCAGGAGTACGCTCTTCTTGAAGGCAATGAATCTCATAAATTCTTTAATTCCTCCTCAGTGTGCCAGTTCCCATGTTACAGGTTTGCTTTATTTGTTTGCTTGCCCTTTCAGAGATCAATTCCGACTCCATGTAATGCTTCCACCGCCCACTCCGGTGCGCCTTTGCCTTCAAAATACTCGGCAAAAAATGTCCTCGCAAAGTCTGGATATCCATCTTCGAGGATGGCATTTCTTGCGCGGCGCATCAACGATAGAAGGTGGTGAACATTGTGCATGGTCAAGCTGTCAAAAAAAATGGATCAGCCACATCATCTTCGGCATGCGTGGGCTACCCAGCAAATTAATCACAACGAACTTACAGATGAGCTCCGACAGTCTCCTTGGCCGCCAAGTGGTAGATGTAGGCTCTTGAGATACCCAGACCGCCATTTTCTTTGGAGCGGCAGCAGGTACACGTGCAACCTTCTTCCACTGGGCCAAAGTCTTCGGCGTATCGAGAATGCTTCAGGTTTAGCACGCCTCGGGATGTTATAGCATTACCAAAGCGCTGCAGGGTGCCGTATCAGCCGAGATGAATCACAAGAGGTCTGTCACCCTAAAAAAAGACCTACAGCAGTGCGTGTCGGCCAAACGCAATCAAACATATCTGCTCCAAGAGCGACGGCAACGACGATATCTTCTGGATAGCCCTGGTGAGAGGTTAGAGTAGTCCGGTGAAGGTACCCCTCTCGTACATACAATTCCCATGACATATCTCGGTTTCTCTTCGGGAAGCATGTCGGTGCAGGTGTCGACCCTGGAAACAAGTCAATACTCCTGCCAACAAACACTTCTCTGAGTGGGTACATCTCCTTACACTTTGCAAAAGTCCGACTTTGCTTCTCCTCCGGAAAGTCCACCTATGGCTATACCCGGGGTGTCTCTCTTGACCATCTCCTCGCAACACTGCTTCCGCAGGTCGAGATCAAGGCCGCCCTGGATGATGCAAAACAGGTTTTGTTTCTCCGGGTACTTGTGGGCGGCTACGCACCGGTCAAGCCATCTGATCGACCGCTCCATGGCTTCTTTCATACGAGCATGATCTGGCGAAGTGGTCTGAATGACATCATCCAGTTGCATCATGATATCTGACCCTATGGAGTTCTGTAACGACATGGAGTGTTCAGGTGTGAGCAGCCTGGGGCGCGACAGGGTCAGCCTTCGAACTGCGCGAGTCCAAGGGGGGCCAAACAAAACCATACATTGGACTGCCGTCATGTGGACTGAGGAATCGTACCCCCTCCTCGGTAATTCTGGCTAATTTGAGTAAAGAAACCATCTGAAACCTTCACGATGCCGGTCAAATTGATCAGTCATTGCCATCTTTTCGTCGTGTGTGAATTTTGGGCCAACCAACCCACCACTGTCGGTCAGGATATTGTAGTCCCATCCTTGTAATTTGTGAGCACCGCCGATGGTGTCAAGTACTGCCTGTCCCGGCTTCAGGCCTAGATGATACGTATTGTTCAAACATAGCCTACAGCTCGTCTCTTCGAGTTGTTCGGGCGTCAAGCCTTTGAGGGATGCTTGTGTGGCGACTGGCATGAAGATGGGCAGATCGACGGGGCCATGAGGGAGGTGGAGAGTCGAAGCACGAGCTTTGGAGGTCTAGATAAGAAGATAGGTACGTCAACATCTTGCCTGACTGATCACGCTGCGGGTTTGACATACCGAACATCTCGCCTTCAGGTCGAAGGTCAACGCCGAGGGTTTCGTGGACGAAGACATGGATGACGTGAATATGTCGACGACTGGCCTGAATGCATAGGGACGGAGGGCAGGAGACGGCTTCGATCTGGCGGCGGTGAGAATGTCAAGTCGCAGTCTAGATGTTCGACAGGCCAATTGCATATGAGGGTGGGTTGCGGAAATGCAGTGCTCCGAGGTTGTGGTACTGGGATGTTTGTCCACACGTCGATTTGCCCGACGAGGCTCTCAACTCGACCAACGGGTCTCGAGCAAGAAAGAGAGAGTGTGTAAGTGTGGGAGGGTAACACGAAGGGAGGGCATGCGGAAAAGAAAGGGCAGATGCAAGTAATAAATTCGTATATTCTGTAAAGTCACAGAATTCGGAGGATTTGCAGCAGAGCCTCGTTTCTATTGGCGGAATCTGCGGAGCTGGAACCATTCGCCGTCCACAACGCCGGGCCATGAACTCTGGCAAAGATCCCCTTTCTCCATGCCCTTCTGTTACACAACATGTTGACGTGTACAGCATGGACTGCACGTTGCAAGACTACATCTGCAACCATCTCATTTTTATCCTTTGGCGGTCAAGATGTCTTGTAAGGGCCCAGGGGAAAGATGCCGCCCTTTTCTCTACGACATGATCCGGGGCGATGACGACAACCACGAGATGGGTCAGAAAAGCTGATCCTTTTATTTCTATCGATATGAAGAGCGGTCTAACATTTCAATAAGGGCTGAGACTTTTGACCATTTGACACGTGCCTCAGATCTTGCCATACCTGCCCTTTGAACCTCAAACCCGTCCTCGCTCATCATCTCATCGGCAAGGGAAATAAGAAAAAGAGTGGCCAATCCCATAGAAGAAGGAGCCTGCATACTCACTTCACCCTAACGCCATCGCGATGCTGATCTCCGAGACCTCTCTGGGTGCTCTTTGCCCAAGGACACAGGTCGCAAGACTATCATGACATAGCTCTCCGCCTCCCAATAGCAGCCGACTTGCACTTGCAACCATCTGTGGAAAGAGATCTTCCCAACTGCACAGGCCATCAACGTCTGTAGACACTTCCGCTGAAGTTTCCTTGTTGACGGTAAGTGTTGGAACTAGCCCCAGATCCGCCGATGGAAGGGCTTCGAAGTCTGGTACACGCAACCTCGGCAGCATCTTCTTTTGCATTGTTTAGGAACTGGCCGTCGTACCAGTATCGAGCCGAGAGGTTTTGTCCCTGAACTGTGACTGTAGCAGACCATGCTGTACGTCCACCTGGAAGATAAAGTCATCATATTAGCTCATCGGCAGGTGCTAGGGGGAGGAGGATGATCTCCAGAAATGCAAGACCGGTGACTTACCGCGACGATCAGAAACAATGTTGAACACAGGAGCTGGGAGCCTAAGTCTGCGACATTCGACTGCGGATAGTGTCAGCTAAGTCAAGTTCACAGTCAGTGCTGATCCCTACCTGCGAGCTCCTCCTGCCAGTTCTTCTGTGTTCTGGTAGACATGTTCAATGGTCTGAAGAGATGGTGGTGTAGTGATAGAAAGAGGAATAACTATCCGCGTTGGCTTGTGCTGTGGGACCGAGGAAGAATGCAGACGAAGTGATAAAGATGTACTATTGCCGCCACAGAAGTTGTTGTGAATCGTTGGAAGAGTGATATGGAGCAGAGGGTGATGCTGCCGGACTTGCTGGACTTCTTATACGCAGCTGACCTGGGTGACAGCTCACAATTGAATATCAGGTAAAGGTGCAAGTGTCGGAAGTGCACCTCAACGCGAACGATGATGGATAGTTGCAGGGGCTTCCGCATTCGCATTCGTGGACTCGTTCTGCTCGAATTCACCTAGGCCGCATCATTCCTTAGGGCAGCAATAACTGACAGGAGTACAAATGGCGAAATGTCCGCGTCTTGTGCAACACAGATTGAGATCTGGGATCTCGTGATACTGTGTGTTCGATCAGCGAAGGCCGCCCTGACATCGTCTATAGCGTTCAGGTTGCACAAAAAGGAGCAGACATGCAAGGAGGCGAGGCGTCACGGCGTGGGTAGAGAGCATGGGATGGCAAAGAATGCAGACCAAAGCAGAAATTGAAGCAACCGACCTCGTCCAGCCAGGAAGCGCCAACACATCAAACGGCCCAGTGTCGCCCCGTCAGTGGACAGGTCCTAGCCCAAGCGATGATATGCATGATGTCGTAGAGGCCGTTAGCTCTAAAAACAACAATAACAATTCTTCAGGAAGCTAGAAGCACTGCGAATGCCGGCAATCATGGTCGAAGTGGGGTGAACACACCAAGTGCCTAGGTATGAAGCCGACCGTCAGGCGGAGCGGGATGCAGGATAGCGGAGCTGAGGTCAGGTCGAATGGAGTATAACATCATCGCTGGTCATGACGGACGATGGAACAAAGGACCTGGTAGAACGAGAATATGCAGGAGACGCATGTCGACTGCCCATTTATATTGGTGTCTGACAGGTTTGAAAGCGAGGCAGAAGGAACAATTGGCTGCTCTGTTTTCAAGGCATCGTGGGCAAGTAATTCATGTTGGGCAGCAATGAACCGAATATGCAGGCCAGTCACTATTTGGGGTCATCTCGAGCAGCTCGGCGCGTGGAAAAGAGGAGAATGGGTGGTAACAAGGTCGTAATGAGCGCTGGACAGTAGATGTACAGAGAGCGACTCAACCGAGAAAAAGCAGGCTCAGGGATGATAAGATGGAGTATCTGAATAGTCCGATTGGTAGACAGAGAGCATTAGCGATCGAGGACGTTCGCATGGAAACGAACAGATTAGGGAGAAACCCCAAGTCAGCACGACTCCTGGTAGGGAAGAGCGCCATCATTACGCCTAAGCGTGAGTTAACTCATCCCCGTACAACACAGAGGTCACGGCCAGTTTTGTGGCCTTAGGGGCGGAGTCAGGAGTCGTCGATGAGTGGCAGAGGATGCCGAGTCAAGGAGGAGGACACGGAAGAGAAATGGAGAATACTACGCAACCGAGAGGGTGAATCACTCGTTGCCGTGTCCGAAAGGCCAGGCTGCGTACGAGAAGAAGAGAGGGGGACAAAGCAATGAGAGTGAGAGCGAAAGCTCCTTAGTCAATGTTCTGGCTTCTTAGGTATCCTTTGCTTTGTTGGTCTTACAGAGTCTGGGAGGGGGAGTAAAATAAAACATCCCAACCCACCCGCGATCAGCCGCCGGCAAACTTGCGACTTTTACAAGTAGTCGCCTGCCAAGATAGCTAGTCTACAAACAGTATAGTGTCAGTTCATTAAGGCTGGTGCTCCGATCCCTCTCATCAGTGCACACCTGTCCTCCGTACTCGTTGCTGTATCGTGTTATCCGTGTTGGCCGGACAGATTCTTCGCTTGATGTTCTCCTCCTGCCATGACCTGTATCTCGTTTTGCATGCCCATAAAAAGCACTGACACCGGATTTATTGTTGCCACGCGATGCCGTGAAAAAATGATAGGTATCACGCCTCCTTCCACCGCAGTACGCTGCCAGCGCCTTGCCATCTACTAGTGGAGGCGGTGAAGAAGTTGCAAGTCGACGGCAAGAGGCCAACAGAGAGACAGAGCAGTGGCATGGTACGATGCTGGCCACAAATGATGCTTATTGCCCAGAAATTATGTAGGTCGAATCGATATGTTCTTTTCCTGATCGGACCACTATTATCCCCTCGGCACCGAAATCATACAGTATGTGCTCATGCAGTTATCCGATCCATCATCTTCGGAATTCGTCAAAATATGTAATGTACAAGAATGAAAGGTCCCTGTCGACAATGCGATACCTCAAGCCTTTGCCGACACACAAGTCGTTCCATAGCCCTTATTCAGATGCAACTCACACCGCCACTCTTGTGGTTGGTGAAACACCACTCAAGAGGAAAACTATTCCTGATCCATCTCAGCTGGAAGGACAAAAAAATTCAGATCCGATGTACCCTTTGCTGTTGATCAGGGGCGGTGAGCCTCAATGCCAGTGGTTTCTGATACAGTCATCGGTGAGCACAATCAAACCAGTTGCAATGAGCACGTCTCCGAGATCGCTGGAAACGTGTTTCTCAAGAATACGCATACTGCAGGGTGGCACCCAGCCTCCCTGGGCAGCTTCTTTCCGAACCTGTTTCGACGATAATCTGTCAGGGGTAATGTGTGCAATACAAGCTCCCGTACTCTGGTTGACCATCTCGAACGAGAAGACCGATTCGATGCCATCTTGGTACGCGTTTTTTCTCCATGTATATTGCTCGCCCCAATACTCGAAATCGTAAAGCTTGCCGTCTCCTCTGCCGCTCCGATTCAACTCCACTTGGGCATAGTTCGAGAACTCGATTCTGATGGCGTCGGTGGGCACTGTCGCTTCCACCTCTGCTTGGGCGGCAAAGAGTTCGAAGTCGTCATCTGATCCGTCTTCTTCCACCTCGTGAGAGGATTTCGGTCGAGGCTTTTGAGCTCTAAAGGACATTTTGCGAAAGGCTGTTGCCAATGGATGCCTCTTGGATGTCGTTGACGGTTCGGCGACCGGTTTCAGATATTTCCTTTTGGTACTGCAGACTTCCCGTCCCGACTGCCTTTGGTACCGACGAAGCGAGAACTGACGATCTCCGAGGTCATACATGCGTAGGTGGAACAGTGTCAGCTTCGTCTTGTGACCTTTTGAGAGAGTGACTTCAGTGTCTGCCCGGAGATTGAGGTTTCCATCGGGGCTGGTGTCGTCGTGCTGGATCAATATCCTTCTCGTCGAAGGGAACAATTCTGCAAAATCGTTCGGGGTGCAAGCAATGGCATCGGGCTGATAGCAGATGTGTCTGGTAAGGGGTAATAAGCACGGGCCCTTTAACGAGTCTGATTCTTTCTCTGATGCAATGGTGGAAGCATAGGTCTCTGTGGATGATCGAGGATCGGCGACAGTGTCTTGCCGTTCAAAGACAGATGCGGTGTCGGCACCCTCGTGTTCTTCGCAAGATTCGCCATGTTTGGTCGTAGGCTTTGTATAGCTGTATGATGTATTGCTGGTATATTGGGTTCGACTCGACCGGCCTGATAGATCAGAGACTTGGCTACAGGTCGATACGGAGCTGGAGGAGGTGCAAGAGTCTTTGGTAGTTCTCGACCCGACCAGATAATGTCGTGGCATGACTTGGATCTGTTGTGGGCCAAAAGAAGCCGAAAAGAGATTCAGATGTGTAGATGTTTCGGAAGGGTAAACAAAATTGTTAGATGGTCGCAATTGCAATGATGACCGCGGGTAGGTTAGGGGAATTAATGTTTAATAGAAATCTTGATGAGCACTAAATCGAAACGAAAGCCGTCGAAGGATAAGCATCTTTCCAGGCTCATAGCAAAAACAAATCAACAGAGGGTTACAGCAACTGGTCGTGGTGTGCAAGAAAGACAAACGGCCGGCAGTATCAACAAAAATCACTCCACATGTACAAAAGACAAAGAAGAGTGTGTGGAGGAATGGGAATGCCCTCTTCGGTTCAACACGTTGTCTGCTCTCACACGGGCACCGATGGAGGCGCAGTGTGACTCGTGGTGATTTGCTGAGCAAGGTGTCGCTAGACCCCCGAGTCGCAACCTGCAAGGACGGAGTACTACGCGGGAGTCGCCGGGATTGTACAGTACAATATGTCGTTCGGCGCATTCTTTTTCTGGCACTCGCGTTGGGCCCATTGGGTTTGATCAGTGTTCAAATCCGCAACCGAATTTGACTCGAACGGGAGAAACGAGACCACCTTCACGGAGTGGCATGGTTGCCTCCAGAGGCCAGAACAAACACATGTGAAGCCCTCCCCCCCGTTGGCATTATTCAAGGTTGAGGGAGCCGAGAGGGCACGGGAGTGTCAGGGTGACGGTCGTTTCCGCCTCGTACCAGACAAGTGGCCGCGTCTCGCCAATCCTGGCGTAGCGCTTGTAAATTCTCCGCGACGTGGTGGCAAATAGGGAGGACCGAAGGCAACAATGGACCGGATAGGCGAGACGGCGGGTTCTTTGCTTCGATCGTGACAGGAGGTCCATCCTTGGGCAGCAGTTTGTGAGAAAAAGAAAATGACTCGGTCAGACTGAGGGACACTCGTACGATCACGGTCTGATGGTCGGGACATGCCCGGTGGATTTGTTAGCAAACCACACGGTGCAGAGCATTGTCACCCGATACCGCAGGTTGCATGATGGTTCCGTCAGACGAAGCAAGGACAAACGGGTGGTTTTTTTGATGGAGAAACGGCTCGCAAAGGAATTACCGCAGACTATTTCTCCCTTGAGATTAGTGCCCGAAGGCATAAATCAACCCAAGGCATGAGAAACAACGTCCTAGTGAGACCATCTTCGACTAAGAATCTGCTGCGTGGCACCACTCATTGCCATGCCATGGGGTCTTGCAATCGTCGTCCATTTGCCAGTCCATCCACTGCCCCGATTAATCTCCCAAGGTTCATGGGCTTCGCATCATCTTTGTGTGTTGGGTCTGACTGACTACGGAGCACGATTCGTGCACATACGCACGAATGCGAACACATGTTCGTGGAAAAGGTTTGCTTGTACCTGCGCAACCCATCCCATCAACGTTCGTCCCCTACCACCTTCGTGTACAATTTTTATCCGAGCGTTGGGCATCAATCTTGCTTCATTTCTGAATCAGAAACGTCTCTTTCCGGTCAGTGCAATTGGGTTCCCGCCCTCTGTTCGCTCCACTGTTCAGCATGTGCCAGTTTGTGCCAGTTTATGACCAAGTCATGGTGGTGTCGACTTTTTCATCCGTTCCCGTTCTGATGTGTCCAATTGTATCTCTGGCAAAATCCCTCGATGGTTGGCACACGCCGCATCACTTATGATTGTCCTGGAACGAACTGCAGCAAGCTCCACCTTGGGACATGAACACCCAGTTCACCTTTCAAGGCCGAGCTTCGAGCTTCGAGGAGCAGCTTCACCTCGTGTACCTTCTTACTTTCGAGCTTATGACCCTGCTTCTTTCTTCCCACTGGCTTTTCCTCGTCCATGGCCCCCTTCATGCAAGCTCATGCTCCTGCTGACACTACTTGCAAAGTACCAAATTGGGATTATCTGAACAGTCCCGTGCCGCAGCACAAGGAGTAGTCTCCGATCGTTTCGGCTGCACAATCCCCGCCTCCGTCCTCTGAGGTATCCGTCCCTGGCTCCACCGCGTGTCTATGTTTGCCTGGCTCTTCATCATATCGATTCCCGGGCTCTCCTCGTTTTGGATAGCCAGCTTGCGCCAGCCGCCTCGCTTCTGTGTCATGTCTACGTAGAATGGCCGTCCTCAGAGCACTTTGCGATGGATCCCTGTGTAGGCACCCTTGAGCTGTTGTGGCGAGAGCGTCTCCGATGTGTTGTTGAGAGCTCAGTAGCGTACTCCCTCGTCCAACATCACGCTTGGACTTACAGCGCTCTTGTCTAGGGCTGAGTCAAGAAATTTCACGCCATTTGCCACGACACACTGTGCGACTGTGGAAAGATAGACGTCCCTCTTTTCAACTCCACAAAACGCACAGACTCAGACTTGGGGACTGATCACCAAAGCGCGTTGAGAGTTTGGGGGGTTTTGATGCTACATTCAGCCTGTTGCATTCAAAAGTTCAGGCTATAGACAGAAAGGGTGGAATGTAAGGATACCGTGCAGGCTCCCGTCAACGACATCTGGCTGCTGCCGGGTGTGGAAACAGCTATCGCACCATTGCATTACGGTTTTGTGAATCAAGTGCCAACACTTTCACCATTATCGAGCGAATCAGAAGGATTGGCCACTCTCAAGAAGAACAATCGAGAACGCGGAGGGCTAGGGTGTCTCAGACCATCCCCCAGAGTGGTCGTGGCAATTCAACATCTCGACCAAATTCAACCCCTCGACCCATGAAGCCTCTGGCTCTCTGATCGACGCCAACGTAGGCTTCTCTCCTCTTCTCCTCCCCTTCGACGTCACGAGTTACACTCCATGTCTTCAAGCCGTAATAGCTTCCAACACAATGCACAAGCCAACGTGCGAAGGCCGCGCCCTTGTCATTGTCCAGGCCCTCAAAGACCATTTTCTCTGAGCTGATTGTCTCGTCCCATCCCTCCTCTTTCTGCCGCTGCTTCCGTCCGGGAGAATCGTGCATGGCTCCATTCCTACCGATGAAGACGATCTCTTCGTCCTCTTCACTATCACTCGCTAGAGGAACATCGTGAAGCCCCTCTTCCCGCAGTCGAGCTTCTCGCTCGTTCCACTTTTGTACAAATGCCCGCACATTCTCTTCGAGGTCCTGAAGCAGACCCTTGGCAGCCTTTGCGCGCTTCAACCTCGCACGAACTTCCTTGGGAATACTGATTGCCGCTTCTTCCATGGGGCTGATTCCTGTGTTCCTTTTGCCTCGAGATCTTGTGCTGTTCTTTCGGCCCTTGAGTTTGGCCTCTACGGCACGCTGAAACTCGGCCGCGTCCCACAGCGGCGCCAGGTAGTATGGGACAGTGCGTCGAGGGTAGGTTGGATGCACCTCAAAATCGGACGGAAGGGGTGGCTCGACCCAAGGATTCGAGAGAAGACGAGCTGTAAAGTCATGATTAGTTCGGGCGCAGTTCTGCTTCGTAGTTGTGTGCAATTACCATTCTCCCAGCGGCGGCGCTGCCGCGAACCCTCCTTGCCTCTCAGAAAGGCCTCGCGACGCTCGATACTATCCCGGCGGAGGAGCTTACGGTCAGTGTAGACCGAGGATGTTGGACGCGCGGTGGCCTCGATGGGCACAGAGAAGCGTGCAGTCGGCGCAGCCGCAGATCGAGGAGGCGCCGGGGGTGTAATTGATACATTCTGCATCCGCTCTGTAATCTCAACGGTGCTTGGAGCAGCTGCTGGTGGTGCTGTGACCTCAGGCGATGATGTTACTGGAACGATTGCCATTTGCGCGTATTGTTATCGGGGGTGATAAGCCGATGTAGTGCGTATCGTTCAACTCCTGGCAATTCTATCACGAATGCTCCCGTATGAGTCTCTGAAGCACCGCTGACGATTCAGTCAACTAGGCCGACTCTACGACGATTTGTATACGACGAGGAAGCGATGAAAGAGTACGGGACAGAAGAGAAGGGAAAGAAACGAGATCTGTACTCCTACCGCACGGGCGCATTGATCGCCGGAGCCTCTTCGTCCGTCGAATTACGATAAGCGAGTCCACCACATGTGGGTTAACCCGGTGAGTCAAACAGACCTGTGACTGAATGAGTAACTCGTACTCGTACTGCGTCCTCCGTACTTGATCAAGGGAGAGTTAACCTCAAACGTCGAGTTGTGCTGGACCTCTATGGCCGACAGACCCGACAGACTCTCTCGTACCCTAAATACAAGTATAGATCACTCGGCTTTTCCTACCTGTGAGCCTCGTGCACATGGTGCGCCTGTGCTCGCTAGTACAATAGGTGCGAGTACTAGCAATTCGGAGCAAATAGTTGGAGTGTCAAATGGTGCTTATAAGCCGAAACCCGCTTATTGCCGCATCATTTGGGGTAGCCTGGTGACCTTATCTGGGCACTGACTGCGATCCAACTCAATGCTGCGACCAGCCATTCCATCATCAAGGCATCATATTATATGCTTCTATTTGCACGGAGTACTCGTGTCTTACTATTCTCTCCTTGGATTATCACTATACATTAGACATGAAGTGCCCTTCACTGCTTGCGTTTGCAGCTGCTTGCGCTAGTGTCGCAGCGTTTTCTATTGATCTGCAGAAAGTCGTCCTCGATGACCAGCGTCCCGTAGGCCGCGAGACGTTCCTGATTGAATCAAGTCCGGGAGAAACAAAATGGGTCACTGAAGATGAAAAATGGGAACTGAAGAGGGTATGCGGGCTGCCAACCTTTCCATCTCCCCTTTGGTCTCGTGCCTGGGTAGCTGCTGACATTTTCCTGTCTAGAATGGCGTACAGTTCATGGATATCACCGAAAATGGACACACCTATCCTTACGTTGTCTCTACCGAGACCGAGTCTACTCGCGTCACCTATCCATCGAAAGCGCAGTACAACAAGACTGTGAAGTCACTCGCAAAAACACTGGACAAGAACAATATGCGCAAACACCTCGAAGGACTGACCTCATTCCATACCCGCTATTATAAGAGCCAATACGGCATTGATGCAGCTCAATGGCTGTATGAGCAGATCAACACGACCATCTCAGACTCAGGTGCTTTCAGCTATGGCGCAACGTTGAACAAGTTTGATCATCCTTGGGGACAATTCAGCATAATCGCAAGGATACCAGGGAAGAGCAACCACACAGTTGTAATTGGAGCACATCTCGACAGTATCAACCTGTTCTTGCCCTCTATCTTGGGTGCTCCAGGCGCCGATGATGATGGCAGTGGAACTGTGACGATCCTCGAAGCACTTACTGCTCTTCTCCATTCCAAGGACATCATCAAAGGAAAGGCCGAAAACACCATCGAGTTCCATTGGTATTCTGCCGAAGAAGGTGGACTCCTTGGTAGCCAAGCCATCTTCAAATCATACCACGACAGCCAGAAATCGATCAAGGCAATGATTCAGCAAGACATGACAGGTTACGTGGAGCAGACGCTTGCCCACGGCAAGCCCGAGTCCGTCGGCGTCATCACCGACTTTGTCAATGCGGACCTCACCGAGTTTATCAAAGAAATCATTACAGTATACTGTGACATCCCATATACACTGACCAAATGTGGCTATGCTTGCTCGGATCATGCATCGGCAAGCAAGTATGGATATCCCTCAGCATTCGTGATTGAGTCGGATTTCGAGTATAGCGACAAGAAGATCCATACGACGGAGGACCTGATCAAATATCTCAGCTTTGACCATATGCTCCAACATGCAAAGATGACTTTGGGGTTTGCATATGAGGCTGCATTTGCAAAGTTCTGATTCAATTTCTGCATGGCGTTTATGGGCTGCGGATGTACATATATGTCGTGATGGGCATGGCTGACGAAGACGGTGAAGGGCCGCGCCGCCACATCAGACCCCTCAGATGAGGTTCATAGCACTAACTACCTAGGTACCTTAGTTTTATCTTATATTTAGTGTGCAGCATCAACTGACACCTTTAGACTAGAGTTATGGTTGTCCTTGATTTCCATCTCGATGTCGTTCGCTGGTGCTCATTGGAGAAAGAAGCCAATTGTATGGACCGGGACGCTACTTCCATGACTCGGTTTCTGACGTAATGGTTCCCCGCAAAGTCCCGGTCAGGAGTTGCATTCTACAGTTACTCGTAACCCTTCACTCTAAGGCTGCATCAGTTCTCGCTAAACAAACTTGAACAATCACGAGAACAACCCTGAACCAGGCAGAAACAGGCAAGATCTCTGCTCCTCGTTTCCTCTTTATAATCTGTCGTCCCCCCTCGTACTTGGACTCGAGATCCTCCTCTCCTCTCTCATTGACTCAGTCCTCCCTCTCGAGTTGAAGGATAGACACCTTTATTACAGACCTGGGCAAGACTGAAGACTCCGGCAGGAACTTGATACAGCCTACAACATGGCCAATTGTTGGTGCTCACCCCCTTGTGCTGTATGGGCAACCACTCTGACTTCTGGACAGGGAATCCATTCGCCAAACGCGAAGAGTTCACCAAGAACAACCTCATCGCCTACAAAATCCTCACCATTGTTTCCTGGCTTGTCCTGGTCATCTTCGGCGCGTACTACACCTTCTCCCGGCCAGTCGACTGCGGACACAAGCATCTCTGCCACACAATATGGGGTCAAAATAGCCACAGGCGCACACCCTTCAGCTTGAACTCGGTCATAACCAGCATTTACTGGGTTATCGTGTTGATTCTGCAGGCACATTATGTTCGTTACCTTTGGAGCGCAGACAAGGCTTTTGTGACCAGCGCCGCCAATGTTGGGAGCCATTTCATCTTTGTATGTTCACCCAGATAGCTGTAGATGCAGCCAACTCACCAATTTTTGCAGCATAATCTTCTCACATTTGGCTTCATCATGTTGTGGGTGCGAGGTCATTTCTGGCAAGGAGAGCTGCTACTTATTGTCAACCTCTTCAACCTGACTCTGCTCTACTTTGGTCATTCCACAACCCCTCTCTTCATCCACCTCCCGGTCGTCTCCGCGCCGCTGGCCTGGAACTACGTTGCGATCCTGTGGGACGGTGCAGCAATGGTCAACGCACATACTTTACCTGCCCGAATCGTGGCCAACATTTTTATCTGGGGTCTCCTTGTGTTAGGAGCGTTCTTCCTCCTTACCTTCAAGGACTATACCATGGGCCTGGAGTTAGCGGTGCTCTCACTGGGTAAGTTCAGCTCCTTTAGTGCTGGAATTAAGCTGATCATCACATATAGCTCTCGCCGTCGGTCAACTCGGAACTCATGTTATTGCGCTGCAATGGATCTTTGCGTTTGTCATTGCGGGATGCTTGACTGTCATGTCTTTGCTCATAGGTGCACCAAAGGTATTTGGTCAAGACAGGACCATTCGTCAAGAAGGAGCCATTGTCAGTGAGGATAGAGAAAGGGCACCGCTTCTAGGCGACGAGTAAATGAACGAGGGTTTCGACGTCATAGCTCTTGAACGCGTTCTCTTGGAACTAAACACGAGTTTGCACGGAGGTGCTCCTCTGAAGATAGTCGAGGCGACTGCAGCGTTTTCTCATGAGTGGAAAGGGGCACAGGTACTCATGGTTATGTGGCGTTATTTGTTATTTCCGTGGAAGATGAATGTTGGTGGGGTAATTTGTAGCGAAGCAGGCAATGGCATTTTATGAAGTATGCACCAGAACTTTTGAAGTTCTGCTGGACTATGACTCCTGATATGTTGATGCGAAGGTTTTTTAAGCCTGATATATGATCCCTAAGTATTGCCATGTCTGACTGCCTTGTTCGCGAAGATATAAAAGTGGTGGTTGCCTTGTCGCCTTGATTTATTTTACACAAAGCCAAAAGGATAGTCGTAATTCTCAATATTAAACAAAAGATAACCACGTACCCTTTCAGATCTATAAATTTTTTCTAATCGGATGTTACCGCCAGAATCCTCATCATCGTAGAAGGTCTCCCTTTGTAGCAGCGGTTGCATCTGGCGAGGTTGCGCTTTCGGTGAATCTTTGATCGAGGGCTTTGATCAGGGCGTAGATGCCGCCGAGGAGGGGTGTCTGGACTCCCCTCTGGCCCGCGACGCGGAGGGCGTTGCCCACGATGGCGTCGACCTCCATGTTCCGGGACGCCAGCGCGTCGGCCATCATGCTCGGCTGGACGCCCGGCGGTGACCGGGCCTGGGCGCGGCCCAGCTGGTGGTCGACCTTGGATTCGTCGAGCTCCGGGTAGCCCGCGGCGTGGGCCACCGCGGCGATCTCGAGCATGACCCGCCGGACGAGGGCGGTGGCTTCCCCGGACGGCGACGAGCGCATGAACTGCACGTCCCGGCTCCGCGAGAGCGCGCAGATGGGGTTCCACGACGCGTTGACCAGCAGCTTGTTCCACCGCTCGGACTGGACGTCGTCGTGGACGAAGGCCGTGCCTCCCGCGGACCGGAGCAGACTCGCAAACGATTCCGCGGCGGCCTTGTGTGACGGTGGAACTCCTCGGGCAGGGTAGGTGCCGATGTGCAGCCGCTCGACCTCACCGTGGGCGATGGTGCCCGGCGAGGTCTGCGTGGCGGGCAAGTAGACGACGCAACTGAGCAGAGGGTTGTCGGGGAACCTGGACGAGTAAATGTCTTCGATCGCGATGCCGTTCTGGACGAGGACGATGGTGGTACTAGCCTCCGACGACACCGCCGGGGAGATCTGTTCGGGAAGCGAGGGCGTGCTCGGGATGGCCTTTGCCGTGACGATGATGTAGTCGAACGGTTTGCCCTGGGATTTGGCCACGGCCTCGTCCACGGTCCGTACCACCTGTGGACGAACCTTGAGGTTCTGACCGAACAAGGTCGAGTTGATGGTGAATCCTTCCGAGGAGGCGGCGTCGTAATTGGAACGACAGACGGCGAAGATGTTGTCGGGGGTGATGGCGCGGGAGAAGATGTATGAATACACGGCGCCGATGCTTCCCGTACCAAATATCAGGATACGAGGTGACATGTTTGTGCTTGGACTGTCGTCAGTGAGTGAGAGAGAAACCGAAAACGACGTCTGAATTCAACGAGATACGCTGAGTGAGTAGCTATGGAGCACACTACCATTGTCAAAGGAGTACGGAGTAGGTAGATAGCTGTGTCAATATATTGTAACTCCGTCTGTGGCGACGCGAGATGATCCCACGGTGATCCGGGGGAATAGCCGATCGGAAATCGACCGTTGGAGATAAGAGAAAGCTCCCCAGTTTCGTACGCTCTGTTTTGTCGAGGGGTTGAAGACACACTACTAGACATGGGAGAAGACAGATGGCAGAAAATCGTTGAAAGGGGTAAGATGAAACTAGAAAGACATTGACCTACCTCGCATTGGTGGCGATTTGGTTGTTTTGCATACGCCAAGCTGTATTGGTAAAGTGTCGAGCTGCGGTTGATGAGAGGCGAGAGGTCTTTGATAATGCCAGCGCTGGTCTTGTGTCGATGTGTCGGTAGGTGAAATAGACTTGCTGAGCTGGCATGTACTTATAAAGCTTTCGATCTGGTAGGGCTCCGAGAGGGAAGGGGTTTGTAGACAGTACTTGTCTAGGAAGACGAAACCGTTTCTTGACAGACTTCATCATGGATGAGAATGACTTGATGGTGTTGGCCTTGTTCAACTCTTATACGGTCAGCCGCGTCAACGTCATCGATAGACATGGGAGCAAGTTTCAAGGACGTTGTCGTTGACATGAAGGGGTGTTGTTGGCCATTACAGAGTAGTAAGATCTGTTTGGCCTCGGTGCCATCGGGATGAGGTTAGGTTCGCGGTGTGAGAAAAACTTGGATGCTTATTGGGAGGTTCTGCCCTATATCAAATGGGGCACGAATGATGAATTACGGGGTAAGGAGCAGGTCGTATTGTATGTACAGAGTACCTGGGTCAGGTACCTTATTTTAGGGGTCTCTTTTAGGCGGCTGTCACACGTTCATAGGCGCTTGGTGAGATCGTTCCTCAGGGCCCCGGCGAGAAAAGGGATTAGCCTGGCTGTTTTAGTGAGTCCAGGGTTCGCGTTGTTTGCTGCAAAAGACCCTGGTCGATGCCTCTGACTGGCCTGAGCGCGACCAAAAATGACGTTGATGTTTTGTGTGGGCGCCCGTTGTCTCGAAAGACACATCTCCCGCTTTGCACCACCGTCGTTTGCACTCAAGAGAACACCATAACCATTTGGCAGTCTGTGTAAAGTGCATGGGACACAGACACCAACGACAGATACAGTGAATCGCCATGGACCCGGACATACCTGCTCCTTCAATAGAAGAGGAGTCTCTGCCGCATCGCGACAAACAAAATGCCAGACCTCCATTCGCGTCTCCCGCCATCAAAGTGAATCACCACAACCCAATTCACCAGAATAATGCCGCTGCCGTGCCCCTTCCACCCTCATCTCCCATGCGAACACCCTATCGAAGTCCCTCGGCGAGCAATCTGAAAACCAAATCCCCCTCTCCGCGTACCCCTTCCCGTCCGCGTACCCCTTCCCGTTCGCCCTCAGTCGCAAGTTCGTATCGCGACGACAAGAGACAATCGACCCCTGTGTTGGTCAGTAAGCGATCGACCTCCAGCCTGAGTGCTGCAAGAGGAACGACCCCTGCGTTTCGACGTGCCTCTTCAAACCTCAACCCGGCTTCTCCAGTACCATATGGAAAGATGGCGGTACCACACGAGAAGCCTCAGTTGACCCCCAGTTCAGTCGCAAAGGAATACTTTGGTAAAGAACTGGAAGCGCATGCCTCTCTCCAATCACCACTGGCGGTCATAGTTCACGATGCATGCTATGGCCATCGCTTCTCTCGCCCACGAACAACCAAGAATGCTTTGGCCACAATTGTCGAAAGACCGGAGAGAATCCATGCCACATTGCTGGGTGCTTCGACCGCCTACGTGCGCTTAGGAGGTCGGCATGCCGAAGGGCAACATGCTCCTCGACCTAAACACAGCCCTCAACATGTACGGGAGATCCCATTCCAGATACGCAAGACTTCTCGCAACTTGCCGCTCACGCATCCTTCGGTGGCTTTCGTGCATGGCTCCAAGTGGATGGAAGAGTTACAAATCATGTGCGACACAGCAGAGGGGAAACTCGCGATGAATGGTAAAGAGTTGGCACGTCCGATCGGGTATGGCAAGGATGAGAACGGCAGCCCTCTACCTAAGTTGCACGAAGGTGATTTATACCTGTGCAGAGAATCACTCGCTGCCTTCCAAGGCTGCCTTGGTGGTGTCTGTGATGCAGTCGATACTGTCTTCTCTTCAGATACCACGAGACGAGCGTTTGTCTGTATTCGCCCTCCAGGACATCATTGTTCCACGAACTTCCCGTCAGGGTTCTGTTGGCTCAACAATGTTCACGTCGGCATTGCGTATGCAGCCATGACTCACGGCCTCACTCACGCAGCAATCATAGATTTCGACTTGCATCACGGTGACGGCTCTCAGAACATTGCCTGGGCGCAGAATCGCAAAGCTCACACCGCGGCCAAAAATGCGGCTTCACACAAGAAGATCCCGATAGGCTATTACAGCCTTCACGATATCAACTCTTATCCTTGCGAATGGGGCGACGAGGAGAAGGTTCAGAAAGCGAGTCTATGCATTGAGAATGCCCATGGCCAATCAATTTGGAATGTCCACCTTGAGCCGTGGAACTCTCTTGAGGAATTCTGGCAACTCTATGAGACAAAGTACACGATCCTTCTTCATAAAGCCAGAATATTTCTGCGCCATCATACTGCAAGACTTCGTGCTGCAGGGAACCAGTCACCCAGGGCGGCCATCTTCATTTCTGCTGGTTTCGACGCGAGTGAGTGGGAAGGCGCCGGGATGCAGAGACACAGCGTCAACGTGCCGACAGAGTTTTACGCTCGATTTACGGCTGACATTGTGAAGTTGGCTCATGAGGAGAACCTAGGCGTCGACGACCGTGTAATCAGCGTGCTCGAAGGCGGATATAGCGACCGTGCGCTGACTTCGGGGGTGCTGAGCCATATCTGTGGCTTCTCTGGGAACCCAGAGGGCGCCGCCAATGGCCATGGACTATCGGTTGCAGGCGACAATAAATTTCAAACAATCAACAACTGGATCGCAGAATCAGTCAGTAACTCATATCTTCCCGACTGGTGGGCTCTTCAAAATCTAGAAGAGCTGGAGGCAGTCGTTGCAGGTCGGCAGCCTCCAACAGCAAAATCACTCAAAGACAAAACAGGAAATTACTCCTCGCCTACCCAAGCATCGACCTTGAAGATGACTGATCATGCCAGAGAGAGGCATTCCCTGTCGGCACTCCAAGCTAGATTGGGGTCCGAGTCAGAATACACACCACCTCCACCTGATGTCGACTGGGCCGTCGCATCTTACGAATTGTCTCGAATCATTATTCCCGGGGATCGGCAAACACAAAGCTGCACTCATGAAGAGCTTAATGCAGAGGCGGCCAGGGCCAGACGAGAACGGCAATCCACAGTAGGGGTCCCTGCTGGGCCGGATGAGCGTATGCAACTCCGAGATCGCAAAGCGAAGCTTCCTCCGCCGCCACCAATTCCTTCCACCAGGGTCGCTTCACGTAACGAACACCGGCGGACCACTATTGCGGCGATTAGTGACCTCCCAGATCCGTCCATGCAAGGCGTCGAAAGTGCCATGACCCGTCCTCGTAGGAGGTCCAGCGATGCGTCAAGTATCTTGTCGAGTTTCCAAAACATGAAGTTATCCGAAGCTGGAGGCGCTGATACGACGGCGCCCGCAAATCATGTCACAAGTTCCAGAGCAGGATCTGTTATGACTGAGAAGTCCACAAAAGCTGTTGCGATCAAAAAGACAAGAGCGCCTGTAACGACGAAAACTACAGCAAAACTCAAATCGAGCCCTCGAAAACCAAAGGCAATGCCACCACCTGATGGTAGTGTCAATGGTGGCGCTCTCTCCTCAAAGCCTTCGGTGATCGACGAGAAGAAAGTACTTGGCGGAGGCGAAAAAAGAGACTTTTCAAATCCTTCTCGAAGTGGAAGCGCCGATGAAGTTGATTCTCTGACCAATGGAGTGAAGAAGATCAGCATAAAATTGAACATGACCACGGCTGAAAAGAATGCAGCAAAGGAACAGCATCGAGCAGCGGATGAGAAACAGAAGAAACCTCGCGCTCCGAGGAAATCAGCAGTGCCGAAAACAACCAAATTGACAAAGCTGAATTCCTCGACTGCTCCTGGTAACACGGCTCCCGTGGAAGGCCAAACGATAAAAACAGAAAAGACCACAAACCAGCCGATGCTAATCCCACCAGCATTCGTCGACCCAAACTCACAAGGCTTTGCTCTGCCATCAGCATCACCTGTTGAACCCAACCCCAATCATTCGGTTTCAGATCCCTCAGCCTCACAACCTCCCAGCTCTTGGCCGCAGAGTAACAACCCTCCTGATCTACAGCAGACATTTGAGATAGCCAATGTCCCGCCACAAGAGAAGACTATGGCACCCCCTGGACAAGCCATCGTTGTTCCAGTCGGCCCTGTACAACAAACTTCGAATGCACCAAAACCTTTTGAACATTTCCAAATCGCTAGAGAACAGCCTCCGGCCCCTGTATACCAAATGATGCAGACCAGTGCGGAAGCGAATCCACCGAGACCGACTTCAGCTGGACTGAGCACGCCTCGACACACGAAACAAGATCTTCCTGTGTTTACGTCTTCATCACCAATTCCTTTCGCGGTACCACCAAATGCCAGAGTTGACGATATCACAATGGAAGAACCAAAGGACGGTTAGGAACCATCTATCTGGCAGATCCCCGAGACACCACCGCAGCGCATGATGACTTGATATTCTGGGTTTGCATTGCGGTGCCACTACCGTCCGAGTGTCAACATCCGCTCTTTTTCAATTCTTCAGGAAAACAAAGAACAATCAAATTTCTTAGGCCACAGTTGATATCTTGGGGAGAGTTCTTGTTCCACAGAAAAGACAAAGAGGAAAAAAGGCACTTTCTTGGACACGGCAATTTCTTTTTTCTATACCCGGTGTAATTTAAGAGATACCCCCGATACAGCACTTGGAGGAGAAAAGGACGTTTGTGGATTTAATGAGTCGAGTCAGGCCTAAGGATGGGTGTTTGTAGCTGGAGATTTTTGGGTCTTTTTTTTCTTTTGGATCTGGGCCTATTTTCCTTTGGGCATTACTGGTTGAAGTTGGCCAGAAGATGTAGCTGACTAGTTTGGGTGTTTTTATGTAGCATACATAAATCACTGCCTTGCTGTATCTGTTACTTTTACTTATCCCGACCTAAGTTTGAGGTCTTGTTGTGTAATATCTATTTGTGTAAAGTCGTGTCTGTAGAGTCAGGCGGGACCAAAGGGTTCCTGGCTAGGTCTATGGAAGTACCTAGGCGGTGTAGATAGCTATGCCTAGGGCGCCAAGGGTCACGTGAGGTCACGTGATGCCAAGTGCTACTACATGTCAAGCATCGGTCTCTCTCTGGGAAGATGCCAAGGCTGCTATCGGTTTTTACATAAGAAATGGACCATATCCAGCTACCTATTGTACTTGTAGGTAGATCTAAGATAAGGGTATACAGTATTCCTTGTACTTCGAGTTACTTCCGACCTCTCTGTACTCCGTACTTCGGAGCTCACTATCCAGATAGAGACGATTTAAACATGCCTAGAGTAGCTTGGCGAGTCCGAGGTTGTTGGACGAGCGCCGCCTTATCTGGAGCGGGCACTTTGCGGGGCGGAGTAGTCCGTGTCCACGGCCAAGTGCCGCTTCTTGACCATCTTTTATTTACATATCCATGTTGTACTCCGTACAATACTCCGTACGGAGTATGGAGTAGATAAGGTGCCGTGGATAGTACAATACATGCAGTATGAACCACTCCACAATTCTTATTTATCAAACTACTACGGAGTACTACATCACTACAATATCCATATTGTACTACCACCATACTCCCCGTACAGGAAGTACTCATACCCGACCATTCCTTGTCTAGTGTCCCCGCGTGCCCCTTTCGAGCCGTCCTTGGCACGTATAGCTTTTATTTCTTATCGGACGACAAGTCTATCGCTTAGGCGAGCCGGACCAGTGAGAGAGACCGCTACAACATGGCGGAGAGCTCTTGGTCTGGCAAAACCGACGGAGCCTTCCTTTCTGGGATGGCCTCTTGCTCTGAACCCTTCGCTTAGGAACCCCAAGTGGACTTCCGCCATGATATACGCAGGACGTATAGTTCCTGTGGGACTCGAAAGGGAAACCGGCATCCCAGGTTTTCGGTACAGGCAGCCCTGTCCGAGTTTGACCAGATCAAAGCGCGGCCCGCGGCCTTGGGACATTATCGTCAAGATGATACCAAGGCGCGAGAGCTCTCTTGGAATCGTCCGGAGGTTCGATCAAGCGATGTAACGGGCTTGACTGACCGACCGACCGCATGAGAGGCCGTAATCAGATAGACAGATTTTCTCGCGAGCCGGAGAAAGAAAAGGTACTTAAGAAAGATGACGAGAACAGCCTGAGGGTTTTTTTTTTCTTTCTCCCTCTATCTCTCTACCTTTGGACGAGACCTCTTTCAAAGCACGAAACCGGCCTCTCATTCCCCAGCCAAGGTAGTGTTCGACCTCTACTTTGACTCCACACACACACACACACACACTCTCTCTCTCTCTCTCTCTCTCACACACACACACACACACACACTCACAGACGTCTCATATAACAAGGGCATCTTCAAAATCCCTCGCTTGCAAAGCTCCATCATTCACCATAACTCGAGCGACCCAGTAACCGATCGTAACGACGCAAAGTATGCTACCCGCCGTCCTTGTCGTCGCCGCCGGGCTGGCTGCTGTCTCGACAGCTGCCGCCTCAGCCTTGCCTGTCGTGCCGCCCTCGTTGCACAGTCTCTACGCACGGCAAGACGTCCAGAGCCCGATCAACGCGTCCCTCCCCAACGTCACCATCTTCGCCACGGGGGGGACCATCGCCAGTCTGAGTGACACCAACACGGAAACGGTGGTCGAGACCGTCGGGCTAGGTGTGCAGGAGCTCGTGGCCGCCGTCCCCGAGATCCTCAACTACTCCAACATCCAGGGCTATCAGGTGTCGAACGTGCCGAGCAGCACCCTGAACCAGACGGTCTTGCTCAAGCTGGCCCCTCTGATCAACGAGGAACTCGCCAAGGACAACGTCACCGGCGTCGTCGTCACCCACGGCTCCGACACCCTGGAAGAGACGTCCTTCTTCTTGTCCTTGGTCGTCAACTCGACGAAGCCCGTCGTGGTCGTGGGCGCCATGAGACCGTCCACGGCTTTGAGTGCCGACGGTCCCTTGAACCTGGTGCAGGCCGTCAGCCTGGCCTCTTCTCCCAGTGCGGTGGGCAGGGGTGTCATGATCACTTTGAATGAGTAAGTAATGACAAGCATCTCTTTTTCGTTTTGGAAGGGTTGGGGGAGAGCGGAGAAATTACTTTCTTCTTCTTGCCCCCATTCTTCTCTTGAAGCGTCCCGTTTTTCATCACTGTCATCATAATGCATGATTGAAGGAATTTTTTTCTTGTGGCCAATTTCTTGCCAAAAGGTCCGGAGAATCTTTGATGGCTGACGATTTTTTCCTTTTTCACCACCACCGTACAGTCGCATCGGCAACGCATTTTATACCAGCAAGTACAACGCCAACGCACTCGACACCTTCCACAGCACGGAAGCCGGGCAGCTCGGGTTCTTCATCAACCAATTGCCCTATTTCTACTACGAGCCGGCCACGCCCATCGGGAGGAGGACGTTTGACATCTCGGGCACCGACGTGCTGCCCCAGATCGACATCATCGTGTCCCACCAGGACATGGACGCGAAGCTGTTCAACTCGACGGTCCAGAACGGCGCAAGGGGCGTCGTGGTGGCGGGCACGGGCGCGGGCGGCGTGACGAGGCCCGGCATCGCCGTGGCGAAGGCCGTCTACGAGGCGACCGGGGTCCCCATCGTCGCCAGCCACCGGACGCCCGACGGCTTCGTGCCGCTGGACCCCGACAACGCCTTCTTCATCCCCAGCGGCTTCCTGAACCCCTGGAAGGCGAGGATCCTGCTGCAGCTGGCCGTCAACGCGGGTTACGGTCACGATCAGATTGTCGACCTCTTCGGTCTGGGTCAACCCAAGTCTTGAAGGAACCGCACTGAGAGTGTGTGAAAGAAGAAGAAGAAGAAGAAAATAAGGCAAAAGGATGGTAAAAAGAAAAAGGGAAAAAGAAAAATAAAACGGACAAAAATAAAAAGAGTCGAGAAAAAAGTCCATCTTTCCTTCAATTTGGACGTGACAAGGACAAAACTGCTCGGTTTTTTGCCATCTTCATACTCCGTAATCACGTACAAAGTTAAAAAAAAAAGGTAAGCCTTGAGATGGTAGAATTATATAGCTAGCTAGCTCCCTTGCAAAAAATAATCTACGCAATACCTGAACACGAGTCCCAACTCCCTCCATAATGGCGAGAAGGAGTTTTGAGGATATCACACTAATACATAACTAGGTCCGTATACGAGGTGATGTGACAATGAAGTCGTCGTCGTCGTCGTCGTGGTGGAACAGGACTGGGTTCATTTTTTCCGGGGATTTTTTTTTCACCATCCGGTCGCTTCGACACCCCACTCCCTGTTGGGTTGGGGCATCTTGACCCCCATTTTGGCCTCGATCCAGTCCTCGACCGTGACCCATCCGGTCCGACGTTTGAGCACCGCGTTCCATATGGCGTACTGCCATTCACGCCACCACTCTTGTGCCACCAAAGCGGCTCGACCTTGTCGTTGTTGTTGTTGTTGTTGCGTCGAAGATGATGATGATGATGACGACGCCATCGTCGCCGTGACATCGTCCCTCGAGATACCACTACTCGAAACGTCCCACACCGTCTGGGCGACATCATACTTTTTGGTCGGATAAAGGCGGAGGATGTTGGTGAACCAGTTCCCCGACTGGCGTTGGACGACGACCTCGGAAAATTGTACGGGGAACTCGACCGTAACTTTGCCCCGGTACTTTGTGGCGGCCAAGAGGGTACGGACCATGCCTTCGAGGATGGTGGTGGGGAAATTGACGATTTGTCTGCGTAGTGAGAAACTGTGTCGCCCAGAGTGTTAGTTGAGAGGTCGTCAAGGGAGATGGCGAAAAAAGAGGGAAAAGAGAAAGATGGATTGCAGCGGGGAAAAGATATACTTGAAAAGGTTCAAAGGAATACGCAACAAACGTACCTCTTATTCTCAGTCTTTTCGTCGATGAATTTCTTCACCCACTGCTCAAGAGGTGTCATTGATTGATTGTTTCCTCGCGAAGATCGCTTAAAGTGGGAAGTAGAGGAAGAACTTGTCGTTGGACTCGACGATTCAAACGGGTCGACTTGTAATCGGGTGGTAGCAGCGGTGGTGGTGGTGGCGGTAGTGCTGGACGGGGCCGTACCGTTCGTACTCGGTACATCAAGGTCGAGAAGACTCGTGAGATTCAAGGTGATGTCAAAATCGACCTGTGTCGTACCATTCGACGTGGTGTGTGATCCTTGGATCAGCATGAGGGGTTTTGGCGGTAGGGAGGCCTGCTCGTTCAGGAACCTCATGAGGGCGTACTGGGTGGTGGAGAGTTCAGGCTTGGTCGTCGTGAGGGCGTCGTGCGAAGCCGAGAGTTTGGCCTGGGACACGCCGCAGTACTTGGGTAGGTCGATCGAAGTCAGGCGAGATATGGCGTCCAGCGGATTTTGGCTGAGGATCGGTAAGGATGAGGATGATATGGTGGTGGTGGTGGGTATTGACGGGAGGGGAGGGTTTATTACGTCGTAAGACGGAGGGAGGTCATTTGGGTGTTGTTGTTGTTGTTGAGGATGAAGAAGATGCTGGGAGTTGGAACCGTCATGGTCGGCGCCGACGTGGTTGTTTGTCGTCGGTGTCAGAGATGTAGGAGGAGGATCAGAGGCGGGGCCTGCTCGGAGCCTCGCTTTTTCCCCAGATGATGATGTCTTTGGCATTTTCTTCTTGAGAGCGTGTTCAGAATGTATCTGTTGTTGATCGTCTGAGAGAGTCTTGTGCGCGCGCGCGTGTGTGTGTGTGTGTCTGTGGATGTATCTGTGATCTATTCTTGTTGCCTGATGTACCTTGATAAGTACTCCATACGGAACAGCGAGATGAGAGTGTAGATGGATGTACTCCGTACCTTCAAGACCTTTAAGGAACGGAGAAGGTCCCCTTTGAGAAAACAACAACAACAAAAGAATCAAACAGAGAAAAAACAAAGTGAAGAGTGGTTCAAAGATATCAATGTGCACGATTAGGCAATATCATTTCAGGTCTTTTTGTCGCATAATGCTCCATGTGGGGGATAGTGGGATATTTTGGCACAGCCTCATTCATCAAAGCCTCAAGCTAAAGTGCGGAGCATAGCCACAAGTGGCGCTCTTAGTATGTATAGTGCATGTGCTGAACAGAGAGTATCACAACAATCCAGGCATCAGCCAATTTAAAAACTACCCAAGGTAGATTCTCATTCGTACTCGTATAGATTAAACTATTGCAAGTTACCCTAATCATGTAGCAGCCTTCAACTCAAGCATTCCCTCATACCAAGCTGCCATTCCCGCAAAGCTTCCTCCTTGCAAATTAGCAAAGTCTTTAACCGCCAACGACCTACCTCGTTTCCAGACTTCAATCTTTTCTTCCCACTTTTCGACATCGACTTCATCCCTTGTTCCTCCACCAATTTTGTTAGAACGAGGCTCATTCGTAATTCGATCTTCCTGTCCACCCGTAGCTCCTCGCGTGATGGCCCAGGCAACCTTCCTGTCGCATACCGGACACAGATACGGCGGTTGTCGCATGTCTTCTGCGACGGAAGCGGCGCCTTGCATCACACAAGCTTTGTACTTGCAGTGATCGAGTCCAAAGCAATGACCCAGTTCGTGTGAGACTGTACGGCAGAGTCGGAAGAGAAGAGCGGACGCCGCTTGGTCTCGAGGCGTTTGCTGCCGATGGGCAGCCTGCTGGTGCGTTGTCAAGGCTCTCAGTAGCGGCATGGGGGTCGCAGAACTCAACAACTCAGTACTGATATCATCCTGCCTCTCGTACCTTCTGCTGCGTATTTTCCGCCGGTTACTAGCAGCAGGAACCACCACTTGACCTGACTCAGCACTCATTTTACGAATGAATGCTGCACAATGACTGGCCGGCCATACATGGTTGAAGTCAACACAATGGAGCTCGTCCAATGCTGTGTAGTACCTTGCACTCGAAACAATGGCGACTCGACTGGCACCCCATGCACGTCCACAGCAGAAATCGTCGTCGTCTGACTCGTAGAGGTCGTGCTTTGTCATCAATACAAGCGCATACGCATCGGAAGGAAGAACTCGCACGGACACATCGGTAAGGTCGTTCAGGTTCAATTGGTACGGATATGGAAAGACTTCGGATGGGGAAGCAGCGTCGACCGGAGGCGGTGGTCGTGCACGGATTCGTACAACTTCTCTGCCGGTGGACAAGCCAACATGTTGTAATTTGGCATGGTCTTCTGCTGCACCTCGACCTTGGCGTCTGGCTTTGGAGGTTGCAGTATCTTCGCACGAAGTGAACATCAAATTCTGCGGAAGAATTTTGACATCGAGGCCGTGGTAAAATGCCCGAAGGTAAGCAGCGACTGTCTCGATATTGAACCGATCTTCCAGCACCGATGTGGTAGCCTGAAGCATGTCAGAGACCATGAGTCACGATACACCCAGGATTACCGTCACGCCGTACTACCTTTTCGATCCCTCTGACAGTTGGAAATTGCCAGTCTCGCATGAAGTCAACACTGTCATCAACGTCCGATGTTGCAGCCAGATATATCACGTTCCTGCGCGAGTTTACCTGATTGCGCACTCCCATATTCACCCACTCCCGAAAACTCTGTGGTGGGTATGTTGGATCACAATCGATATCATCGCCCGGGAGTATGAGGGGAGCAGGATATACCTGGGGCGCTAGGACCGAGTTGTCATTCTCGGATGCCTTGCGTTTCCCAGTGACGGCAGTGAGAAGCTGGCCTGTCGTATAAGTGCGATATGGAAAAGCCGCGGCATAAGGGGAAGACAAGCAGGTCAGGTATTTGTGCTCACACATGCTGGATTCGGGTCTCAGGCCAGGTATACCTTCTCAAAGTCTGTTGAGTAGAAACCTCGTATGGCCGAGGAAGAATGAAGATAGTAAGAAAGGAGGAAGAGAAATCCAAAGACACCGCTGAGAGCATCCCTTTTCATGCACGACAGTCACAGTGCGTCTTGGCTGCCTGCTCGAGATGAGCTGTGTCTCCAAGGCTTCTTTCATCGTGTCAAGTAGTCATTATTCCCGGAGGTGAGTTCGACGATAATGCCGGTGGTGCCCACGCGATGTCGCACCATGATCCACGTCGCGACACATACACATGAGGAACTTGTGTTTTGGTGATTGACAGTAGACTGGTTATAATTACCAAAGTTCGAATGTCGACATGGTGCCTGTACAATCCCCCAACCCCCCAGCTTGATGGTTGACTGAAGAAGCTATTGGATCAAAAGCGTTAATGGCTAGGCAACCCTGTCATAGGCATCCATCTCGACCAGGGAGCTCAAAGAAGTGAAACGGTGAGACATGATTCGTCAAAATTCATCATCGTACTTGATCGGATTTAATTTGGCGATATCTCCAAGAACCGATATAGCATTCTTATGTCGCCTCACCAAAATCCATCCACCTTGTACGACGCAAATGGATTGACATATGTGCTTAATGCATATATCCGTCAAGTCTTGGGCACATTGTAGAGTTCAAGATGGTATAAGAATATGGTGAACTGGTTGCGAAGGATCCAACATTGCAAAGTCCAACAATCCTAGCTTCGCTCAGCATCATCCTGTTTCCCCCAACATGTCCAACAGCACGCCTCTTGTGATTCTGTGTACCGGCGCCAACCGAGGAATAGGTCTTGCCATCATCCAAGCTCTGGCAAGTCATTCAAAGACATCCGGTGCCTCGTTCCTTCTTGGCTGTCGAACTGCAGACAAAGGAAAGGAGGCGATTGACGAGCTCCGCGGCAAAGGAATCAAATCTTCTATTGAACCTCTTGTCCTTGACGTCACTTCTGATGAGTCCATACAAGACGCTTTTGGATTGGTGCAAAGCCTGTACGGTCGGCTCGATGTCTTGGTCAACAACGCCGGATACGCCGCCATACCCTCATCTTCGGAAAATTCCGACTGGCGAGACATTTATGCCCGAGTGTACGAAACCAATGTAACCTCGGTAGCGTTGATGATGCAGGCCTTCCTTCCTCTGTTGCGCAAGTCGACAGGCACAATCATCAATATTTCGTCAGCGCGTGGATCGGCAGGTCTTGCTTCCAGCGGAGCCTTGCCGCCGACTGTATCTGTTCCGTACAGCGTCTCAAAAGCTGCCTTGAATATGCTCACCATTGAGACGAGTCGACAGGCCGAGAATCAAAAGGTCGAATTCCAACTTGTCAGCCCTGGGCATTGCAAGACAGCGTTCAACGGCTACCGAGGGACCAGAGATCCACTGGAAGGTGCAAATGTTGTTGTGGGATTGATAGTCGCAGAAAAAGGCAGATACAAGAATGCCTGTTTCTGGGAGACGAAAGGAGCCAATGTAGACCTTGTCGAGATTCCATGGTGACGAAGGCCGATTTAAGGACGATGGACTGTCTGTGAGGTGTTGAATTTCCAGCTAAAGCAGTCCACACATTCATCATCAGATTCACAGACAGGAGTATTATTGTACGCTTCGAGAACTTCGTGTATAACAACGTTCAATCTATGATTGTTGATATTCAAATGCCAGCCCTTATCACCGACCGTATCGTACACACAGCGTTTGCCAGTATGGCATTGGCTTTCGAATGCATAGCCAGCGACTGAGCACGAGGAAAAGTATCCGTTGCAGGCACCCATGAAGACGGGGTCTCCCGTGTTGCCGACGTGGTAGTCTGCCGTGTGAGGAGGAATGGCGATTCCCAGTCTTTGAGCCGGTAACCTCTGAGGCGGGGATTCAAACGCGATAGACGGCATGTTGAAGGTCAAGCCAACCAGACTAGCTACCGCACCACCTAAAGAATGGCCAGTAACCCAGAAAGTGGCGTTTGGGTACCAGGAAGTGACATTCTGCATGACAGCAATCGCTGTCGGATAGTATCGATCCTTCTGGAGAAGCTCTTGAGTGATGCAAGTTGCATTACATTGAAACGTGTCGGTATCACAATCACAAACGGTGCCGTACCAGAATGGATCAGGTCGTTGACTTGCGCAACAACAGCTGAACAGCATATTATCATTTAATCGATCATTGTTTCTCCATTTATCCCGTGGGTCGATCGTGGTGCCCTTGAAAGCAACTATGACCGTCTCGTTCCGCTTGTCGGTGAAGACATGGCCTCGTAGACCATCGCCTACCCAACCGAAGCTGTCTGAGCGATTGAAGCCCAGTGAACTGTTCAGCCAGTCAGGTTCCGATGGCTCCAGAGCGTATGCATCGCTGCACATCTTGGCCAGATTGATCTCGGTTGGTTTGTTAGATACATCTGGGACATTGGCTGGATGGTCTTCCCATCCATCATCTTGATCTGTCAATCCGAGATGTGTTTGGACACGACGACTCAAATAAAGTGTTCTTGTGTGAATGGCCAATGGCTGGAGGGACTCATATTTGTTGTCCGAAGTTACTTGAAGTACCCTGCTGTCCGAGGCTGATATGGTGTGGAAGTCTCCCGCTCTAGATGAGTTACCAAACTCGTGGAAGAAGGCATGTCCAAGGGTGAACTCTGCTTCTGGTGTCGCTCCCACCCCGTAACTCAAGCTTATACTGTCAGTCGCCAAGACTGAGTTCAGTATGGTATGAGCCTTCATTATCAGACAATCGTTGGGAGGTGGTGTCTGTACCAGGAGAGCAAGGAGAGGCTGCTTGTAGTTACTCACTCCAGTGGCAGTTCACCGAGCTTGGAAGCAGAGGCCTGGATGAGGGGTGAAGTGACTCCCAGCAAATGTCATAACGAAATGCCTCTTCAATCCCCAAGCGTTGAAAGCTGGATAAATGTCGTAAAGAATGTTTCTGCCTGTTTGGTTGTCAATGTGATGATAACAAAGGGACAACCCTAGTTCTCTTGGGGATCGACCATACAAGTCAAGTAAGCCGAGGCCTAAACACCACGGGCTAAGACCACTAATAGGTGACGTTCTTTGTAAGGCTCCTTCGCCCCGTATTCCTGAGTACCATTTTTGCAGTGTGCCTCTGCCCACCAACTGATCACCCGGAGCGTCCTCGTATGTATTCTCTGAAGAAGTGTTGACAGTTAGAACACTCGGTGAGGTCGGAATCTCTGGTTAGATGCTTTTGCGTGGGGCGGCAGAGCCCACCACCCCTGTACTCTGTTGTACCTTGAAACGTATCTCACTTTTGTACAGCTTTCAAGCCTTGCTAGGTGAGAGTTATTCGCAAATTGCGCCAGATAATTCTCTACCATTAGGGTCTATGAGATATATTTGCTTGAATATATTGATCTGCAGGCATATTCACCTGTTCAATTATGACGCCCCAATGACACCACAAGTTTTCGAGGCTTTACTGTAGGTTACATGGTTTGTTCTCAATCACTCCTCGGCTTTTCTTCGCGAAGACTTGCTATCTTCCGTGCCGTTTGTCCTCTTCCGCTTCTTCGACGTCGGCTCAAAGTCCGAGTCGTCCTCTGCATCATCCTCCGGATCAAATGTGTTCTCGTCGGGATCTACCAAGGCGTCAACGATCTTCTCGAGACCCATCTTATCACCGTCCTTGGTCTCGGAGACTTCAGGATCAACCCAACCTTCAGTGTAACTGCCGCCGAAGTCGATGATCCAAAGATTGTCATCCTCGTCCACCATAAAATTGTCAGCTTTAGCATCACCCCACACGATGCCCTTCTGGTGGAGTTCTTTCACCACATCTTGAGCCTCGTCGGCCCACCGGAGTCGTTTCTCTTCAGGGACTTCGGAGCTGAGGAGTGTCGTCAGGGGTTTCGGCGAGGGAATATTTGTCAATAAAAGGCCCATGATCTCCGTGGTGCTGTGTTCAAAGGCCACCAATCCCAACAGTCTAGGCACCATGATTTTGTCGCCCAGCCCTAGCGTTTCGATCTTTGAAAGCATCTTGATCTCGCGTTTGGTGGGTTGCGGTTGATCTGGGTCGACTGGTTTGAAGAAATAAACTTCATTGTTGTATTTGACGGCACCAGGATGAACAGGTTCCGGGTCGACGATCTCGGACAAGACTTCAATGTCTTCTGGGCCGATCCAGGGCAAGTCCATCTCCTTGATATATTTGGGCATTGGCAACCTAGGGGTCAACTCTTCCATTCTCCTCTGGAGCTCTTCTGTTTCTTCCAGCTCTTGAGGTGCGAGTCGATTGTCACTGAACTCTACTTCAAAGTAGTGTGTCTCTCCATGATACCATTCGTAAAGGGATTGCTTCTTGGAAGATGGGTTTCCCGGGGCGAGCCTGCGCGTTTCATCTTCAAAGGCGCCCAGGATCCAATTTTGCAAGCACAGTTCCGCATCACTCTCTTTCTGCAACTCTTTATCTCCGGCGTCTTTCAGTCGCTCGTATTTGTCCGCACTCAGGTCGATGGCGCTATCTTTGTCGTCTCTCATAGGGCTTGACCGATCGGACTTAGGATCAGCCTCAGTACCCTTGCTAATGGCTTCATCTTCGGCAATGATGCCCTTGGTGATTGCTCCTTTGGTCGTGGCATTGTCAATGTTGGCCTCGGCGACCTTCACGCTCCTCAATCGCTTTAGGTACTCTGTGAACACTTCACCGGAGCCGGATCCTCGAGGCCGACTCGCATCGACGATAATGTGAAATCGGACGCCATTGATAAGAGCTGTGAGTGCACATGAGTCTTCATCATCGTAGAAGAAGTTCAAAATGTGACATGTTGGCTCCTGACCAGCATCTCCTACGGCCATGATGGAGCAGCGCCGTGTCTATGGAGTTCACTGAAAAGTTCCATCGCGTCTAAGCACTTTACGCGTGATAAAGACACTGTCCACAGAACTGAGCTACCAGAGTGTCGGCGTCATGGATATGGTTCAAGGTGTCGCAAATCTGATGGCATCATCGATATCTCGGGCGATCGACAGGTACGATCGCTGCTAAAATGGAATCGCCAATAGACAGCCGAGATGCCTATAGATCGTGCCGCAAGGGCTATCAGGGCTAATTTATAAGGGGCCGGTGCTCAGCACCGTACGTAGACGTCACGACAAATCCTTCCGTCGTCAGAGTATCGAAGAGGGTCTTTTGAAACTTGCATATACCTGTGGTATGACCAAGCCTGGTACCAACGTTCTTCTTTCATGGCAAGGGAGTACGACAACCTTACAGAGCCACCTGTATCTAAAGATGCGGCTCAATTCTGATGCTCATCGTATCAAATACCCTCGCCTGATCCAGCTGAAATTTCTTTCTATCAACACCTACAGGCAAAGCCCGGGGCTAGGATACTCTATTGTCTTAATGCTCAATGCACCTATCTTTGAGCCACACGGCCATGATGGCGTAAAGTCATCATAATATCGCTAAAATATTGCGGACACATCGATGACACCTGGACGAGCATCGTATTGAAGAGGCCAAACGAGCCTATGGCTTCGAGACATCGGTCTCGAAAAGATTGAACATCGTAGCTTTTACAGTCTTCAAACTTTCCCAAGAATCTTGCTAAGTTCTGATAACGCGAGTGCGATATGAATGAAGAATGAAAAAAGGCATTATACCGTTCACATTTCGGGTTCTGGCGCAAGCAATGTTGCCTTCCCCTTCATTCACTGCCAAAGGCATGCTTTGTTAGAATATTCAGGGTCTGCTGCGCGAAAATTTGCGGCACATAGACCAAGACCTATACGTTTACCCGACTTCTTCACTTCGACCTCATTCTCTTCTTGGTTTCTGCATGCTTACAGTGAAAATGAGGGCTTTGTCACTTTTTGTTGCTGTGGCGCTCGATGTATTGCTTGCAAGTGCTGATGATATCAAGCGTGCTAAGGTTCATGCTCGAGATGTATGCATTGACTGCCACACAAATGTATCCTCTCCAGGCGGTGGTGGTGCTCGTGGGATCTGGTGGACTGACAAATGCACCAAGTTGGCCGCCGTGACAGCTATGCCATTGCAATGTGCAGACCTGGATGTGCCTCTCGACTACACTCAGCCAGGATTGGAGAACTTGACTCTGACACTGGTCAAAGTTGCCGCGGTCAACCGGCCCGTGAAAGGAAGTATCATTTTCAATCCCGGGGGTCCAGGAGGAAGTGGTATTCAAACCGTGATCGCAAATGCGCGTTCATGGCTAACGTGAGTGTGGCGTTGACATTGAACGATATCTTTCTCCTTACTCGAGCTGACAAGAACAGTTTGACTGGTGGTCACTACAACCTTCTCGGTTTTGATCCAAGGTTTGCACCCAGATTTTGTCAGAATGAGTCACTGCTGACAATCGGCAGAGGTGTAAACAATACCTTGCCTTACTCGTGTAACATGCCAGGAGGCGCATGCAAGACTTTGAGCCCAGCATCACCACTGGCCAATGCCTCTGATGTGGCAATTGGACAAAGATTTGCGGCTTCGAACATAAGATCTTCACGTTGCCTCAACAGGACCGGAGATGTCGGACGTCTGCTCGGAACGGCCTTTGTTGTTCGCGATATGGTCCAGATCATTGATGCTCTCAACGAAGATGGCCTGCTTCGATACTATGGTCAGACTCATCAGGCAACATCAAATGCGACAATGTCGTACTGACATTGATAGGTTACTCATGGGGGACTTTACTGGGAGCAACCTTCGCCGCCATGTACCCTGAAAGAGTAGATAAAATGGTGCTTGACGGTAACGTCAATGTGCACGAGTACTATTCAGGCTGGTCAGTCAACTCACCTTGTTACTCCAGGAATGCCCCCTAACTTGGTCAGGGAAATCCAAAGCCCGATCAACATGGACGACACTTACGATGCCATCTTCTCAGGTTGTGTGGCGACTCCGACCGTCTGTCCGCTGGCCGAGTTATACTCGACTGCCAAGCAGATGCAATCAGTTGTTGATGACTTCCTTGTAGCGCTCAAGTACAATCCGGTTCCCTATATTTCTAGTCAAGGCCTTCAGACGGCCACGTACGGCAAGGTCAAGACAGCCATCGTTTTGGCACTATACAGTCCCTCCAACTGGCCTCAACTGGCGCAGGGGTTCATAGAGATGCTCTCTTGGAACTTCACCGGCTTCTTCGATGTCGCTTCATCCTGGTACGCCGGCCCAGATGATGGAGACGATGATCTCAGTGCCGCAATAACTTGCGGGGAGCAGGCGTTTCGTGCAGACAGTGTTCAAGACCTTAAACCACTCCTCGACGCGATAACTGCGTCGAGCAGATTCGGTGGTCTGGACTTCGGTACCGATAATGCGTTTGCCTGTTCGACTTGGAGACAGGAAGCGAAAGAGGTTTACTCGGGCGACTTTCGGGTCAAGACTCATTTTCCGGTGTTGTTCATCGGGAACACGTACGATCCTGTGACACCATTGGCATCGGCTCTGAACACCAGTGCGGGATTCGAAGAAAGTGTCGTACTTCAACACAACGGATACGGGGTATGTCATGCAAGATCCACACTCGATCTCTGAGGCTCACGGGAACAATAGCACACTTCAATTGCACAGCCTTCGTTATGTACAGCAAAGGTCATTCGTGCTTACTTTAACGACAGTAATCTCCCTCCACCTGGCGAAATCTGTCAGCCAGAGCTTCCATTGTACTCTGAAAACATCGGAATAGGTGATTGGACCGGCTTGAGCAATCGGACTACGGCCGGAGCAGCTGTAATTCAGTCGAATGTGGATGATGGTCTCACACTTTTGACAGCAGTGTCAGAAATCGCGGCTGCAACCTCGCCGCGGTATAGGAAACACGGCCTCAGACTCCCCTAACGCAAAGTCGCCATGCTTCTTTGGAGGGGAAACTAGTTGGATACTAAAAATCAACCCCCTGCGTTGGATAATTGGTTGGAACCTTATGCCTCCGACTTATCTTGCTTCAGGATCTTTCTAATCAATGCTGGCAAGTCGCTCGGAGCTTGAGAGTCGAATGTCTTGGCTCTCCAGGCTACAATACCATCAGGTCGAACAAGAACTGCTCCAGTCTTGTCAGTTCCGCAGAACTCTGCCCACATACCTTCGCGGTCGGTCCAATTTGTTTCTCCGTCGATGACTTCGATGTCCATGAGCTCACTCTTTGCTTTATCCCAGATACCGGCAGTTTGCGTCAATAGAACAAACCGATCAAGTTTGACCAGGTCTCTTGTCGAGGTCATTTCTCCCTGCCTTTGAAGCCAGGCGTGCGGAAGATTATGACCAGGGACGGTAGAAGGATGGTATTTGGTGATATTGAGCGAGCCATTTTCGAGAAGTTGCCCGTCGTGCCGGCTTTCTTTGCCTTCGTCACTGATATCTGCCGTAGGGTAAAACCAGCCTATCTCAATTCCAGGGGCATGAAATTCGAGATCCAGAAGCTCTCCAGCCTTTTTAACAGCGTCTCTTTTTGCAGGATGCTCTGGGTGTGTGGGGTCAAAGTATTTGTGCAACGCCCTGAGGTTGTCCTCCGTAGTCGTCTCGGCTGTGATCCCCACCGCACTATCCATTATGTTGCTGTGATTTCTCATGTTATGTAGACTGTTGGTGGCAACTCGTTGCGCAATCGGTTGGCGTTCTTCTTGATAGGTATCGAGGAGCGCATCGTAACTTTCAGGCGTTTCCGCCTTGACGGCGAGAGCCAACTTCCATATCAGATTGTGTGCGTCTTGGATGCCGGTGTTCATCCCCAGAGCACCCCACGGCGGTACACGGTGGCATGCGTCACCTACGAGGAATATACGGCCTCCTTCGCTCCGGTAGTGTTCACTGACCCTGGAATTCACCATCCAGTGACTTAGGCTCATCAGCTCAACGTCGAGGTCGGGCAGTTCTAAGCTGCGTTTGATCCGCTGGACCATAGATTGAGAGTCGAATTTTTCAGGATCGTCAGGATGTCTTGGGGCAGCATAGACCCATTCGGCCTTTGTTTGCCAGGACGGGTAATAAGGACCCAGATGGTACAGATAGCCACCTCCCAAGCTCCCTTTCAGCTTCGGATTCATAATCCAGGAGATGAAGACTCTCTTATCTGGATGAACAGAAGTGAGATCGGCTTTGAAGTGTGCCGTGACCATGTCAACGATGTCTTGTTCTCCTTGCCAGTCGATACCGATGCTTTCTGCAAGGCCTCTACCTCCATCGGCCCCTAGCACGTAGCTTGCGTGGACTTGTTCCTGACTGCCGTCTTTCTTCTCCACAGTCAGAATGACTCGATCGGACTTCTCTTCAACCTTTGTGACTTTTGTATTGTATCTGATGGCGTCACTGTTCAACTCCAACGCCCGCTTCTGTAGAATCGGTTCGAGACGTATCTGAGCCAGCATACTGTACTGGGCTGGGCTGGCGCGCTTATACTCATCGACATACTTTCCCCCTCCCCATGCTTCTCTGCCGTATACTTCACGACCATCTGGACCCAGACTGGTATACCACGCCGTTCTGCTTACCGATGTCAACGGCGCGCGATGTTTCTTGACGTCTTCTTCAACTCCAAGCTGACGAAAGATCTCGATTGTTCTTTGGTTCAAGCCGCATGCCTTGGGATGTATTGAGGTACCCGGGAATTGCTCGAAGACAGTATGCTGTATTCCATGCATAGACAACAGAATTGACGAAACAAGTCCAACTGGGCCTCCACCAATTACAACGATGGGCAGCATGATGGCTTCAACAAATGACAAGTCGGGGGCGCCCACAAATCACAGGACGAAGGCTATTTCGAATGACAAGACTGTCCAGAACATGGCTGATGTGAGTTTCCTGGCACGCTCCTTCAGGGCAAGCGTTTGTGACTTGAAAATAAAAGAAAACGCCCGAGTGCCGTGATCGGTGCCCGGCAGCTGTGGGACCGAACCTATCCGACCCCATGTGGGAGAGATTGAACTACTGTGCGGGTATATCTAGGTAACTCCACAAGGTCAAAAAGCAGTACTTGTAGTTTGGTAAATCTCTTGGTCGATATTTTCCTAGGAGCAGGAAGATCACAGCAGATAAGTTTGACTGGTGCATCCCTCTTGAAGAACGACCAGTTCCTACAGAGATCACGCCACTTGCTCGAATAACGGGCGAAAAGCTTCCAAAGGCTCAGTTGCTCGATTTCGCAATCAAAACACCCTCAAAGTGTCCTCAGCAACGATGTTGACTGAAGCTCTGGTGGTCTCTGAGCCTGGCGCAGCGTTCAAATATCAGAAAGTCCAGCTTCAGGATGATTTGAGACCCGACGAGGTGGCAGTCCGCATAAAGGCGACTGGTGTTTGTCACACGGACCTGAATTTTGCGAACGAGAAGTCTATGCCTGAACTATATCCTGCCGTGCTAGGTCATGAAGGAGCAGGTATCGTCGAGCGGGTTGGCTCGGAGGTCACAAAAGTGTCGCCAGGTGATCATGTGATCGTTTGTTACTCGAGCTGTGGCCGATGCAAGTACTGCCTTCGCAAGGAGACCTCATACTGCGATTTATGGTTCCAATACAACTTTGGCATAGGCCGATTGGACGGATCAAAGACTTTCTCCTCCACGACAGATGGCAAACGCATTACCTCCCACTTTTTTGGTCAAAGCAGCTTTGCAAAGCACATTCTTGTATCGGAGAATGGGCTGGTGAAGGTCGACAAGGATATTTCTTTTGAGAAATTGGCACCGCTAGGGTGCGGCGTGATGACGGGCGCAGGAGGTACGATGTGATGTTTGAATGGTATCATGAGTTGCGTTACTAACCGACAATCAACAGCGATGCTGAATGTTATCGAACCGACATCTGAGATGGCGGTCGTGGTAGTCGGTGCTGGAACAGTCGGCCTAGCAGCAATAGTGAGTCTCATGCCCTTTCAATGCGCGTTTCCCCAATGCTCCTCTCTTTCAATGTTGGTGTATTTTACTCCTCAGCGACCTCCCCTTTCTCAACGCATGTAGGTTCCGGTATGGCAAGGCGCAAGGAACTCCAGGCTATGTTGCAACGGCCATAATCTTTGAGGAGGGAGCCTGCCTAGTTGAACAACATATCAAGTCTCGATCAGTGCAAATGCTCGTTGCATCGTCGTCTCTGTCACCAAATACAGATGTTTTGTGAGGACACTTGGTCATTTCCTGACTATATTGCAGATGGCTTTGAAGATGCTCGATCAACCTCCTAAAAAGATTATCGCCGTGGACGTAGTCGCAGATCGCTTGGAAATGGCCCGGGCCTATGGAGCGACTCACGGAGTAAACTCCAAGATCCGGCCAGATCTCATGAAGGTGCTTATGGATATCACGAATGGACGAGGCGTAGATGGCGCTCTTGACACAACAGGTCGTCCGGCGGTCCTCAAGGGGCTCATTCACAGCGCCGCGAGGAAGGGCAAAGTCGTATCGGTGGGCGTAGGAGACGTAAGTTCTGGGTCGCCACAACTCACTATGAGAGACACTGACTGTGCCTTCAGCTTTCAGCGGAAGCATCATACAATATATTTGAAATGGTCAACTCAGGTTGCAGCTACATCGGATGCTGTGAAGGAAACTGTTTTCCGCCCGAATTTCTTCCGCGGTTGTTGGCAGCGAATCAGGCGGGAAGATTCCCATTCCATGACTTGATCAAGACGTATGCGGCGAAGGAAATGGGACAAGTCATCGATGATATCCATAGCGGCAAGACCGTGAAGGCTGTATTGCTCTGGGATTAATCCCTCGAAGGACGTTTACCTGCGATGATGCGGCACATACTTGTAGAAGATTAAGGCTACCGGCCCACGAAGCGCAATGGAAATCTTTCGAAAATCAGAAAATATTTCTCCTAGAATCACGATTAGTGGACCAAGGAGTGGCTGAGGCGCCTTTTCGATCCTGTCACTGAGGACTTTCCATTGGGATCTTTGTTCGGATATGACAACCTCTTCGCCACCAACCAAACATGCTTACCAAGACAAGGCTGGGACAACAAGGCTTGGCCTCAGCCTTGGAGTGGGGTTCATCGATCAGTAGCGTCCGGAAGGTTCCAGCCTTGTTTATGCAACACTTCTGCCTCTGTTCAACGGCGACGGCGGCTTTGCAGCCATCGCAGTGGCGAGTTGCTCTCTCTTTGACCCAGTAGATCTCATATATCTCTAGCCCACCATGTCGACTCCCTCACTTGCCCCAGAATCCTCCTCATACACGGCCATGGACCGAGACGTCGAAGCCATTGGCAAACACTGCGAGTTTGCCTACTGTCATCAACTCGACTTCCTCCCTTTTCGTTGCGAGTCCTGTCACCATACTTTCTGCCTGGATCATCGTACTGAAACAGCACATAAGTGTACTCACGCTGGCGAATGGGCTAAAAATAGACGACGTAACAGCGTGGGGCGGGCGTCCGCTACATCAACTTCTGGTGCCGGGCGACCCAACCATTCCAACGCCGCACAGTGCAGCAACCAGAGTTGCAAGACCTTCATAAATACCTTACAAAACACAGGTGTACACTGCCCGCATTGCAACAGGAATTATTGCCTCAAGCACCGCATGCGAGAGGATCATGACTGCAAAAATCTCATACCACTGGGTGCAGGACCTGTCGATATTGCCGTGCAGAGCAACAAGGAAAAGATCAAACTCGGGTTTGGACGGTTAAAAACATGGGGCAAAAGCCAACAAGAGACGCTTCTACCTAAGCCCAAGCCGTCGAGTCGGGCTGCACAATTGGCTGATTTGAACAAACTGAAAAAGAACGCCAAAGGAGATGACAAGCTAGATACGGAGAAAAGAGTATATCTACATGTTGAAGCCGAGGCAGCAAGCACGACAAGCAAACTTCCCAGGGCTGATCTGTTCTTCTCCCAAGACTGGAGTATTGGACGATTATTGGACGATGCAGCAAAGAGGCTACAGGTCGCAAATGTCAATAATCGTGTGGAGACGGAGGAACAGCGGCTTAGAGTCTATCATGTCGAGGGTGGTAGATTACTGGAATTCTCAGAGAAGGTCGGAAAGTCATTAATCAACGGGAACACAGTTGTGCTTTTGAGAGGTGTAGGACCTAAGGCGGCTCCCTCGTAATTTGAGATATCTACTGCTGTGTCCGATGTTGATCGAGATTGTACTATCTAGGAGCAAGATGGTCTGCAATGCATAGCGCCGGCGTTGAAAGGAACACTTCTGACTGACTGGTATATTTTGATGGGTGCAATACGAGAATCCACTTTTTGGCAGCAAGCTTTGCCGTAATGATATAGCCAGAATAGGCAACCACAACTTTTTGAATGTATTGGAATTGTCGGCGCTGTCCGATCAATCAACGGTGCTGTGTTTAGAGGAAGTGCAATGTTACTCACCACGTTGCTTTGATGTGGTCAATCAATGGGTGGAATTCTCACTAAGTAACTCCTTGCTGTGCCAAGAAATTTCGACGTCGTATCTCATATGCAATCGATCTCATTTTCAAACACCACAATCATTTGATCTACAATAAAGTTGTTTCTGAGAAAATTGGAAGCTACATACTACGGCTCGAGTATCATTAGACTCTGTGGATCTTGATAACCTCTGTCAATCGACTGCTCTTTGGTCTTGTCCAGCCCGACGCCTATTGGCTCATACCTCTCAAGGCCGGGGGCTGTCTGCATCCGGGCAGCCCACACAAAGTATTTGGCCATGGACGCCCGCAGGTCTGCGTTACCGCCTGGACAACACAGTATGGCTGGTGACTCGGACGAAGAAGCAGACGAATATGATTGGAAAACACGCGTGTCGGACATGCAGGAGGAGCCACGAGCTGCAAGAACTGCCGGCCGAGAAGGCACTGGTCTAACTACGCATCAAGATGAGGATCATCAGCAATCACGCACACCGGAAACAGGTGAAACGTCAGAGAATGATGATCTCCAAGAAGACGAACAAGTCCCGCACCCATTCTACCATTATGCTACTGAGAAACGTGACACATATGTGGATGCCAAACTCATCTATCAACGCCATCGAATGGATACATTATCTGAGAAGGACATGGGCAGCCCATTGTTGTTGGGCAAGTCCTACACCTTGCCTACGACGCTTGATGGTGATGCACCATTGGATCGTATAAACAGCCTTGGTTCGAGACAGTCCATACATGGCCACCGTGGACCAGGCATCAGTAATACGCCCTCGACGAACTTCAAGGAGTCATTTCCCACGTTGCAATCCCAAATCAGCAATCCCCAACTTAGCAAAGCAGATCCAACGTTAGTTGCCGATGCGACTGCGCGAAGCCATAGATATCATCCGGGACTTCCGCACGAATTTAAGGACCCTTTACTAGCAAACGAAGGAATGCATGGGGCCGGGGCTGGGGTAGGGCTTGGATCGGGGCCTGGTGGACTTGCGCCGAGTGAGGACAGCATTGTTAGTGAGGTACAGTCGATCTGCGATAAAATCAAAACATTGCTCGATCTGCGGCAGAAGTATCTCAGGGTATCTCTGCAGTGCCCTGGGCAAAATCCGCGGGATGACGAAAATTGGGACATCTATCCTCCGCCGCCGAATCCAGTTTGGAATGAACAAAAGGCTCGTGAGCCTCCCCAGGAATACATCGCTCCAAATAGCACTTCGAGCAGCCTGTACATGGCGGATGCAAGGGCCCACGGTGATGCTGATCGAAATGAGCTGAGAAATTGGCCAGCAAGTGCAAGTCAAGCTGACTCCGAAAGAGGTCCGCCCTCACCAACTGCTTCTAAGCACCCTCGGAAACCTGGCCACGCAATTGGAGAAGATTTCGACCTTGACGAGTGCTTCATTCCGGGCAAGGAAAGACAAGCTGTGAGGTTTGCAATGGACGAAGGCAGCATCTTTCAGGTGTACGACAACGGCAAGTCAATTGTCGCAGTCCCAACATTACGAGATTACTATATGGCATTGGACACGATCCTCGATATTGCTTCGGATGGGCCTGCGAAAAGTTTCGCATACCGTCGACTACAATACCTGGAGGGTAGGTATAATTTGTATACTCTACTGAATGAGTATCAGGAGGTGGCAGACACGAAGAAAGTGCCGCATCGTGATTTCTACAACGTGCGAAAGGTGGACACTCACGTGCACCACTCGGCCTGCATGAACCAAAAGCATCTGCTGCGTTTCATCAAGAGCAAGATGAAGAAGTGCCCAGACGAGGTGGTGATTGATCGTGATGGGAAGCAGTTGACTCTTCGCGAGGTGTTTGAAAGTATTCATTTGACGGCGTATGATTTGAGTATTGACACTTTGGATATGCATGCTCACACCGACTCCTTTCACCGCTTTGACAAGTTCAACTTAAAGTACAACCCTATCGGTCAATCAAGGCTTCGAGATATCTTTTTGAAGACTGATAACTTCATCAAAGGCCGGTATCTTGCTGAAATAACACGAGAAGTGATTTCTGACCTTGAGTCAAGCAAATATCAGATGGTGGGTGTTTCGGAAGGCACATCATTTTATCCAAGCTAATCTTTATGCAGGTCGAATGGCGAATCAGTATCTACGGCCGCAGTCTTGATGAATGGGACACCCTTGCAGCCTGGGTCGTCGACAATAAACTCTTCTCCCACAACGTGCGATGGTTGATTCAGATTCCCCGACTGTATGCATTGTACAAGTCGCTGAAGACAGTGGATAATTTCGAGACGCTTCTTAGAAACATATTTCAACCATTATTCGAAGTCACACAGGATCCTTCCAGCCATCCCAAGCTGCATGTCTTCTTGCAAAGGGTGATTGGATTTGATAGTGTTGACGACGAAAGTAAAGTTGAAAGACGGCTCTACCGGAAGTTTCCCGCACCCAAGGAATGGAATACCAAGCAAAATCCACCATATGGGTATTGGATCTATTACCTGTTCGCAAACGTGACATCGCTGAACGCATGGAGAAAGAGGAGAGGCTTCAACACTTTTCACCTTCGACCGCACTGTGGTGAAGCTGGAGACACCGATCACTTGGCCGCAGCGTTCCTCTGCTGTCACAGTATCAGTCACGGCATTGTCCTCCGAAAGGTGCCGTTATTGCAATATCTCTTCTACCTAGAACAAATTGGAATTGCCATGTCACCTTTGAGTAACAACGCACTCTTCCTGACTTACGACCGCAACCCATTCATCGGCTATTTCAAGAAGGGTTTGAATGTGTCGTTGTCGACCGATGACCCGTTGCAGTTTGCCTTCACCAAAGAGCCGCTTATCGAGGAGTATTCGGTGGCGGCACAAATCTACAAATTGAGCGCCGTGGACATGTGCGAGTTGGCAAAGCATTCTGTCGACCAGTGCGGGTTCGAGTTGAGCCTGAAGCAACGTTGGCTAGGCAAATATTGTTATCTCCCAGGAGTGCTTGGGAACGATGTGGCTAAATGCAATGTGCCTGACGTTCGAGAGGCTTTTCGGCACGAGACCTTGAAAGCAGAGCACGCATTCATTGCGAGGTACACACGAGACTATAGCCACTACGACCGATGCACGCCAAATTTGCCCGATCCATCTGACCCTTCGACTCCTCTCGATGAGATGTACAAGAACCTGGAGTCTCCCCGACAATTCTACGCCACTTCTGTTGCCGATTCAATCCCACCGGCGCAACAGGCTAGGCTACCGCAGACGAAGTCTAATGCCACCATGGACAGGGGCATGGGTAATATTTCACCCACGAGGCCCCGGACAATGTCGAGCACGACTATTTTGCACCCCATACCATCGAACCCCGACAGCCACATCTCTGGCCAAGAGCCTCGCGCCTTCCCCGGGCTCGTGCATCAACAAAGGAGACGAAGCTTGCGGGTTAGCTCGAGCAACTCGGACATGGCAGCGCCTGACATGAGCTCAAGTCTGCAACTAGAACCAGGGTTGGCGAAGATGACTCTCCGAGAGGACCGAGAAATGGCAAGGATGGAGGATTCGGAATAAGTTAAAGCGAGCATGCTTGGGCAGCTTGACACCTCGAGTACATCACTCTGTTGGCTGTCTGGACTTGGTACCGCTTCTCGGGGTTTATTTGCAAGTGAAACAAAGCAGGCGCTCGACCGTGAGGTACTCTTGATAGGGCATGGTCGAATTTACACCCTTGCTAGGTCGGGTGAAATCGGAGAGATACTTCATTCCTCCCGCCTTGAACGGCTGTATGCGGGTGAGTAGAAGATCGACCAACAGGAGAAAAACCTGGGGAAAGAGTGTCTATCTGGCCGTGACACCAGCCAGATCAATTATGGTGAGGCCCGTCATGAGCAAGTCGGGTTATTCAGCCCGAGACATCTGAGTCAGAATGATAGCAAGGGTTAAATGGCGTTTTCTTTGTTGGGCAATGTGGGATGGGATGGCAGGTCCGTATTATAACATGGGTTACAGCCGAGTGTTGGATATTGCCTTCATTCGGTTCTCTCATCCGTCTGAGATCTTGTACTTTCGTAGTGTTTTGGGCGTTTTTCAATTGATCAGACTTGACATTCCCTATCTTCAGCGAGTCATCAGAAAGTGGACTGACAATGGAGATTAATCTACCGAGTAGCTTGAGCAGGCACAGGTACGGAGTCGGACGACTGGGAAAGATTGAGATCGAGACCGTGTAGCGAAGTGGGCTCAACGCGTCCCCCGGGGCCACTGGATCGTCAGGTTTCTGGGCTGCTGGAGCTCCCAGCACTCGGGGATCAAGCGGTCAGTACGGAGACTTGTCCACTGGATTCCTTATGTGGTGATTAGGCTGCGCTAGGCTCCTGACTGAACCGCTTAGACACAACGATGCGCCGTGCATTGGCTGCCAGCGGCGTCATCGAAAGCCCTAAAGTCACCTAATGCTGTCGATTGGCATTTGATCGTGAATTCGACGGGCAACTTTGCTTTTTTGCATGCGGGCTCGCGGCTGCTTGCTGCTTCCTGTTGTCTCGTCATCTTCCATCCCCTTGTCCCTCCATCCTGTTATCCTTTTCCTATCGTTGTCGTCCTGATGCAACTCGCTCCCTGAATACGAGTCTATCTAGGTACTCCGCCCTTTGACTACCTTATTAAATTACCTGACCGCAATCCTCCGAAAACGTCTGACTGGACCCTGTAACACATGCATCTCCACGTCCCTGTCTGGTCTCAGATCATCGCACATTCAAATCCTTGCCTCCGTTGAACCTGCGAATCACTCAACCATCTCTATCAACGACTCCTCATCCCTCTACAAACCTACTTTCTTCCGTATACACCCGAGCCCTCCCTTGGAACGCACCTCTCCCCCGCATTATACGCTCTGGCATCTGGCCTGACGTCCAATGCTCGCGTGCTCCGAATGAGGTATATTGCCGCGTCGACCAGGGATATGGCTTGAAGGTCGCAGTCTACCAATATCATCATGTCCTCTTCCCCGCCTCCGCCTCGGCGGTTCAAGCCAGAGCCTCTCGAGACCACCACTCGAAGATCAAGACCCGCCAACGGCTCACCTCGCCCCCCCTCTTCAAGCCCTGGTCCAAACGAATCTCGAGCCTCAAGTGCTGACCCGATGTCTTCTCAAACAAGGCCTCGCAAGTCTCTTCCTCAACCAGTTGAGTCTTTCAGAAGCTCTCGTAAAAAGGACGTGGAGCATGTTGAGGACAATACACCGACTCGCCCTTTCACTACTCCCTCGGATTCCGACAAAATCTACAATCATCCTAATCTTCCGGTTGCCTCAGGCAGCGACCCTCCTAAGCCGGCCAGACGCTTCGCCCCGGAACCGGTCGAAACCACCACACGATCGTCAAGAAGAAAGTTCCCCCCAGAACCTATAGAAACAATCACGAGAAGTAGCAAAGACAAAGACACGAACCCAGAAGACCCTGCCGCCAAACCCCGGCGAAAGTTTGCCGCCGAACCTGTAGAGACATCTGTCAGGAGCAACAAAAACAAAAACGTTGATGAAGTGGACGAGACTCAAAGTTCACATCCCCGTCGGAAGTTCGCTCCCGAACCTATTGAGACTACAAAAGTTACCAGGCGCAGACGACATACTAGTGACTCAGACGACGCTGATGAGGAAGCGCCAGTGTCAGGGGAGTCTCTAGCATCTAGCAGGACATCTTCGGGGCCACGAAAATGGCATCCTGAGCTTCTGGAAACAGCCAAGGGGTCCTATCGGAGAGTTTACCCTCCCAAGGATACTAGTCAAGGCCGGCCTCCGCCGTCACCCTCAATAAGCGAAGGAGAGACGGCAGATGAGGACGTTGGCACCGGCGAGTCTCGATTTTCTGCGGCTGCACTTGCTCGCAAACAGTCGAGTCAGAGCCGACAACATTCTTTCCAAGTCCCTGACCTGCCTATGATAGAGTCCACGACGGAGGATTCCGAAACGCCGTCTCTCAGCGATTCACCATCGTCAATCGAAACAGAGCATAGAAGAGAAGATAACCCACCTAGGGAGCAGGACAGCTATACTGAATATGTTCTCCGTCTCGCAGCCGAGACGGTAACTGAAGAAGAACTACAGCAAGCGGCTATGGCTGCCTACATCAACGAACGACCACATGAACCTGTAGACCACTTCGCCTTTACTGACGACGATGGGCCTTTACCTGTGTCCAAGTTTCAGGGCGAGGAGGGAACAGATGCTCGAACATTTCGACGATCATCGGCTGCAGAGTTAACTTTGGAATTGGAGGGAATGCGAAAACATCATGAACAGCTGGAAAAGGCAAAGAAGGGCTTGAAAGTGGATACCGCCGGTCAAAGTCCCTTCAGCGCTGCAGCCCTTGCGATGAGACACAGCAAAGAGTCCAAGGTGCTCCAGAAGACCAAGAAACCAAAACCACTCGATGAGGATTCGGAACTTGCTCGAATGCGAGCTGCAGCATCTCCGCCCATGTTAGGCAACGATCTAATTTTCCCTTACACTATATCGCCGAAAATGACCCGGTGCGACCCAGATCAACCTCCGAGACCAAGGACCGCCGACAGTGATGATGAATCCACGGAGGCGATCAGCCCTCACCTGTGGATGTCTGATAATAAACCCAGAAATGATGCCGACGGAGGTTTGTGGATGGGTTTGTGTCAGGCCGGCATGTGGCAGTCTCAGCCTTCCCAGAATGGTTTACGCAGCGGTATTCAAACGCCCCTGCCACAGACCCCGGCCACAGAGAAATTCAATCCCTTTGATACCCTGACGGTCGGACGAGATTCACTCACCCCTGGTCGTGGAGCCCAAACCCCTGGTCGACGACGCCCATTGTCAGGCATGTCCTTCCTACCGCTCACACCACCTCGCAGCCAGGATGGCGATGAATTCACGAACACAATCGACAAAAAGCTGCAGCTGGAGAAGCAGATCGAAGACGAATTTCCGGCACGAGTCATTACCCAGATCTACAATTATTTGAGTCTTGGATATCCCAGTCTTGCACATATGTTCGATGAAGAGTTGAGCAAGATCAGCAGAATTTCACTCGAGGAGCTGCGGAAAGACGACTATCGAGCAGATGCCAAGGGCTACGTCGGCGCGCCGGAGGGAGACGGATGCAATGAAAGCGAAGTGGTCGGTGGCAAGTGCAAGCGTTGGGAGGCATTGAGGTTATATGTGAAAGAATGGGCAAGGCAGAGTCCAAACTTTGCAGATGACAGAGCACGCGTCATCCTCGGTGCAGATGAAGACTGGGGTGCACGAGCAAGGAAAGGCAGCTGGGGTCAGTGAACCAATTCTTGTTGGGGTTGTTCTGTGTTGGCAATGCTGTACAACATCGGATTCAACAACAAGAAGGCTCCAGGCACGCGGGGTGGGATTCTCTGGACAATATGATGCGCCGTCGACTCGAAGATTGTATAGAGGAAGTTGGATATATTACTGAAGATATTATTCTTTGCCCTCGGAGGCTATCTCGCAGCGGTGTGCTGCCACTGGAGGAGGAGGCGGCATGATCAAGGACTAGTGGGAATGTCATGTTACAGGCTAATTGAGCCGTGTATGTACAAGTACATATTTAGCATACGCTTCGCAAGCAGATAATGATTTGATGATTGCATTGATTCTGAAGACATAGTTGAACTTCTGTGAACAGACTATCAAGAAGAAAAATTGAGAACTAGAAAGTAGGCACGACTCCTTCATATCTTGCTACGATGGAGTGGAAGGTACAAACTTCATCCAAGCAGAACAATTGAAATTCACATCCGAGTGTAAGTTGTTTGGTTTGCCAGTGTGTGTGTGTGATGGCATTCTTGTTGACTTCACTTTTGTGCAACCGATCGTGGGAGAGGAATCAGCCTCACCATGTCAAATCGACCAAGCCACCAGTTTACGGTGCTGCAGCCTAGAAGAGACCCTGGTCTTCAGCGCGACAAGGGGGTCACGACAAGCTGTGAGATCTTACGGAGAACGGAGTGTTCGGAGCATTTTGTTGTCGCCCGGAGAACTGGACTGGTTTCTCACGCACTTACGGAGTACTAGACCCCAGGTACGAGTATCGAGATCCTCGCCATGTTCATGTTCGCAGCCGCTGACCTCTCCCTCTCCCATATTCTCGGGCAGTATCTTTGAGTTCAATGTCGCAAGATGCCCAGTATCGAACAACAGAACTGTGACATCGGCCGAAAGCCGCGCATATTAGGCCCCCAAGCTAAGATATACTTGACTCGAAGGGACCTTGAAAACAAAATCACCGTTGAAACCACAGAGGACAAAGTCACGCTGGTCCAAACTCTCGTTGAGCTCGGATTCCAGTATAGCTCGATGCCTAAGCCTGCAGATGGTTTGTAGTGGGTTTCTATCGCATTCTACTGTACACGCCGCATGAAGAATGGTGGAACCCATATCAGTTTCTCAGGGTGTGCGGCTGAAGAAGATAGTCACAGAGGTGACTGAGATGCCTCCTTCTGGTCTCCGGGGTACGACCGTATTGTACTCTTTTCTTCGCTGGCTTCTCGACTTGTCAAGCTCTTGTACACGTCTCGTACTTCGTATTCACCCTGTAGCCACTCTCAACCAAGTTTGGCGAATTTCAATCACATCTGACCAAACTCGGTACTGATTGATGCTGGCAGTGCTAAGTAGGTGTCCAATCATTGGAACAATACCAAGTCAGACCAGTCACCGTCTTGGGGGCCGCACAGCCACACGACCAAGTAAGTGGTGTCTCTACAACACCTGAGACCGCAATTGTGGCAGATACTTCCCCTGGGAGTAACGTGGCCCAGTATCACCGACAAAGTCTCCTCTATCACACCGTCATCACATTCACCGAAACTGGCAAAGTCCTATGGATCTTCATTGTGGCGCACCTATTGTACCCCGGGTCGCTGACATAATTTGCCGCCATCCCTCGAGATGGCCACAATACGGCCTCTTTAGTGTCCAGGCAAACGAAACATCTGCCATGGGGGCCGACGAACAAGATTCGGAGTGAAGCCGAGGAAACACGGAGTACCCTCATTGCAATGACAGATGGCTATGCGTGAATACCATCGTACCCTGGAAGACAACAACTCCTTGGCCTGTGGTCCGATACGACCAATCCTCCCCCTGGTCCCTTGGTCAGGCTAGCCTTATCCACACCCCCCTCGATTGAAGAGGCATGAGCCAAAATCACCTTTGCTGCCTTTTCGTCATGCGAACCACCACCGATCAACTCAACCCATGATGGCGGTCGCCTACCGAGCCATTGAGAGATTATACAAAAGTCTTCTGGGCCGTACATTGGTACCGAAGGATCTCACCCCTTGCATATTCGCTGCCCAAAGTCCCCAATCAACCTTTTCACCACTCCAGACCCGCTCACGATCCATTCTTTCCTACCGGTGAACCTAGTTCAGGTCTATAACGGCCCCAACGAATCACTTGATTCGACTCACAGCCTTGACCTTCTTTCAAATCGGAATAATACCTGTGGCGAGGAGCGGACAGCCCTCCGTTTACACGACCTCTTCATCATGTGTGCAATCGCAAATCCGTCTGCAACAATCTGAGCGTATTCTCATTGTCCTGTGGGATATATACCGCCCTTCACCCAAGATGAAGCGAGTCACTATCAACTAGGCATCACTCAAAGCAAGGACCCAAGTATACCTTGTGATTCCGAGCACATATTCTTTCCGGCACTCGTTCATTGCTATTTCATCTTTGTCGTCGACGGCCCAATCCTGAAAACCATCCTCACGCCAGGTATCTCCACTGATCGATCTACTGTCCGGCATCCAACAAGTCTTGATGCAATACCAACTGTCTCAAACGCCCTGATCCCAGCTGTCCATCATTGTGTGGATGTCCCATCGCCGCCGCAGAACCATCTACGCCGACGACAACGACGACTCCTCACCTGAACCCATCGTGATAGAGAGAAGACCTCAGGTGCGTACATACCGCATCCTCCACCCCCGTCCCCGATCTCGATCACCAGCCCGTAAACTGACACTGGCGTCCAAGTTGTACAACCTCTTCAAAGTCAGCAAGAAGAAAGTCCATATCATCGAGGAGGAACCCATCCGCCGCCGTGAGCGACATATACGGTCTCCCAGTTTCTCCTCATCATCGACCCCCACGCCGCCGCCGCCACCGCCACCACCACCACTACCGTCAACACCACCCAGAGTTTATAGGCCCATGTCCTCCAGAATGGAAGGGGACGTGTACGCCTCTCTGCCACCGGAGCTGCCACCCAAGGGCAAACATCACCACTACAAAGACGACGTTGCCAATCTCATCGAGCGTATGCCGTCCGAGCGCCTGAAGAAGGTCAAGATCATACACGGCCACGATAAACGTCATCCGGATGACGAAGAAGCTTATCCTCGAGTCGAGGCTGCTCGTGGCTCCCCCCGGCGCGACAGCGGCAAGTACTATGTCACCACCACAACCACCACCATGAGTGACGGTGAGCCGAGCAGCAACATCCGCAGAAAAGAATACGAACGTCACCGCCGACACGGCTCGAGCACAGACAACACCGACGTCGAGAGATTGTACGACGACCTTGAGAGGGAGAAGAGGCACCGCCGCGACGCTGAGAGGGCGGCCGCCCACGCCGAGGAGAAAGCGAGCAAGTACAAGGACCAGCTCGACCGGGTGGAGAGGGAGAGGTCGATCGAGAAGAGGGAACGTGAAATTCTGGAACGCGAAAAGCGTCTGAGTCAAGAGAGAGAGAAGAGGTTGAGTCAGGAACGAGAGATGCAGCGGGACCGTGAACGCGAAAGAGATCGCGCGGCCCATGCCGCCGCTGGAGTGGGAAGAGTAGTGGAGATCCGACCCCGGCCTCCCGTGGTAGCGACAAGGGAGAGGCACGATGTCGTGGTAGTACACAATTCGAGAGATAGGAACAACAGCAGCAATAACAACAGGGGAGAGATGGTGACTGTGGGATCATCGGCGCTCGACAGGGCGAGAAGCGATTTCAACAAGCAACAAAGACGACAACAGTTTGAGGAGAGAAGGCCCCTGACCGGTGGCGGCGGAAGGGGCCATACCGGACCTCCTCATCAGCAAGTTGTCATCATCGATGACAATGCCGACGATGATGATGATGACTATCGCATGAGGCCGCGACGTTGAGAAGTTGTTTCGGTAAGGACGGATATCTCTCTAAAAAAGAGAGACGGCTGGATGTTTGGTGCTCATGGTGTTATCTGGGACTATATGAAAGATCTGTACTAGTTGTGTGAGAGAGTGCGGAAATCTCTAGTCTTCCGTTCTGTGGTTTTGAGGTTTACGAAGGCGTTTTCTTTCCAGAAGAAAAACAAACAAGATATACAAGGTGCTGCTGCAAAGCAAAAAAAAGGGGGGGAGGGAGACAGAAAGAATTGCCATGACCCAGATCATCCTCGAGGATCAGTCAAGGGCGATTGGATTCGGATTTTGGTATTTGACTTGCAGATAAACGTTTTATTGGAGTTTTCTTTTTGGTACGGAGTACAACGGATAAGGACATGGGATACGGGATATAGGGTTTGGAACTTGGGACATGGGGATATGGGAGTATCTGGAGATGTATTTAAGAGGGCATCATGCATGCAACATGGCATGGCATGGCAAGGATCACGAGCGTGAGATATCCATTCTTTCTTTCAATTCTTTTTTTTCTCTTTCAATTCTCAGGTCAGGCCACAGGCCACGCTCGAGCTAGTAGATGGGCTCACGCCGATTCGAAAACAAGACAAATACCAGGTACCCAGGTAGGAACGCATATGTGCATACCTATATGTGATTACATAGGAGCAAATCAATCTGATATATTCTCGATAGCAATCACATACATACTCTTGTAACATGTTCGAGGTAGCAGTACTCTTGCGGGGGGGTTTTTTTTGTACAAAACCAAAAAAACACTCTCACCGAGAGTGACTGCCATGGTGGTTGTCATGTTTCAATTTTCAAGTCAAAGATTGTCCGGCTATGGCGTGCGCCTTGACGCTGCCCTTTTGCTCCTCGTAGGCCTTGACGGCGCCGCTGCCTTGGACGGTCTCGTGGACGGTGACGGCGTCAAAGACGTCGACCTGGGTGGTGGCGAACTTCCTCGCGCTGACCCCGCGTTCGAACAGCAGGTCCAGCTCGGCGAAGGTGCGGCCGGCGGGCTCGGGGACCCGGAAGTAGGTGTAGATGATGCACAGGAAGCAGATGCCGGCCCAGAAGAAGCCGGCGTAGTTTTTCCAGTTCCACTCCCCCGGGTTCAGCATGTAGGGGGTCAGGACGGAACAGACGATGCCGACGATGTTGTAGAGGTTCCGGCCCAGGACCACGGTCTTGATCTGGAGGCGGCGGGTGGAGAGCTCGGCCACCAGGGAATAACAGACGGTCCCCACGGTGAGTTGGTAACACAGCGCCCAGACCAGCATGATGGACCCCGTGGCGAGGGAGGCCTCTTTCCGGTGGGCCTCGGGGACGACGCCCAGGAACCCGAGGATCAGGAGCATGGAAAAGAGGCCGCAGAGGCCCCAGAGGTACAGGGACCGTCGCCCGATGCCGCACGTCATGAGGAACCAGGCCCCAAACACCCCCGCCATGTTGATGCCGTACTGGCCCAGGGCGAAGTCGTACGACGTCGACGGGTCGAGGCCGGCCTGCTCGAGGAAGTAGGTCGAGTATCCGGAAAAGGAATTGCCGGAAAGGTTCTGGATGGCCCAGACCATGCAGACGATCTCGGTCCGTCGGAGGTCCACTCCCTTGAAGCAGTCCAGGTACGACGCGCCGCTCGTGATTTTCTCCTCGAGCGCCGTCGTGTGCACCATCATGGCGATCGTCTCGTCGGCGTCAAAGTCGGTCTCGCGGTTGAGCGAAGTCAGACGGAGCAGGGCCTTCTTCGCGTCGTCGATCCGTCCCTTTCGTACGAGCCACCAGGGACTCTCGGGGGCCAACAGGATCCCGATGAACAAAGGTACAGGCCACCTTACAACAAAAATCAGTGTCATTGGGACCGCCGCTATCGTGGAAAGAAGAGGGTGGGGGTAACCAAAAAGGAAAAAAAAAGAGGAAAACACCTACATCCACTGAAGAGCATATGGAATTCTGTATGACCACTGATCCTGTCGATCTACCAGGGATCTAATGACTCCGATACCGACAGTCTGACCAAGACCCCAACAGAAGTTGACGTATGTGGTTAAATAACCCCGAAGAGCAACTGGACAAACCTCGCTGGCGTATGTGATGGTAAGAGTTTGGAAAACCTAGAGATCAGGATCGGTTAAGAGACGCTTGGATCTGATGATGAGCCTCGGGAGGGGAAAAAAAGACTTACACCCCAAGGAATACCGCACAATATTTCGGCTACTTGCAATGCCACCACGGTCTGCGCGGTGAAGAAGACGGCCGTGAAGACGACAACCAACATCAAGCAGGTCATGACCGTATATCGATAGCCATAGCGTTCCGAAACCCATCCGTTGATGAACAACCCGATGATCTCACCCACGTTGGCACCGTTGCTGAGTCCCGATTGCCACGGCGCGGGAATCTGCCAACTGCCGTCCGGTAATTGTTCACCATATTTCTTCTGAAACTGTGGAAATCCATCTTGGAGCAGCGGAGTTGCGAGTCAGTAAAGTATGTTGGTGTTATTTCCAGGATAGTTGCAGGATGACAAGCCAAAAGACAAGACGTACAAAAGTTGCTCAACAAACACACGTCGTAGCCTTCCATGGCAATACACGTCGAGATGAGTAGACTCCACCCGACGGCTTTTGGGTATAGTTTGATGCCTTGCCACAAGCTCATCTTGTGTTCCTTGTCCGTGGCCCGCGAAGCATTGACGACGATCTCATCCACACTCTTTGTGTGCGGGAGATGGTCCTTTTCCGGAAAATGGAGTGGGTGTTCCCGAGAGCCATTGCTAGGCTCGTGGGTGATGGGATCCTGGTCGGCCATGGTTTCAATATCGACCCTTCTGTGCCCTCTTTGAATGGACCGAGGGTGCACTTCCAAAGCTCTGTGCTCGTGCCGACTTCTGGGACTTATGGAAAGACGAAATCAGAACGAAAAAGAGGAAACGAAATTGGTCCCCCGCGCTGAGTGTCCGACCAGTTTGCGTTTATATACCCTGACAGACTGGGGACCCCACGGAGGTCTTTCTGTTTCTGACGATCGTTATGCACAGGACCTGCAGGGGTTTTAGTTCTTGAACCAGTCTCGACAAAATCCACACCTGGAACGGCCAGAAAGTGTAGCAAGCAGCGACGGTGGGAAATGAAGAAAGTGCAGAGCAAAAATCTGGCATATTTAGTCCCTACTGTCACGCGGGCAAGAAGGGAGCGAGCGGCATCTCCACCGTCAGGGAGGAGATCGATGTGTATACTGTAGGCAATGTGAGCCAGTGAAACGTCGAAGAAAATTCTGGATGGCCTGGTGTCTCCATTCAAACCACGTTAAGCGGTGGTTGGAACGGCCATCCTCGGCCCTAGCTGGGTGGAGGTAGCCAGGTAAGGTAGGATCGTGTGTAATGCATCATATGGGCCATGATTTTCATCCCACAAGCTTTGGGAAATGATGCTTGACCAAAGTCGTCGTATGAGTGGCTGGCGCCGCTGACTTGCATTGACCTTTGTTGCCACCGAAAACACAACCGTCCGGAATGTCGATGGCGGTGTTTTTTCTTCGGCATTTGGAAATTCAGCCGAGTCTGACCATGTCAAAGCTGGAAACCCTCACCGTTGAGTCGCCCAAAGTCATCTCGTCAGACACAAGATTTTCTCGTGTTCCGTGCCCTATCACAATTCTTTGTGTTGGTAAATTGTTCTTCCGTGTTCGAATACTCCAGACTCCAGACTCCGTCAAACATGTGGCACTGGGTACTACAAGTATGTACCTACCAACGTACCTATCCAGATACTTACAACTCGAGATTGGCAGTAAACATATTGTCGTGGCCTCAGGCAAAAGCACCCAAGTATCATGGGTCAGACTGAACATCACATCCCCTTGATGGACATGTGCACAGATCAACCGCCTGGTAGATACCTAGATCTACTTGTACTACAATAGATGCCATAGGTATATATACATCTCGAGAAGACCACCATGACTTCTTCCATCACAGACTCTTGCTCTAGTTGAACGAGTACTTCTGGTCTCTCGATGATGTCTTGGATATTCATGCAAGGTCGGCTAAATATGCGGAGAAGTTGGCGGGTTTCGTCGGCTGCATGTCGTGCCCGCCACGAGACAGATCTCTGTTACGGAGTTTTGTAGGCGCTTTTTGGCCCCCTTGAGGACGGACCAGCCGACGCCCACTTCTTAATATTAATAGAGTACGAATACGAAGTAGCCCGTACAGAGTAGGTGTTTCGAGTCTTGTGTACGGGTCATCGCTAAGAAATCCATCGTGTCAGCTCCTGTTTTCTTGCGAGATAAATACGTACAGTACAGCAATTCTGTAAACCCCTAGATCTGTTCTCCCTTTAAGCTACAGATATTTGATTCAATACATTATTTCTCGCAACCCTTGCCCCTGTCTTCCCTGTTGTGACCGGGATGTCCCTCCGCATAATTATTTTTGTGCACTGGCCCGCCCTCTGATGTCAGCCGCAGTATTGGCACGAAAGTGTATCAAGGCAGAACCAAACAACAAAGAATCAAAACACCTGCCTGCATGACCGTCCAGATTGTATATCTCGTCCAAATTGAATAGCAATCGTCTCTGTCCAACCTTCTCCCAATGTCAGTGCCGTCATGTCCGAGCCTTCTCCCCAGCTCAAGGGATTAAAGAAGGTCCTATCCAACCGTCGCCGTTCCTCAGACATTCCAACCGATGAAAACATCAGAGATTTGCGCACGGATTCCATCGACTCCTTAACGATCGAAAAGTCCCCTACTAGGCATAGTACCCGTTCGGTCAGTCAGGATGGAAGCAGTAAATCCGGCAGTAGTGGTATGCGAAAGCTGCTGCCTGGCCACAGCAAGCGCAAGAGAAGGAAAGTCCACGAAGAGGAGGTGAAGGCTGTTACAGAAGAACTTGCGAGAGGGAGATCCACCGGTTCGCTTGGTCTTCAGACCCCTTCGGACCCGTCGATTCGAAGGTCTAGCAGTGGGCTAGCTGCCGAAGGCGACACAAGCCTCTTGACAGATGACTCTGAGGTTGAAACACCTCCACTGTTTTCGAGAGAATCGCATTCGGGCTACCTGACCATGTCCTCGCCACTGGTGTCTGCGACGACGACTCGCAGCGAAGAACAGCCTCCTCCTCTTCTAGACAAGATCCCAACCCTCGTTGAGCCTGATCAGGCTGAGCGATCAGGATCTCCCAAGAGCCCAAACCCAGAGAATACCCCAACCTCTCCCACTATCGGGCTGGTCGATAGAGCAGACACGCTCCGTCCAGAGTCGAGGAGAAATAGCATCAGCAAGTTGCGGGGCAAGTCTCCTGGGAGAAGGTTCAGAGACGTGTTTGGCAAGTCAGGCAAGAGTCCCAAAGTCAGTCCTGAGCGGACCTTGACAGAGTCATCGGCTACATTCACTCCATACACCAGCTCGCCGAACATCCTGAACCATGTTACAGAAGAGGGAGGCGAAGTCACAAAGTCTCCTGACGAAGTTATCAAGCCCATTCAAGATCGTTCAATGAACCACTCCATGCCGAATCTCGACACCAATGTCAGGCCTCTAACACCTCCCACTGGGCTCATAAGTACACCAGTGACCACCGTCACACCTCCGACTCCTACACAACTGCAAACGGAATTCGGAGGGATCACGGCGTCTCCGGCGTCCACTACTGGTGAAGCAGACAAGCAAGAAGCCTCGCGAATTGTGGTAAGCCATTCGGGAAACATGATCTCACACAGAAGGATAAGATCAACATCCTCGATTACTCACCAGCCGAGCAAGCTGTCCAGCTCAATGACCGCTCCACTGACGCCCACCGACGAAAACAAAGCCTCGAACGGGATGCGCACACCCAGCGGCAGTCTGTTCTCATCCTGGATGTCTGCAGCACAGAATGCTGCAAGTACGATTAGCAACCTTGCTGGCCAAACGCGCGCCAGATCGGGAACGGATGCATCTGGGTCGTCGATTAAGCAGAAGCCCATCGAAGAACCTATCCAGGAAGAAGATGAGACCGCTGTGCCCGAATCACCGCGAAAGCAATTAGCAGTGGAGACAATGGGATCTGGAGATTTGAACTTCGAACATTTAGGTCTAGGTGTCAGTGAGCGAGTAGGGTCCAGTCGACAAGATCTCGCAGAATTGAGGAAGGACTCTGCCCTGGAACGAGACGAGGCCGTCGCTAAAGAAGAAGACCTTCTGGCCAAACGTGCCGTATCGGCTGCATATGAGAAGCCTTCAGACTCGACGACACCAATGGCCGAGATAGCTGACCCTATTGATGGTTTACGCCATCATCAGACCTTTTCAAACCAAATTGGCGGTGAAAGGACCCCTCCCAACGGCAGTATCTTCGAAGGGGAGCCAGGCAATTCGATGAAAAGGACAAACAGCGTTCGCAGTAAACTTGCGAAACGACGTTCTCGCGGCTCATCAACAGCGACTGGTCAGTCCGCAATCGGTGCTATGATAGGGGCGAGCACTGCGGCATTGGCCAATCCTGCAAAAACACCTCGTCTCACAGGTTTCACTATCGCCCCGAAGCAGCGCAACCGTAACTTCCATCAACAATTCAGGAGCGTCCCAGAAGATGATTATCTCATTGAAGACTACAGTTGTGCGCTGCAGAAAGAAATCCTAGTGGCAGGCAGGATATACATTTCGGAGGGTCATATCTGTTTCTCAAGCAACATTTTAGGCTGGGTCACTACGCTCGTAATATCTTTCGAAGAGGTGGTCAGCATAGAACGCGAGAGTACAGCGATGGTATTCCCCAATGCCATCGCCATCCAGACACTGCACGCCCGACACACATTTCGGAGTTTACTATATCGAGAACAAACATATGACTTACTTATTGGCATCTGGCGAGTCAGTCATCCGGCAAGCTTCCAGAAGAGCATGAACGGCAGGCAGCTAGCGGCAGAAGAAGCAAGTCGTGAAGCAGTCTCTCCACCAGTGAATGATGTGGATGCGCAGGCCAGCGACGATAGTAGCAGTAATGACTCAGGCTCCGACGCCACGGATGACAGTGCACCCAGTGTTGTGGAGAGCAATCCCAGCCAGGCTGCGAGCGAGGCCGCAGACGGTAAGACCGTGTCGAGGAAACCATCAGGCATGAACGCAGGCGCTGTTGCTCAGAGTGCTAGTATACTTGCGGGAACAGCTAGCGATGTTCCACAGCCTCTCGCCACCCAGGCCGGCCTGTCAGAAGCAGGCAAGGACTTCCCTGGCCCAGCCACACATGCGCCGACAGATTGTACAGACAGTGCCACACATTACGATAAGGTCCTGAAAGACGAGATCATTCCGGCGCCATTGGGTAAGATATACTCTCTACTGTACGGTCCGGAATCTGGTTTGTTCGTGCGGAAATTCCTGGTCGATGAGTGTAAATGCATGGATCTTGTTCTCGAAGACGACAGAAAGGGCCTGAATTGTGACATCAAAAGCAGGCAGTATACATACATCAAACCTCTAGGCGGGAGTATAGGCCCGAAGCAGACCAAATGCAACACGACCGAGAACCTAGATTTTTTCGACCTCGAGAAAGCAGTTACAATCACCTGCACAACTCAAACACCCGACGTGCCATCTGGCAATGCTTTCAGCGTGAAAACGCGCTATTGTCTCACCTGGGCGCCGGGAAATGCGACCAGGCTCCAGATGAATTGCACGATCGAATGGACCGCAAAATCGTGGCTGAAAACACCAATCGAAAAAGGTGCCAATGACGGCCAGCAACAATACGGCGACGCTCTGGTTAAGGTCCTGAGGAACGCAGTAAGTGGACGGCCACGAGGCACGACAAATGCGAGCAAAGTCTCCAAGAAGGGTAAGAAGAGGAGAGAAGGCAAAAAGTCCAAAGACGAGGTCGTCGAGGAAGAAGAAAAGAAGAAAGTCGAAGCCAACTGGGGTCTGTTTGAGCCGCTCAGGGCGCCGTTGCAGCCTGTGTTGAGTGTGCTAGGCCCAGTCCTGAAGATGGAGGTTCTGGTTGGCGTGCTTGCTGTCATGGTCCTCTTATTGTGGATACGCGGACCCAGCAGAGGAGGAATGCAAGTGAATTCGTACCCTTATGCAGGTATGACGCAAAGCTCGAAAATGGCCGGGTACGAGGCCCTGTGGGCGAAAGAGGAAAACGAATTTTGGGACTGGCTCGAAGCGAGGGCCAGTGTCGATACTGCGCTCCTCCGAGAACAGGCGACCCGGCACAGACAGAGCCCTGGTGGTGTAGGCGGCGACGCGAGAGAAGCTGCCGTGAAGGAGAAGATGAAGAAAAGGTCGAAAAACCGCGCTGTGGCCAACGATGTGGAAGCCAAGATCAAGGAGGAAAAGATCAGTCAGAGGGAGATGGAGGATGCCATCAGGATTACCAGGGAGAGGTTAGAAGTTCTTGAAGATGTCGTGGAGAAGAAAAAAATGTCTAGAACTGCCGAAAAGCAACGGCAGGGCGTTTGAACGCGATCGGCGGGTTGTCGAGAGAAAGAAACGGTTGATACCAGCACCGATTAGGTCTGTCCCTCCCTTAAACGGTCGAGGGTGATGAAGCAAATCCCGAGCCTGGACTGGACTGGACTGAGCTGTTTTATTTTTATTTGTTCTTTTGTTTTTTTACTGAAGCATGATGTCCCGAGCATTTTTGAACAGCGATGGGGGAGGGGAGCTTTGGGTACGTTTGGGCTCTGTGAGCAGCCTACCTGTTTGTTTTCTTGGAACTACAGGCACAACCCATTGTATTTGCAACGGCGCCCACGAACGGCGCCTGAAAGAGTCTTTTTTTCGGGTTGTTCAATTAATTGTTCGTTGAAAGGATAAATACTTCTCAAGTCTCCTTAACCCTGTCCGCTTTGATAAATCTCATAATCATATTGACCAGAGCCTTTCTGACTGTAGTAGGGTCAACCCATCTCTCTCAAAGCTGGAACTTGGTCCTGCTCTTCTCCATCCGTGCCTTCCACTCCCAATCCTGCCCGCTCCGCCTCTGGATGCCCTTGTCCACGCGCCTGAGCTTCAGCGTCATCCTGGGGCCGAGCTCCTGGAGGCCGGCGCGGATGCCCTCGACGCCCTTGACCTCTCGACCGTCGGGTCCGACCACAGACTTTTCGGACTCCCGCTTGTCGCGGAAGATGTAGCGATGCCGCCGGAGGAAAATGTAATCACGCTGGTTGTGCAGGGTCAAGACTTGACGGCCCTTCAGATCGGGCGTCGCCGGGAAGAGGGACCGAAACAGGTGTGCCGTCAGCAAACCCAGAGGGGTGGTGAAGTTGTTCAGGATCAGTTCGGGGATGTGGTCGGTCGCGCGGCCGTGGCCCGGGATGCTCTTGGAGGTGTACCAATTGGATATCGAAAAGTGGAAGGTGGGCCCCTCGGGGAGGTGGACGACCGTCAACCCAGAGGGCCTCTTCTGGTCCTCCTCGAGCACCATGACGGCCGTGTAGGATTCGTTGTGGGCGAACGAGGCGATCTCGCGCACGGAGAATTTGTACCCGTAGCGGTGGGAGGAGCGCCGGATGTACTTGGAGTTGGGGAACAAGGCCGTCAGGATGGCGGCTTCTTTGTGCAGCGTCGAGTTGATCGACGTCGTGATCAGGATCTTCGGGGTGGGTGGAGGGCCTGTTGCGTCTGGCGAAGGGAAGAGGGAGGGAAATTTGGCCGCCAGGGCGGCCGGGGCGAGGGAGAGGTTCGTGGACGTGGTGCTTCGCGTCGGCGAGAGGGCGCGGGGGGCTCTCGAAGAAGATGCAGTATTCATAAGTTGAGACTTGGAGGGGAGAGGGTCGTGGGAGGTGTCGTCTATCTCGGAAGGTTCGAGGTCTTCTTCCTCGGCGTCGTCGTCGTCGTCGTCATCGCTGTCTTCGAGCATGGAATCCGCATCGTCCTCGTCATCATCTTCATCTCCATCCGGTCCGGATCCAGACTGGTGGTGGTCTTGATCAACAGGGAGCTCTTGCTCTTCGGCAAGTTTTCTTCGTTTCAAACGTTCCACGTCGTAGGCCAGTCCAAGACCGCCGTTCTCCGGCTCCTCTTGAACCTCGTCGTACACCCGCTTCTTGTCGATTGTGGCGGGCACATTGCGTCGCAGACGCTCTTCTCTCAGTTGTGGGTTCTTGGCCTCTTCCTTCTTCCGCCCAAATCTCTCTGATCGTTTCAAGGCATCCCGTGCTCGTTTCTGCTTTACGTGCAGGTCTTGCCGCCGCTGCTTGTTGGCGGTTTTGAAAGGTAGAGCAGCCTTGTCGGAGAGTCTCGTGCCCTTTTTGCCCATTGATAGGTTTTTTCTACGATACCTAGAAGGGGGTTTCACGCATTCCAACTCAAAGTGTACAGAAAAAGGAGCAAAGACAACAATGACAGCCGGTTTGCGATCGTCAAAGGAGTCAACTTTTTTTTTGGCGCAGGAGAGAAAAAGTTGGAGAATCCCCGCTGGTCGCAAGGCTGAGCCAGGAGTTGGTTGGCAAGGCTGAAGTAGCTCTAAATTGGTAGCCACACTCCTGTTTGGAAATTATTCCATCGATCGAGTCATCTTTCGTGCTTTTGTGACTCAATCTCTGACTACACCTTTAGCAGCCACTTCTTTCTCACTTTACATGCGTGCTTGGAACGCCTTTTCTCGAGCAGCACCCTTCCGTTCTCCGAATTTTTCTGTCCCTCGAAAATCCTTTTGCTGCTCGCCGTCGGTATTCAAATTCGAGCCTGAACGCAGTGTAAAGCGCTTCGACCCCAAAATGGCCACCAGCACCACCAAAACTGGGCAGGCCATGGACCGCGCCGTTATTGAGTCGGTCTTGAGACGCCGATTGTTCTACACTCCTTCCTTCGAGATCTATGGTGGAGAGCGTGGGCTTTTTGACTATGGGCCGCCCGGTTGCGCCCTCCAAGCCAACGTGGTCGACTTGTGGAGAAAACACTTTGTCCTCGAAGAAGACATGCTCGAGGTGGACTGCACAATGTTGACTCCCGAGGCCATTCTCAAGACCAGCGGGCACGTTGACAAATTTGCCGACTGGATGTGCAAAGACCCAAAGAGCGGAGAGATCTTTCGTGCGGACCACCTCGTCGAGCAAGTCCTCGAGGCTAGATTGAAGGCGGACAAGGATGCCCGTGGGCAAAAAGTCGAGGTCGACGAAGCAAAAGACGCAAAGAAAAAGAAGAAGGTCAAGGATGCCAAGATCGAGAAGCTGGACGATGCGGTGGTTCAGGAATATGAGGAAACGCTCGCCAAAATTGACAACTACGGTGGTGACGAACTTGGAGAGCTTATCAAGAAGTTCAACATCAAGGGCCCAACCACTGGGGCTGAACTTGATCCCCCCAAGGCCTTCAATTTGATGTTCCAGACCCAGATTGGACCCAGCGCGGATGTGCCGAATGGCTATCTACGACCAGAAACTGCCCAAGGACAATTTTTGAATTTCCAAAAGCTCCTCGAATTCAACCAACAGTCCATGCCGTTTGCCTCGGCATCGATCGGCAAGTCCTTCAGGAATGAAATCTCTCCCAGATCTGGCCTGCTACGTGTCCGCGAATTTTTGATGGCTGAAATCGAACACTTTGTCGATCCGGAGGGGGGGAAGAAGCACCCTCGCTTTGAGGACGTCAAACATGTCGAATTGACCCTACTCAACAGAAAGACTCAGCTGTCTGGAAGCACCAAGCCTGATGTCCTGACCATCGGTGAAGCTGTTTCTACCGGACTGGTTGACAACGAAACCCTTGGATACTTCCTCGTCAAAATTCAAGAGTTTCTGCTGAAACTTGGAGTTGACCACAGCAAACTCAGATTCAGACAGCACATGGCCAACGAAATGGCACATTATGCGGCAGACTGCTGGGATGCGGAACTTTTCACCACCTATGGATGGATTGAATGTGTCGGCTGTGCTGACCGAAGCGCCTACGACCTGACCGTTCACATGAAGAAGACAGGCGCACCGCTCCTCGTCCGCGAGACCAGAGCTGAACCATTGGTGATCGAAGAATATCAAGTAGACATCGACCGCAAGAAGCTTGGGCCGAAGTTCCGCAAGGATGCAAAGGCAGTTGAAGCTGCAGTAGATGGTCTGTCACAAGAATTGCGTGAGAAGCTGTCGATTGACCTGGAAAAGACTGGAAAGATCGAGGTCTCGACGCCTGGAGTGGGAAGCGGCACCACAGAACTTGACAAGGATCTCGTCAAGATCGAGAAAAGAAAGCGCACAGAGCACGTTCGTGAATATACTCCGAATGTCATTGAGCCTTCGTTTGGTATCGGACGAATTCTCTACAGCGTCATGGAGCATGTCTTCTGGACTCGGGAAGGCGATGATGCACGAGGAGTGCTCTCATTCCCTCCTACAGTCGCCCCGACAAAAGTCTTGCTGGTGCCACTGTCCAACCATCCGGACTTCAAACCATTCATCAAGAAGCTCACCTCTAAGCTGCGCCAGATTGGGGTTTCCAACAAAGTTGACGACTCTTCGGCAAGCATTGGAAAACGATATGCTCGTAATGACGAACTTGGAACGCCATTCGGCATTACCATCGACTTCCAGACGGTCAAAGATAACAGCCTGACACTTCGTGAGCGCGATTCTACCAAACAAGTTCGTGCTAGCGAAGACGAGATTCTCGCGGCAGTCCAGTCACTGGTGGATGGGTCTGAGACATGGGAGCAAGTTGCCAAAAGACTTCCAATGTTCGAGGGACAAGAGACCGAAGCGACAGAGAAGTAGGTGGAGGTGGATATGCTGGAAATGGTTTTTGCTTTTGTTTTTTCTAAGAGATACCCGACCTTGATGGTGCAATCTTCTTTTTGAGACGACCCCAAAAGTTAAGATAGCACCTCGGAGATGATAGCCAGAGCACCGTGGCGGGAAATGCTAGGCCATGTACTCCACCAAATAGAGTCATGTAGGAATATGTATGAAGGCGTCCTTGAGCATGAAGTGGTGAGCACCTTGCAGTCTCTCCTTGAACCGTGCAAACGATCTCATCGGATTTGACATGGAACTGTCAGCTCTACGAGATGGAATGCCCATGTATGCCATTCAAGGCGTCATTACTCCGTTACTTCTTGTTAGAGGAGCTCAAGCTCGTCCCACCGGAAAAGGAATTGCATTTCCGACTACGGGACATATCACCGTCGCCCACTTTATTGGACTCAGCAAATCCCCCTTGGAATCCGCATGGCTTGAAGAGAGAAAGCCTGTGCGACTCCAGTCCTTGGTGATTAAATGTCCGTCAATCCTGGTCGGGATTGGACGGATTGAAACGAGCCTCCCTCTCCCTTCGTTCTTTACGGAAATATGGCCCCGGATCCTGTCCTACCTAGATGATTACGTCCAACTTTTTGTTGATCTCCCCGAAAGGCTCCCCCTTGGGAGAGTGATAGCTTGCCAACGATCTAGACTTGTGTCAGCAGAAAAGCATGCAATATACGCTCGACTATCTGTGATCGGCCCATGCTGAGCTTTGCACCTATTCTGCCGGCCCCCTTGCCGGGCGAGCGTGGTGTACAACGGCACATAAGTGGAAAGGAACCTCTCCCGCGGCAGAAGAACGTCTCGGTGGCTTGTCGGGCTTGTCAAAGAGGCAGGCGAAAGGTAAGTTTGGGCACTGGTTCTCGGCGCTTGATGTTATTGTTACTACGGTCTGGCTGATTTCTGACGCAGCGCAGCGGCGGTCATCCTTGTGTATCCTGTCAAGGTCGTAAGATTGACTGTACCTTTGCGGCAGACGGTGATGGTCGCCGGCAGGGAGCGCGAAAGCGCAAGTTGGAAGATCTCGAGACCGACAGCCAGCTCTTGTGCCACATTCTGCATATCATCCAGGGCAGGAACAATGACGACGACTGGGCCTCGATCATGTCTTTGATCCGCAGCAATCTCCCACTGGAAGAGGTCAAAGGACGTATCAAGCGGCAAATGATGGATTTTAGACTCCGACACCACCACCATCAACATCATCCCACCCCAAGTCAAAAGACCTGTACGGTCCAAACGAAGGTCTGCACCGTTACAGAGAGCGAGAGCACGAATGTATGATTCAGAAACAATGACCTAATTTCCAGCCATGAGTCTCTCTCCGCTACTACTACTACTACTCGTATCTACCAAGCATCTCCCTTCGAACGCTCTCAGTCAAGACTTCAAGCCGATGCCGATGACTTGAACGACACTTGATCACGTAGATCTCAGCCTTGCCGGGAAGAAAGGCTAGACACCTGTTGGCCCAATTCCGGAGGGGCAGGCGAGGCTCGGCTTGCCATCGTTCGCTCCTGTTGGTGCAACTTCAACGAACACTATCAACACTCACCTCGAGACTTCAATCCCTGTTCCCCTTCTTTCAGTCTGAACTAGTCATACGAGAGCTATTGGTCAGAGTACGAGCTATATACATGGTGGCACACCTCTCTCCACATTCCAACGCATAACAACATACTCATCATCAGCAAGAAGATGACTTTGGCCTCTCAGGAACGGAGTAACACAGCACACACATACATGGATGGCGAAAGGGCGAAGAAGTGTGACCAGGGGCCCAGAATGAGTGTGGAGTTCCGAAGCACAATGCATGCCCCGACTTCCCATTCCGTACGGAGTATTGCCATCAAAGTCACTTACTGGACCCAGCAAACGTGGTTCCCGTAGTTTCTCAGTCTTTTTCCGATACTAGAATCTTACTGCTGTATGCTCACCCGCCTTCACACTGCATAGCTCCCCTCTCGCCGGTTGTGTAGATGTGGGATCGCGAAACACTTGCCTAATGTGGCACACGTAGGAGATGGAAATAAAGTATTTTATCTCCGCCATATATAGTGATGTTTGTCGTATACCTCCTCTCTTGGGTATATATATAGGCCATAGCCACACGTACTAGCCATACACACCTAAACCTGTACTACCGGTCTTTCTGCTTTTATCAGTCATCTGATTTAAGATAGAGTGATCAAGAAAACACACACACACACACACACACACACACACACACACACACAATCCCCCCCCTCATCACCATGTCGGAACTCGTTGTACTCACCTGCGCTTCCGGTAAACAATGCAGCCAGATCATTCCACAACTCTACGGTGACCCAAGATACAGACTCAGACTGGTCGTCCACTCCAGGACATCCCTCAATCGTTTAAAGACCAAGTATCCCGGGGCCGAAGTCGTACAGGCCGAATTCGGTTCGACCGAGGATTGTGCCAGGATCCTCGACGGCGCGACGACCCTGTACTACGTGAGCCCGACGTTCAGTCCGAAGGAGACTCACTACGGCATCAACGTCGTCGACGCCGCGTTGGCAGAGTCACAAAAGAAGACCGGCTCGAGATTCTCACACTTCATCTTCTCGTCGGCCCTCCATCCGGAAATCACAAAACTGTTGAATCACGACCGAAAGCGGTACGTCGAAGAGTACCTGACCGAGTCAATGTTGCCCTACACAATCCTACAACCTAGCCACTTTGCCGACAACGCCATGGCGCATCTCGTCGCCCAAAAGAAGGCTGATCGCGTGGTTTTTCACGCCGCACACAACCCCGACGTCGCCTTTTCGTTCACGTCTCTCAAGGACTACGCCGAGGCGAGTGTGAACGTCATACGCGAAAGGGAAAAACACTTCTACGCCACCTACCAACTGGTGAGTACGATGCCGATGAGGTACACCGAGTACGTCAGGAGTGTCGGCCAAGTCATGGGGAAAGAAATCGAAATCAAACGAGTGTCGTATGACCAAAGCGTCGCCATTATACAAGAGCGTCTTTACGGAAAGGAAGGCGGTAGTGACATTACCCAAACCGTCAAGGACGGGTCGGAACGTCTGGTGTTGTATTACAATTCCAGAGGGCTGTATGGTAACCCGAACATCTTGGAATGGCTGATCCGGAGGAAGCCCACCACGCCGGCGGAGCTGGCAAAGGAAATGATGGAATCGTCGAAGAAGTGATAAAAGTGTGCGCGTGACTGATGTATGGTCGGTAAAACACCAAAAAAACCCCTCTGGCCTTTTCGGAATTGAGATTAAAAATTGGATCTCACCCGTGTCAAAACAATGACATGCTGGTTGTCGTCGTCGTCGTCGTCGTCCTCGCCGTTGCAAGTACTGGTGCGAGATAAGTGGGCGGTACTCGTATTTACTAACAGTAGATCGTGCAATGTTGCCCCAGATTTTGCACGGAGATGATATCCGCATCGCGAATGTTTACTCATTCCCAAAAACGTACGGAGTACAACACCTCACAAAAAAGAGGCCCTGAAGCATTCTCGCTTCCCACCACCGTATTCGTACCCGTACATACTCCGTACCGAACATACAATACCTGCCTCGTCATAATAATGCCGCCTTCGCGACCAGCTCCAGATTTGTCTCCTTCAGTCCGCCGCAATTTATTCTCGGGTCACATATCGCGACGTCCGGCCTCGGGCGAAATGGACCAGCAGCAACAACCTCCTCCTCAGCAAAGACAACCGCAGGGGCCTCGCCGACTGCATCAGCGCAGCGTGTCTACACCGTCTCTATCGCCCTCACCGGCCCGTTCTTCTCCCTTTACCGCCAACATCAACGACTCTCCTCCGCCCACCAACCAAACCAACCCACTCTTCTCCCAGCACGCGTTGCTGCCCTCGCCCCCCGTGCACGCCTCGTTGCATGACAGTTACGATCCCACCATCTCCCCGAACCGCCCTCTCTCTCCTCGTTCCAGTGCGGCCATATTCCCCAACTCGTCGATCGTGGCTTTGAACCCTCTCACCGGCCGCCCTGCCCTACCCCATATTCCCGTGCTTCCGGGACGCCTGCGGCTCACGGATTCCGACGATGACGACGACGAAGAAGCACCACAGATTGAAGATCTCACGAGTCACCATCGCCAGGGCCAGAACATCAGCCAATCAGATCCCTCTGGTGCTGCTGCTGCTGCTGCTGCAACACACCCTCAAAACGGCGGCGGGGCGGTAGATTACGTCTCACACATGGATGAAGAGCACGAGGAGCGAGCGGCCTTTGAGCGAGATCTCAGAGATAGGCTGGCTAGTCATCGTGCGCGGCTGCAACGGCAACAGCAGCAACAAGCGACAGCTCACGGTGCCGCCGTCGTCTCCGTGTCCAACAACCAGCATTCGCAGTCGTCGCGACTCGGTCGCCGCACGCACAGAGTGAAACTCGTCTCTCAGCGCGACGACGGTCCGGACTTTGAAATGGGTTCGGGAGGATACCGTGGACAACAACAGCACCAACACCAAGGCGAGCACGCAGCGCCGCCCTCCTATACCACCAGAGATTACGACCGGGACGAAGAGGAGAAAGACCAGGCGGCCGAAAAGGGCGCGTTACTCAGCATGCTCATAACGAAGCTACGCGAAGAAGTGGCCAGGGCTGAGGACGAAGCTTGGATGTTTGGCGATACTGGTGCCTTCCGTACGGGAAGCAGCGACGACACGGGTTATGAATGAGCCGGTTCTTGCTTCGGCTACGTTTCTTTCTGCAGAGGGCAGACCAACATATTTCGATAGACAGCTCAAACCCGTTACAGATTTACGAAAGTCATGACTTAGATGGGAGTTCACCACGAGATTGTCGTTGTATCCGTTCTCCAGGCTGGGGAGATATTCATGCCACAAGATGGGTCAAACCCTTGACTTGGGCATCGAGATGGCATTCAACCAAGGTGACAATGACGAAAGGCGAACACTGTACCATTGCCATTGCAACGATCAAGACAAGGTCGGTTCTGATTGTTCAGCATTATTTTATCAATCAATCCAAATCCATGGTTGGAGGCTTCTCAATTTCCTTCTTCGCCCCCGTCAGTGGTTTGGGGGTATTCGATCTCGGCGTGCTGCCCTTGCCTTGACCACCCTGTCCGCCACCGAAGAGCATGCTTCCCATCATGTCAAAGAGCGGGTTACCGCCCTGCCGGGGCATTCTGATCCCAAACCACACCTCGCCAATATTACTCAGCGCGTCACTCCAGAGGTTGTCTGCGTCCTTCAGGTGGGGTGCGTAGTACTTGCACAACTGCCGGAACAAGCTGGCGTCGCCTTTCTGTGCCGCCAAAAGCAACAAGCTCAAGAAATTGAGAAGAGGGATGCTGGGGAAAATGCGTAAACTCAAGCCGGATTTGCTCGACTCTATCGGTTGCGACATGGCTAGCAAGTGTGGGTTGGATGTTGTCAAATGTGAGGTGAAGGTGCTAAGGGCAGAATTGGCTGAAGCTAGATTTCCAACCAACAAGTACGGCAGGACAGAGCGAGATGCGTAGATTCCTGCCAAATGTGGTTGGTCGAGACTGTACCAGTTGTAATGTAATGATGCCAGTATCGGGGCGGACGAGGCTGTTCCTAGAACGAGATGTCGTTCTGCATCATACACTTCGCCTTCTGTTTCTAGTCTTCAGAGTCTGTCTTGCCCAGGGTTTCTTAAGAAGACAAGAGCGGGTACATACCATCGGCAAGCACTCGTCCAACTTGATCATGAATCTCGGCATCGCCTCTCTCCAGATCCCCAAACTTGCTGGACCAACCGACCATCTCAGTGATGAATCTTTTTCTTGTTGGCTCTTCACGAGGAAACGCATGTAGTATCTCGAGCAACTTCTTCTTGTTCTCGTCGTTGCAGGCGAACTCGCCCTTGACGTAGACATCGTTCAGGAGCATCAAGGCCAAGTCGCCGCCCGAGCCCCCCTGGCCGGCGCGGAGCAAGAGGAGAGCACCATTGTACAAGACGTCGCATGCGGATGGGTAGTCGGAGGATTTGAGATATCTCGACGTGATGACCCGAAGTTGCTGGTGAGCTTCGTAGAAATTTCCTTCGGCGATTCTATCCCCGAATGTCAGTTGGTGGACATGGACGACGCGATAATCAGGCGACAATTGCAGCAGCAATCGTGTAAGACAGAGTCCAACTCGTATTGGTTTCGATCGGAACTACTGGTCGGGTTTTGGAATGAACCTACTTTTCTTTCTGCCTGGCTATAGTTTTGGCTATTTTGGCCGACATATTTGGACTGACTGTACAGCGAAAGAAGAGGGCCGCTTCGGAAATGCTGCAAAGACCGGTCGGAAGTGGTTTGCTTGCCAAAAGGGCTCCGTACTCGCTTTACGAACAAGTCTACCTGCGATTTACTTTGCATGAGCGTCGAGGCGACGTCACAAGTCTAGCTAAAGCGGCAGGCCATTTCTCCTATCGTTTATGAACCTAGAGGCTAGAACCACCGCTTCGGCACCAAAGGCAGCGCGGGAGTAAATACTTGCAAGTGTGGCTTGGTGTCCCCTGCTATCGATAAGCACCTTTTTGCACAGTGTCCTTTCGGCCCTCAACTGCGCACTGCGGTAACTCTCAACTGTAACAACTTTCTACCGAAAAAAGTAATCTCATTCCTTTTCCTCGACTTCATCTCTGCCAACGTCGCGCATCCTGAACTGTGCCCCCCCGGGTAAGAGTTCTCATGAGGACAGGCCCTTTTAATTTTCAGTCTCCGGAACGACTACGAAGCCAAATGCGCGAAGCCACGACCAACACGACCTCCCATCCTTTTGGCAGCAACACCTAGACACATTCATTCGCCGGCACACCTACCACAGTTTTTGGAACACAAGAGACCTTCGGCTTCGATAGAACCATGCAGTTTCTCTCTCTCTTGATCCCGATAGCCTATTTAGGCATTCTGATCGGCAGTCTCGCCACGTTCTCGCACCTCTACCGCCAACGGCAGATCAAGTCCAAACTCAGATTGGCACCGTACTTTCCCACGCACACGTCCCGCAATGTCTACCTCTCGCTCCTACACATGCAGGATTCGGAAGACGTCAAGGTCCCCGAGACCGTCCTGCGCGCCGCGTTGCTGGCCCGCGCGGTCGAAGACTGGCAGCGGATCCAGGAGATCCGGACCCGGAAGCCCGCCCTCGCACAACTCCTGCAGCGCGGCGTCGTGGGCGACGAGATCTTTCAACGTCTCCAGCGCGCCGAGACGGAAATCGAGCTCGAGGTGAAGGACGTCATGAACGAGGCGAACGCCCTGGCTCCGAATTGGGGCAACCACATCTTCCAGAGCGCCAACGAGATGCTCCTGAACAAGATGCTGCGGGACAAGCTGGAGGTCGTCAAGGCGACCCTGCCTGCGGAACAGGAGGCGTGGGCCGCGCAGCGGGAGAAGTCGAGGCGAGAGCTCGAGGGCGACGACGTGGTGGCCGCCGCCGCCGCGCAGGAACAACAACCACAACAACGTTCAACCGAAACCTCAACGCCGGAAAAGGAGAAGCCTCTTCTGAAAGCGGGGAGTAGTGACGAAGACGGTGTGATGGTCGAGACGCCTGCTGCCGAAGTAGCTGCCACCGCCGCTGGTACCGGCGGGTCCAGTGCTAATAAGAGTAAGAAGAAGAAGGGGAAGAACTGAAAGTATTGGTAACAAATGTAACAACAAAAAAGCCTTTTCCGAAGAAAAGGGAAATTTTATGAGCGCGCATAGCAGGCTGTCCACTGAGACACAAGATTTGCATTTGGCATACTTCAAAAACCCGGGGCGGAGTGAATGCATGGATTTTTCATGCTATGATACAGGTGCTACTACTATTATACAATTATGTATGCTGACAGATGCCACATTTCTACTACACCAAATCTCCTCCTAAGCTTCTGGGGCAATTTGACCTCAAAAGTCACCGGGCCAGTCGTGCTGAATCAGGACCTCCTCTGGGACCGAGGCCTCCATTTCCTCAGCCACCTGTGTGACGTCCTCCAGAAGACTGCTGCCATCCATGCCCATCGTCCTCATCCTCCTTTCAATGACCATGCAGAGAAACGTGCCCAACGCGTCCAGCCGAAGTGCCTGGGCTTGTGGACTCTCAGCGTCGCCAAGTTCTTCAGGATCCATGTCCGCATCGACGAGTTTCCTGTCCAAGATCGTCACGAAAATGTTGGTGAGTGTGTGCAAGGCCCCTTGGTATTGTGACTTCCTCAACGCCCTCAACCCCCTGTCTCGTGGATGCGAGTGGTGGCCCGCCGCCGCCGCAAAGTCGGCACCGAAAGACCTGGCCACCGAGATGAGGATCAGGCGCATCGCCTCCTCGTGGGGCAACGCCCCGAAAGATTCCCGGAGACCGTACATGGCGCAGAGGACGCCCTCGACGTCGGACGTCAGGCAGAAACAGCGGATGATTTGCTCGTAAAGTTCGTGCGAGAAATCATTCCGGGCGGCGTTTCTCTTGGGATCGCCTGCCGAGGCGAACCATCCTTGCATCTCTGCAAACACTCTTCGTGCACCGGGAAACCCTTTGTCACCGGTTGCGGCGGCGGCGTAAGATGCCTTGGCCGTATCCCAAAGGGCGGCAAAGGTCTCTAGGTCAGGTTCGATGGTCTCGGTCAGTGCCAGGTACTTGGCCCAGACTTCGTGAGCATCGCCGGAGCGCAAAGAGGCATAGAGCCAGTGATTCATGATGAACGAGTTGGGTGTGATGTCTGCCGAACCGATCATGACATCGGTGAGCTCACCCGCTTTCGCCAACTCTGACCGCCGTGTATAGTACTGAAGTAAGATCGAAAATGTCTCGATGGTGGCAGGGGGTGCACCTCGCCGCAAGAAGGCGGGAACCTGTCTTTGCACTGGTATCGGTTCTTCCTCTCGTGCCGTCGTCGAGGCCTTGTAATCGCCTTGTGCAACATCTCGCTTCCGCACCATGTCGATGCGCGCTTGTATCATGCTCCAAGCAGTACTCTCTGCGGTCTGACGGGCAGTGGGCGATCCATTACGAAGATATCCCGCAATGAGCCCGTTGAGATGTCCGGCGTCTGGCCTCACACCACGCTCGTACATGAGCTCAACCACTATAGCAGCCTCATCGATTCGGTCTGCCCCGATGAGCCACTTGAGCCAAGATCCGAAGAAGAATTTGTTCTGGTACGAGCGCGGCAGAAAACAAAACGATGCAAGACCGACCTTGTTGATGAGATCCTCTCCCGGCAGTTGCGTATCCTGTAGAGTCTCGACCATATCCTTGAAAAAGCTCCACGAGTCATCGGCTTTCTTGTGCTTGAAGATGTACATGTCCTTGAACACTGCAAGCGCAAGTTCTGTTCTTCCAGCCTCGAGCAATGTACCACTGATTCTGCCCAGTATATTCAAGATCTTCTGATCGTCTTCTTCGTTTCGTTCCAATATTCGACGCAGTTCCAGGTAACACCACCAGGTCTTGGTGGGCGCAAAACCGTTTTGGCTTCTTGCCCAGGCTGATATGACCAGCACCAAAACCTCAGGGTCTACCAAGGTAGTATAGTTGTAGCATTCAAATGCAATGCTCTGTGCTTTTTGAGGCTTTCCCAGGTCAGCATAGATTCGAACGCCGGTCATCCAGAAAGTCGCCGCAAGGTCCTCTTTGTTTCCGAGACTAGTTTTGTGTTCCTCCCAAGCTTCTGCTGCGGTTGTAAGATCCCCAACTGCTTGGAGAGCATCGATATACTGTACCAACTCTTTGTCGTCGAGTTGAACGTCTGCACCCATCATATCCTTGGCCAGCATCTGCAGATGTCTCGGTCGATAATACTTGGTGCTTTGAGTCTTCCACAAAAAATGCCAGACATCTTGAGAGATGATGATGGCGAAGTTCGAGACATGTTGCTGGCATCTGAGATACCACTTCCACAACGCGAAATAAGATTTCTCGTCCGCATTGGGTTTCTCAGCTTCTTGCAAGGCCTTGTTGAAACGTTTGACATATATCTTGTGAGTTGTCGGTATGCTCAGCGTAACCTTCAATGAATTTTTAGCCTTAGTCGGACGCCTTGTGCCTTCTTCATCTCTTGCCAGCTCTTCAAGTTCTTCATCGCTTATCAGGTCCTCGGTCTTGGGCGGCATGACACCCTCCTCCTCCAAAGCGTTTAGCAATACTTCTCGCTCGTCCGGAGGAAAGGAGCGCATGAATTCGCTGTTGGGTCCAAAGGGGCCCTCTCTCAAGATGGCCAACTCCCGATCTAGTTCTTCCAGCTCTTCTCGCACTTGGTGACCTTCCATATCCATGTAATCAGGCTCGGCTGCCCTGGTTGAAGGATCGTCCCCTTGCTGCTCGAACTCATTGACCTTGACATGGCTACTTGGCATAGACGGAAGAGGTCGCGAGGCTTGTCGAGCGCGGGAAGGGCCATGCTGAGCATGATCATCCGCATGTTGGAAACGGGAAGGGCGAGAGCGAGTCGACTGCCTATAAGGGCGGATAGATTGGAGGGATTGAAGGCATGTTTGATGCCCGACGAAGCTTGGTGACAGACAAAACTGCTGATGCCATCTCTTCGACAGCTGGCAAATGCCGCGCATGGATACTCGTCGCCTTATGGTATTAACGACGTAGAGGTTGCAGTAAAGAGAGTCTTGAAACTGCGGAGGAAAAAAAGTTCCCCCATCGTCAAATAATCGTATCGCCGCAGTTGCAAAGTGGAGAACGCGCTTTCAATCAAAGACGCGCTGCGCTGCGCTGTACACCTCCGACCTGCAAGACACGGCCCTCGCGCTGGTAGACATTGTCATAGCTGAATTGATGGATGCCGAAGAAGTCTATGTCGATGACAATGCACATACAGTCAGAATCTTCTATATATGCCATGACCCTTTGTACTAACGTGAAAGTAGGGGTGCTACATCTTCAGATCTACGGACAACGAGCAGCAAGATGAACTAGATCAACGGCCAAAGAAACGAAGAAAGATTGGAGCCTCCAGCCATGACGCAGTGAACAAAGATGAGGCATTCACTTGGCCAAGACTCCTTGGAGGCCAGGAGTCCCCTGAAGGCCCTCATCTTCGGCAGCAGTTGTTCGAAGCAGTATGGGCTGAACAACAGGCGAAGATTGACGCCGTCACAGGGAGAGTCGACGAGACCTTTGTAGATGAGATGCTTGAATATATGCGCAACTATGAAGTGGAAAAGTCCGATGGCAGGATTGGTACTGGGCTAGTCGTCTCTACCCACGGCAGAGACGCATACAAAGACCTCTTCCGCGGTTGGGAGAACGGTCACTCTCCTACCTCCACAGATCTCTTGATACGACTTCAACCCAGCCATGCACCGAGCCTCCAGATCGCGTTGAAGAACATCATCAGGTTCGCCCTATCTCAACGACAGGGCATGGATGAATACAACACTTTCCTCGCGGCCAACAAGGGTATGATTCCGATGAGCTTTGATCTTGAATTGCTCCATCGCTATTCAATAAAGCACGATGTAAACAGAGTTCTGGTCTTCGTCTCGGATATTGAAGCATTTGATACTGGTGTCTTTTCTGAGTTGGTCGCGACATTCAGCTCCTGGACAGATCGAATACCGTTTGTCCTATTTATCGAGATATCAACGACGATAGCACTATTCGAATCGAGGCTTTCCAGGTCGACGATTAACCAGCTTGATGCTCGAGTCTTCGAATCCTTGCACGCCGACAACCAGAACGATCTTCTTTTTGAAATCTACGCCACGATTCAGGACTCTGGCGCAGATGTGTTTATCGGTCCTTCCACCGTTGGAGTCCTTGCGGAACTGGCGCAAGACCAAAGCTGCACGACCGAGACTCTGCTACGGGCGCTCAAATATGTGTTCATGTCACATTTCTTCGCGAATCCTCTGTCCGTTCTTCTTCGTTCCAATACTGATACAGTATCACCTGGTGTTCTGTCGCTGGCGCAGATTCTTCGTAACACCCCAGGTTTCCGAGCACATTGCGAGCACCTTGCAAACGGCACAAAGGCTCAGAGACAGCGACTCCGAGCTCTTCTGAGCTCAGACGCAACACTGGAAACAGAATCAATCCAGTGTCTTCGTGCAGGCCGTGAACGGATGCGTTCCATGCTGACAACAGTAACCTCCACGAGATTTGTTTACCAGCACCTGCATGGCACAACAACAATGTCGTCGTTCGAAGTTCAAACAGAGCTACTCGCCTCCCTGCCAGACTTGTCTCAGTCCGAGATCTTCAACGACATAGAAACAACCATTAGATCGATGGGGACTTTCAAAGACTTCCAGGATTTTATATCTGCGATATCGGAAGCGTTAGAAGACCTCAACGCTTTCGAACCTGACTTGGAGGACTACGGAACTGATCAATCAATTCCTACCCTGAGCTCCATCCGAGATGAACTCCAACTTGACCTCCGGAACAGAGATTTGTCCGAATTGACAAATGCATTCTTGAACCTACTGAATTGCTATATTCAGTCAAGAACAACTTATACGCATGCAGGCCCAGAAGCAATCCCCTGGACCACCTTCATGGCCGAGGCCTACATATACAACCTCAAATCACCACTAAACGCCATTGTCCACCCTCGCACACGCTATGCTCTTGAACGTGCTCTGACGCGCCCGTCAGACTATCTGGGTTGTGACTGCTGCATGCCAGATAAAGGCGCCGTTCTCGATAAAACAACTTTACCACCAACGTGCCTACTGCTCAGCATGCTCAACGAAGCGGGAACCGTGATCAACGTGCGTGATTTGTGGGATGCGTTTCGGGGTATGGTGGCGCCCTCGCTTGGGTATAGCGGGACTGAGCAGAACGGCGACAAAGATTCAGAAGGCAATGAAGAAGGTCTTGAAGACATGGACGAGGCCACAGAGCGCAAAGCCCTAGCTTTGTTCTACCGCTCTGTTGCAGAGTTGCGGCATCTAGGCCTAATCAGGCAGAGCAAGAGAAAGCCAGGCGTCGACTGCGTTGCAAAGACAGCTTGGATGGGCCTATAGTCAGATGGCCTTGACAACGACAACGATAATCAACGGTCCAATGGTACGCTGAGATTCCTTCCTTGATTGGGTTTTCGCCGAGCACAACAACCAGCGTATTCGGGCCTGGAAAGTAGTGAGTCCGGCAGTATGACTAGTGAATACCCAGCCGATTCAACGCCTAGCCATGCGTACGAAGACAATGACGCCAGTCGGAGACGGTACGCAACGATCTGATATCGTTGAAGGCGAGATAGACTTGGACTGCAATGGAAGCAATACCGTCCAGTTTAAAGAGCTGTCCGTGACTCCGACCCCTGGAGTGGAAGCTACATCGACTGAGACATGCTCAAATCGAGCTCCTGAAGCATATCAGTTTCATCCTTGTCCTTCATGTTGACACAGTTCACGACTGATGAATGGTATGGAAGAAGTGCGAGAAACTAGGAGCAATATTCGATTAGCGCTGTGTCAACAGGTGCTCGGGTAACGGATATCGGGAGACGACGTTTTCAGAGAGAAGATTGATTCAACACAGTGGGATTTGAGAGTTGGAGCAATCATCAGGGCCAGCTTGAGGCTGCTACCAACGCCACTTCAGGCTAAGGATGATACAAATGTTCATCATAGAATGGGAATGAGGACAAAAGGCTTGCTTACATGTCCGCACATCCTGTGCCCCAAAATTGACAAATACCATCGTTGCTCATAGGCCCTGGCGTATAAAGTTCTCCAGCTGTTGACCTGCCCACTCTTATGGGTTACCCCAGCTTCGGCCAGAGAAAGCTTCTCGGTGTCGCTTGTGAATTCGCTTGTGAAACAGATTCGTCGTCGTACATGAGAGCGTCAAGTTCTTGTCCCTGTTCCGGGAATGCATCATCGAACTGTCGACTCCCTTCGGAAGCGACTGCTTTGTGCCTGTTCCCGGCATGCATCCTTTTTTGTCGCTTCTTTTCCATCTGCTGGGCAGCACGACGTTCGCTGAGTAAGCGTTGAATTTCAGAATGTCGGAACATCTTGATCTGCGCGTCCGTCAAGGTCCTCTTCGTTCCATCTTCATAGAAACCCAGCTCATCGCAGTCGCTTTCTGGAGCCACAGAAGTAGTTTGCCTCTGTTTCTCGGAGCGATTAGCTAGCTTCGGCGTAGTTTGATGCGGGAAGTGAGCGGCGTGGAACTGCTTTAGACGATCTATCTCAGCTTGATCAAGCATAGCGTGAGATCAATGCGTCTGCGGAAAGGAGTCGGGTACTTGCTTTGACAAGAGTTGATTAATGAACATGGCATCGACAAGAGGACGAAACGGATTGCAGATGACAAAGCCGGTGCCAAGAAATATTGTTTTGCTGTAACCTTCAACTCAATTATGGAGTACGTACGTACTATCAAGGATACAATCCGACCACGGCTGTTTCACAACACAAATACCACTGAAACTTGTGATTATTAAAAGTTGAGTAAACAGAAAAAGAAGGCATCGACCATGGTCCATTTTGCAGACCTTCTCTATTCAGCAGAATCGAGCGTGAGGCTCTCAGTGTGACTGGTGGAATGCGCCCGGTCAACACGAAAGTAATCGATATTCCTTCCTAAAGCTTCTACTTCAATCCTCGGTTTTGAAAATGCGTACTCAGCCTCAAGATACAAAATGATTACAATGGCTGCCTCCAGAATGAATCGAAGGTTCTGCGTACCAGAATGAGTATATATCTCAGGTTTGCCCAACTTTCCTGCATTCTTCTTCCATTCAGCAATACATTACAACAGGCTTCCTGTCTAGTATCCAATATATCAGCATAAGTCGAGAGATCTGTTCAGTAGAAACTCCCATCATGCCAGGCGGTCTCATTCTGTTGACGGGCGGTACAGGCCATGTAGGCTACAGCACCCTCATCGAGGCTCTCTCAAAAGGTTACAATGTTCGCGCTGCTGTCCGATCCGAAGCCAAAGCTGCCGAGATTAGAGCAAGCAAATCAACGAAACCGTATCTGGGTCAGCTCACCTTCACTACAGTCCCCAACATCGAAGAGAACGGAGCCTTCGATGAGGCAGTCCGGGGCGTCGATTACATCGTCCACATTGCGTCCCCTCTCGGCAAGAGCGGCTTGGATTTTGACACGGGCATTGTGCAGCCAGCCATCCGGGGAACCTTGAGTATTCTGCATTCCGCGCTTCAGGAGTCATCTATCAAGAAAGTTGTCATCACCTCCTCCGTGGTAGCTGTTCTCCCCTCCGAACAGAAACCCTTCACAGAAGACAACATCGAACCAGATCCGCAGGGCCCATACCCTGACACCTTTACCGCATACATTGCGAGCAAAAAGCTGGCCTACAACCGAACCAGAGACTTCATTGCGCATGAAAAGCCCTCTTTTGACATTATCAACGTCATGCCAACGTTCGTCATCGGCAAGAACGAACTGGCAACAACCCGACAAGCTGTCGACAATGGCTCCAATGCCCTCGCCCTGGCTCCTCTGTTGGGGAAGCAGAACCCAACTGGAACGCCCTTCATTACGTGTCACGTAGATGACGTTGCTTTTGTACATATCGCTTCGCTCTCGCCCGAAATCAAAGGCAATCAAAACTTTGGGGTCAATTCTATTGAAAAGACACCAGTCCAATGGGACGATGCCATCGACATTGTCAAGAAGCACTTTCCGGAGGCAGTCGAGAGAGGTGTCTTTCCTCTTGGAGGGTCTGCAAAGTCTTTCCCATTACCTTTCGACGCAAGCAAGACGGAGAAGACCTTTGGTATCAACTTCAAGCGCTTTGAAGACCAGATTGTCAACCTTGCTGGCTACTACACTGCGCTGGAGGCCTGAAGATAAACGAGCGAGGTCCAACTTTAGAGTCTCGATTAATTGGCAAACATAGATCCGCAACTACATAAAGTATTAGTGTTTATAAGATCATTATCAAAGTATTAATATGGCAATCTGGCTCAAGATCATTTCGAGTTGAGGTTAACTGGTCCTCGTAGACCGGTAGTTCGGCAGGAACTTTCCCCGGAGTACGGAGTATCTTCCGACGTATATTGCGACGGATCACGATATTACGCGCACCAAAACTTCTTTCTTTGTCGCTTTGACTAACCCAAGCTGCACTGAAGGGCTGGCACAATCTGCTTCAGGTTGAAATACTGTCGCGATCTCGGGTTGCAACTCCGCCAATTAATAGTTGGGCTGGTCCAGCAGCGGCCCTCTACGTCGTGACGTCTTTCTCCAGATTTCCTCTCCCTGACATCACAAGCCTTCATAGCGGCAAGAAGATGCGCTGCTTCGCCCGGTGTTTTGTTCAGCTCAATCCCTAACGAGTAGCTTGATCACACTCGTCGGTCAGTTTTCGCTTACTGCCATTAGCGTCTGTATATACCATCACCACCTTCCGAACCATCCCCAAGGCAGGAACCTCAAATGAGTTCAAACCCATCCTCCGGCGAGATCGAGATGTCCGCTGCCTCACGCGCCATGCTGGGCAAGGTTCGCAAACTCGTCCCTCCCATGTTGGAAAAATTCCACAAGGGACAGTTGGGTCGAGTCGCCGTCATCGGCGGCAGTGCCGACTACACCGGGGCGCCATACTTCTCCGCCATGGCGTCGGCGCGACTGGGCTGTGATCTGTCCTACGTCTTCTGCGAGCCGTCCGCGGCCCAGACGATCAAATCCTACTCACCCAACCTCATGGTTTCGCCGATCTTACGGTCGACGGCCTCGATCTCCCCGGCGCAGAAAGAGCGGGAGCCCACGGGCGAAGAGCTGGCGAAACCAATTCTAGATATGCTACCACGTCTACATGTGCTCGTGATAGGGCCAGGCCTGGGGAGGGACGTCATCACGCAGAAGCAGGTGAAGGCCGTGATCCATGCGGCTCGAAAGCACGACCCTCCCGTGCCAATGGTGTTGGACGCCGATGCTCTTTGGCTTGTGCAGACGGACCCGGACCTTATCAAGGGACACAAAGAGTGCATACTGACACCCAACGTTGTCGAGTTTGGCCGACTTGCAAAGGCGGTCGGCACAGACCAGGACAACAGTGATCCGGCGAAAGCATGTCAAACTCTCTCCAACGCTCTGGGCGGCGTTTGCATCCTCCAGAAGGGAGCTGTGGACTACATCTCGCAAGGCGTAGACACCACAATATCCGACTTTCAGGGTGGTCTGAAACGATCTGGAGGTCAAGGTGATACCCTGACTGGATCGCTGGGAACGTTCTTGGCCTGGCGAGAACTCTACCATGAAGCGCTTTGGGACATTGGGCCTGAGAAAATGACCCGGGAAGAGACCCTCTTGGTAGCGGCGTTTGGCGGAAGTGCCATCACGAGAGAGTGTTCACGACGTGCCTTTGCAAAGCGACAAAGGAGTTTGCAAGCAAGTGATCTGACCGAAGAGGTTCATGATTCGTTCCTGGCACTCGTAGGAGAACCAGAGGAGCTTCCCAAACTTTGAGTGATATTGCATTGAGCGGCAAGGAACGTGTTTTGTCAACGAGCAGAAAGATTGTTCCACCAAGTCTGTAAAAGTCGCCTTAATTTGTACTTATTGCAAAATACAAGATAGCGATGTTTTCTGAACCATTTTGGCAGACTAAATAACTCGTTAGCAATATTGCAAGTGCCGTCATCACATTTAAAGTCTTTCCGCAGCCTCTGAATGGTGCTACTGGGAAGCAGAATCTTGAGAATAAGCCCGGAAGAAGCCGCATGGTAAGAGTACCATGGCGGTCTTGTAGCTTTCATTTTGTATCGTCGATTTGTGAAGTTCACCATATATACAATGCGATGATGGGCGCACCCTGCTATGTCTGCTGTCTTAATCGTACGCTGAGACACCATTATTTCTTTTCAATCTTTCAACCCTCACTCTCTCAGCCTCTTTACTCTCCTCTTGATAGAACTTCGCAAGCGCAGATAGGTCTGCGGAGCCACGTCCGGCCGATACGTTATAGGGAGAACCGACATTGAAAGATCTAGACACATATCCGTCAGTTCGGGGGTCAAGGGGTTCCCAAATTGTCACAAAGCCGCTTACTCTGGATATCGAAGTGTCGGGCCACTATCGTCACGCGCGGTCGCAGCAAATAGCTGGCGATCCGAGGCTGCCTGCTCCAGCATCGTCATGTAAACGACATTGTTCGTCTCGTCGGCTTTCTTGTTGTCTTCGTATTGTTTTACGAGGCGGGAAATAGCGTTATCGTTGGGAGAACTCGAAATCGAATACACTGCATACGCAAATGGGATGAGGGCCAGGCTGAAGTAGAATCCTCTCTGTGGTAAATATTAGCCAGTGCACATCTCCCAGAGACACTTTCGACTTTACGCTTAGCGACTCGTTCCCTGATCCAATATCGACATGAAAAGCGCTCTCTTTAGGACCCGTATGACCGTGTCCATGGCCGTGGCCAGCTTCGTGGCCGGCATTTCTGCGTGTTTGGTGCTGTAGTGATCGTCTCAAGGGACGAGCTGCAGCCCTCGCCCCTCTTGAGAAGAGAGTCATGGTTGTATGAGCGGCGGGAAACTTGTTCGTAGGGTCTCAATTGGTGCAGCTATGGACATTGACGTCTAGAAGACCAGATCAGTTGCCAAGGAGCTAGAGCGATTTTGGCCCAGCCCGCTCCGTTGTTTTTCCGGCTTTCCCTACGCTGTATTGAGTTCAAAAATATAGGAACCACGAGGCACCTGTTTTTTGCTCGCTACCCAACCCAATCATCAACCGCCACGAGATGGACGTGAGATTGATGTGCTACTGTGATGCTCACTAACGCAAGTGATCACAAACATAGTTCATGCAATGGCAGAACTTTGGTTGTGGAGAGGGAGGACTTCTCTCTCGTCAGTACTTTGGTTGGGCAGCAAGAGCCCTACTCTCTTTCGCCACAATCCGGTTTTGGTCGAATGCATACTGACTGTGACTGTTCTTTTGCTCGCGGGTATAGCTCAGTCGATGTAGGGCTTAAATCCCATGCGAAGTTCTTCTTTGCGCCGGACATTCTGTTCTTCTCTCGACCCCATCTCTACTTGATGTACAACTAATATGTAAATAGTATGAAGCCACCTAAAACTGATCTTTTGACCTGTTTCATTTATAGCTATACACTCAATATTGACCACACAGTCGAGCCTTTGAACTGAAAAGCCACTGAAATGTCTACAACATCTTATCAGACCAACGCCAAACCCCGAAGTCGGCGTGGCAGCCTCGGTGAAAGCTCTGATCGGCAACCCGGCAGTCGCCCATCCAGTTCGCCTTCTTTGAGGTTGTCCAAAACTCTTTCACGGACTCTTGATGAGGTTTCAGTCCCAAGAAACAGCAGGCCAACGTCGCCTGCTGTGTATGTTTATCGACCAAGAGGTCACGACCACAGGCAGTCTGACCCTCTTTTGAACTCATCCAGACGTTCTGGAAGCTCCATCAGATCCACAAGGTATATCGATTCAGTTATCGAGAATGATAGACCGAGGGTCACAGAGCCTATAAGACAAGGCACTATCATCGCGAACTCATCCCAACTCTCGAGTCAAACGGTCGAGTCTGCTTCGGACGCTGCTGTGAACGCACAATCGCACCCTGAGCAGCTGTCACCTCCATTATCTCCTACAAGCACCGAGACTCTCGACAGCGATGACACAAATACAGAACCCACTCGATCATTGTCATCTCGATCCATTCACTCAATGCAACCCACTGTAGCTGAGGAATCGGAGGAAATAGTGACGGCTGTTCTTGGGACCAGCTCCCCGGGATCATCAACTGTCTTTCCGGTCTCTTCTCCGACAATAGCGACGTCGTCAAATGCCTTGCCCATCCCTATTGTACCAGGCGCCTTTCCTCCTACAGCTGCGACGGATCCAGATCTCGGCTTGGCCGATCCTAAGTCGATGGTCACGGCCGCAGCAGCTGAGCCTCAGGTCCAGGATCCCTTGCTCGCGCCCACTCCAAAGGCATCAATAGCCTTCATCGACCTGGGCGACACCGGAGAAGTCGAGAGCACCGTTCCCATAACCAATAATTCTGCTCCAGATAAAGCAACTTCAGATACCAAATCACGTACCCCATTCACATCACCGCCACGATCCCCAACATATCCCCATTACGCAAGCCGCCCACCTTCTCAGCCTCCACCAGGCCTTTATCCCTTCCCATATCCCCACGTCATGAACAATTCACCTTACCAACAAGCATTCTACCCCCCCTTCCCTCCATCTAATATGGGCTTCACTTTACCAGAAGCGATTGCCAGAACTGCTCCCGCAGGTACAGAGGAAGAGCGCAAAAGATTGTTGGAAAAAGTGTCCAGCGTACTGCCTGATATCAATCGCCTTCTGCACTATTATCAAGAAAGTCAAGGTCTTTTGACGGAAAAGGATCACCTTGTAAAGCAGGTCGAGACACGGCATGAAGAAGCGATCAACAAAATGAGGATCGAGCTGAGTGTCACCAAAGAGGAATACGAGAGGATCATTGGAGAACAAGCTGGTGAGAACTTGCGACTGAAAAGTGATGTCAGTGAACAAGCAGAGAAAATCTCCCATTTGAATGAGATACAAGATGAATTTGCCAACCTGCAAGGCAGACATAAAGCTTTGCTAGAAGAGCTAGAGGCTTCCAAGGCTCTTAACGAGGAGCTAACGATGAAGAAAGGGCACTTACAAGATGAGATTGAGGGCCTTAAAAATCAAATCGACGCCATCAACACTAGCCATGAGCGACTAGTAGAGGATATGAACGAAACACACGCGAAGGTTGTCGCTGACAAAGATGATTCTTTCGCCAGGGTAGTGGGCGAGCATAAGTCCAATTTGTCGAAAATCCAACTCGACTTGGCGGGGATGATCACAAAGCATACGCAGCAGAAAAAGGACCTTGATTATGCTCGTTCGGCCATCATAGACCTCGAAGGCTCGCTAGCTGCAAAGGACAAAGAACTCGACGACGCACGGGATTCGCATGAACAAGTGCAGGCAGCATTAATAAGCGCAGCCGAAGAGAAGCACAAGCAACACGTGCAGGAAACAACTGTATGTGCTGAGAAATTGGCAGAATCTATCAGCAAGCATTCTGCTGAGGTAGAGTTGCTCAAGACTTCCCATCAGGATGAAATGGAGCGATTTCAGCAAGCAGCGGACCAAGAGCGATCGAAGCTGACTTCTACACTCGAACGATGTGAAGCACAACTACAGAACGAACTTGATGCTGCACAGGCCACTATGGAAGACTTGAAGAGCGAGCTTGATAAGGAGCGAGGTGCTCGCGAAGCAGTAGAAGCCAAGCTTGTGGTCAAGACACAGGAGCACAGTATCTTGAAGGAGCGTCACGAGACAGCGAATACTCATCATGCCGACCTGGCCAAGGCAATGCTAAGTTTAAGGGCCAAACAGACTGAGTTGCAACAAGAAAGCGAAAGGATGGACCAGATCTTGCAGAGTATTGGAGAGATCGGCCACGGCAAAGGAGATGCTTTCTTGTGAGTGCAACTTCGCTCCTTCACAGATGATCGTCTTATTCTATCTACCAGGCCGGATTGAACACACGCCACTGACTGTCGGTTGTAGTATTGAATCTTTTGATCGGCTAGCGTCTTTGATAGAAGAGGTTTCGAAGCACTTCGTGATCGATCGGTCACGGGAGGCAAGCAGTCCTGGTATCTTCTACGACAAAGCCGAGGTTCTGGGCATCAACGACAGCGCAGCCTCCTCTCGGGATCTACAGAGTCTTGTGGTCCAAAACCGAATATGGACAGTGCTCCAGAGACGTATCTTTGAGCCTTTTCTATTCACTTCCGACTACGGCGCCTTGGAGCAGCTTGGTATAGGCAAGAGTCTCAAGATGGTATCTTGGTTGATGAGACGAAAGAGTCTACGAAGAGAGGCGATTTGGAGGAGTCTCACAATGCAAACCCTATACGCCAGTGCCTATGGACGCAAGGCTGCGGCAGCCACAGCGTTGTCAGTCACGAAGGAAATAATGCGCGACATTCAGGCCATCATGGCCGACGATTCCCACTCAGCACTTTTATGTGGTGTTCGATTAATCGCCAAAGCAGCCATACAGATCTGGCGAAGAGTCCGCCTGGAGCTGGACTCGGTTTACTCCACTATGACTATGGCTCCATCTCCAGGAGAAGATGCGAGTCCGTCTGATGTTGTTATGTGGATTCGACCACATATAACAAAGGAGGGCCTCATGGGAGACTGGTTGTCAAAAAACATGACACAGAGTAGTGGAGCGTTGGGGAGTTCTTGCGTTTTCCTGCAGGGGACAGCTTTGCGCCCGAGTCCTCCGCTAGTACTAGTCGAGACACCATTAGCATGCCAGGATTACAATAAGGTGTAGTCAACTCTCCGTACGGAGTAGCTAATCGGTATTGTAGAGGGTTAAGGCAGGGCCACGAGGGTGTTTTCGGTACTGTAGACTCATACTCGTATGTAAAATAGTGGATCTGATGGAATCTGCCATGAATCTGCCCGGGGGGGTGGCATCGGACAAGAGAGATGGCCTGGTGCGGCTGTGCCTAGTAAGGCTGATTCAGGTGGACATTACCTGCAGTGTGCCTCGTGCGCTGGTGGCTTGGAGACTCTTGACCAGGCCAGTACTTTTGCCTTGCGGTATCGAAATCAAGCACCATGGAACGTGGAGAGTTATCCTTGGTAGTTATTTCATGGCTACTGAGTTCATGTCCCAAGTACTCCTATATGGTTCGAGTACGACACTCATCATATTGTTGCTCAGATCGGTTGGCAAGAAGATGCCCTAACTCGTCCCCGGGCCCCCTACGAGTACGAGTAGTCACTCACCGGTTAAGAACAAGCTATGCTATGAATAGCACACCCCAGCCCTTCAGCAGCCAGTAGGGGCACCGGCCATTGGATCTAGCGTGTTATGCCGTGGAATTAGGTCATAGTTCTGAAGATGTCTGGGTGACTTTAAAGCATTTAGAGCTTGGAGAGCCCGCAAAAGAGCCCGTTCCATCCCTGCAGGTGGAATTGGAGCAAGCCCGAAACACCCACTGAGCGATCACCATTAGCCGAACTGCGGCGCGGCTGTGTTCCGTTTGACACTTGAACATCCAACGCTCACAGCACCTGCGCGTGCGACAGGAATCCCATCGGTCCTATCTCTTGTACATCTTTCCATCCCGCCCAAATGCGTCATTGTAACAAGACGTCCTGTTGTCTGCTTCTCTCACAAGTGCCTCTAGAGCCCGAACCATTCATGGAATGTAGACTATTGGGCCCGTCAACTTGTTAGGCTGTCCCCTCCCAGTGCGCCGCGATCTCACCACTTCACCAGACGGACCCCTTCGTTACCAACCGTCGATTCCTCTCGATTCCGCCGCAAATCTGCCCTGCGACCTCCGACCCTTTGCCCTGCTCCCCGGCCATCCCCTACCCACATCAATGCCCTTCAGCCTCTAAAACTAAGGAGGACACGATCTTGCGACCTCTCAGGAACCCCCGAAACCCTCTTGGTCAAACATCACTGGCTGGCATATTGGCTGGCCGCTCCAGTACTCCTCCATAGGCATCTGTGTTGCTCTGGTATCATCGCTATTTTCAACAAGACGATTTCATTGATATCCTCCGAAGTCTCGTGGTAATCACTTGAGAGAACACCCCACTGACATTGATATCGGGCCAAGATCTGCCCACGACTCACCGTTCCGTATTGAAAAGCAGGGTCGGGCATCTGAAGGGAGTTTCTGAACCTCATTGCGCTATCCTGTACGAACGAGATCTGAAGTGCCTTCTGCACCGCATCACACAGCCTCCCGACAAGTGGACTAGTGTCTGGCCATGCACCTACGCCTTGAGAATCTGGCCCCTACTGGACTCTTGCTGTCGAGGATTCGAACATAGGAGGACACTGTCGCCCTAAAAGAGTTGTTGAGTAGCATCACACGTAATATGTCTTCTACTACATCGCAACATCCTGTATTTACCAGGCCTAGACTGCACTCTCCTCAGCAAAGCGTATCGACAACATTCAGAGAACGGCGCTTACAAGGTCAGCACGGAGGATCTGCCCCCTCCCAGTCTCATGCACACCAGCGCAATCCGAGCGTGACTTCAAATCCCGTGCAACTATCACGTTTGGACAGCGACCCTATTTGCGCCGAGCAGTTCATGAGCTTGCAGGCGACAGCCAGTCCAAGCTCCTGGAATACACCAGCACACGGGCATTATATCGAAGAAAGCACTTCACACCACGATTCTTCCTTTGATGACATCTTCTCGACCGAAGGCTCTTCCGAGAATCACCTAAGCGAGGAGACGACTCCGCAAGAGTACATCTGGGAGCAGCAGTTTCTTGCCTATGACTCTGCACACCTACACATCCTCGATCCGTATTCAGCCACGAGTTACGACCCTACCTCAAGTGCGCTCAGGCCGACAGAATTCGAAGACGCCTTTGGATCCTCAAATGACCCACTCGCAAAATTCTCTTCTAGCGAGGACCTACGTAGCCATCTAATGGACACCGCTGCGCCTTCGTCCTTCCAGCCGTCTACGCCCGCCGAGTGTGGCAACCAAGACTCCCTTCGAAGCATGTATACTTCCTCGGTCCCATCAGGCACCCTTCAAGGGAACAACTCCCAAACGCTCCGGGTGGATACCAACCGCCTCCGCACGCCGTCTCCCAATCATAAAGTAGGCACTTGGCAACAGACGACGGCTGGTAAACGTGCTCCGAGCCCAGTGGTGATGGTCTCCAGCTACGAGGCCGGCGATCACGGATTTTCAAGCAACATCCAAAGCACTGGTAAGCGCGACCGTGGAAATGCAAGCTCTGACGAGAACGAAGAGGAATTGTCCGACGGTGGTGATGCGGACTCGGAAAGCGGCAAGGTGGAAACCGTATCTCATCTGATGCCTCCTGACACCAATGATATTGATCGCTCACGGCATGGCTCATCTCAGAGGGAAGGACTTGACCCTTACGTCAGGACCGATGAGGTTACTCTGTCAGTAAAAGACATTGAGGAACGGCGACAACTGGAAGAGAAGAATGCTGAGGTGCAGACGTGGCTCGTAACAAGCGAGACCGGTAGCGATGTTGGTGAAGACTTTCATTTGGCTCGACGTTCACCAAAAGGCAGCAGGCGCCGTGCTCATACCGTAGGGGCACAATTCGACGCGTTAGGCCGAGTTTACCCTGACACGCATATACCTGGACCAGGTGTTTCCATTCAGGTTGATAGTGAAGAGGAATATTCCGATAATGAGTCTATATCATCGTCACAGGCGCAAGACCATACACAACAAATGATTACCCAATACCACGAGACTGGCCCATCTAGCATGTCCCCTCACGCTCTGGAAGCACTGGAATCATCTGAAAACGCTGCGTTCCCTACATTGGAGGATGAGATCGCACCTGATGAACAGGAGCCTCTCCCTCACCAATTCTATCGTCGTGGGCCATGGCAAGACCCAGTTCGTGGACCCCCGAGCGGCACGAGGGAGCAGCCGAATACGTCAAATGCAGCTGCCTACAAGTTCAACCAAGAAGCGGTCAAGTGGGAAACAGCATCTCGGGCAGCAACTTGGGGTACGCGTCGTCGGCTCAGCGAGAGTGAGGTGAGCTCGATTGTAGAAGGAAGTCAAATTCGACATCTTTCCCTGTCCAAACGAGGTCGTGAACGTGGCAATAGCCTCTTAAACAAGGCGCGAGGCCTGTTACCGCGTCGCAGTAGCAGCAACATCAAGGCTGAGCAAATCCCAGAGAAGGGGCCTGCAACGAGGACTCATACTCATCGGAGTTCTGTTGGCCAAGTCAAACCAGCTCAACGAATGCCGAGCTTTAGCAAGCCAAAATCACCACCGCTTGACACAGGCAATGCTTTCAAAGCAATGACTGATCAACTTGCACTTATCGGGCGAGGAAATACGATTAAGCAAGAACCGGACACGACAACCAAAACTTCTCGGTTGAGGAAAAGCCGTAGTAAAAGCGACACCCACAGACACACGAAAAGTCCAGGGTTGACAGAGCTTATGACGAGACACGGTGGCCCCCCGGTGCCCACGCTTGCGTCTCCTATGCACGAACGAGAGCCCATTCTGGCGGCGCAGGTAATTGACAACGAGGATGCGCAAGCAGACGATGACGACGATGATCAGACGGACGAGGTCGCAATTCGGATGGATCTGACTATCAAGGCCGAGGATATATTGCCCACCATCGAAGGTTTCAAAGATCATACTCGCAAGTTAAACCCGAGGCTTGAGGCATACTTGATCGACCGCATCGGGCAAGACCAAATTCGACGATACAAAAAGCTTGTCGAGGCCAAGATTAAGCACACTCGTTCGGTTCAATTGAACAAGAATTGCACCTCTGGTAAATTCTGCTTCGAACTGGGGGGTGATGCGTCGCTATTGGCTCCTCGTGTCAGTGGCAAGGACCCCGACTCAACACAGACACAATTTCAGATCACCAGTCCAGCTGACGATGAGATTGATGAGTCAGGGCTTGCCGATGGGGTTGTCACGCCTGCTTTGTTCCCGCCTGGCATCCCCTTGCCACCCGTGAAGAGGCTTCCCGCAGAGTTCGAATGCCCTCTCTGCTTCAAAGTAAAGAAATTCCAGAAACCTTCAGATTGGACCAAACACGTGCATGAAGATGTGCAGCCATTCTCCTGTACTTTTGCAAATTGTCCAGAGTCCAAGTCTTTCAAACGCAAAGCAGACTGGGTGCGGCACGAGAATGAACGGCATCGCCATTTGGAGTGGTGGAAGTGTAGTGTCCCAGAATGCTCGCACGTGTGTTATCGCAAGGACAACTTCGTACAGCACCTCGTACGGGAGCACAAGATGACAGAACCAAAAATCAAAGGTCGAGGCTCTGGCAGCAGTAAGATCAAACCTGCGAATTCTACCGTGTGGCAATCTGGACAAGAGGACAATGAAGTTTGGCGGTTGATAGAAGAGTGTCGCCACGAGACACAAAGCAAGCCAAAGGACGAGCCTTGCCGATTTTGCGGGAACATCTGCTCGAGTTTCAAGAAACTCTCGGTCCACATGGGAAAGCACATGGAACAGATCGCAATGCCGGTGCTGGATCTCGTCAATATGCGACAAGTATCACCCGATACAATCGTAAGCCCTATCGAGCAGCCACCTGCAATTCCGACGACATTCGCCGCGTATCCGCTGACCGCGAACAACGTCGACATGAACAATCTGTCTCCCTACCCCAACAGCGCAGCGTCCGCTTATCAGACTTCCTCTGCTGGGCAGTCGCCGGCTTCGATGCCCAGTCGTATGCACAACGGAGGCTTCCACTTCGAGCAACAGGGTTATTACAGTCCACACACCATACCTTCAGCAACACAGGCTCAATCACTGAACGATGTGTGCGGTGGTACTGGGGCTTATGCGCAACGAGACCCCAATTTCATGGGCACTGGGGATTATATGTCTTCTAGCCTTGGAACAGGACAGGAGCATAGCCTGTCCCCACAGGACCAGCTTGCCATCCCTCGATCTCAGCCTGCAACAGCCGATTACAGCCATTCAACATTTGGATCGGCAGGAGTTGACTTTAACCAAGCATCACTTCCCACGATTTACACCAGCGCACAGTCGATGCAAGGATACATGCCACAATATTCTCACTCGGTGCTGCACGGTTCTTCGAGCCAATCACCGGTGGCCATGACCGACGCAACGGGACTTGGACTTGCAAACATGAACCAGGCTTACGGCTACAATATCCCTAGTAACGGACATGGTGCAGGGAACATGCGGTACCAAAAACCATGAGGGTGCGACTACGTGCCCATGGGAAGCAGACCTCGCGTAAGGCGAGTTTTCGGCTGAGGACGCCCGGCCGTGGCAGAACAGACAGACCACTGAGAGCGACGAATGTTTCAGAAAATTTCCAGTTGAGGCTGGTCTAGTATTTGGAAATCATCTATCACTCGATCTTGTGAGCATAATTCTTCTTGTATAGATGATACCCCAGCCAGCCATGAGTGCCAATGGCCTTTTGCTGAAATGATTACGACAATAATGGATAGGATGATGAGTCGATGATTTTTTGTTTGAAAATGCAAGGTACGCTTGCAAAGTGCAACATTTTGTATTACGCGGGCGGTTTTTGGTCGGTTGAGTAGTGGAATTGATAGGTCATCACTCTAGGCTAGATTACAGTATGTCAGCCAGGTAGTCAGTCCGTCCTTTGAATCCAGAAATCCCTTGCATGACAAAAGCAAAAGTGTCAAGTGTCGAATGCTACCTTGGTACGTTGGAGTTCCAAGGATGAGCTTGACAGCCGTAGCGGTATCGCGGTATACGAACATGTATGGGACAATTGTCCCATGATCATGGGAGAGGGAGGGGGAGTTTGACGAGTGGTAATCGTACTGTGTGATGGTATCAGGCAACGACGCCAGCCTGGAGGGGCTTAGGCTAGGCAGACTTGCAGAAGTGCTGGCAGTTTCTCCGTACCGAAGAGCCGCCCCTACAGAGTTACTAGACCTGCTACCCGTACAAGACCCCCTCCCAGACCTACCAGACCTTCCTCAGGTACCTAAACTTGCCCCTCGTGACCGAACTGATACGAGAAGCAAGCACTGCTTCGGTGCGTCACTCCCAGCGTCGATTCCTGCCTGGCACACCGGTTTGGCTCCAACTTCATCACAAATGTGCACTCGAATCAACCACCCTCTCGACAAGACTCGCCCGGTCTACCCACCTTCGCTCTGTCCATCTCTCGCTTCCTCCTTGCCGACTCCGACGACCATGCGGGCATGAGGCTCTGTCGGGCACATTATCATCGAGACTTCTTTCTATCATCCTCCTACACAGCCCCAAAGTTTTCAACCCAACTTCTCCCTCTCTCGACTTTCTGGTTCTTTTCCCTCTTCCTCCTCGAACCTCACCTCGTTTCCTCGGGCAAAACTGGGCGGCTTACTTTGCCTTTGCCTCACCGGTCACTGGCTTCTTCTTCCCGACTCTCATGGCACCCACACTGCCATAGGCATACCTTAGACTGACTGCACCGAGGCTGAGTGCCTGGAAGTATCAACCGACGACTGAGTTAGCATTCTGACAACTTGCACACCTTCCCCCAACTTATCACGGGCATTGTCTAATCAACTCCGAACGGGATCGGTCGATAGTGAGTCTTCCCGAGCCAGGAACTAATCGCCTCACTTCTTCATGCCCAGAACTCTCGTCGAAGACTTTGCCGGACGATGTGGCTAATCCACTCATAACAGCCCTCTTCTTTCTCTTTCTCTACTCCTCAGGATGGAGGGAAATTCATCCCAGGTCTTTCCAACACGCCCTCGAAGGCTTCGGAACGCCAGATCAAATGTAGCTATACGCACTGCCTCCTTACCCTGACCACACTTTCCCATATCTAACCTGTTCTGCCCCAGGCATCGATAGCTCTATCTCATACCGGCGGCGCTGCTGCGCTCGACACAGCCATCGATGCAAACACAGATTTGACGGGGCTCCAGTCCCCTCTGGACGAGATGGCCTTCGCGAGCAACGAGGCCGCAGGGCTCTCCTTCTCAATTTTAGGATACGGTCTTGTCGACTCTTCTGCCTCCTTCATACCGTTCTCTCCCAGTGAGTACCGCCAAGGCAACGAACAATATCTTGTTCCCAGTCCTCACTTGCTTGCATCGCATTCACGGATCGTGGATCCAACATCGACTGGTCTCTCCGGGGCCGCACATCAACAATCGAATTCCCGTGCACCCGACGCCATCCCGTGGAATCATCTAGCGGCTACTCAGGGCGGAATACGCGACCTCTCTGATGACGTCCAGACCAGGATACAACCAATCCCTAAGCTCGCGATCAATCCCGGACACAGAAGGACCTGCTCGACATTCAGTGGACAAGACTCTGTCGAAGATTCGGCTTATTGGACTGGGCCAAAAACATACCATGAAGCGGAATCGGTGACCAGCTCCAGTGAAGAACAAATGGATCGGCAGAACAAAAACTACATCATGCGTATGTCCACGCCGACTCAAACAGGCATATTTCAATCTTCTCGCTCGTCAAGCACTATCACGCCGGCTTTATATAGCGACCTCCCACGCCAGTCAAATACTTCCGTCCCAAATGCCTCCACACCACTCGACAATAATGCTGAGGACGGCTCAGAATCCTCGACACTATACTGCGACGAATGTAAGTATGCAGGAAAGACGAGGTCAGACATGAAGTAAGTAACTCCCTGGTTCTTTCTGACTTTCTTCTAACAGCTCAGAAAACACAACGCCCGCCATGAGAGGAAATACAAATGCCATTATCATGCATGCTCTCGCCGCAACAAGGGCTTTGCTACAAGCAATGACCTCGATCGCCACTTGAAATCAGTTCACCATGTGAACAACCGGAAGACCAAGTATTACAAATGTTTCGCAAACGGCTGCCCAAGAGCTTCAAAGTTGTGGCCGAGACAGGACAATTTCAAGCAACATCTCGTCAAAATGCACAAAGGCCAAGAAGAGGACGATCTTATGCGCCGGTAGGTGTTTCCCGGCACAACTGCAATGCTAGGTACTGATCTTCAGTTTTAGATCCGAGCAGTGGTATGCCGAGTTTCAGCGTCAACGACAAGCTGGACCACGACAAGAAGTCGAAACACAGTCACAGACAACTACAGATGAAATGGTCGCCGATATGGCTAACATGCCTGTGAGACAGCAGCTCGCTGTCTACAACTACCCCGAGTCAACAGCGTCCTACAATTCAGGACCGCCTCTGGAATTCTCGATGGTCCGAACACAGAGCTTTGACCTACGGAACATTGATCCAAGGCTATCTAGTCCATCAGAGCCTTGTGCTCAGAATTCTGGAAGTCAACGTCGACGAGACTCGACGCCGGTGAACCCAGCGGATCTGCGTCAGCAAATTCTCCCTTCACATGCCTCGAACACCCAGAGTTTTGCACCCCCTAGAATAACGGCAGTAAGGCCACGATCACAGACTGGATTTGATCAACCTCTCCCTACATCCAGAGTGTCAACCGATGCCAATCTCTCCAACAAATATAGCTCTGTTCATGAGCAGCCGTGGACTGGTGTACAGTCCCATCCACCGGCCATGAAGGTGGCTCGCAACGTCAAGTACGCGTGGGAGAACGAGCAGATGAGAATGATCCGAGGACCATATACTGTGGCAAATCCTTTCTTGGATGTAGGTAGGATGACCGAGGTGCCATCACCCCAAGAAGTCCAACCAGCAATGCTGCACGAATTAAGAGGCGAACAAGAAGATATTGTGATGAACGCAGACGGAGGTGCTACCGGCGATGCTGTGACTCCAATCTCGCCTCTGTGTCCACAAGTCAAAGTGACTCCGCCAGAAGGAGAAAGCAAACATGATACAACTCGTCTCACCAAACGTCTTGTGGATGAAATCGCCCACATCTTGGGTGAGCATCGGGCATTGTCCAACAAAGACGGTCCAAGCCTCTTCAGCCTCTCCGAAGAGGAGCTGCTCGCGCGTTTCAGGTCGAGCTTGCGATCATCTGTGAGCAGTGTTGGGAGCTCATCCCTGAGCCTAGTTACTGGAGACAACAAAGATTCAGAAACGTCTGCCGTCAAGAAGTGTCCTGCCACGAACCAGACGTATCACATATGTCAGCAATGTGGCAAGATAAAAATGCGAGCCAGCGAGCTGAAGAAACACATGCAACGTCACGAAAGGCCCTTTGGTTGTACCTATGACCAATGTAACAAAACCTTTGGAAGCAAAAACGACTGGAAACGGCACGAGCAGAGCCAACACGAACAACAGGAATGCTGGCGGTGTCTCAAGTGTCGAAAGGTCATCTATCATGGTCAGAATCACTATGTTGAACATATGAGACAGGTACACTGTATCGATCGGATTGATGGGACTGAGCATAGTCCAGGGAATCGGAGGATTGCCAGAAACCATCAAGGAAGATTCTGGTGCGGGTTCTGCAAGACCATCATTGCCGTCACGCCTGATCTCGTAGGAGTGGATGCAATCACTTATAGGTTCAATCATGTCTCGGATCATTTTGTCAAGGACAAGATGAACATAAAATCTTGGGTCGAACTTGACGCAGGGGGCAAGAACAAGGGCTCCCTCATCGAATCCTCAACCAATTCGACACATGACACCCCACAGGAAGCCGATGAAGACGAAGAGGGAGATAAGGGCGATAAGGGAGAGGGAGAAGACACCATAATGACCTCGTCCTATTCCGAATCCGACAGCCCCGAGTCCTCATATCTGCAGGGTGGATCTTCGCATGAAAAGCAGACGTCGCAGTTGACTTTGGCGGAGCACATGATGCTTTTCAGTGGACCTCCTGTTAACAAGATCGATGCCCAAAGTCGAAGGTCCAATGTCGGGAAATCATCGCCCTCGTTGCCGCAAGGGTACGTAATCAAATGCTGTCAGTGCGGGACCTCTGCAAGCTGGTCATTAGGCGAGGTCTGCATGGACTGTGGTCACAAATTCTGCACAATCCGGTGTAAATCAAAAGTGCCCAAGGTGAAGGATTAGAAAGAGACCATTCTCTGAAGGCAGGTTCTGAGAAGCAGGTTCGACATGATATTGTCAATGATGATGAGTTGGCCGCCTTGTGGCCCGTTTACTGTCCTGGCCTGCCGGCCTTCTGGCGGCCGTCTTCACCACACATCCAAAGAGTTTGCTATTCTCGCCTAGAGGCTTGCTTGCTGTTTTAGCCTGCAGCCGTGCCTGCCGTCCTCTTTACCACACACCTAAAGAGATGGAAAGATTCGGCCTGGACGCCTGCATCCTCTTCACCAAGCACCCAAAGAGGCGCAAGGACCTAGCGCAAAAGCTAGAGATGCCACTCACTATCGGCTTTTTTTCCTTCTTGTTGTTGGTCTCTTTGGTTCTCATTACCAATGACCATACAATCAGCCGCACATCTATTCCGAATGGCAGCTTGACAATCACATCTTTCGGATTTAGTCGTCCCGCTGAAGATACGAGATGCCGGATAATGGAGTATGAGAATACGAAATGCGTGGTTTGCGATGTTCGGCCATGGTTTGTTGGTTCACACTGTGGAGGAACTCATCTTCGACAGTTTTGAGGACTCCTTTTTTTCAATGTTTTTTAAGCTGGAGGGAGACTTTTTTTGCTTGAGCGCGTTTTGGAATACAGCACGGCATGAACAGTTTATGATATGATAACGACCATATATTTCTTGAGCGCACTTTGAGATGACGGCCTTGGATAGTTTTATGACAATGACAATCAGAATTTTCTTAACGACTCACATAGCAAGGACATTTACACACACACACACACACACACACACACACACACACTTTGTTTACCTGCCTAATACATGATTCATTCATTATTGAGCACGGTAGTACCCTGAAGTTAGGTCGGGTACTTTTATTAGTGAACAAGTAAGTGTATGGTGTACGGTGGGCAGAGTATGTTGTTTTTTGTACTTGTACTCTGTAGGTAAGACAGGGATTAGTAACTGATTAGGGGTTGGTCAAGTGTTTTTTTGTGTTTTGTTTTTTGGGATTCCATGTGAAAGAACTCTGTAAATACATATGTACAGTATGTACAGTACGGACTACGAATATCGTTGACACTGACATTGACATTGACATTTGGAAACTTGTCAGTGTCTGTGTCAGTGTACAAAGATCTCCCCATGAATACACGGTTCACCATGTGATCCCATTTCCTGGGAGTTTAGAGTTCGAGTTCATGATGGGAGAAATACCTTGTTGTACAAGTAGTATTGTATTGTAAGGGTCCAGAATAGATAAGAATGTTTGTTTGTTTGTTTGTTGATTATGATTGATTTTCCTCGGGACATACCAACTAGGTACCTAATAGGTATTATTTTGTTGTTGTTTTTTTTGTTGTTTTTTCCCGGTACGGAGTAACAAGTTCTAGAATCTAGAACCTTGTCTCTCATCCTTTATTAATGTACTCTGTACACCCGTACAACTTACATACATGTGACCTTCTGACCTTGTGATGCTTGAAGGGGGGGAATCCAAGTAACGGTTGGCTCGAGGATGGGTTACAGTAGATGAGTCTGTCTGTAATGTATGTACTCTTTAATAAGTGTTGTTGTTGTTGTTGGTTGTTATCGTCATGGTGGGTTTTTTTTCATACTCTTGTAGAACCCATGAGATTCCAATGAAATCGGGGAGAAAAACAAATAACACAAGGCTACCTTTCACTTTATATACGGAGTACCTAGGAAGTATGTAGTAAGAGGAAAAAGAAAGATGTTGACACTACATGGTCCTTACCACTATACCTTTTGGTTCAATAGGGTACCGAGTTAGCGATCAATCGACGCATACGGAGTGCAGTAACGTATTAAAAAGCCATACTCGGTAGGTTTGAGAAGACCAAAACCACAGTTTGTACGGACTACTCTGCAAGTGCAAGAGGAACTCAAGGGCCAAGGCCTGGCTGCGTTTGAAAGGCAAAAAGAAAGAAGGGGGGGGGGGGGAAGGTCAACTTTGTACATACGGAGGACGGTCTCACGCTGAAACAAATTTCCAAACTTCCTCGCGAAATGACTTGGCTTGTGTATAACGGGCAACTGAGGCGAGGCGAGAAGAGAGCCTCGAGGTGTCCGCCGCCGCCGCAAAAAGGATCTCTGCACGAGGGCGAGAACTTGGCTCTCTCTCTCTCTCTCTCCCACACACTCGCGCAACATCACCAGCTAGCTAGCTAGTTAGCTAGTAGCCTCACCTTTTGTTTCACCGATAAAAAGGGTATCTACCACCGAAAGTACTCCCCGTACTCCCGTACCACTACCACGACTACACGAGCTACCAATGTGCAGCCAAGAAAAGACATGATACTGTACAGGGGGCTTGGGTCAAAAGACTAGTGTTTGACAACGTTGCGGACAACGTTACGAGGCACTCTATACTCCGTTGTAACATGGATCCCTTTGAGAGATACTCCGTACCTAAACTGTAACTGCTTCATACGGATAGTCACCTTGTTTGTTTCCTAGCTTAAAAGGAAGAAAAAGAAACAGTGGACGATGACCATGAACGTTCACATTCACTCGTCACTCTTTCAGGGTAGTTAGATATTTCAAGAGCAATCATGACAACTCGGTTGATTCAAATGCCTTTGCTCAGGGTTGTTGACGGACTACTTGCAACCTCGGAATACATTTCTTAGGGTCAAACATTCTTGATTGTCTTCCCAACTCACCAATTTTTGAAAGAGCGAAATACACAATACTCAAATACTCTAGTGGAAGTGTTTTTTCTGATAATTTCTGTTTATCTGACTCTCGTAGTCGTGGAAACTAATACATGAATTCAATGGCAATACGGAACCTTCCTTTTGTCACCGCCCATTCCATGTCTTTTAGCTCTCACGTATTAAACTCTCAAATTAGGACATAAAGGGGCGAAGATAAAGCCTTGCCGTGGACACCTATTCCACAAACCAGCACCCAGGCCGACATATCTTCGAAATTTCGACTCGATCGTGAGGGAGAAAGAGGCCTTCCAACTTAGTGGCAAGAAGTTGGGAATGAGTCGAAACGAGTCAGGTATTTCCTTACTCTTCCTCCTCTTCACCAGTGCCTCTTGAGCCCAAGACCCATTTGGTCTTGCCGTGGACATCTGTTTCATGCTCAATGGCGACACGGCTGATGTGGGAGAGGATGTTCTCCATGGTGGTATCGGCGTGGCTGCGGGATTCACGGCCCAAGTTGTCGATCCACTTGACGCTGAGGAGAAGGAAGTAAACAATGGCAACGACGATGGTGACACCAATTGAATATCCCCAGATGACAACAACGGTGACGATGGAGGTGTCAGAGCTGTAGTGATCCTCCTGGAAACGATCCTTGGGAATGGTGTTGAACTCGTGATAACCGCCGTGGAGCCAACCGAAAACACAGAAGAGTGTGGAGATAACGTCGACAGCAAAGATGGCGCCAACCAACTTCCAAGAGGGCCAAGTTTGTCCACCACGGGTGACAAAGATGAGCCAGTTCTCAACCAGTGAGACTTGAAGGAAAAGCATGAGCTGAACATTACCAAAGTTCTGGACCAGACCGCCAGATGGCAAGAAGAATGTACCACGTATGATCCAGGTAGAAATGGCAAGAAGGAAACCGAGAATGACTGAAATGACCCAAATCTTAGGCAATTGCCATTCGACTGGGCGGGGTTCGTAATGAGCGTTGTCGTAAGCGACTGCGATGGTGGCAAGATCAGCGAACAAGGCCAAGAAGACAATCAAGTCGGTACGGATGGTCTCGTTGATGATGATCATGGAAGTGGTCAAGTACAGTTCCAAGTGCAAGCAAAGGGCGATACGGTATTGCACGTATGCCTTCATACGTTGGAAAATTTGGCGAGCGACCTTGATGGCGTCGACGATGGTGCTAAGACCAGGAGCAAGGAAAACAATATCGGCAGCGGCTTGAGCGGCTTCGGTGGCACCTTCGACAGCGATACCGCAATCGGACTTCTTCAGGGAGGGAGCGTCGTTGACACCGTCACCAGTCATGGCAGTCAAGTGGCCACGTTGTTGCAGCATTTCGACGACCTGGTACTTGTGCTCGGGGAAGACTTCAGCGAAACCATCGGCCTTCTCCACAAGGTCGTATTGGGCAGAACCGGAAACACCACCGGCGATCAGACGCTGTGAGTTGTAGACCTTGGTTCCGAGAGCAAGGAGCTTGCAGGTTTCCTTGGCGATGGCGATGGCGTCACCAGTCAACATCTTGACGCTGAGACCGAGGTTTTGAGCTTCCAAGATGGTGTGAGCAGTATCCTCACGAGGAGGGTCGAACATAGGCAACATGCCGATAACCTTCCATGGCTCGTCGCCACGCTTGGAAGCAACACCAAGAGATCGGAAACCGCGGCGGGCGAAGTCCGCTGCAGTGTCACGGTAGTGCTTAGCAGTGGCCTCGTCGCACTCGGCAATAGACAGGACAGCCTTTGGTGCACCCTTGCAGAATGACCAGCGCTCGCCCTTGAGAGTACAGATGGTGGTGATACGCTTGGACACAGGGTCGAAAGGCATGAACTTCTCGGTCTTCCAGCCTTGCTGAAGGATTTCGCGAGCCTTGGGATATCTCTTCAAAGTGAGGATGGTGATCTTGTCAATGGGGTCAAGAGCCTTCAAGTTGTGGGAGGAAGCAAGAGCTGCACAAGCCATCATCCAGTTGACATCTTCGCCTTCGGCGACATAAGGCTCACGGATGGTCAGCTGGTTGGCAGTCAAAGTACCGGTCTTGTCAGAGCAAAGAACATCGACACCAGCTAGCGACTCGATGGCGGTCAATTTTTGGACGATAGCCTTCTGCTTTGCGAGATAAGCAGCACCGACAGCCAGAGTGGTGGTGGTGACGACGGGCAGACCGACAGGAACACCGATAATGAGGAGAATAAGAGCGTAGCTGAGGAGGTTGATGGAGCTGTCCTCGGGGGTCGCAATCTTGATGTTGTGGAAGAAACCACCGATCCATGCAGCGAGGATGAAGAAGACGACCAAGACCAACAGAGCTGTACCAATAGAGTCCATGACGGCCTTGAAGTGACCAGAATCCGTGGCACCTTGAACCAGGGAAGCAGTCTTACCGACGAAAGAACCACGGGCAGACTCAGTGACGACAGAGTAGGCCTTGCCTCGCTTGCAGCCAGTGGTGTAGTAGCAGATATCGCCCATGTACTTGTCGACGGCCAGAGACTCTCCAGTAATGGCAGACTGATCAGTGGCGACGATAGAGGCACCAATGTGGTGTTCCTCGTCATCGTCAGAATCAGTGTGGTTCTTGGAGTGGTAGCCTTCTGGGTCGTTGACCATTTCCTTGTATTCCTCGAAAAGGGCTGTGTTGTCGTACGGGCAGATCAGACGGCATTCACCGGCAACGACGGCACCTTCCTCAAGGAGGAGCTAGAGACAAGTTAGCTGGAGCATTGCAAACGAGAGCGGGAGAAACATACAATGTCACCGGGTACGAGTTCACGGGCCTTGATCTCAACCTCTTGACCATCACGAACAACCTCAGCTTTCATGGCAATGTCACCCTTCAAACTGGCGACGACATCGGCAGCTTGCTTTTCCTGGTACCAACCGACGATGGCGTTGAGCATCAAAATACCAATAATCACACCCAAATCGATCCAGTCACGGAGACCAGCGGCCAGCAAGACAGCAAGTTCCATCACGTAGAGGATAGGACCTTTGAAATATCCAAGGAACTACGTATCGTTAGTCACTGTAACCGTCTTGAAGTTTTGAGGAAAAATACCTTGAGGAACATGTTCTCCTTCTCAGTCGTCAACTCGTTGAAGCCAGTCTTCTTTCTTCGGTCTTCAACCTCAGCAGAGGTCAAACCTTGCTTGATGTCGGTATTGAGCCATTCTTCGGGAACCTCGTAGAGCTCGCCTGCACTCGAGGCATTCGAGAACCACCTCTTGTAGAATGGCAACTTCTTTGGTTGCGTGGCATCGGCGGCGTCTTCCTTGGAGACCTGCGAAGGTGCCTTGCTGAATCTACGATCACGGTAGGTCGAGATGAATCGGATGAGATTGGCATATTCACCCTCATCCTTATCTGGGTCCCATCCGTCGGCGAAGGAGATTCTTTCGCGCTTGGGGTCGCCGTTCTCGAGATCCTTTTCGTGGTCCGCCATGTTGTACTGGTGAGTGGAGAGGTTAGTACGCGGAAAAGGAAAACAAAGGAAGAAGAAAAGACACGGCAACGAGGTCAGGCGTTAAGACCAAGCTGAACGGGAAAAGAGAGAAGAGAAGCTTGAGCTCGCAGCGCAGGACCCCTCTTTAAAGGTGAAAAGCAGTTCACAACATGCGAGCAAAGCAGAGGGAATGGCAGCTCACCTTTCTCGTCACCTTGACTGGAGAGTTTGCAGGAAAATGGACTCCACCAGCGATCCGTCAAGCCGTGGAGCTGCGATAGCTTCGAGCAAGGTCACCTAGGAGAGACCTGGTTGGCTGCTTAGGCTTTCCTTGAGCTGGAAGTTAGCAGGCCTGCCGCGTGAGCCATTTGATAAGAAAGGACGGAGTGTGACGGACCGGCTTTGACGGTAACAGGGTTTGTTTGTTGTACCGGAAAATACGCACCTGGCAGAAATTTCTGGCGCAAGACAAAAAGAGAGGTCCGTGCAGGCGAACCAGGGTGGGATCCTTAGGCCGGGCTGCGGGTGTGAAAATGACGCCGTCACAGTCGCTGGAGCATAGGATGGAGTTGCTTTTATAGGATTGCAAGGATGGAGGGCCGACGTCGAGGAAAAAGGAAGTGTGAGGGCCTGGTGAGGACCTCTCGAGGCGACCGACGGTACAATTTCACTCCACTGGGCGCTGTGTGAGTGCTTGGCTTAGGCTCCTTCCCTGCAGCCTAGTCGGCGGCCTAGTGAGTCCGAGCTACCACTGTAAATTGAGTCGGTCCAATAAAAGTGGGAGGTAACTGTAAGCGTGCGTCCATTCTTCACAGGCATGCTTTGTTTTGAGCCCCAGTCTGCTGTCCGCACTTCCTCCTAGAGGTCACTGCTGCCCTACACACATTCGACTAGCTGCGTGTCAAATCTGAACTCAGCAATAGCTGTGTGCCTTGTATCGTCATTATTGAGATCTCGCTCGGCTTCTTTCCACCATCAGTCAGAATGACTAACAGACCACCATACCACCTCAACCTTTACTTATCGGGCGCACGAAGCTTAGATGAGCTGCATTCAGCACTCGTCCTAGACCATATGAAGTCTTGCGGAGATCAGAAGTATTTGACTGCTGCGTCTTCCCCGGACAGAGTTGCGCGGCTTCCTGCTCTATCCTGACGATCCATGGTCTCGTTGCAGCCAGGGATACAGAATGGGTCGGCAAGACTTCCGGATCACAGACACACGCATCCACAGCAACCTTCGGACCATATCCTAGAACATGAAAGTATCATATCTTGAAACAGATGCCAAGGCATAATGTGAGGTTGGGCGAGTCGAGGCCCAAGAAAAAGTTGGATACAACATTTGCGAGTTTGGGGGATGTGATATACGGAGAATCTTCGCACACTGCGATGTTTTTTACTTTGGGCTATGATGCCCCCAGTCGTTCAAGCCGCGGCGCCAAAAGCTACCTACAATACAACAGTTCGTCACAGATTCCTTCAAGTGCCTTTCGCTTATAAGCCTTGCTTTTGCTAGCTGGGATCTACCCTGTGTGTGTCCGCTCATGCTATTCTGCCACTTGCCCGTCTACTGAATTGATGACCCTTCTGGCGTGCCTTTGATCGTCACAGCTACGCGGAGAGCTCGGCAACAAAGACAACTTTCACACATGATAGCAGGTTACCTTTCACCATCTGCCATCCAGGGCATGATATCGGCAATGTGGCTATTCTGCCCTTCTCTGTACTCGTCCTCCGTGATCTAGCCAGCACTGGCTGCAATTGTGGCTTATCTACTGGGGCGCGAGTCTGTCTCGAAACATGGCTTCATCGCTTAAGGGCTTTGACCCAACGGCACCTGGTGAGAAAGCTTTTCAAGCCGCACAATGTCCTGGGAAACTGGTCCAGCTAGTATGCCCAAGTCTGGAAATGTGTCCAGTACCCACGGCCCACGCTGACTTCATACGTCGCATCATCTCTGCCAGACCACTTGGAACGCCGCGGCATTGGCGGCAATGAATGGGTGGCCCGGCTGATCTAGCTCAGAAGAAGTCTAGCCAACAATGAATTATTTCTTTCTGTCATTTGAAGAATTTCTCCCCGGTGGACTTGTATTGGAGTTGTATTGGGAGTCGGCCATGACAGTGACCCGAACGACCTTGACCACAACATTTTGACATCGGTCCTAGCTTGGTGTTTTTCTCCGACATGGCCCTCCCCAGTTTGGTGGAATCAACTAACGGCCACGAGTACGACGGCAACTTGTCAACCTACGTCGTACCGCCGCGCACGCCCATTTGTTGAAGAGGCTTCCGCCGGTGTCTTTGTTGCGAAGCTGCAGCTTGCCGTCATCGATCATGCGGCTGCATAGATCTCCGAATACTACCTCCAACAGGCGATTGCTTCTTTCTGGCTGATTCATCTACCTGCACGACCTGATTGAGCTTCACTCGAGCCGCATTGGTACAAGCGTGTCTACTTTGTGATGGACAAACCCAGCACATCCATAATTAAGCGTGATGATTCCCGCGCGGCGCCGGAGAGGTAATCGTTTTTGCGAGATTCAAAACAAAGTCGAGGTCCACAGTTTGATTAAAAGCTTAAGGCTCTGAAATTTCCACTAGTGGAAGACAGGCGAGGAACAAGCGCTGGCTGCAGAGTGGTTTTTATAAGTGGTTCCTCTCACAGACCCTTCTTTGAGCCACTAGCCTGGCCAATCCACTGGAACCAAATGTGAAAATGTAAACAACCGTACTGATTACAGAAATTGGCCACGCCATATTCGTGAGTTGAAACGCTGAATCAATTTGAATCAGCCTGATGGTCTCGCTCAGCAGCCTTGCGCGCAGATCTGAACCGTAGATCCTGGCGACGAAGATCCATCTTCTATTGTTTGTTGTGCTGTAACTTTCCAGGAACGGCAGTGGACATTATATGATCATTCGTGTCGCCCCTAGCTGTTTGCTGGTGGAATCTTCTACTGGCCTTCCTGGACGTGCTTTTGGGACCGAGTGCCGATGTGCCCATGGAACTCGGCGCACATCAGCGTGAGGAATTTGGTAGCTACATGGATTGTCCTCTCAACCAGAGCGAAAACCGCTCCTTTTTTTGAGGGATTTTCTCGGGGTCAAAAAGGCAACATGGTAAGAGGCAATATACCTCCTACCTCTGCCATCGAATGATAACTCCTATTGTTGTAGGAGTAGCACATATTGTACATAGTCCGCCCAGGAAAAATTTAGGTGGAGTTTGTTTCAGTATTGTTTATGGCTCCTGTCTTCGGCACTTTTCCGAACAATAGCTTCAACTGGTTGCCGTAGCATTCCGGAAGCGTCTGCATCTCGACCCCATAGACGCAGCGGTGTACGGAGTATGTACGAGTTACGGAGCACCTTGAGGGATTTTCTGCATGCGAATGTGGGTAGGAACAGTCTTTGGAGAAGCCTGTGATTGTTACGCAAAAACAAATACAACAGAAGTGCTGCGATATGAGCCCGCCGGAGTATGTATTTACTGGCCTTTACTCGCTTCAGGCACGCAGAGCAATTTTGCAGCAAAATAGCAAATTCCTCCTTTCCGTCCTGTCCGGACTGCGTCCTTCTCGCCGCGCGACTTCAAATTCGGCCCTCGTTCAGAAGCGGAGGCCGAGCAGACAGGATACTCTATCGTTGTCATTTTCAGCGAAACTCCTTTTCCAATAATGCCACTATTATTGTTGCGCGGTCTAGATTTAAGACTTGACGTCGTCGCACGCTCTGACCAGCTGGACATTTTTGCGCTTAGGGACAGACATGTTCAACAATCCACATCCTACAAAGAATAACATTACCACTTTCCATCGAGTTTCACGAATACATTTTTAGCACTGGCTGTGATTTTCAGGTTGCACACGCAGGATGCGGGAACATTCTCTGGGCGCTCACCCCGGGCTGTCGTTCGTTTATCGGGGTTGCCCGCGCACAACGGGTTTGCACTCTACAGGTCTCTCTCACCGGTCGGTACATGATACAACCTTCCTGCCAACGAACTGAACAACAAGAAGCTCAGAACCATGTAAAATCATCTGATGGGTTCGACGTCGGTGAAATTTTGACAACAAGACTTGTCACACAAGACCGCCCAGACTTTCGGCGTTCTGTGCTCGCAGTGTGTGCTACAACAACCTCCTCCTACTGGTGGCGAGTTGCCATGAAGTGCATTTCGCACTTTCAATAGTTCATTCACATCATTGAGTCCGTCAGACGAGCTGCAGGTGCACGCACGTCATACTGTCGGCTATTTTCTTCGTGTCTGCTCAAAGTACGAGATACCCTGGGGGCTTTACGAGCAGATTACTATCCACGGGCACACTTTCGCATGCTTTGGCGAAGCTAGATCGCAAATCTCTAGCCCTACCGCTCCATTGCCATCATACACGGCAATATCGTTGCGTTACTGACAGATTCAAAGTCAAGGAGGCGGGCAAGGATAACCGACTGATCGTCTCGATGATAGACGTTGGATCGGCAACCCCCGCACTCAGGGTCTGGTTTGAAGCAACATTGCAGGCCATCATGACAGCGACCAGCGATGGTGCAAACATCAAGGTCGAATCGGTTCTGAACCCCAAGATCTGTGTTTGCCAATACTGGTTACGTGATATTTCCATGAAGGCCAGTTAGCCTACAGTTGGGCTTGTTAAGATCATTAAATTCTGTGGTGGGCGAGCTAGCTAATCACAAACTGCTCGATACGATACGCAGTGCGGAGAAACACTCGCTCAAAAGTGTGCTTTAGGCTCTGAAGCTCTCGCTTGCTTCGAGAGTACGAGTACTTGCTTGCACATACAGTACATTTGTTACTAGAATTGGCGACTGACCTTTGCTAACTTAGAAGGGGTTTGACAGGAACAAGAAGGGTCATGTGACAAGAACAACATGTTTTTGTTGTCTGCCCTTGTAACTTCACCTCATCCACGATAGAATTTAGACAGTTCTGGGAAGACCACCTGCATTCCATGAGCGATTCACATCGCCTGGTGAGATAATAATGTGTTTGGTGTGATGGTTGTTTTTGTTGCATCAATGCATCCCCAACTTTACAAACTGTGAAAACATATTTGGTGTCTGCCAGCAAAAAATGCCCTAGATGATCAGATATTATGTATGGACTCACTTGAGGCCACGATGTCAGGCAAGGAATGCTACAGTATTTCAAAATGCAACGGAAGATTTGGAGGCTTTGGTGCGAGACGCAGCGGCGGCGTTGTTCACTTGCGCCGATGAACTGATTGAATGGACAATCTCATTCTCTCATTTGGTTTTCTGTGAGAATCCATCAAGCATAGAGCTGGGCAGATATACCGCTGGATGCTGAGATGCTGAGAACAGACAGAGAGTCACTTCCTCATGCCAGATTGCGTTGACATCAAAGGCTCTTTCCCAATGTCTTCTTGACTCCTCGCACCTACCTCGTTTCTACATGCAGGTTAGACAGGCTCATAAAAGGGAACTCTTCTTCTCTTCTTCTCTTCTCTGCTGTACCATCCTCTTCATCACTCACAGTCCTTCTCTCTCTTTTCTTCATTGAGCGGCACCAAAGTTTCTCTTACAGCGTCCAGGATTTGCATTCTCTTGACTCTGAACAAAGTCCAATCTCCTCAAAACGCTGTTATCTTCCCTTTCCTTTGTTGACCATCTTTGAAGCCCAACGACTTCAATCACCTTCATCATGTGGCTCTTCAACGTCCTTCTCCTCGTTATGGTCAATTTCGGGGCCATGGCTGAGATACCCATGTGTGGTTCACAATCAACGTCTTCTCAGACTTCTCGTGGCTGTACAATGACCTTTACTCCTTACATGGCTCCTCAAATTGGCCCTACTAGCACAGTTTATGGTGCCATCATGACCACATATTTCTATGTATGTCCTATCCTACCTTAGATAGTGTCAGCTACTGATGCACGGCAGGTTGTCGACTGCCGCTATTGCACCGTCACCAACCATGAACAGAATCCTACTCCTCAGGTAAGATCGTATCTCATCATCCCTCTTGACCGCTACTAACGCCCTTAGGGTCCTTTCACAGCAAAAACCACAAGCTCCATGCTCACTGTTACCCGGGTTGAGTGTATGCCAGAGACAACTGCAATCACCAGAAGAAACTACCGTGGCTATGAAGAGGTGGAACAAGCTCATGCTCAGACTGTCTCCCACAAGAAACTTTCTGGCAATGGCTTCACACACAAACTACGCCGCTCAAGCTCTTCTGTCACTGGTGCATTGCTTGATCTTGCAACAACAATCAGCAACACTTCTCCAGACATCCAACTTCTTACTGGCCCTTCTCAGGAGTCATTGACTGAGATTCTGTCGGCTTTGTTTGCCCTCAACGTCGCTGACTCCGGCATGAACCTCACCTCAGCCTGCCAGCAAGTCACAACTACAGAAGTCAGCTACCGCTTGTTGGAGTCTGACTTCAACCCTGATCAGGTCAAAGGACTCATCTGCTGGATCAGTGAAAATGGATACTCTTTCAACAGCACCCGGGCTGCTGTCATTTCCACTTTACAAGCTGCCATATACGGTCTAGAGGTCAATTCTGACTTCACCGATAACAGAACAGAAATTTGTGACAACCTCGACCTCTTCCACTCCATAGGTGGCTTCTTGGGCATTAACACTCAACAATACCAGGATATCGTCTGCCCTGGTATCCCCATCGAACCCACAACACCTACCCCCTACCAAGGATCGCAGTCCGTCCCTACTGCAGGTCCGTCTGCTTCCGCTGGCGGTCCTTGGGCCTCTGCGAATAGCTCTTCGGCTGAAAGCAATGCTACCATGCCGGAATCAGCTTCAGGGAATTCCAGTGGCACTGCATTTGCAACTGGTGGCCCTGTGGCCTCCACAGGCGGTCCATGGATCTCGGGGAACAGCTCTTTCACCGTCCACAACGTCACTACCTGGGGACCACCCATCTCTTATACTGGTAGTATTATGAGCTGGCCCGCCAATTGGACCGAGCCGACTGGCACGATGGGCTCTGGTGTCGCCTCCAGCACCGGCATGGCTTGGAGTGGAATGGGCATGAGAGCCCGCACACCACCGAGCCCTACTGCGAAGCCATTCTACCCTGCCGTGCCTAGTCCAACACGTCACTCAGTCTTCAAGAGATATTAGAATCTATTGAAGTCATCAGCACAAGCATCACCGGTGTCTGGGCTCGTGCTGGCACACTGCCCAGTTTGCTGAGACTTTTGATGGCTGCCATGAAACTGCATTTTTCATCGAGAGAGAGAAGGACCCTTACACAACTTAATTTGTATGATGAAGCTTCATGGAACTGGGCTGTGCATATTCTAGAATTGAGTATGATAGAGATAGATTAATCGAGAGTACCAGATCCAATTGATTTCTCACTATGCTGATGGCTTGTACCACTTTTGCAATATCTTTTCCAGATTTGCCCTTGTATTTTTTTGGTTCCTAGATAGGTTTCAGGACATTAGAGACTGGTCAGCGGTGGCGTGTCCACTGTCATGTTATGACGATGGTATTGAATTGGGTGTAATAAACGGTGTCAAGGCTACGAGGCCCAGGAAATTCGGCGACTTGGGTGTTTTGTGACCAGTTCTCGAATTTTGCAAAGGTATCCATGCCCATGTATGTACGAAAAACCCGGTTTGTTGTCGGCCAGGGTCTCCAGAAGGCAACAAGGAGGGGTTAAAAGGGCGGGTGGACAAACAAATTGCCATCCATGTCTGATATTTTCCCAGATTGGGCAAGAGAACAAGGGAGCCAGAAAGAGTAAATAGTTGATTGAAATCAAAAAAAGCAGACGATGTGTGTGACATGGCTTCTTTGTTCTTCTTTGTTGTTAGGGGATATCATCCCCCCTGATACTATAAACATATTTCTCATAACGACATGACTGGGTGACGTGTAGTTTTTTGAAAAAAGACAAGTCTTCCCCCAGCCTCCCCCCCCCCAAAAAGACGTACAACCTATCCAATCTCAAGATCCAGTGACTCCCGTCCATGATTCTTGAAAGCGTCCGTCCTGAACAAAGTGACAGTGCCACAGTGTGAGTTCAGAGTTGGCCAGAAAAAAGATTCTGAATCGGAGATAGAGCAAAAAAAGTCGAAGAAGAATGACAAAAGGATGGTCTTTCGGAACATGAACGAATCGCAAAAATGAGAGGCCCCCACTCCAAAACTCCGACGCTAGAAAATGCTCATGTTTGATGTTGGCGCAAGCTGAAACGCTGCAGATTGTGGAAAAAGTCGATGGCTCTGAACGAAGACGACAACAAGGCAGTTCAGCTCGCGGAATGGACAGGGACTTCGATACACCAGCAGCCACTGAGTGGGCGGTGATGGTTCCTGTCGGTTTCTCAAAGGCCGAGGGAGCGAGGAGAGAGGAATGGTTCTACAGAGGTAGGACGATGCTCCTCCTCGGCTGTCTCTCAATGATACTGTCCGTGGGATGCAACGAGCTCATGGAGTTTCCAGGACCAAGACCGTCCTTGTTCTGGAAAACCTTGTTCAAGTTCATGGCCGACTTGGTGTAGAGGAAGTCGATGGCCTTCTGGTCTCGGAACGGATTGGGCGACTTGTCCCAGGCGTGCGGCACGCGAGGGATGAGCTTGCTGTCGATGCTCTTGCCGAGCTTTTCGAGACGTTCGGCAAAAACCTGCCCTTCTCGCAAGAGCATGTCCCACTCGCACAGCCACATTTGGATGTCTTGCGGTAGACCCTCGTGGATCATGTGGTCGTGCGCGAGGCCCGGCGAGGCGTAGGGACTGCAGTGATCGCCGGCCATGTCCGGTGGGGGTAGGTACGAGAAGTCGAAGAGGTCGGTGAAGGTCTTGGGCAGACATTTTTTGGGGTTCCGAGATTCGCGGATCTTGCGCGACCGGGACATGGTCCAGTCGAGAAGAGGGTACCAGGCCACTATGCTGCGGATCTGGAGGGGGGTGGTGGTGCGTTGTTGGACGAGATTCGAGGTCGATTGCACGGGCGTGACGAAGTTGTGGGTTTCGTGATAGTGCAGGTCATGGTCATTGGCTTCGGTGTCACTCTCATCGTGCAGCGTACTGCCTATCGTACTCACTGTTTGCGCTGTCGTCGGCCGAGAATATCGGCCATCCGTCGTGGCACTGAGATTGCGATGATAGTTCAGTCTGAACGGAGCTGAGAAGGCTAGGTTTGCCCCTGCGGAGAAACCTGACAGGGCGAGGTTGGTCTGGTCGATATGGAGCTCCGCTGCGTGCTCCGAGACGTACAGAATGGATTCGACGCAGTCGTCCACGGGGACGGGGAAAGGGTGTTCGGGTGCGAGGCGGTAGTTGACGCTGACGAAGATCGCATTCGTGTATTCCATAACGACTCTTGCCCAATAGCGATCGTCTCGCGCGTCACCCAAGCAGAACCCGCCGCCGTGGAAGTTGATGACGGCGGGGAACCGGAAGTCTGGCTCACGATTGAGTATCTCTTGGTATCGTGGTGGAAGGTAGAAATATAGTTCAATGGGGATACTGTCGGTCGGTATCTTGTGCTTGAAGGACGGTCTCGGTGCTCGGGGAGGAGCGAAATCGTGGAAATGCATCGCTAGTGTCATAAGAGACCGCCAAAACCGAGCTCTTAATTTGAGGCCCTTTCGTGATGGGATTTCTTTGCTGGACAGATGATGCGACATAGACCGAGGTCTTCTGTTGAAAGGCACGGGTGCAAATGTCTCTGCCAGCATGTTCTCAGGAGGATCAATGGTAGAGGCGTTCTGGAAATCTGCGATGTTGTGGAAGGTGACTCCGCGAGTCTTGGGAACTTGGAGGTACTGTGGGCTCTTTGACCGTGCAAAGTCTTTGGCTTCAGTCATATCGTAGGATTCATCTGTAGAGGAGCACTCCTCAAGTCTCGGTGGTGAGGGAGTGGGAGGCATCGTGATAAGAAGTGTGCATCCTCCGGCTATATCATGCGCGAATGCGACGGTGAGGGGCGAGATTCAGCCGAGTCGTGGCATCAAACCACTCCTTAGTTCGCAAGGTATTTGGATTGCGAGCGGGAAAGAAGCGGACGCAAGCACATTCCAGCGCGGGATATGGTTACAATAAAGCGAATTTCGCTGCGACAAGGGAAGAGGGTGGTAGGAGGATTTCCCCGATATGGCTGTCATGCCAGCCATTGAATGAAACGTACGCAGTGTGTCTCGTGTCTATCTATCGCAAGCGAGCAGCTCAGCTAAAAATGACGCGTTGGCTTGGAGGCTGTGGTGATGATGATAGAAGAGCCGCTAGGCAAATCAGACAAAAAGCGGTCCCTCTCCTGCAGGGTCCCAACAGCCTAAAGACAACCAAGGCTTTTAACTGGAGCAGCCCCTAACAGAACCACCGATAGGCTTGTCTAAACGGTCAATTGCCCATCAAAGCTCCCTCGGGGGCACCAGATGAGCTGGTCGCACCCTATACAGCACATGGCCAGCCAGTATCATGCTGCATTTTCCATGTTTGATAAAGTACCTACTCCGTACTTGCGGCTCATTCTCATATCCTCTCGCATCGAGGGCGGATTACTTTTGGTTCTGCACAGATGCAAAACAACAGTGCATGTCATACGCGTCCTCATGCTTGTATCACACTTGGCTCAGGGGGCATCAATGTCGAGGTCATGATCAGTCATCCAATAGTCTCAGTTGGTTGATGACATGATCCGGAAGATATACTCCCTGGCACCCCCTGTTCCGCAATCGATGGATGCTGGTTCAGGGGGCTATGTTGCGAGGATGCGCACAACTCTCCGTGCTTGTGCAAATGATATTTATTTTATAATTTATGTTTCATATACCTAGACCTTGATCGCACAGTATTTGTGTTCAACCCAATTTGCGTTCTTCGAGCTGAAGAGGTCGCAGGTTTGCTTGCCTCTGAGTCAGCAGTATCCAGGGGTACCCTTTTTCCCTCCGAGGGCGCCGCGCCTTCTCATATGACGTTGAGCCAATTTATTGGACGGGATCTCAGCCTTCCGGTTACTCAAGTCACATCTTACATGCTTGCTCATGCCACAAGAGACAGCATTTCATGTTCAGCAACGGATTCTCGATCTCGTGAGTACGGAGTACAATGATTCAGAAGCCAAGTACACTTGTCACAAGTACTACGAGGAACATGACAGAAGCAAAGTCGAGACGGCAGTTTGTCTTCATACGAGTATGAGATCAATGACCACGATGTGCACGGATAATAACTGCTCACTTCATCTGGCAACAAGATTTGAGCCTCCGATTGGCTGCATGGCTGCGATTTACCCCTCCTGACTAAGCTTGCTAACCTTTTCAACCTTCTTTAGGATCGTCAATGAATTGCTTGCTTGTCCTATCCGGCTGTGCCGTTCCACCTCATTCCTCTTCCTACTCCCTCTCGCCTGTAGCTCATTGTTACCTGCGGCCCTACTCCTGATTCCTAAGTACTGTCTTCGTGGCTGCATCAGTCGGTCGGATACTCCCCGTTAGAGTCGTTCGCCCTCTTCCATCGTTGCAGGTGCGGCGGCGTATACTGCACCAACCCCCCCGCATTGAGGCAGCCGCCAAGGTGCATGCCTGCGCTGACTTGAAGGACTCCCGCCGAAAAGATCACCCTGTCCAGTTCCTGGCCTGCAGAACTCTTACCTCTGTGCGATTGTTGGAAAAAGCCTTGCATGCGAAACACCCTATTCCCGATATTGATCATCCTGCAACACGTAATCAAGGCATCCTGACCGCAACCTTGCATACAAGAAAAGAACCCTGTCGCAGCCTCACAACTCCATTTAATCTCGCCTCTGTGTGAACCAACTGGTGAAGATTCCATTCAGCACGCCTGTCTTCATCGAGTCGAGCCCAGTTCGTCACAACGATGTCGGTCCTTAAGAAGATCTCTAAACGTGTGCCGACTCTGGGGAGTGACTCGCCGCGGGCTAGCGGCGAGTTCTCACCAGTCTCCTCTCAAAGCCCCGGACCTCATCGTCGATCTCTAGCCCACTTTCTTCACCTCGGTGACAAAGACTACACCTCCAGCGAAAATGAGTCTGACATGAGCGACTTTGACAGTGATGGCTTGAGTAAGAATGCTCAGAAGCGTGCCATCGCAAAGCAGAAGAAGAAGGAACAAAAGTCAAGACTGAGCCTAGAGAATCGCGATGATTCAGAGGAACGTATCAAGAAGCGATTGGAAGAAGCTGCGAAGACCGAAACGACTGAGATGAAGGCTCGCTATGGCGACCTGCCATTGATGCAATCTACCAGCCGATGGACCTCCGAACGCCTTGACATCAGTACCATTACTGAAGATATGGTTGGAAGAGAAATCACTTTTCGATGCAGATTGCACCATGTTCGCAACATGGGCGCGAAGCTAGTCTTCCTCATCTTCAGACAGCAGATCTCCACCATCCAAGGTGTACTCGTAGAGGCGCCGGGCAAGATCTCTGCAATCATGATCCACTGGGCTGAACATCTCCGCACCGGCAACATCATGCTGGTCAAGGGGGTTCTGCAAAAGCCGCAAATCCCTGTCAAGTCTGCGTCAATTCATACCATGGAAGTCCATGTTACTGATCTACACATCGTCGTTAAACGTGATGAGCCTGGTATGTGTCGGTCAAACCCATCTGTGAAATGCTTACTAACACTATCTAGTACCATTCTCCGTTCAGGAGGCCGAACTGACCATCTTTGACGAAGATCAAAAGGTGGATGGCCGTCAAACTCTGATCCCCGATCGAGTAAGACTCGCCAACCGAATCATGGATCTGCGAACCGCTACGTCGCATTCCATCTTCCGTATACAAGCTGCCGTGGGAAATTTGTTCCGCACTGCTCTTGACGAACAGCGCTTCATTGAAATCCACACTCCAAAACTTCAAGGTGCTGCGACCGAATCCGGCGCCTCCGTCTTCAAAGTTAATTACTTTGGTCGGCCTGCTTTCCTGGCGCAGTCTCCTCAGCTTGCCAAGCAGATGGCAGTTGCGTCCGATTTTGAACGAGTTTATGAAATTGGTGCCGTATTTAGAGCTGAGAATTCCAACACCCACCGTCACTTGACTGAATATACGGGTCTCGACTTGGAAATGGCCATCGAAGAGCATTATCATGAGATGATGGATGTCATTGATACCGTCCTCAAGGGTATCTTTTCTGGCATCTACAATAAGTATCGTACCGAGGTGGAAATCATCAAAGAGCAGTTCCCCAGCGAGGATCTGGTCTGGTTGGACGAGACTCCTCGAATTCCATTCAAGGACGCGGTCCAGCTTTTGACAGATTCTGGTTGGCTAAACGAGGATGGAGAACCGGTCAGCCCACTTGAAGACTTGTCAACTCGAGACGAGATTCGTCTTGGTGAACTCATGAAGGAGAAATACAAGACTGATTACTACATCTTGGATAAGTTCCCAAGATCTGCTCGTCCTTTCTACACCATGCCAGATGCAAACGATCCACGATTCACCAACTCCTTCGACGTATTTGTTCGAGGACAAGAAATCATTTCAGGTGGCCAACGTATCCACGAGTCACAAATGCTCGAGGACAACATGCGCATGGTTGGCATTGACCCAGATGATATGGCCGAGTACATGGAGGGATTTAAATGGGGTGCTCCTCCGCACGCTGGCTGCGGTGTTGGTCTCGAACGAATTGTCATGCTGATTCTGAAGTTGGGTAACATCCGTATTGCCTCACTCTTCCACAGAGACCCCAAATCATTCCCTGCCAAACCTCAAGTCGAGAAGCTCAGACACCCAGACGCAGACACTCTCAATCCCGTTTGGCGTCAAGAGCGCGGCCGAGAGATTGCAGTGGAGGACCGCAAGATGCCAGATCTCTTTGACCTCGTCGCAAACTACGGCGACGCTACATCAACATCATGGGGTGACGACCGATACAAGGTCTGGCGTCATGCAGACACCGGCGCCGCCGTGTCGTACGTTCCTGAAGGCCATTATGCTATTCTGCCTGGTGACCCACTTTGTGACCCCAGACAATACTATCGCGTTGTTGTTTCTTTCCTTCAATGGTTGAAGAGAGAAACCCGCCTGAAACCCCTTTGGATCCTGATCGGGCCAGAGATGGAAGAAGTTCTTGGTGAAAGACTAGGCTGGAAGACCCTCTCGTGTGTGGCTGAAGAGCGTGTCGACCCACACAAGAAGTCCGCTGAAACAGACCCTGAAGTGGCCAGGAAGATCCGCAAAGCTCAGAACGATGGTGTTAAGATCACTGATCTCGATCCAAAAGATCCTGTCCCAGATTCGATCAAAGATCGCGCCAACGCCAGAGTAAAGGATTGGCTTTCCAACCGTAAAGGAACACAAATTCATCTGTCCAACATTGACTTGTTTAGAGACGAGAAGCACAGAAGGTACTTCATTGCTGAAGACAAAGATGGCAAACTTTGCGGTATTGCCGTCATGGCTATGCTCGCTCCTCGAAAGGGCTGGCAAGCCAAATACACTATCGATTTCCCAGGAGCACCGTCCGGAACCATCGAATACATCACCACCCACGCACTCTCTGCCGCCGCAAACTCCGGCGTCAATACTGTCACCTTCGGTGGAGGTGCTGCCAATCACTTGACTCCGGGTCATCACATGAGTGGTGCAAAAGTGAAAATGCTGCAGGCCACTTATGATGCTATCGTCAAGCAGTTCAACCTTGCAAGGAAATCCGAATTCAGAGAGAAGATTGGCGCGGTGGCCGATCCCATCTGGATTGCATATCCTCCTCATGGTCTTGGATCTAGAGGCATCAAGGCCATTATGCGGTAAGTGTTCCTTGTGTTAACCAATTCTCCATGATGAGAACATTTATTCTAACATTTCAAAACAGATTCTTCCAGGATGATTAAGCAAACTCTTCTCGGTTGCAGGTGCAGGTCAAGCGAGACAATGTCCGGCATCATGTTTCATGCTCGTACGAAATCATGTTATGTGCTCTCCTATATTGGCTTAGGGCTGAAGTTATGAACGAAGTCATGAGGAACATCTGGATAGTAATACTTGGCTCTGTGCTCGAGTACAATCCTACAAGACTGTATGATTGGAGTGCATTGGTGATACTGCAAGCACGTATACAAGAGCGCCAAAGAAAACCACACGCGAGGAACGACTGATTTCGAGCTGATGCTGGAACTGGACGGATTGATTGTGTCGTTTGATGAAAGGGTGACCATGTTTTTGTTTTGAAACCCGATATTCCCCCTCTCTCGCTTTGCATTTCTTATGCTTTTCTCTCGCCGTTATCTAAAGACCCTTACACTATGCCCTTCCTATCGCGACTTTGGATAGCCTATAGTCCTTCGGGGCCCAACATATAATATACAGAGCTATCCTTAAAAAAAATTCGTCTTCTATGGGCGGATCGATTAATGGCATCTCCCTGCCCGAGTGACTGTGGAGTAGCTAAACAGCTTTTCATGTACTGCACCTCGAGAAGGCGACCATCCCGTGCTACACACAAAGGCGATTCAAAATTCTTAATCATACTACTCGTCGCCGACCGGGGAGTGGCATGAGTGGAGATTGATTGTCACGCTGTGTGTAGTAAGGAATCGGGCCAAGTCAAGGCAACATTCTCATACCTATATTCAAGGGACGTGACAGTCGTAAATGGTTTGTCGAATGGTCTCGTGGAGATCTGCTCATTATCATATAACGTAGGGAGTTGTTGAACAACACATATTTTTACATCTCATGAGTCTCTCGTCTTTTTGAACACCAAGTACCCTTGTGTTTTTGCCCCTTCCTCGAGCTATGCCTCCAATTCCTCTCCATTCCACGGAGAAGTGTGCCTTCTTGCTGACTTCGGCGCACATGATACACAGAGATTCAGGTGCGTGGAGGGAACTTGCGAGGCATGTCTGTTCGAATATCATCAAGAGCTCGTCTTCATGCGCCCACAGCTCGCACACGTCCACCACTGACTCTCCATCCAGTTGCCACAGCCGTGACACATCCACCCGACCGGCCTGGACTGTGCTTTTGCGGTGGCCTGAGAATCGAATCTCGCAAGTGCCTCTGCGCTCGACAGACGTGGCTTTAGGCTCGTGTGGTCTTGGGGGCTCGACCGAGCAGACGTTGTCGTCGTCGTCGTCGTCGTCGTTCGAGGTTTGGGCCGACTGTGAGATGGTGGCGGTGGTGGTGAAGGATCGAGTGCCGAGTGTGCATATGTGGCCGGCCGTTCTGTCTCACAAGCTCCGCACATTAGGTATTGAATCGGATTGATGAGGGTGCAGATTTCACACGTCCACGTCTCTGCCTCGGGTTCGTGCTCAGGCTCTGCTGGTCTTTTGGCTGACCGTTTGGGAGCATTGGTGTCGTCTCGTCCATTCGCCTCTGCCTCCTCGCTCTTCTTCGTTGCTTGGAGTTGCCGTTCAATTTGCATTTGTTGTTCACGGAGAGCTCTGGCGTCAAGCGGCGTTGGGAGCATGCTCGTCCGCAAGCTTGGTGGAGACGTCGTTGCGCCGCGCATACCTGCCGGATTCTCCTGACTGGGGGGCACGTAGTCCTTGCCGAAGAGTGCACTTTCCTCCTCCTGGATGAGATCGATGAAGGCCTGCATGAGCGCAGCATCGTTCTCGTCCTGCTTGTCTGCCTTGGTGGTGGTGACCTTGTCCTTCTCTTGTGCAGCAACTTGGGCGCCGTGGTCCGTGGCACTGCCGCAGCCTCGCTCGATACGTAGGCGTTTCTCCGCTGCCGCCGCAATGATTTCTCGTGCGTTCTGGCCGCGCACGATGCCCTGGCCCCCCAGACGCTGACCACTGCCTTTGTTGTGTGTACGGCGCCGTTCGGCGGCGGCACGAGCTTGCCGTTTGATTTCATTCACCGGGACGCGGCGCCCGCCCAGGCGGTTCCCCTTGCCCAGGAATCCTTCGCCCGTGTAGCCTTTGCGGAGGAGGGCTTCGTGCTCGTCGCGCAATTTGTCCCACAGGGCATTGAATGCCTGATGGTGTGGGCCGTGGACGATATGGCAGAGTTCGTGAAGCATGGTATCCAGCACACTCTCGAATGGGAGGAACTGAGTATCGTCGCCCGCATGCCGGAGGCGGAGACAGATTTTCTCGCCGCGGTTGACGTTCAAACCTAGGAGATTTGCCTCTCTGGGGTAGAATTCGGTCAACACGCCAACACGCCAATTGCGCTGGCGCATTATGGGTTTGACCATGGAGGCGATTTTCTGAAGCATTTGCAGGGCTTCGCGTGGCCGTGACTTCTCCGATAGATGTTGGAACTCGTCGACCAAAGGGTCGAGTTCGGATGGGTGAGTTACTGTCATAATGGCAGAGGCAAGGAACCTTGTAGAACAGCTGTGTACAGAAAGTTGGCCAGATTTTTGGGATTCGGTGTGTCCTTATCCCTGTCCAATACTCAGGAGAGAATAAAAAAATACGCCAACACACTCCCCCGCTAAGATATATTTCTTTCCTTCATTGTAAAAAAAAACCAAGGACTAACCAACTGACAAACATGCAGGTCACTCCAAACAAGTGAAGGAGAAAACGGCAAGTCACTATTAAAGACCACGAGCAGTCAGGATATACCAGAAAACACCAGTGATTTTGTCTACGGTAGTGAGTAGAGGATTCGTAAGAATCTCAGCCTGATGAAGTGGAGGCGAAGTACTGACAACTTGTACGAATACGAGTATGCCAGCCAATACAGAGTTAACCGTACATCCCGTATCAGCACGTGATCGTCGTCATCGGGCTTCCTAGTTGCCGATTGGCCTGCAGTCAACATCTGATAGAGTCCTAGTCCGTAGTAAATCGCAAGAGTATCAAGAGCCCTTAGACCACACAGACTGTACTCAACCTCAAACAGTAGTTGTACGAGTAGGAAATGCGATTGACCCAACATGACGAGTGACGATCAGCAGTTTCTTGATTTGGTGAGTAGGCCTTCCCTACATTCTTTTGCGACTGTGCTGATGTTCTCCGTCCAGCTTGCGTCCATACCGCAGGACATGGCGGCTTACGGTAGTCGCATTGCAGATTACATTGAGAAGCACACCAATGCCATAGCCTCCGACATCCGCGACGCAATTGACAATGCAGATTGGATACCCGACTCTCTGCGACCTCCGCGGCAGCCTGTCAACGGACCTGCGTATTTCCCACGGACTCCCTCGCCTCCGCAGGGTCTCCTCGACAAGACCACAGCGTGGATCTCGAGGAATCGTACCATCATTGCTGTCTGTGTCGCCTTCACAGGCACGACCCTGTTCATGATACACAGAAGGAAGAAGGCCCATGCTAGGAAGAGAAGGGCGAAAAAATTGCCCAACGGCGGGAAGAAAGAGATCGTGGTTCTGGCGTGCTCGACGTTCCACGACGCTCTGACACGCTCTCTGGCCCTTGATCTTGAAAGGCGAGGTTACGTGGTGTACGTCACCGTCTCGTCGACAGAAGAAGACTCCTTGGTCCACCAAGAAGCAAAGCCGGATCTGCGTCCGTTGTGGATCGACCTGACGTCCACCGTTCCAAACCCAGCGGTCGACGTGCACCCCAACCTTGAACCGATTCGAGAATTGCTCTCACATCCCGTCCAAACGCAGAATCACATGAGCCTCGCGGGCATCGTCATCTTTCCCGGCTGCTCTGGTTACGCCGAAGGACCCCTTGCCCTCCTGCCACCGAGCGACATTGTCGACAACATCAATACCCGGCTGGTCGCTCCGGTCCTCACCGTCCAGCAGTTCCTCCCGCTCCTCGCGAGTCACAGCGTCGACCCAAGGTCCCCCGCCTCCATTGTCATCGCTTATCCCTCGATACCCAACTCCTTGTCACCGCCCCGTCAGATCCCAGAGTGCCTGGTGACGTCTTCGCTTTCTGCCCTCGCGTCCTCCTTGAAGAGGGAGGTGAAGGCAGCCAAAGCCAACATCACTGTTTCTGAACTCAAGCTGGGTAACTTTGACATGGGTTCCGTCGCCTCATCTCGGACGACGCCCACGCAGTCCGCGTACTACCCCGCCTCCGGCACTTCCGGAACATCTTCGGCCTTGACGCCGTGGCACTCGTCCCAGCGTGCAGCCTTGCAACGCAAAACACTCGGCCAGCGCAGTTTCATTCGTGGCTCGTCTGCCCGGGAGTTTCACAACGCCGTCTTTGACGCCCTCGCGCCGCCGCAGACGTTCAAAGCCTTTGGCCGGTTCGAATGGACGGCTACGCGGAGGCCCGGGGTGGTCTTCGTGGGGACCGGTGCCAGGATCTACGACGTTGTCGGCCGCATGATGCCGGACGGTCTCGTCGCTTTCATGATGGGCCACCGAAGGCGTGAAGACGACGAGATTGACGTGCGACAGGCAAGGGTACGCCATTTTGCACAACACGACCACGGAGACAGGGACAGCTCTGCCGGAAGTGCTGAGCAGCGTGGTCCCGCTGCGTCGACGGTCTGGGGCTTTGGTTCGGCGGGCAGTGAAAGTGGCATCTGGGAAAAGGTTTGACGATGGATGATTATTATTTTTTACATTTTAATGACTTGTACGTATGAAGATTCTACTCAATCAATTGCACCACTTTTACTTTCTGAACAATTACGCATGCGAACACATCAGAGATCTGCACACAGTGAGACGTGTCCTTATCCTATAGCCAAGTCTTGGTATGACCTGCAAAAGTTGAATCACACGCGACTCCTTATCATGTCTTGTAATGCAGGGGAGGCTCCATGACGACTCGTTTGTATGGAGTTGGTGATGGACGGACATATTTCACTTGTCTAAGGTATATATATATATCATGTGGCTCAGCTGCATCCGAAACCCCGGCAATGCCCGCTTGACATCAGGTCTGTTCTCGGGTCGCTTCGGGCTACTGAGAAGTAATACCTGATCCCAGATGCGCCTTCTCAATGACCCCGTCCATGATGCTTCTTCCACTGACGACCCCGGTGGTGCAAATGACTATCTTCCTTCTCTGGCCGGACTCGGCGATCTTTCGACCAATGAACCTGAGGGCAGCTATTTCGGTAAAGGTGATTCCGCCGAGAAACATGACGAAGACGGTCTTCCATCCTCCTGTGCCAGCGAGGGCGGCCTTGGCCTTTGCGGCTTTCTCGTCCGTCGCTTTCTGCGCGAGACTAAATGTTGGGCCTCGGGCCGATTTCAAAATGTCCTCGAAGCCCGTCCAGCCGGTGCTGGAAGGCGTCAGAGGCAACGACGACTTGTGTAACGCCTGGAGATATTGTTTCTGCAGGATACACTGCACCATCCTCACGCTGAGTGGAGCATAGCCTGAATACACGTAGGCGATGTCTTCGGGATCCTGCTCGTTGTATTCGTCGATGATGAGACGAAGTTCTTTCCTGAGATAAGCGTAATTCGTTTTCGTACCCTTTTCCTGGTTTCCTCCACCGCCGACAGGGAGTAGTAGTGCCGATGCAGAAGAACGGGGCTGGAGGAGTTCCATCTTTTCAAGCGCGTCGAGAGTGGTAAGATGCTGGAACCCGTACGCGTGCAGGATTTGGCGCCGAAATGAATCCAAATCTTTAGGTCGAAGTCCGCCTGCGATGGTAGACTCTAGGCATAAGAGGCGGAGTATGGTGCTGAGAGGTGCATCTCGTGCGATTAATTGTTCTATGGTCTCGTGTTGATAAACAGGATCCGTCCCGGCAGCTACATTTTGTTGAACCTCGAGTTCGCGATTGAATGTCTCCGACCGCGTATGTTTCATCATGTCGTCGGCGAGATTCGTATGGAGTGCTAGAGACTGGTGCTCTTGTTGAAATCCTGGAAGCTTGTTGACAAAGTCACGCAACTCATTGATCCCTCGAGCACTGTGACGACCTTCATACTCCGATTCGAGACGTCGAGCAATCTTGTTTAGATGGGGCCCGATCAGAGCGAAGTTAGAAGACCTTAACTGTTCAAACAGCGGGTCTGAGGAATCAAGTTGTATTTTGCGTTTCAAGCTTTGGCGAACTGCTAGAGGCGGCGACGTTGAAGATGATCCGGTGTTCGATCGCTGTTGAGGGCCGGCTCCTATTATTGACGAATCCACCTCTGCTCGATTGTGTTTAATCCCAACCATTTCGTCAATCAAACCCTCGTAGGTCAACTGTGTTAGAAGGGTAGTAGCAAAGTCAACATCGCGATCAATGATGATGAGCTGTTCAATAGAAGTACTTGGCATGCTTGTGTACTGTGTTGCAGCTTCGTCGGCGTCCAATTCTCTCCGTCCACGAAGTAGTAGATTCGCTAGCTTTCGAGCGTTGTCGCCCTTTCCTAAAATACGCGGAAACAGACCATGACGCTGCTGAATGGCCATTAGAGCTTTCGAAGCGAGATATAGTGGCGAGGGATCATGTCTCTGTAGGCGTGTAAGCTTGAGAGCTCGCATCATGCACATAAGGATCAGTAGCATGTACCAGGTATAAATCGTGGAAGGCTCCATCCAGCTCCATTGAAAGCATGTCATCTTCTAGAGGCAGAAAGTAAAGAGGTAGTTCTGAGATATTGACATCGCCCAAGACGCCTTCATCTTCAAGGATCTTGTTCGAGACCAACGTCCTCCTTGGTGCCCATATTACCGAGATCTCATGCTCGACCGTGCCATTCTTCTGAAGCTTCTTTATCTGCTCTTTAAGAATATAAATTCAGGGTCAGCATTGTGAATGTGATAATCAAAGTTAGAATAAATATTGGATGCTTCTGAAATACTGTCTTTGGGATTTCGAACTTGGTAGCCTTGAGTGAGGAAAGGGTGGAACAAGTCCACACAGCATCTCGTTGCATCTGGTCCCCGAAAACAAATAGAGACGAAGGCTTACCTGCTACAGCCTGGACTAGGGGTGCCTTCTCCCCGTGCACAAGATACACGATATTCCTCTGCGAGGAATCGGTGTTGCCATTTTCAAGTTCGAAAACCTTGTCTACGCCATATTCCTTGAGGGTTGGAAATTGAACGAACAGACTCAACAAGCCTGTCAAGTCTCTTCCGATGACCAGATTCTTCTTTCCTCGAACCTATCGCCGTTGTAAGCAGGGTGTTCTGGGAGTCAAGGATTTAGTGATGGCCGTACGCCTTCGAGTAAGCCGAGGAGATCCTTTCTGGCTTTGTTCTTGATATGTTCAGCTTCTTTGTCAATATTTGGGGCCATCGGCCTTGACGAGTATTCACTGTGTAGGGGTCAACCCATCCGATGTTATGTCTCAAGGAGGAGGAGATGATGCCGTATGTGTTTCAACTGAAGAAAAGTACCTGAGATCCTTGCCTGCCCAGGCTCTACCCAATTACTGCCAAGCGCGGGGGCTTATCTTATCGGTGCGGACGGCAACCGGACTTTAGGGTCGCAGTTGTTCTAGAAGCCTGGACTGCACCGCCTTGTCAGCCGCGTCGTCGACGTTTCACCTTGAGATCCTTTCCATTCCCTCAAAATTACTGCCTACAAGAACCCCTTCCGACGCTCAACCTCGCCTTGACTTTCTTGAATCAGTGTCAATTTGCTTGTATATGTCGAAATGGGCAAGTTCAGCCTCAAGAAGGGTGACAATGATGACGACTCCAGCAGACTGGCCCTTTTCGGGTCCCGTTCGAAGTCCAAATCCCCTGCTCCTCCCACAAACAACCCCTACGCCCAGCCTGCAGTCCCTCCCGATCCGTACACAAGAGCAAAGATGAGTGCTGGAGTGGCTCCCCCTTCAGAGCAATCTTCAAAAGGTGGCTTCCATGCTGGACCGGGTCCTCTGGGTCATTCAGGATTGCCTGGTCCTGGACAGCAGAGACCGCCACAAGGCCGGGGCAACCCATATGGTAACAATCAGCCCGGTGGCTATGACAAGACGTACGACTCTACACAAGGGGGCTATGGCTCAGATAAATTTGGCAATCAGAATGGCTATGGTGGTGGTGGCGGTAGTGGCGGTAGTGGCGGCAATCCTTATGCCAGTGTACAGCAACCCAGCGGTACTTCACGGCAAGGCGGCTACGGGGGACTGGGCCCTTCCAATATCTACGACAATGACTCCAACCGTGACGAGCTCTTCGGCGGTGCCCGGGAGCGTGTGCAGCAAAAGCAACAGAACCAGCCGAGCGGGCCCCCTGACTACCAGTACAACTCAACCACCGATGGTGGCGATCGAAGCTACGGAGCATATGGAGATCGTCAACTCACAGCCGAAGAGGAGGAAGAGGAGGACATTCAGGCTACAAAACAAGAAATCAAGTTTATGAAACAACAAGATGTGGCTTCCACCAGAAACGCCTTGCGGATCGCTGCTCAGGCTGAAGAGATGGGCCGCAATACTCTTGCTAGGCTGGGTGCACAAGGCGAACGAATGCACAATACGGACAGAAATCTCGATATTGGAAACAATCACATCAACATCGCAGAAGACAAGACCAAAGAACTGAAAACACTGAATCGAAGCATGTTCGCAGTGCACGTCAACAATCCTTTCACCGCGAAGGAAAGGCGGGCTCGACGAGATGAGCAGATTATGGAACGCCACCATAATGAGAGAGAAGCCCGGGAAGCGACAAGGGAGGCTGCCTTCCAGAGTACTCAGCGTATGAATCAGAATTTCAAAGGGCTGGATGATGCTTCAGCAGCACCTCGGGGGAAACAAAGTCTGGCTGAAAGAGCGAAATATCAATTCGAAGCAGACAGCGAGGATGATGCCATGGAAAATGAAATCGATCGAAATCTCGACGACCTTACTGGGGCAGCCAAACGACTAAATTTGCTGGCACGTGCTACAGGTGAAGAAGTCGAACAGCAAAACCAATTGATTCAGAATATTGCGGAAAAGGTGAGTTTCATGATGCACATCTTGATTCATTAGCTGACAACAAGACAGAGCGACCGCTTCGACGACCGCTTGCACTTCCAAACCGAGCGTTTGAAGAGAATCAGATAGGGTTTTCTTGCAAATGGAAATATAGACGATATACTTCTTCATGGCAGTATCCCGTTCGAGGAAAAATATCGAGGGCTGCTTGATGGATGTCCCAGCTTGTGTCTTATTGCGGGGCAAATCGGAAGATACTTGTAGTGGTGCCTCACAGATCTGGATCAGCATGATCAGCCCGACCCGAGCGACGATCAACAACACGATCGCATATCAAACGCTTACAACAACCTGTGAACCGTATGCTCAGGTCGATATACCTAGACGCCATTCATGAGCCGGAGTAATAATGTCTACACTATATGATAGATCCATCAGGAAACAGCTCTCTGTTATCTGCGAGCAGAAATTGTCAGGTCCACTGGAAATACTAGCAGGGGCACTGGAGGTTGGATCGTATGTGCGCTCACCGCTGAATTGTCTAGCAGATCAGTGCTAATGGCGTTGGTTACAAGATTCTGCGGATTTGTTTATAGGTAAACATGAGTTTGGGTCTGGTCACAGGTTTCGAGCTCTGAAAAGCTTTGTTATGCACGGCGCAAAGCGATGAATCTGCCTGCCACAGATTTCTGAATTCTCATAGCTGCATTCGCTCTCAGACATCCCCTTCACGCATGGTCTTTGTGTGCTGAGCCTCCGGGGCATCGTCGATCTCTAATTTCATTCCTCGATCTGACGGAGTCAGGAATCGGATGCATTTTTTGACATGCGAACAAGGGTACAATGGACACAGTCTGTAGGTACCTCCACTACAGAACATAATCTCTATCCTTTCCGGGTCAGTGCGTTCATGATTCGGCTAGCTAGTTGTGATGAAAAAATGTCCTAGCGAGTTTGGTAGCGAGATTGAATCTCACAGACCATCCAGCAGTCTTAGACTTGCGGAACGAAAAGGAGTAAGTTCACATCCTTTGGGGCGGCTATATCGCACAGTACAGTAAGGGTCGGAAGTATTTGTGTGGCGTTCCCGGATCTGCAAAGATCGTCGATGTCTCGATGGGAGACACCGGGGCAGATTCAACGACAAAATAATCCTTTCCGGAGTCCAATTTCAATAACTGCGCCATCGGATCTCGTTCGCCAGAGGGTCAACAGTGGATAGGAACTCAATTAGCTCAACAAGACACCGATTTCACGGTTAGCACTCTCACAATCCAGGTCTCGTTGGGTGGAGGGTTCTGCCAGCCCTTTTCACCTACGCCTCCAGCAGGAAGGGGTTATTGGTTGACATGCCCTCTAGTTCAAGGTGTCAACGATGGGCTTTGGTGATGGTGGCTCTCGAAAAGACAGCTTGCACTTGGAATTGGCCTTGGCAGGGTGTCACCGTCGCGGGCAAACTCTTCAGTTAAAGGGCAAAACAGGCGAGAGCAGCCTGAGTTTGGGACCCATCACCACAAACGAAAAGACTATCGAGACCCCGAGACCCCTAAACTCTTCTCTCACAAGCTCACAACAACAATAAGCTTCACCAACTTGAGCACCATGGAGCCAATTTCAACCCTAAATCTTCCCCAATTGGGACCAAATTCGACCTAAGAATCCCCCGAGTGCAGAAATCAACCTCCACCAAAATGATCCAACACTTCGACTTCGTACAATAGTTGCGCAATAATAAGCCAGGTAGTGGCAGTCTCAGTAGTGCGATGCTAGGTCGGAGCTCTGAGGGCGATGACCCAAACTCGTCGAAGCGCATGCGCAATTCCACTGTCATATATTCGCGCCCGGATCACCACTTACTTGGGAGCACTCACAGTATTATGTCTAGAGACACGATGGAGCGTTGAGCCTGCCAGAGGAGAGATGTCCTTACTCCGTACTTGGGATGCTGCTGCAGCGCTGTGATTCCGTGCGAAATGGGTGGTCAACCCCCCAAGCCAATAGTTGTCAGGTGCCTAACACCAGAGAAGGTCGCATGACGTCTACCAGCGTACAGTGTGAGCGGAAAAAGAGACACGACGATATCGGTGGATGAGTCGGTGGCCTTTTTTCCCACCACAAGGATCAGGCCTTGGGCGGCATTCCAAGCAGGGACCTGACGCCACCCGAGCGCCAGAGCAGCCCACTGCGAGCATCCTTGATCATAATGTTCCGAGCGGACATTGTTGGCTTCGTTTCAGAATGAGCTCCACCGGGCGCTAATTGAGGCCTCGAAACTCCGTTCAGAGGGTTGCTTATGGCGCCCCGGGGTGGAGTGGCAAAATGACGATTGGGAATGAAAGTGAAGCAACGGCAAACGAACAGAGGCTGGATAGAGTGCCGGAGTAAAGAATCATTTGCCCTGGGCCACGGAAAAGGGACAGCCCGTACGTCAGTGAAGTCGAGGCAACTAATGGGCTTCTCAGCTTTCATCAGACCCTGCGTCGAGAGTTATACCGGCTTTCCCTCTCGTCTGGGACAGTCCGCAGGGTCTACTTTTAAATTGGTAAATGGATTGTATAGTTCGCTGGGTATTCGTGTTCCAGAAAAGGAGGCTGAGCAGTGGGCGACGATGATCAGCCATCGAATCACAAAAACCGGAGCAACGACATACCAGCACTGATGGTTCAGCCCAGCATCTACCGGTGTGACACCAGAGAGCTGGCCCTCGGACCCAGTGCTACTAATAACATTGCACAAGATCAGGGCAAAAGGAGGTAATGTACAGCACTAGGGGTGGCAAAAAACTGAAGCTACAGAGGCCATCATGCAGAAGCTCTGCATCTTCGACGGCAGGGTGTTAGTTCGGGATACACTTGGGATACACTTGGGATACAAGGATTATTGCAATAATCCTCGTACTCGTAGCATGAGGAACTGACCCAAGCCAACGGGCTCGGGATCACTGATCAGCGGCGGATGCTTCGACACCCTTCACGTGAACAGCTCATTCCCCAGCTTGATAGACAAAGATCTGCCGTGGAGCAGGATACAACCAAGATATTGCGTGCATAACAATCTCCTTTCCTCGCCGACGAGGCTACACATCACGGATTGTTGTCGTTGCGAAGTCTCCATGAAATGCGATTTCATAGCACGACCAGGATGTGTCTAGAGGCAACAATATCCAAGAAGAAGCGCTCGGATGTCGGCACGACTATACTACCCAAACACTTCAGTCGACCGGTGGAGACTGTTGGGTGATGATTGAATTAGGACGAGGATGCTGCTTGGGTGCAAAACGCCATCTTACCAGGACAGTACTCCGTAGTACTCGTACGACTAAATTTTCCCAAAGCGAAGAAGCAGAGGGCCGTACACTTAGAAAGACCCCGAAAGATAACCAAGGCTTGCTTGTCAACATTGTTAGCGGTGTTAGCGACAAGTGAGGAACGAGCAGGCGTCGGAACTAGGGACGAAGCAGGAAGCAGGTCGCGTCAGTGGCGTTTTCGTCACCTTTAATCTCTGCGGGTTTTGGGGGGGAAAAGGGAAAGGGAGGGAGGGGCGAGTGCACGGGCATCACTGGAGCCAGACGCCAAAGCCCATGGGCCCCTGTAAGCCACAAAATTAGAGGGCAAGGGAGCGATTGGTAGCACTGTTTACGATGGTATGGATACTCCCTACTGGAGTTCGCAGTTGTCCGGTGGTTTACTGAAGAAGCTTCGTTTCTGGAGTAAAGGAAGTCGACGCAGCGTGTCGCAAGTCTGTTACAGTACAGTTGATGCATTTGGCTTTCACCCTCCGACCCTTTTGTGATCCCCTTCTTTTAGAAAAAGTGAAAGCGGTCTCAAATCTACTAATAAGTATGTTTACTTGCAAGGGACCAACCTGGGGAGACCTGGTCAGAGCCCAAAAGTGATTAATTACCTCTAGTACATACAGTCCTCCGTATCTTTCCCCAGTTCTTCCCCCATTGGTAGAGGCTGTCAGCCACTGATTGCAACTAACTAAGGGAGGTTGTAATGGGCATTTCTGCATCTGGCGTGCTCTCGTCTGCAACCCACCCCAACCTTTCCCATCTGCGGTACTGTACTCAGTTACGAATAATGTTCAGAACGGTCGATGGCACACCGCCTTATTCTTCCGTTCTTTTGATTCGACTGTTGGCCGACTCAGAGGGACTCGTACTAGATCGATAGTTTGCCGACTCCATCACGCTTTGCTCGCGTAGAATTGTGATTGAGTCAAGAGCGATGCAGTCTGGGAGGGTCTCTGGCTACCTGGCGACTTTTAGGTACTTACGGAGTACCTTAGAGCAGCTTTTCAACCACTCTCAGGCGGCGCTTCCTGCACCCCGCCGCTGCAAGAATACCTTACCTTGCGGACTAGGTAGGTAGTCATTTCCTCCCAATGCTCGCTCCATTTCGGAGGCGAGCATACTGTCCGTAGTGGACTGTGTGATTGCGTTTGCTTCCACCACCATATTGTATTGTTGTTTGTACTCTTTTGCTACAAGTATGAAAGCAACAGCATCACGGCCACATTCCGTCAATCAAAGTTGTGCTTGGCAGGCGCCTGCCAGTGGGAGACAAACAGACCAAGTGGGCAAGGTCAAAGGACGGGGTGGCTGCCGAAGCCTGCAGTGAGACGAATGTGACAAGACGCCACCAAAAGCCCCCATCGTCGCCAGCAAGATGTCATCGCGCCAATGACTCTGTGGTCTCGCAATCCTCTGATACTCCATCCATCCATTTCCGTTTCTCTCACAGGGCGACCTTTTCGCACTAGAAACGCCTCCATCTTTAATCTGGCATCCAACAGCCAAATCCACTCTTAATCGGTCTATCCACTTCCGAATCAGCATCCCCGTCGTCCTCCTCCCTAAGCCTCACCCAGGGTCCCTCACACATCCCTGGTGCTGAGACCAACCTCCATCGCACAGGGCTCCAGTCGAACACTAGCCTTACCTGCCCGTGACCAGGCTACTGACCTCATCCCTGCCCCCGACCTCTGTATCCCTCCCGACCTAAAACTATACTGCCTCCACCGAAATCATCAAGTTCCGGCCTGGTGCATTGGTGTCCTGCCAGTCAACATTCCCTCCGGACTCTCCACTGCGAACGCCATCCAACTGCCATCTCGAGCTAAAACCACCCTGCATTAACAAGAGCCCAAGGGCAGTCCAAGCCGCGAGGGTGATGATGCCAGTCAATCAAGGTTCTCATCACTGCAAAGGGTCATTCCCACCGACGTAACTTTACAGACGCAAAGCACTGGCACTTGCTACGACAGCTGCTCATAACAACTTATCTACCCTCACATTCCCCACCCGTTGTGTGAACGGGCCTGTTTCTTCATACCTGCTCAGGAAGATATCAGACGAGCATTCCTCCATTCGAAACACAAGAGCCATTTCACCCATCGGAGAGGCACACCCAGTTGCATCCTACCGCCAGCAAAACAACACACTCCCACACACCTTGTATCAACACCCGTCTCCCTCGACAGCCTCGGAGATTTGGACCAGCGCTGAGATCTTCGTCTGAACGACCGTTGAAACTCAACTGCTTCCCAGAGGCATCACAACCTTTACACGACAGCCAATCCTGTCGATCTGCCGTTCGCCGAACTTGTTTGAGGATTGCGCATCACTGCAGCATAAGGATACCTGCTATCAAAGTCAAAGGGGGCACTGCTCAATAATTCCCGCTATCGACGACAACAGCAATAGATCAGCATTCATCATCTGTGGATCGTTCATTGGCAGTTGTTGCCTCGCACTCTCTCCACACAATATCCTACATAACACTCGCCGATCTCCTTGATCAGAGTTGGATCGCCTCGACACGTTTTCAGGAACCGGTATACTCTGCTGGCATTCTTCCACCACGACACAAATCGTCAACGTCCTGCTTCCAGTGGGATTCTTCTCGCGAGGCCTTTACATTGACGCCTCTAAGTTGTACTTCTCTTCCAAAACACCGCCCTCATGACGATGGTCATTGATAGCCAAGGTCGACAATACGGTGGCATGGGATACGACCACATGTACCCAAGCATGCAGACGACACCGCAATTCAGCGACCCGTGGTCACATCAGACCAGCTCCTCCAACGCGTCTTTTCCTGCTCTATCCAAGACAGATAGCTCCAGGTCTACCATGTCGATGCCATATTCACACATGCCACCAGTCACTGGCTCAATGGCCCAAGGTAGCGCCTACTCTAGCACTGGATATTCTGGGACGGATGTACTAAGTTTCCCTCAAGACATTCCACGCTCAACATATGAGCAGTCTTATCCTCCTACGTCGGCGACCACGTCGTCTTACACGCCATCATACACGTCCATGACCTATGCACAATCTCTCGCCCAGCAACAGCAACAGCAACAAAGTCAACATAGAAAGATGTCCGAGTAAGTGAACACCACATCCACACGTAAACCCAGGGTTTTCTGACGATTTGATATAGTGTCGACAGCTCCCGTGCTGCCAACGCCAGCTTCGGTGAGCTTGACGCCTCTCGGGGCATGCTCGCGCTTAGCCACCAAAATCTTCATGACTTGACCCCTCGAAATATCTACGAAGCGCGTGCTCAAAGAGCTTCTGCGGACTCTTACGGCTTTCCTCAGACGGCCTCGGCTCACTCATCCATCTCGAATGAATCTGGTCGCGGCTACCCCTACTATGCGCCCAGCTCTGTTGGATCTGTCGCCGATTCTGCAACCGACTATAGCTCGGCCGCTTCAGACGCCGGCTATGATTCAATGACAGTTTCGCGCACGCTGCCGCGACCAACGCAATTGCTCGGAGCGCCAATTGGACCTCCTGCCCCTCAGTCGATGATGGGTCAATTCTCGTCGAAGATGTCGGGAAATACCCAAAAGAAGCACAAATGCAAAGTCTGCGATAAGCGCTTCACGAGGCCGAGTTCTCTACAAACACACATGTACAGCCACACGGGCGAGAAGCCGTTTGCCTGTGACGTTGAAGGCTGCGGCCGACATTTTTCAGTCGTGTCGAACCTGAGGCGTCATAAGAAGGTGCACAAGGGTGACGGCACTTCGACCACCAGCCACTCTGATACGGAAGAGTAAGGGCCCGAAGTAAGAGAACACAATGTTATTACCCTGAATTGATGCGCAAAACTTTTGCGTGTCATATGTGGTTTTTCCTTGCTCCATGTACAACACCTTTTGAGCGCGACGAACCGGAGCAGCACGGCGCTATGTACAACAGGTGTTTATTTAGAAATGGTCGGGGAAGATGGAAAAAGCCAGGTGCTTCTCGCATCGACACCGGCATCAAAGAAATTGCCCCAAATCAAGTTCGATTCACGACATTCGCTATTTCTACATATTTTGTTTATTGTGACGACTTTTGATACCCAGCGATGACGGTTCCTATCATGACTGAATTCTACTTTCCGCATTGTGAGCGTTAGAAGCTCACGGCCAACAAAGCAGTGGGCGAGGAAATAGTATGGTCGACCTCGGAACATCAACACACGATCAACAACGATGGCGTTTTGGGGGCTTCAGGCACTTTTTTGTTTCTTGTGGCCGCCCTGCTGGTTGTTCCTGTTGTCGTTGATGTGGCCCCTCTCATGAAATAATCTGGGAGAGTGTCGAGTTGGGATTGGGTTGGCGTGTGGCTCGGAAACTGTCTGCACTGGACGTATTGTGGCGCAACCAGATAGTCATAGCTTCTATTGTAGCAGGAATGAATCAATCTATCAGGATCCTCCAGGGTCATGATCAAAGTTACTACCTTGCCCTACTTTCGTTCTTGAATTGCTTTCCTTTTTTTTGCTGAGGCTGCCAATTACAATTCTGTATGCATGTTGCTGTCTGTACGGAGTACAGGGTAATGGAGATGGGCTCCCTTGTCCGGCATGGCTTCGCCTCGCACCGGTGTTGGGATGTTTCTGGGTAGGAGCAACGAGTAGTCGTAAGAGGATCATCATCACGTGCGTCAAAGGGGTGTGGGTGTGGTGCCTATGACATCATACCAGGGTCCGAGTGTTGTTTTGTGACTGGGCGGGGAAAAGGGAAGGAGAAGAGAGGTGGGTGGACAAGGGGACAAGGGTGATTAAAGGGACAAGGGGAGAAGGGCTCGGACCAGGATCTTTGTTACAAGGATTATTATTCGGGACCCTTTTTTTTGACGATTTTGGACCAGGGAGGTGTTTAGACTATGTACGTCTTGTATGAGTCGCCCGGGTTTCTTTTAATCGGCTTTGTATTGTAAGGACCATGTAATTCTGCATGGAGTATATATGTACGGTATATACCTAACCTAGTACGGAGTGAGTGTAAAGTCGTACTGTACATATTGGTTTTGACGATTATCCGCTGCAGCTTCTATTATGACACGAAAGCATCTGCCGAAGAGTCACAGTTGAAAAAGGAGTTTTATAACCAACTACCTTGGCTCATTACGAAGTACTGTATGTAGGTATAAACTGTATGTATTGGTTAATGCCTTGACGGTGCGAGGGGCAGGGGATGTTATACCTTTCCGACACCGTCGTCGTCGTCGTCATCGACATTACAAGATTAGGGTTAGGGAAAATGATCGAGCTGCCCACGAGTTTGTTACAGTATATGGAGAGTCACAACTCGTTCACATTATTACGGGAGTAATAGGTACGTACGTATTTCCACGGTTTGTAAAGTATTCTCGGTGAAACCGGATCATTACTACTCGAGTTTTGCTCTGTTTTCGTCGAAACTCGGTTAATAATGTTGACGACAAAACAACAAAAAAAAAAGTGAAAAGTGAACCAACCCCTTCCCTCGCTATCTACCGAGTCTACCAGTATCTCTTTTTTCTTTGGGCCCCCCCTCCAAATGATGAAATGGACTGCAAGATGATGATGACGATGACGATGACGATGACAGATGATGTGTTGTTGGTTTGTGGTGTACGGAAGTGAAACAGAAACATGGGCTCTACAACGTCAGTGGCGTTTTTAAAGTGATTTGATTGGGTCTAGTTGAGAGGGACAAACACAGACAAGGGGACGTGTTCAGTTTGATCCACACAAACATCTGAGAGAGGGAGAGGAGGGAGAGAGAGAGAGTACGCTAAAAAAAAAGAACGAGGACAAGGGTCCTCGGAAAGGAAGTTGACGTCGTTTTTGCATTTCGATTTTTGTTGTTGTTGTTGTTGTTGTTGTTGTTGTTGTTGTTGTTGGCCATGTATTGATTGAACAAGTTATAAGTGAGGAGATTACTTCTTATGGAGTAACTTGATATTATTGTGCTTTGCAAAATTCCGTAAAAACCTTATTTTTTTGCAAGTTGTATGAAATCTGCACACCGCCATATGGCCTGTATCAACAAACTCATCCTGCAGCCGCAATAGCCCTAGATAGCACTGTAATTTACTGCAATATATTGTAACTACATACAAACATGATGTCGAATCGTACAAGGCGCACAATAACTCCATCCCATTAACTCTAGGAGTCATTAGCCTCTCAATCACTCCGCGAGACCCTTGTTACTCGCAACGCTCGCATAAAGCGCAAAAGCGACGGCGATAGCCTTGCAACGAGGGCTAATAGGGCAAGTTCAAAGCGTCGCGCTATGTCTCTAAGCCCTCGTCCCTCTCGAACGGCTAGTCCTGACCTGCCAGAGTCATCAGAGTCGCCAGAGTTACCGCCGAGACTAAGTATTAAGGAGGACATTATGTCGCAAGCACAGGAAGCGTTAAATCTTCTTAATGAGGATAATAAAGTCTTATCTATATCTAGTAATGCTAAAGAAGATAATAAAGAGAAGGGGGAGATATTAATATAAGCCTCTCTATCAGCGTAACCTAGTTATCAATCAAATACTTTACCATATATCGCGGAGAATAACTTAAGCCTAACTAATATAGACTCTATTAAATTAATATTTAAGATTGATAAACTTTTCTATGATATCACCATAGAAATCTTTATTAAGAAAGTTAAGATCCTTAGTACGGAAGTATCATGTTAAGGTTTTAATATTGTTAATACACTCCTTAAGTATAAAGGTTAACTTAAGTATTAATATAATAACTACAATCGAAAGACTTATAAATTACACCCCCCTATCTTCAGGGGTAAGTTCATAATTAAACAAGGTAATAAAAAGCTTTATTCCTTAATTATGAAGACTTAAGAACACTTTAAGAAGGCCTATTAAAAGTGGTGAGAGCTTTATCATGCTTAAAAAGATGGCTATAAGAGTAGGACTAAACTTAGTGCGCATTTAGCACTAGTATACTTAATTATTAAGAAGCTAAAATGACGTTAACTAACTAGTTAATATGGCTTATTTAGTGAGGACATTTTAACATTATCATTATCTTATGATAATGTCTTCTTAAGCCGTTATCTTAACTTAACCTAAACACGTCGCTATTGTAAGGAAAAGGCTAGGAATAAAAGGTTAAAGGGTAAGGTAATCTTCGTAACATAATAATAGTGAGAAGAAAAATAACTTTAGGCATAAAAAGAGGCTACCGCCGGAGTAAGCTTCCTTAATATCTTAAAGAGACATTATTATAAGTTAAAGAATTGTAAGAATTACTTTTGTCTATGTGTTAATTATAGAGAATAGTATTTTCCTCTATTCACATCATTAGTTTAGCGTTAGAGTGATATGATTGCAAAGAAGGCTCCTAGTGTGACGGCTGACCAGGTGCTAAACGTGATTATGGTGGCCCTTCTCTTAGAACGGAATAGAAATGAGAAACGCTATGATACTATATATTAATCTCTGCCTATTTACTCGCCAAACTATATACATCTATTTGTGCTTAATATTGAAGGAATCCCGTTAATGAGTCACCTAGCATAACCTCCCACACACATCTATTAACCTCCGTTATTAATAGTCGCCGCCGCCGCCGCCGTCACTAGACCTCAATTAAGCCCTTCATAATGAGAGGGTGATGATGATTAGAATATATAGGAGTACTTTAATTAGCTAGCGACTAAATATCCTATTTATGCGTTCAAGTTACTAAAGATTAAGCTCTCTATTGCGGATTATAGATAGGGCTTCTCTGATCTACGAACATGTACAGATAAACATTGGAAGGCTATAACTGTTTCGGCTGGTTTTATGACTAAAATCCGTAATAACCTTAAGGAATTTGCGCGTTTAGCTATAATAAGTGGAGACGGTTTTAATGATAGTATAAATGGACGTCTAGTGAGTGTTATATTATTAGGGAATAGTAGTTAATGAGGGCTTATTACATAACTCAGTGTGGTGTTAGAATTATTTTGCGTGTTGCTATCTCACACTATACCTATTATAGTATATAGCTTAGCTAATTATAATTAGTGTGATTACGTGATAGCTATATTTGCATAACCTTAAGAATAAACAGATTAAGGTATATAGACTAGGCTTATTATTGCAGGATGAGATGCCTATAGCCCCTTCTTTTTTTATCTATTCTCTACTAGTTACTATGCCTCATTAAATATAGCCATATCTATGGAAGTAATTATGAGCTATCTTAACCTTATAGACACTAGTTATTACTAGATAAATAAAGGTATTAAAGCTATTCTCATAATAATAGCCTAGTTCTCTATTCTTTCGCATCCACTCCTTTAACTCGTGAAATGACATCTTAATTGGATTGAGCTCTAGAGTATATAGAGATAAGTACTTAAAAATGACGCCCTACTTCTCGCATATTCGCTTAACTCTATTAGATCGGTAGATAGTTATATTGTCCATGATTAGAACGGAATGATCTCCTAAGAAGGGGTTTATCTTATTAAGCACTCCTTAGAGAAATGTTTCGAATCGTTCGGCGTTAAAAGAGCCTTAATAGACCTCATAAGTGAGCTACCTATCTGTTGTCATTATAGGTAAAATGCTCTAACTGGTAGATCGGCCACCTAGTAGTTACACTTAGTATAGAGTGTTACGGGCTAACCAGCCAAACTTTCTATCCATAGTTCTATTATTTGCGGCGCTTTCATCAAGTGTTACTAGCTAGTTACTAGTGTAATTAGCTATCTATGCTATATAGAAAGCAATAAGTTTATCGTCTCGCCTGGTATTAACTCTGGTTACCTATTTATACATAACATTTATAGAGTTAAGTGCCCGGGAGACTATTAATATATAAGCGTTAATACCAAACTTATCGCGAAGAAAATCGTAGTACTCATCTAGCCGCGCTGTCAGCTAATCTAGCATAAAATCACGAAGTCCTTTCATTGCGGCATAATGAATTAACTTTAGACGACCTTTAACAGGTGCTATATCATTTGTTTTGATGTCTTAATAGCGTAGATCCCATCAAACTTTAGAAATATAGGCATTAGAAACCCCTTAAGCCTTTGTAATGGCTGTGCCTTTCACTCCTGCCCAAAGTGCAATTGACACAGCCACTTTTACCGCAGGATCAAACTTTAGCTGTGATGGTATCATAATCACGCCTTTTTATATAGTAAAATTTAAATACTTAGATAGAGAATTTGCTCCGGAGTAAGATTATCATATAATATTTATGAAATTATAGGGTGGTTGTTGAGAAATATGGCGTTGTGTTCTCACCGCTTTTATGATTATTGAATGTTTTGCATGTTGCAAAAAAATAAGGTTTTTACGGAATTTTGCAAAGCACAATATCAGGGATAATCAAGTGGTAGTAGTTTGTATGTTTACCTGGTAAATCTAACACCACAAACAAAACTACCTGGGTAAGGAAGGAATATGGGCCATCACGAGTATTCTCTTTCTTCAACGATTGTACGGAGTATTGGTCGTAAAGAATAATTTCCGGAATTGTTCTGGGGTCTGTCAATTGGGCGCATTTGCGTCATATCTTTGGCCGGGGGGAGAGCTATGTAGAGGGAGAGGGAATTGCTCTCCGTCACAAGTACCTTTCACACACACGTCTTTACCTTTGTTAATATCAAAGTTCCTGTCAAATTATATCGAAATTCCGTCGAGGGGTTTTTTTGGTGATCAATTGGCACGAGCTTCTCTTGTCGTTCTCAACGATGTCCCCAGCTTTTGTGTCAATCATTTGTTTCATGTTTCACCATTTTTTTGATCTAATTAACTCCATACGTAGGTACGGAGTATAGTAGTTAGGTATTGATATTCCTGTGGGAACTTCAACGACAAGGAGATCGTTTTGCCAAATAACAACAACAACAACAACAACAACAACAACGCCGCACAGTCCAGTATTGTCCAGTATTGGTCAGTTGCCGGCTCAATCTCAAAACATTCCCGTTCTACCGCGTACTTGCAATCTGAAACGATGCAGGAACGAAAAAAACAGACGTGCGTTTACATCACGAAGGATTACGAAGTACCAAGCTCGGAAATTCTTTTTCTTATTTGTTCTCCTCAAGTCCAGTTGATCTCGTAATCTAAAGTACAGTCAATCTGCCTGTGTGTGGATCTTGACTCTCTCCCTGATTTGTATAGACCCCCATGATCTTTGTCGTCGTCGTCGTCGTCCAACTCAGTCAAGGGTAGAGCATATGTTGTAAGTACATGTAATTTTCGGTTTTCTCTCTCCCGCCCATCATCATTACTCTCTAAACCATTAAGAAATTTCTACAAGACCTGATTGATCCGCGTAAACCCTAAAAATGAACCCATGGACCATGTCGACTATGATAGACCACAAGGAAATGATTGCATCCCCATAGGACCTCCAAACACATCGAAAGAAAACATGTCGTCGTCGTTGTTGTTGTTGAGGGTCTTGATGGTTTCCTTCTGCTGCTGCTGTTGCTTCTCCTTCTCGATAGGTTGAAAGCAACGTGCTGCTGTCTTTTGATCAAGTAAACCAAAATCGAGGTCACGTTCTTCATGTTCATGTTTATCAAATATTGTTGTACTGTCCAACATTTGAACGTCGTCAAAGTTCCTCGGAGTTCTTTCTCTATTGTTGTTGTCGTTGTTGTCGTTGTTGTCGTCGCACCATCGTTCTTGTCCTTCTACTCGAGGACAATAGTCTTCTTCTTCGTGTGGTTGTTGTCCCGTCCAATTGTCATTCATCAGTAGTGATGGAACGGGAAGGTCTTCCCATTGACCTGTTCTTGATCGGAATAGGATCTCTTCACATGCCACCTTTTGTGCTTCTGTCGCTAAGAAATCCTCCATTCGGTTGCCAATGGGATTGGGTTGGTTCGGGTCTTGATGCAATGGACACTTTCGTGTTGCCATTATACGCTGCCGGAAAAAAAGTTCATCAATCACCCGCTTACTCACATGGATGTCAGGAGGTAGACAAAAGCTTACTTCTTGTGGACTCGTGCCCTGGATGCATTCCGAACAGATCAACCCGTCGGGACACTTGCCGCAAGGAATGACGAATTGATAGTGCACGCAGATGCCGAGGCTTCGACATTTGGCCCTGCACGGGTACTGGACGAAGAAGATGCACGGTTCGAAATGGTCGAGTGAGTGTCGTCGCATCTCTGGGTAGCAAGGTCGTTTGATGATGGGTGGATCAGGGTGCGAGATCTCTTCGGGTTTCGGCGTCACGAAGAAGTGACCGCGAGGGTATTCGATACTTTGAATGAAGAATTGACCGATCTCACGCTGGGCGTCCTCGCCGCCCGGGGCGTCGCGCCGCTGCGGAGCTCCGTTACTTCTCCTCGTGTTGGCCAGGATGGTGGAAGATGGCAATGTCCTCGTGCCGGTATTGGTGTTTGTCCACGTGTGAGTATTATTGTTTGGAGTTTGATATGACAGAAAAGGGTCTCTGACTGGTTCGCGGCCCTGAAGGGGAGAAGTTACTGGCATGCCATTACTGCCACAGAGTTGGTGTTTGCGCTGCTGCTGTTGGAGTCGGACTTTGAGATGGTGGTGATGTTGCCGGTGATTGTCATGTCCTCCCCGATTGCGTGCTGCGTGCAACAGCTCTGGAGTCAGGAGATGGGGAAAGTCCATCTATACTGAATCGGCACCTTGTACAAACCGTCAATGTCGGCAGCTATCCTGTTCGAATGCGAGGGTGGCACAACCGCAGTGTGATTGTTGCTCTTATGTCGAGAGAGACCAATACAGTCAATATTGTGGACATTTTTTTAACAGATTGGTTGGTTTGTCTTGAACGCAGACAGAACCTTTATAACCCTTTTTCCTTTGTCTCCTTACATCTAGACGAGTGAAGAAATTCCCCCGTGCTCACGCGGGTGTTTGCATTATACTGCCGAACGGCGAAAAGAAAGAGTCACACGACCGACGGGGTAATTTATTGCAACACCACAAGGATATTGAAGTAGTAATAGGAAATCGAAGGCAAGCAACACCTTTCAGTCAAAGCTGTTCACCTGAACGAGTACCGAGCAAATGAAACGGCTCGTAAACGTGAATGGAGGGATGATTGCTCCGTAGATGGTGATATCGTCAGTGATATATCGACCCAAAACGCTTGCTGATGACGACGAAACCCTGGTAAGTGCAAAGGTCCAACTCACTGACCAAGGCCCCTACAGTCATCAAGTGACGACGTGCAATGGTAATGCTCACCGCACTCGCGATGTGACAGTTCGCCTAGTCATGGGGTGCCGCCTCATCCTCCCCTTGGTAGACGGAAAGCTTTTCGTTCTTCGCCAGGGACCTAATGTGACCTCAAACCGAGGTCATCATTGACTCGGGAGAGCTGAAAGGGGCAGTTCAAGGTATTGTCGTCAACTCTTTTCGGCGTTGATAGATATATGGTGCTGCAGATGACGACCGTCTTCATTCTGTTCCGAAGACATGCCGGTTGTTCCAGTGTCAAAGAAGCAGACGGGGGATGGGATTGAGTGACACTTTCCCCGGGGGCTACGACACCCATATATGGACATGCGGCTGATTTTGCTTGGCAAGGGAATCAATTCAAGATCCAGCACCGGCGTGCTATAACCAACTCAAAGCTGTGGTCCGGAGGAACAGTGGCGCCACCGCGCCGATGATTTCGATATGCCTCGGTGAGCCGTATGTAGCCGAGATAGGAGGTGAAGGGGGAGAACGAGGAGAGATGATGGATCGTGCTCGCTCCCCTAAGTTTGGCCTAGGATCCCGTGACACTATTGTTCGTCTCTGCACCCCGACATCGCCCATAGCAATCAAGCATTTCGACCCTGCATATGATCAAGAACCTTGAACCGTAGTCCACACGTCGCCGTTCAGCCAGTCTTCGGAGTCGTAAATAGCAACGTTGTTGTCGTTGTCTATGGTTGATGGCATTGCGCCAGTACTGATGAAGAATCGATCGAGTTCATCCTGCGCAAGACGTTAGCTTCGAAGAGACACACAGTAAGATGTTTGTTGGAAGAAGCATAATACCCAGTCAATATCCCCTGGTTCTGAGAACATATCTGGTACTTGCAGACCAAGCCCTGAAGTTTCAGCAGCATCATTCTGTGTAGCAGTACAAGCCGTAGCCGAATTAAGGGTCGATTGCGATTGACAATTGACAGGGGTTGTTGTTGCTGTTGTTCTCGTCAGCCCGTATTTGGTCGAGATACCAAATTCGGGCCGGATCTTCGCAAGCATGGCAGCGAGTGCTTCACTAGCTTTGAGCGCTTCCACAGACTCTTCACTGTATTCACGCCAGATATAATAGGATCTTTCGAGTGCCTTGAGCATCTCTTCACGACGGTCGCGGCCCCATATTGATTCATCATCCGAGACATTTGTCTGTTTGTTGGTCGCAGAAAGATGGACGTCCAGGCATATCAGCATTGCGGCCAAGAGCCAGTCATTCTTGGTGAATGACAACATCGTGGCTCCTACGCCAGACAAGCGCCCTCCTGGCTTACTTTCCCGGTGCCGGACGTGCTGATATTCGAGCATTTTCATGGCGGCGTCGACACAGGCCTGTCGGGATTGTTTGAAGTTTTGATCGAATCTGGCGGCCACCAGGCCCTTTCGGTGCAAAATGCAGAAACCGGTCAAGCAGATCTGATCTATGGCGAACCGGCACATCAAGGCAAACGCCGGGTCTATCAGTGAGTCTTCAATCGGACGGATCTGATAGTACTCAGGCACACTGGACCTTGCTGTTCGGAGCTGAGCATCTAGAGCTTGAACTGCCCCAGGTGAGGGATGAACATCCTGTAGATGTGATGCGATCTGGCCGAAAGCTTCGATGACCGGTACTTTTGCAAGATAAAAGGCCACGTGGGTGGTATTGTCGACAGGCCGACTTTGAGGGAGAAGTTTGGTATCCTCGTCAAAATCATCTTCCCGAAGGTTTCTCGGCAGAGTAGTGTCCACCTGTCTGTGCAGTATCATTGAGGGTAGACCCATTTGGAAGGACAATAGTACGTCACCATGGACGATACTCAACCACAAACGCCGCCTCATTTCGGCCTGAAATGGGGATAGATTGCTGAAGTGACGTGGATCTCGATGAAGTTTAAGCATAAGGGCAACTCGGACAATAGTCCCAGTGAGGATGTAGAAGTTCGCCTGAGGATCCAGTGACTGAAAGTATTCAGCCTCAAGATGGGTGAGCATACCCTGCAGAAGATGAATGTCACCCTTGGCATAGTCATCCAAGGTAAGGCATTGCAGCGCGCAATGTCTAAATGTGGACACCATATCATCTGGGTCGAGTGCCGGGTTCGAAGCATCGTTGGGAAGCTGGCGGGAGACCTGTACAGTTAGCTGAAGCATTGAAAAAAGAAGGCCTAGCCAGGTTATCGAAACGGCGGCAGGATTCTTCCAGAAGTTGGTGTACTGAGACAGATGTCAGCATCATGTCTTCTCTGTGCTAGGATTGAATGATTTACTTCGCGCTGAAACTGCTTAGGATGAACCACGGCTAGAATAGTCAGTCTCTGGGAGAAGAATTACCATTGCCGGAAATCCTCACGTCTGAAAAATGCCAGCATCTCAAAATATTTGGCCACCATCCTGTCGACCCGAGGTCGTTCTGGGAGACATGAGAGCAATGTTTCAAGATCCTGGCGATGTTTGACTCCATATATGATATCCCAGACCTTTGGTGAGGATTTTGCAATCTGGAGTTTGTCAATGTCGCGTTTGAGAGACTCGTCGTTTTCCTCAAAGTAGTCCTTGATCTCGGAGATCTAGGAGGCCTCGGTTAGATCGAAATCTTTCAAGATACCAGGCATTTCTCACATCCTCCAGGATCGAATCCCATTTTGTTGTCGATCGACGCACCACAGCCTGCCTTTGAACATCGTCTTGTGGACGTTGTTGTCCAGTCTCTTCACCTTGCTCGTGATGAGCACGCGGGATGAAATCGCCCTTTTCGGAGCCAAGAGAGGCCTCGTTTCTTTCGCTGAGCTCTAGTAAAACCGACTCCAGGCGGTTGATGCTCTCTTTGACCTTGACAGGCTTGCGAGGACCACGTCTCGCGAAGTCCGGGTACACACATCCCTGCAGTGCATTTTTCCTGAGACAATTTTCACAAGGCCTTCCTCGGTTACATTTCAATCTGTCCGCGACTCAGCAGGCGCACATCAACTGCATTCATGGCATCACCCACTTTCGTTGTCTGCAGGGCGTGCAGGAAAGTTGGCGGCGATTTCGGGTGCCAGCTAATGATGCCTCGGCGAGAAGAGCCTGGACATCAGACTCAAGGCGCGACCTCGCCGACGGGTCCATTTATCGGCCCAAGAACTAGACCGCGACGCAATTATTGATGGTCCTTAGACGAGCGTAACTGTAGCGGAGAAGAACGACATTGTGGCCAATGTAGCAAGGAGGAAAGAATTGATTAAGGTGGCCAATGCTCTTCAGATTAGGTGTTTTGAAATCTAACATGGGCCCCCTAATAAGCTTATCGTGCCACCGATTCGACGCCCCGGATAAGCATCACCACAAGGCTTTGATTCCCTGGACCAGCTGGTGGGATACAGAGTCGTGCTTTCCCCGTGGCCTCTCATGTGCAATATGTCCCCCATAAGTGTATAGTTGTACTGGGGTATTGGAGAGGCATCGGATATCTCCAAGAAGCAAAGCCCCGGTGGCCTGTCCCTGACCATTGAACTCACAGTGATTCTGTACTCTGGTATCCCCCAAGACCTCGGATACGTTTACGCTTTGGGTTCGGCAAGAATGAGCCATGGCACCAACCATAGAAGACAGCGATGCGAGTAGCATCGGCCACCAGACCACGAGCGTTCACCCCGCCAATCGGCCAATGGCTGGTTCTTATGTAACGAGGACGAAGGGCGAAGTTGGCTGGTGTTATAATTAAAGGCTGATCATTCTGTCCATCTTTCGGAACTTATTGAGCCTGTCTATACCTTGTCGACTGGCACCATCACTTGCCAGGCTTACCGCGTTTGATCACCATAACAGAGGTGATTTTTAGCCATGGACAACTTTTTCAGTGACAAGACATATGCCATTTCCGGCGGTGCAAGTGGGATCGGCCTTGCAGTCAGCAAAGCCCTCCTGCGTCAGGGCGCGAAGGTGTCGATAGGCGACATACGCATTGATGACACAATACTGCAACAGCTGGCAACAGAAGCTCCTGGGATCCAATGGCCAGGCAAGACCGAGGACAGGATCTTGCTGAAGAAGGTCGATGTTCGCTCGAGAGAAGACGTCGACAGCTGGATCAATGAGACCATTGACAGATTCGGTGCTCTCGATGGTGCAGCCAACATGGCTGGGACGATTCCGAGAGACCACAACATCGGGACCATTGAGACAATGGAGGACGAGGACTGGGATTTTGTCTTCGGAGTCAATGTCAATGGTATGAAGAACTGTCTTAGAGCCCAGTTGAAGTACATGGGCAAGGATGGTAGCAAGCACGGCAGCATAGTCAATGCTGGAAGCGGACTGAGTTTGGAAGGCAGAGAAGGAACCAGCGCCTATACTGCAAGCAAACATGCAGTGTTAGGTTTGACTCGATGCGTTGCGAAGGAGGTGGGAAAGAGAGGGGTCAGAGTGAACTGCATTGCGCCGTAAGTTAAATATCCCTCTCTCAAAGCAGACATGGAAGCCATGCTGATCAGAAGTAGAGGCTTCACAGAAACGCCATTGATGAAGCAGTCAATGAGCATCGAAGGGTCCGAGTCCAAAGAGGACTTTTCAGTCACAGCATTGGGTAGGTTGGCTCAGCCATCGGAGATTGCTGACACGATTGTGTACTTGCTCAGTGATAAAGCGAGTTTTGTCACTGGTGCTTGTATTTCAGCGGATGGTGGATGGCATTGTTAGTCCGTCATCAGTACTTCTCAACGGCATCCCCCTATCCAACGATGATACTCGCTGTACCTTAGCCTGATATTTGTCGCCCGTAGCAAGTAGCTCCTGTATTCGGTGGAATGGGGGAGGGCCATTGAGTGTTCATCATCTTTGAGAGAAAATAGGACTGCCCTCAGCCTCGTCGAGCCCGATCGACGTCTGTATACCGAGCTTCAACCGAGCAGCCGAGATGGACAACCTAAACTCATTTTCTCCAACTGGTATTCCGTACTCGGTGGACGTTAACATTGTCGACAACAGTGTTCTTGACGTTGCCTCGATGCATTATTAACATGACCGTTCAACGCGCCGTCCAGCATGCCTCACGGACGGTGTGCTCCGTAAAACCCGACCCCTTCCGACCCCGTCATTACTCCTCTCGAACATCGCTCCCCGAGGGAAGCAGGTCAGCAATCTCACCGCGCTGGCTGTCGGACACAAAGGCCCGTATAGGAAAATGCATCACCTTCGGCATGCCGGAGAGCCTCGTCGACGAGGCTGGGCGGATATTGCGCGTCTTAGGCCGGGACTGGCGTGAGCTTGTCGCTGGCAGCGAGGGCTATCTGACAGACCCCAAAAGAGCTGGTCTACACCGACACAACATCGTCTGGGGCGAGCAAGACTCGATGGGCCACGTCAACAACGTCATGTATGTGCGATATGCGGAGAGTGGAAGGTGCAACACCATGCGCAATTTCGCCAAATACGTTGATCCCCAGCACCGGCAAAAGTGGGAAGATATGCTAACGAGCCGCGGAATCGGACTGATCCTCAAGAGTATCACGGTGGACTTCAAGTTCCCCATGACTTGGCCGGACAGGATCTCCGTGTATCATAAACTCCGGACTTGTCCAGACGAGAAGACGACGTCGCTGATATTGGACGTGCTGATTCTCTCGGAGAATCGCCAGCGCCCGGCGGCACGCTGTCTGGAGGACGTCGTGGTGTACGACTACAGGCTCGGCAAAAAAAGCCCGATGGAACCTTTCATGGTTGAAGAGCTGAAAAACACATTCGAACTGCAAGAAGCGGCGAAGAGAGAAAACCATGCCAGAGTTGTCCAGCTCGAGAATCAGGTTCGAGAGCTGGAGAAGCGGACTTGGGACCGCCCGGATGCGAAGGAGGACTTTGGAATTGCTCAGAAGTCATGAAAACAACTCCCACTCCAGCGTCCCGGATCCAATCGCTTGAACAGTCAGTCGGAAGAAAATGTCTGATGCGCATTGCTTTGCGCGGTACCTGAATCATTTCAATCTGAGACAGGACTGACAATTCCAGAACCCTTTGTAATCCACTTGCTTGGTTGTATCCTGCCTTCAGCATCGAAGGTGTGCGTTGCTTCCCCTTGAGATATTTTCCTACTACAGTTTGATACTGGTGACAGGGCATTAGAAGCCAATCTTCCAACCGTCTTCCAAGCATGCTCTTTCTGCTCGAGGACCAAAGATATGAACCTGAGATAACACGAAAACGACCAGCAACAAATTCATGGTATTTGCAGCAAAATCAACCCGTAGCGAATGGGCAAATCAGAGCTCGCGGCCCATGGGGGACCCAAGATTCCTGGAAATCTATACAACAACTTTTGAAAAACTGATACACCAGTTATACAAGCTATATTTTGGTAGGAGTCTAAGGTGCGTGGTGCTTGTATATTCAAGAGCCCACAGCCGACTAGCGAACAATTAAAGAAAGAGACCGCCCCGATATATCCAATCCTTATCTTACCAAAGCAGAGATACCCAACGTTCATTCAGAAGACTTCTTCTTGATACTACCAAATCTCTTCTTGAGACCCCCACTCAGCCTCTTGAAACTTCCGCTTCGACCAATTTGGTTTTCGTCATCCCAACTGCTGCGTGGCGCAGCGCCAGACGAACTTCGATGACGGCTCTTCGTCTCCATCTCGATGCCGCCATCAGCGCTGACTTTTTCGTCGTGGATGTGGTGCTCTTTGAGCGCCTTCTCGATGCTGTAGCTTGGTTCGCCCTTGCCTTTGATATCTTCAGGTAGGTACTGTATCCCTGGCCAGCGCTTGTAAGCCCCGCCTTCTGGCCCACCTTCGATCATCATATTGTCACCCTCCCGATAGTTGTAAATATTGCCCATACGGTCGGTATCTCCAGGTGCATAGGTCGCTACCCCGTCTAGAGGACGATGGCGGACCACGCTGTCGATTACCCTTTCCTTGGGTGTCGCTTTGAGGGCTTCGGCATTCGAATCAGCCAGGGCTGCTAGCGGAGAATTGGACGAGTTGTTTCTGGCGAACAAGGTAGCATCGTAAGGTCCGCCATGATGCCATGCAGATCCACCACTGTGATCTAGACTGTCGATAGTGTCTGGCTGGATGTGATGCTTTCTAGTGGCATAGCGAGAGCGGTCTGCGACATGTTTTTCCTTTGTCAGAGTGTCCAACGGCCGGTGTGACTTGTCGCCGGGATAACGTTCCGTCAACGAGCTGCCTCTTCTGCGACCGGGCCTGTGTTCTCCGAAGGCTTCTTGTCTGTGGCTCGGCGAACGAGGAGAACCTGAAGAGAAAGCTCCATTCGGGCTGTTTGCGGATGGCGGCGGAGAAGGATAGGCAGTTGCCGGAGAAGAGGAATTCCTATATGCATTGCCATTGCTATGAAGAGAGACACTTCGTTTTACTTCTGTTGTGCTAATATCGGATTTGGAGCTCTTGTGGAATGGGTTGTTCTTCGACAATCGCCGTCCCGAGTACGTTCTGCCTGGAGGGGTCGCCTTAGGCGCCGCAGACGGACCGCCACGGAATGCATTACCGGGGCCATCTTCTTGAGAAGGCTCGGGCGCATTGAGGGGATCAAGAAGATATTTCGAGGCCTGGAAGAACAAAATGTCAGCCTCTTGCAAAAGCGATCAGTCACGGGCTACAAGCGGCGCACCCATTCTTTATCGTCGGAGGATTCCATCTTGGTCTGGCAATCCGAGGACTCTTTGGATATAGGATGTATTCAAGATGCTCGATGGATAGACGATGCAATTCGATCTAAATGAGATAGGAAAAAAGACGATTATGACCGGGTGGTGTTGCGGGCGGGAAGTGCAAATAAAGAATCGAAATGCACTGAGAGCTTGTGCAGCTGCTTCGCTACATTCACAACCTATTTACGGCACTGTTCAGTGGTACGAGTCCAACCAGGCGGGAGTGTTTAGGCACTGACAATGTCATAGTGGGTAAGAATCGGCGCCTAGCGAACCGGGGTCAGTCGCTAGAGCAGTTGCACTATTGGCTACGTCATGCACAATTCATTCTTTCCCACACCTTCTTGGGACAACAATACGATGACCCGGACGCGCAAAGCAGAAAAGCCTCCGTTCCTCTTTCATTCAATCACCATCTTATCTATTTACATAAAAATTGGTGCTTAGGCCATTGTCTCCCACATTGAAAGACCCATGTATCTCGCGGGCATATGATTCGTCCCGTGTCGAATACACCACATCGCTTTGCGAGTCGGAAAACCGACAATATAGCTGGAGAGTGCCACATATCCAAGGCCAACTGAGACATTCACGCCATTGTCTTCGTCACCAGCTTCCCGTGAGCTTCCTCCCTCACAAGCAATTATGGGTCTGTGCTGACGTGCCCATAGACCCTACCTATTGCTGATCGCCATTTTCTCCAGGGTCTGACCCTGCTCCGCCCGTCCATTTCTTTTCCCAATTCCCAAGGGCTCCATGCGTCGAGTCTCCTTGGCAGGTACCATGTTCAGGTTTTCCTCGACTTGATAAACATGCTGGTCGACTATTCGGACTCAAACTCTGAAACTGATGAGCCCTCTCCTGGTGAATCTCCAGGTCAGAGGAAGCGGAAAGCCTCTGACCATGAACCAAAAAACAAGGTCGACAGCAGAAGACCTCCGCCACTTCCTACTTCGTTCCATACACTGTATGCAACAAATGTGAGAACTGCTGCAAGCGATGATCCTACTTTGCATGCTGGTCGTACACGGCAGGTACCTCACGTGGTAGGTAACTGGCCAACACACGTATACCTTGAATGGCATCCCCCGAAACAAGAGCTGGCCATGCTTGACGATGTGATTGAGCATGCAAGACCATCGAATGACATCGGCAGAAGCATGCACAGCTTTCTGCGTTCTGAACTGGGAGCATTACAACCACTACATATCAGCTTGTCAGCTCCCCTTGTACTTAAAACGGATCAGAAGGGCCCGTTTCAAAAGAGCGTATGCTCAGAAGTGCATAAACGTCGAGTAAGCGTTTTCACTGTTCGCGTTACAGGGCTGGCATGGGTTGCCAATCATGATGGAAGTAGATACTTCTTGGTGCTCAGGCTTGGTAGGCCTCGCAACGATGAACTGAATAAGCTCTTGTCTGCATGTAATGCGGTAGCTCGACGCCTCGGACTTGCTGAGTTGTATGCTAATAAAGGAACTTGTGTGGACAAAGTCGACTTGAGCGAGCAATTGGAGAGATCTGATATGACTGATGCATTTCATATCAGCATAGCATGGGCTCTACAGGAGCCTGATAAGCAGGCTAAAGAGCAGCTTGGGAAGCTCAATGACTTGAAGCCAATCGACATTGGCTTCTCTGAGCTCAAACTAAAACTGGGTAATGTTGTTGTTGACATCCCCTTTGAGGGCCCTTGATAGTCCTTAGTGTTGCGCTATCACCACATGCTATTCAAGTGACCGGCGTTTCCGCTTACCGGCGGTGGTGAATGAAGCATCAGTGTCATGAACTCCTTGGACACCCTGTTTATCCTTTGAATTGATGAAGGCTTCCTGGTCCTGTGATCAAGCTTCTAGACGGATAGCGCAGCCATGGTCTGTGGAGATGCTGCATCAATCCAGGAATGCTGACAGTGCGAGTCAAGTCTGTCTTCCGAAAAGCTATATCACATGCTCAACTCTTCATTGGATTCGTGAAGAGGACCTGCTGATCAGCGGAATCTTTTGTCGGGATGAACATATTGTGTTCGGCTGGAGGAGGAGAACAAGCAGCTTGAGAAAAAATGCCTAAGTCGAATGCTCGGATTTCATCCTTTGGCTGTTTCAGCTTTTCAGCAGTTTGTTTCTCTTCTCTCTTCGTTTCCTTCTTTCGACAATCTTTTTGTGCATTTTTTCCGCCATTTTATCATAGCGTTCCTTCTCTTCCTTTGCCTTTCTCCGGTCTTTAATGGCTTGAATCCTTCTGTTTCGCTCCTGTTCTTTTTCCTCCTTCATCTCTTGTTCTCGAGCCTTGACCGCTTGTTTAAGCTGATCTTGCTCTTTTCGCTGTGCATAAGACCTCTGGCCCGCAGTGGGACGGAATGCTTTCTTTGGAGCGTGCCAGTTTTTTCCTGCAGACCCTAATTAACGACTGTAAAATTCTCGTTTGCCTGTAGAACGTACCGTTTACTCGCATCCCATGTGTCTGTGCTATCGCCGTTGTTGAGGATGCCTCACTGGCTAGTGCTTTTGAAGACATTTTCAACTTTTACTCACTCTTGCTTGAAAAGACTGAACGAGCACACCGCAAGGCCAACCGCGCTGGAATTGAGAAAATGGAGGTGTTCGACTAGAGGCTGATTCTGACGTCATCTAATCTAATCTTGTCTAATCTTAGCTTCGCACCGGCGCAGTCTTGCGTTGGAATTTTCCACCCCAATTGCTCCGTTGCAGGCAACGTCGGAAACCCCTCCATGACTATCACGACAAAATATCGCGCGATGTCGGGTGCAAATTTTGTTTCTCATGCAGTCTAAGATGTGCTTGCGGATCACTCTGAACCATTCACATGTCTCCGAGGATCTGATAAGATCCTGAAATTCTCGACCTTGGTGACAGCGTCACTTAGCCTCTACCAAACGACACCGCTCTTCAAGACGCGCGGCTGCCCCTTGAGAAGAGTTTCACCTACTCGACGCTCTCACAGAAATGCCCTTACGATAGCATTCGCCCTGCCTGTCTATTCTTTCCGCCCAAAAGAAGACCTCTACTGGTCTAGGTGGTCTGGATGGCCGCTTTCAAAGATGAGCTCTCACCTGTGACCGGCCTCGAGAAGGCCGAAGCCATTCCGCCTCAACCTGAACTCACCGTACCCTCAAGCCAGGGTATAGAAGCGTTGAAGGACATTGTCTTTGGGTCAACAGCAGGAATACTAGGGAAGTTCGTGGAATACCCTTTCGATACAGTTAAGGTCCGACTTCAGTCTCAGTCAGACCATCCTGGAATCACTCGATTGCGGGGTCCTCTCGACGCATTTTCCGCTGCATTTAAGAGTCCAGAGGGTGCCATTGTGTCTCTGTATCGAGGAATCAGTGCCCCTCTGCTGGGAGCGGCGATTGAGACATCGTCACTGTTCTTCAGCTACAGGATTGCCCAAGATCTCGTGGTTGCGGCGTCTCCGACACTTCGCGCACAGCGAGACCAACACAATGGCAAAGTTGAACTTCCATTCGGCGCCCTACTCGGTTGCGGTGCCGCCTCAGGAGCATTCACCTCTCTTCTCCTGACACCGATCGAATTGATCAAATGCAAGATGCAAGTGCCGATCGCTCCCTCCCATCTGGCATCAAACTTGGGATATACTGCAACGAGGCCTCCTGGCCCCATCGAGTTGATTCGGTCAGTGTTCCGGAGTCAAGGTGTATTGGGTTTCTGGCACGGACAATTGGGCACACTGATCCGTGAAACGGGCGGGTCAGCCGCCTGGTTTGGTTCTTACGAAGGTGTCAAGATGCTGTTCCGACAATACGACACTTCGATTACTCAAATTGCAGATGTCAAGGTCTGGCAACAGATGGTTGCTGGTGCTGCCGCGGGAATGTCGTACAATTTTGTCTTCTATCCTGCTGACACGATCAAGTCACGAATGCAAACCAGTTCAACTGAGGGTGTGGGCATCAAGAGGATGACTTTCGCGGCCACTGGAAGGGCTCTCTGGCACGAGCAAGGCCTCACTGGTTTCTATCGTGGTTGTGGTATTACCGTCTTCCGGTCGGCCCCTAGCTCGGCCATAATCTTCAGCATCTATGAGGCCTTGAGACGCTATTTCGGCTAGACGTTGGCATGACTTGCCTTTTAAGCGAACATGCTCGACTCTGGATGCCCTTTGGATCTCGTTGAATGGCCCACGACAGACATCGCCATCACCACGTGCGTTGAAAACCCAGACGTGTGGGAGACACCACCCTCAGCATTTGCTTCATTTCCGGCTTCGGATCCTCTTCTCTCTTATTCGGCGACTTTAGGTGCGACGAGTTGCCGATTTCCCAGTCAGAAGCACGCACCTTTTGTCCATCATTCGGACCCTAGAGAACCGCATTTCTGGAAATATTCAATATTATCGTCGCTCCTCAGTGCAGACGATTTGCCATCAAACATACCAAAAAATGTGGAATGAGACTGCTCGGATGCTCATACCTCGCTTGTTTAGCAACGTACGTCGCCGAGGTGAAGCCATTGCATTCTGGGGACCTTGAGCATGAGGTCCAAAAAAGTGACGAGATCTACGGAGCACTTGGAGATTCATGTCACCCTTTTCCTCTGGTTTATCGCGATCGAGACCTCTTTCTTATCCACAGACAAGAGACACCTGGTCAGTGGTATGGGAATTCTATCCGATATGGGCAAACGGCTATTGCACTGTTCTCAACAGCTGGTACATTGGAGAGCTGCCTGAAGCCAGTCTTGACCATACAGCCAGAGATTTGTTTGGCCCAAGCACGCAAAACTCGATCATTTCTAACGTTTTCAGCATGCATTTGCATTTCAGCCTCATCGGTGTTTTGGCCTTATTTCTGAGTGCGCATTTGAGCAGCATCACAGACCATAGAAACGAGAGAGGGAGGGAGCAAAAAGTGGTCGATATGAATTATGAGCATATAGATGGAGATAGACTATATTCATTAATCGATGTTTCCCTAAACATGAACGATATCAACGCAGCTCGCTTTCACAACCTTGTCACGTCGTGAATAAGTGAATGTAAATTAGGCTAGGTAGGTAGTACCTCCGGTGGGGGGTTCAAACAGGTCGAGGGCCGGGAACCCACACCAGACCGAGTCATAGGAATGGCCTTCGTCCCCGCCGTATTCTTGAGACGTATTGTTGATGACTGTGGTCGTCGCTGCTGCACGAGGTTGAGATTGAGGTTGAGAATGATTGCTGCCCAGCGGCATCACCACCGGTACATTGTCCTTGCGTAATTGATCCAGGCACTCCCGGGCCAATTCCTCCAACGCGGTCTGGGTGTTTGATTCTTTCGACAGTTCGGTCTGAGGAGGAGGAAGAGGAGGAGGAGGAGGAGGAGGAAGAGGAGGAGGATTCGTCTCGGGCGTCGTCGCAGGCAAGAGGGAAGTCAAGACGACGGTAAAGTAGGCGATGTCCTTGAAATTGGCCCCAGGGTGAGATATGCGTAGCTTCATCGGCTCGAGGGTGTCGAGGACTGAATGGATCAGGTTGGATTTTGTGTACCCGGGGGAACACCGCGACTGTGTGTGGTGCCCGTTGTCGTCTCCTCCTCCGGGCGTCGTGGTAGCAGTAGTAGTTGGAGTCGTCGCTTGGTGGGCGATAGTCGTAGTGACAGGATCCATCGAAGCAGCGGAAGATGACGACGCAGTGCTTCCTAAGCCCTTTATACCTAGACATAAACCCAAGATGGCTTGGACCAACTCGTTACGGTAGAGGTTGTGGAAAAAGTCCCAGTAACCCTCGGGTCGGGGGACGTCGATCTCCGAATATCGTGGATCGAACAAACTAAAAAGGGGGGTTTGAACGATTAGCATGTCTGGGGTACGATACCTGTGTATGATCATCCTTGGTAGGAGTCGAGGGGAGATTGGTAGGCAAACTCACTCTTGAAAAGTAGTAATCATCAGACAAGATTGTAAAAATCCATCGGTGCACTCTTGAGAGACGTCGTGGGCGTCGGAGCTGGCCACGAAGCAAGTGTACAGGTGCATCAAGGGACGACGGATGCTAAAGTCCAACTCCATCCTGGCCAGGAGCCGTGGGGGTGTCTTGCTCGCCTGGTCGCCCTGGTAGGTGAAGCGCAAGGGGGAGGGCAATTCCTGAAGGATCTTCTCCAGGTCTCGGGTGAAGACGCGGAGGTCCTCGAACGATATGCGACTCGTGCCGTCCATCTGTCTGCAGGCCATGAGACGCAGCGGGAAGGATTTTGAGAGCATGTGTTGACACAAGCCGTCGGTCCATTCCTCCACGGGTCTGGACTCGGGCAGGACCTGGATGCCGTCGTATATCTCGTCGTCGTTGATGTTCCGTGGAGGTTTCGAGGTGTAAGGGGGCACCATGCAGGGGATCTTGCACAGGATGCAAAGCATGAGGTCGATCTCGACGACCGTCATCCAGAGGCGCCGACGGAGTTCACCTTCGAACACGCCAATACCGGATTGCCTCGAAGGGTCCTCGTTCAACACCATGATCAAAGCATCCCGCAAAATCTCTCCGTTCATGCGGATCAGATCGTCCAGTCGCCCCAGGTAGCTCCAGTGGCAGACGAGCGTCAGCATCTTGACCTGCAGGACCGGCAGGAGGTATCGCTGTCGCGGCTGCACCTTGTCGAGAAAATCCCTCATGAACTTGAGGACGCGACTCGGATGGAGCATCGAAGTCGAAGCGCCGATCTCGCATTCTTCGTGGGTGCCTATACTCGCCCCGACCAACAAGACGCCGACCAGTTGTGGGATGAAGCCCAGGCCGCAAGCTTGTTCGCCGCCGTCGTCGGCAAAGAGGATTCTGAGTTGCCGCATGAACGTAGGAGCGTGTAGGATCCTGAAACAGTGTTCCATATTGTCAAAGTAGAGAGTGGCCAGTTTCTCGCAAATGTGAAGAGGAGGGAGTTCGAGGACGTCGGGTTGGTGGTGGTAACCATCAGGAGTTGCCCGTGTTGAATCCTGGTCAAACAACACTTTGTGGTTGTTCCTCTCCACGGTCAAGTGTATAGTTTGTAGGTCTGTCCGAAGCTTGGCCAGACCAGGGTTGTTTGGCAGGTTCGCCAGGAACCGACAGGCATCAGGAAACTGGGTCGTGGAGTTAATAACGAACCGAGCACGGTGGTAGCAGTGGAGAGAAAGAAATGCTTGTCCAGAAGACTTACCTGGTAACTCAGATTCGTGGTCACTGCCGGTGTATGGATCTGTTGGTCAAGATTGTTGTCGCTTTTGATATTGACCGTGGCCGACGTGACAAGGAGACGTTCCATGGCGTCTGACCGACTCTCTTGCGCGAAGAGAGCATTCTCAAGCCTCGCTACGCGTGCCAGGAGATCCTCTATCACGCCGCCGCCTCCTCCTCCTCTGGAAGCGGCCTGAGGGGCAGCAGCTGCTGCCGCTGATGCTGTCTCGCCATTTGCGATATCCACAAAGAGCGACTCGAACCTACGTCGTTTGCTCGGATGCCCTTGTAGGTATGCTGCATTGAGCTCGGGTTCTTGTCCGTCCTGGTAGATACAAGCAGTGGGACGACCGACCTTGATACATTGCTGGCAAGGATGGAGTCGGTTGCATTTGAGCTTTTTTCTCCTATAACAACAATGACCAGATTAGGCCCTTGTGGGTGAGGCGTTTTTTGGTTTTGTATCATCTGGACATGCAGAACTCACCTGCAAATCAGACAAGAAATCACCGGCCTAGGCCGTTTAGGCGCGCCCGGAGGAAGAAGCTGACTGGTAGTGGTGTCGGACATGGGCTGTGATTCATTTCCACATTACCATCATCGCATTTTGGGCGGCATTCACACAAGGTCAGCAAAGCAAAGAGACCAAGGTTATCGCGGATGATGTTCTCTTTCTTTGAATTGTGCATGCAATGAATCCTTTGAAGCACTTTGGTGCATAAAATGGCAACATAGACAAGTCTGATGTGTCTAGATTCTCTTGTCCAATCATATCGAACCTCGGTCGAACATGGAACTTACCGACAACGAGTCTCAAACAAGTATCCCATACCATTGGATAGTATGGAAACCGTTGCTGACACCATCTCACATTGATAAAAGGCGGACTTTTCTATCTACACTATTGTATACCTCACGTCTTTTTGGTCCTCTACGAGAAAGGCGCCGGACACCCACAACCATCACCCCCGCAAAAACATCCCTTCCCACCCCAGCCTTGGGATCATCATCATGGACCCCAAGTTGAAACGCATCATAGAATTGATCGAGTCCAAGAAGAAAACTTCACATCCATGGAAGCGTCAAGAACCTCACAATCAACCATATTATACCTTTTCGCCTACTACATCATCATGGGAAGCGACAACCCCTCCCGGTCCATCGTCAGCATCGGGCCGGGGAAGCCGATCGACGACAACAACGACAGGAAGAACATTTACCTTGGTGTCTTGGAACATCGACTTCATGCTCCCTTACCCTGATGAACGTATGAAGGCAGCGTTGAACCATCTCCACTCTCTGACAACCACCCAAACCTCCAACCCAACCATCATCCTCCTTCAAGAGATGTTGGAGTCCGACCTCGCCCTGATCCAGGCCCAATCCTGGATCCGCTCAGGCTACAACATGACCGACGTCGACAATACCCACTGGGAGTCGGGTCACTACGGCACCGTGATCCTCATTCCCAAGTCACTCCCTGTCAAGTGCGTGTTCAGGGTTCACTACGAAGCGACGGTGATGGAACGTGACGCTCTCTTCGTCGACCTCGACATCCACGGAGGAGGCCAGACTGTGCGCATCTGCAACACCCACTTGGAATCCCTCATAGCCGACCCGCCCAGACGTCCCCTACAACTCGCCACGGCCGCAAGGTACATGCGACCCCACGACCACGACGGCGGCGCCGCCGCCGTCACGGCGTCCGTCCTGGCCGGTGACCTCAACGCCATCCAGCCCTTTGACAAGACCTTACATTCCGACAACGGCCTCGAGGACGCCTACCTGTCCCTCGGCGGCCAGGAGGACTCGGACGACGGCTTCACCTGGGGCCAGCAGGCTCCCACCAAGCAGCGAGACATGTTCGGTTGCAGTCGCATGGACAAGATTTTTTTCTGTGGCGCCGTCGAATGCACCAGGTTCGAGCGAATAGGCACGGGCGTGACGGCCGACGAGGAGCACGTCAAGGGCTGCTTGGTCCGGGAAGAAGGCATGGACCGAGGCTGGGTGACTGACCATCTGGGTGTCTCGGCAGACTTCACCGTCCTTCGCGACGACCACGACGGTTTGCCTATCGAGCCCAAGATCTAAAACGATCCGTCCGGATTGAGTGAGCTATAATCGAGAGATGTGCACGAGCGAAGAAAAAGTGTAGTCCATGACGTTTCATGATGAAAGATAGTGTTTTGATTCGGAGCGCCCAACAGAAAAATAGGACCTTGACGACAACAATGACGACCAGTCCCTGCTAGTCATGATTGTCTTATGAATATTGATCCCATTCTCGCATACAAGCGTAAGCGGCAGCAGTCCCAGAATTCCCTTTCACCAAAGCTAGCTACGATTTGAGAGAGAGAGAGAAAGAGACATCTCATCATGCCTGCAGGAGAATATTCGACCCAAGCACACAAAAATCAGCAACCGCCGGCATTCCATTTCCCATCTTCACTTAGGGTATCGTAATCTGCGTTAGTAGTACCGGAGTACCAAGTCAATTTTGTCAATTCTCCTTTTTGTCGTAAAGCCTTCTGCCTCTTGAACTTCAGCACGCATTTCTTTCCAGTTCCATTGCAGGTCGACTCGATTCCAACAACCATCTCATCTTTGTCCGGTGAAGCTCTTCCTACGTTCGTGCTCCTTCGTGACCTCGGCAACCAATTTGTCCGTCTTCTCCTTGTCTTTCATCTCTCTGACCTTGGCCAGTACCACTTCTTTGAAGATGGCACCCTTGGCCGCTTTGCTCAACGACCTCTTCTCAGTAGCTTCGTTCGTAGATAGACCACGGCCGGGAGACACACCTCTAGTTTGATTTTTTACCGCCAACCCAGCAGCATTTTGTGCGTTCGCTGGGATGTCATTCGCATCGGAACTGTCGGTAGCATCGTCCTCCTGTAACTTGAGCGCATCGATGCGATTGGCGAGTTTGACCAGCTCGATTCCACGCTTCAGCTTCATCTTCGCCAAGTACGATCTGATTTCTGGCAAGAGATCGTGCTCCGAAGCAGTCTCGCCTGTCAACCAGATGTGCTTGAGTGCTTCTGAGCTAGTGGAACGTCTTGTAGGGTCTGGTTGCAGGAGATTCATGATAAACTCCTTGGCATCTTTGCTGACATCTTTCCAGTATCTTTCGTGGAAGATAATACGACCACTCTTACATTCCTCCACCAAATCAGCCAAATTCTCAGATCGGAAAGGTGAGTATCCGCAGAGGAGGGTGTATGTGATGACACCCAGAGACCACATATCGACAGCCTTGCCGTGACCCTGTTTCAACATGACCTCTGGGGCAGCGTACCCAAATGAGCCCGCCATCGAGGTCAGGACAGCACTAGGGCTATCGAGCGTTTTTGCGATTCCAAAGTCAGCAAGAACCAACTGGGAATTGGGGTCTCTGGTCAAGTAGAGAAGATTTTCCGGCTTGAGATCTGGAATTATTAGCACTTAGGCCCAGTTCTATTTTACGATACCCTCTTACCGCGGTGAACAATATTCTTTCCGTGAAGATAATCGACTGCCTCGAGTACCTGTCTGATGGTCTGCGAAGCATCTTTCTCGGTAAATTTTCCCTTATCGCAGATCCGATCGAAGAGCTCGCCGCCTGTTGCCAGCTGGGTGACGATGTAGAACTTGTCCTATACACCAGTCAATATCGGCAAACACTCAGTGGCGATCGCACCAAAACATACTCTTGATTCAAACCAGTCTACAAATTTGACAATGTGAGGGTGGCTGAGTGTCTGCAGCATCTTCAATTCATCGTAGACCATTTGTTCATTGCCCTTAACGCTCTTCTTGAGAATGATCTTGACTGCGCATTTGTCTCCACCACATTCTGCCTCTCGTACAATGCCGTATGTCCCTGCACCGAGTGTTTTTCCGAATCGGTATTGTGACTTCTTATCGTAGCTGTCGGGTTGCCCTTGGAGCTTGTTCAACATAGCGTTCACTAATTTGCGAAGCATTAGCATGTGAGACAACCGCAAAAATGACTCCAAGTTTAAAAGGTACCACGTCTTGATAGATGCAATGCAGGCTACGCACAGCAGTTTATCACGAGGCAGCGTGTACAACAAAGACGTGGTTAACAAGGCTCTTAGGAGACTTACAGCTCATGGCGGCGGTTTGGTCGGGCACCGACTATGCAACTTCTTCCGTTTGTGTTGCGAGTCGCGTGGCAGTGGCCTTCAGCTGCTGAAAGACAACAGCAGAATTTCCTCACACTGCAGAGAGGCCTCGCCGACTAGTAAAATAATGCCCAACGTTCGCTTCTTGTGCCTGTCGATTGCAAAGGGTTGTGGTGATATCTCACCCAGATTGCGGGGTAGCGTGAGGCTGAGTGGGAGGCAGAGAAAGAGGCAAGGCGAATTTCGTGGGTGGGAGGCCGGATGACAGAGGTTACTTGAAGGGTGAAGAGGATGTAACAATATACTCTTAAATGTGGCTTGAGGAAGAGTTGGCACAAGGAGGAATTATGCAGGAGCGCAGCAGCTCAGCTGAAATCACTCGGACTGGGAGTTGTTCGGGGGCGGAGCAGCAAGAGGATTGAGGCTGAGGCTCGAGGCTGCGGAGTCAAACAATATGTAGATACGAGCCATGCTACTCCTACTCAGAACGGCTTAATATTGCGACTCAGTAACCGCAACAACCGTTTTCCCATCACTGGATGACAGTAATTAACGGATCCCCATCGCTATATGGGGGCGAAATCTTGTTTCGCATGGTTTCACTCTACTCGTACCAGGAAGCATTTATCAAAACCGCTGAGAATGACTGAGCTATGAACTGAAACCCGAGCTGCGCACTGACCCTGTTCTATTCAGGATTAAATAATGTAGGGATAGTCGGTATCCTGTGCACATCATTACAGAGCACCACTCGTGGGTTCTTTGCAACCAACCTCAACTGGATCCAAGTTGACGTCCAATTGCGTTCTTCAGAGCCATCCTTACATACATCGTGAACTCCGTACACCAGTGTCTCCAACAGCGTGGCAGTCTTTCGCATGCTCGCTTCAGTTGTCTTTGCACTAGGCTACTCCGGATCAGCACACCACATCATCCTCGAACCATCTCGTATGCTGCCATTTCTTTCTCGACACGGCATCTGAATGCCTCATACCACTCCACGCTCTTGAAACCGTACTTCTCTTTGCGAACGTCCCAGCCCTCTTTTCTCAATCTCTCAATACGCTCTTTCTTCGCGGTAGTAACAGGGTCGTCCGAAGTCGTATTGTTCTTGGTATCCGATGGCGTCGGAGGCAGGACTAGTCTGTTCGCCGGTTGAAAGGTCCAAAAACTTATATGCCTGTTCTTGTTCTGTGCTTTTCTCGCCATGCGTTGCGCTTGCTGATTTCGCACACGAGTGATCTCGACCTCCAAAAAGGCAACGTGTTTGCGCACCTGCGTGCGAAATTCAGCCATGCAAATGTTGTAACGGGTCAGATCGGTGGACGAGAGATATGCTTCAAGACTGTCATTGCGTGGGTCTGGGCTGAATGCATCCCGTATTCTCTTGAAGCGTGGCGTTACCAGGGAATGTATGCTGGTGCTGGACTGAGAGCTCCGACGTAGAGAAGGAGTTAGAGTAACAGGTGCAGTTTCTTCGTATTTGGCAATGAGACTCTGAACGGCAGTCTTGCGCATACCCATCCGAGGAACCTGGACGACGCGGGAACCTTCTACGGCGAATGAAGTCTTGTGGCCAAATGGAAGAGGAGGCAATGGGCGATGGCTCAAGTCGGGCCAGGATGAATAGATTTGGGCGCGTTTTTGGGTTCGGTTGAAAAGTGGCGAAGGCACAAGGTCGTCTTGAAGTGAGTGAGTAAGGCTAAGACTTTGGCAAAGCCGACCTTTATGCCCAGTGGGTGATTTTGGTGGGGCGATGTAGTCCTGTGCAGAGTCAATTTGCTTCTTATTCTCTTCCTGAAAATGAGGATCGAGTTGTAGCGAGGTAGACAGGCAGTGCGTGGACGCAGATGGTAAGAGAGGTGGAATGCTGTATGTGAGGCCGCAGATGGATTTTGACTGTGGTGGAGAGTTCTCAACATCTCTTTGATTTGGCGAAACGTAGGGACTTAGTGAGTTGCTCGAAAAGGGAGAGTCGAATACAACAGAGGGTGTTGTTTCGAGGTGGTTGAATGAAGCGTATTCAGTCGAGGCATAGGGAAGTGGCAGGCAATCGAGAGCGGCCTTGAAGGATTCCTGCGCCGAGTCGAGAAGCTGAGGCTTACTACGGGAGAAGTCGTGTGCGATCTGACCCATTGCTTCGAACGATATTGCCTGGTAGAAGTAAAGAAAAGCCCTATGAAGGGGATGGATCTGTGCGCCATCAGCTGAGATATCTGTATCGCGGAGAGATCGTTCTGCCTCAGGTCTCTGAAGCTGTTGGCAAAGAGAGGCGCATGCCTTGTAACGATGGGCAAAGTACAGCTTCTGCACCTTTACCAATTCGTCTTTGTGAGAAGATATCCTGCAACTCGAACCACGGACGCATTTGACATGTGCTGGGACTTGCGCCATTTTGGCTGCTCAATCATATTGTGTACATGAGAAAGCGCTGAGTGGCAGCTACTAGCAATGAGAGTACATGGCTTCAGTCAGCCTTTATTTTCTGCCACACCAACGCGTGGGGCGGTGATTGAGTCTTCCTCCTGAACACCGTTGAATACAGAGGGCACTCTAGAGTCATGTCTGCCGATATGAAGATGCCACCAAAGCCCTCCGTGTCAAAAACAGTGTAGAACGCCTCAGGACCGCCCTCCTGCTCTTGACTCGGTCCTAGACCTCGTGTACACTCGATGGGGATTCTCGACAGCCAATCTCGTCGCAAAATTCCTCTCTGATGCCTTAACCGGCTGCTAGAAGTCCCTCATCGATCATATCTTGGATTTGGCTCTCGACCCACTCTTTACTTTTCGTCGTTCCCCAGGAGGCTAGAGTTGACATTAAGTCACTGCCTGCGATCAATGTCTGCGCTACGAGCCCCCGAAATTGACAGATTGCCTTCATATCTTCATCCTGATATAGCTTGCTGGCATTCCTGTAGAAAGTATCGGCGTTTTGCAGGAGCTGAGATTTATTCGTAATAGCCAGCTTATAGGATGTCGGCGGTTGTCCTAATTGGTGTTGCAGCAGCGAGCAATTGCCACGAATCATATGAGTTTCGGCAATGTCTTCTGGAACTGGACCTGAGATTTTGGAAGCAGCAGCAAGATTGGCTATGGCCGCTGACAGTGCGTTCCACCGTTGAGATGCTGAAGAGGCATTTATGTCGATGTCGCTCAGAGCCACATTAAAGGCGACGAGGCTATTTGCGTTAGCTAGTAATGCTGGGAAATCTTTCTCCAAGTCCATATCTGGATCTTTAAAAGCTTCATCCCTTTCTCGCTTATATGTGCTCGCATCAATTGACTCTGATCTGTAGCCAGTTTCAAGGAGAGCTGACACAAGATTGGCCTTGGCCAGTGCCACTTCCTGCCGCCTCTCAGCATCTGCGTCTTGTAAGAGGGTCGGCAGTTTTGCTTTTACGAGTTTCGACGAAAACTCTTCTATCCAAGCTAGGCGGGTAGTAAGCGTGGAAGTAGTTGATGATGATAGTATGCTACAAAGGGTGGTGAGAGTGCCTAACTCGGCGAGAATGGTGTCGATAAGTGTTTCTTTTGTGACGGACTCGACTACTGCAAACCACTGGTCGGCGGCATTGTTATTGTTCAAGGAGGCGCCGCCATCATCGGTGTCGTCATCGGAATTGCTGCCCTTTTGCTCGACGACATCGGCTTGGTCCCCGGTCGAGTCCAATTGAGCGGCTGCCTCGTTCTGTTGCTGGATGGATTCCTCAAGCTTCAACTCTTGGATGGCCAGACATCTGCTCTGGAGCTCTAGAGCTTCTTCGAGTGCTTGCAATGCTTCTTGTTCAGGCCGATCAGGATCCTTAGCTGATGCTTCCGCGATTGCTGTCAAGACCTGTGCAGTGTTGAAAAGTGTGTCGGCATTGTCCTGAGCGAGGTTCAGGGCATAGCGATGCGCTTCAAGTGCCTGCTGGAGAATATCCCACGGGGTTCCTGGCAATTGTTGAACTAGAATAGGATGTGTAGCTATCTCCAGTAACACCCGTGCCCTGAATAGGAGTCAGCATGGTGGTTCGAATGTCCACAATTGGAACCCATCTTTGTGACACATACTTGTTATAAGCAAGATCGAGACTACCAGGGAACTTCTGTAATCCCTGGCTATATACACCGATAGCCCTGTCAAAGAATCGCAGCGACTTTGCAGCATCACCCGCCCTCCATTTTCCGGCAGCTTCTTCGAAATCGACCCCAGCTGCCTGGAAATCATCTGCAGTCTCTAGAGCCTGGAAAGAATTTAGTATTCCATCGATTTGCGGGCAGATATCCAGGACAATGGATCGCCTGACCTGCTCTTCTTTTTTCTTTGCTTTCGACTTCTTGAGGAAAGCCTTTGGTTTAGACATGATGATGGTCGAAGACGAATGACGGAGTTGCACAGTTACCCCGGACTACTGGGGCCAGTTTGGTGAGCACCAGCTAGCGCTTGTAGGGCGTTTACAACACACGGTTGGTAATGCTTTTGAGGTGCAAATGGCCAATCAAGAAAAAAGCTTACAACGAGGCTTCGATAGTACGAAATACGAGTAGGGGACAGTATGGACAGACGGCAAGACTCAAAGAATTGGCACCAAAAAGGTTTGGATTCGGGTGTTCACTATCGACCTAAGAATTTGGAGCTGGCAAAGAATTCTACGCGGCGTTACTAAGTGGGTAAATTCTGCACTGTACGACATACTCCGTATAACGAACTGTTCTGAGATTGATGATCTAGAGCGCTGGCGTGTGATTGAACAATAATGATGATTTCCTTCATCCTTGAGCTATTTAGCGGAGGAATTGAAGCAGTCATAAGAAAGGATTCTTTCGATCCGCCGTCTATTGATCTTTCGCCCCGGTTGTTCCTTATGGCGCTATTGGTGAGACTCACTTTGGGAACCGAGCAGAGGGAATGCGCCGTGTTAAATGACTCGGTCAGGATAGACGTGCATGGCCCGTGCAGATGGTGGCAGCACGACATGGCAGAAATTTTTTCTTTGTCCACAGCTCATCCCACTCGGGCGCCCTTACCAGGGTTCACAGTGGCCCCTCCCTCGCGTGCGCTAAGGCGTCAACCCTGGCCATGTCAGGTCGATTGGGTTGACCAGGCGTGGGTGTTGAGCGTGGGTGTTGGCCCGGATAGCCAAGAGAGTCAGCCCAAGTTGAAAGAAAATAGCCATGCTTAGGCTTTGCTAATAAGTAATTTACAGTAGGAGAGTAATGCCACTCGCTCAGTGAGGCCTGCCCTTGCTGGTGCAATGTGCTTCACACCATCCCTTGCGACAGACATCTTGACCGTCGTCTTATCTGCAGTGGCATCATCCCCGAATTGTCCCTCAACCACATGATGTTGACTTGTGATATCCTGCATCTCGCAGACTCACTCTCACCGTCAGGAAGAAGCCCGCCGGTCATCTTCTCTTGGCCTCAAGTGCACAACTACCGTCCTTGAGTACCTGAGGTACTCCGTACAGTACTCGTAAAAGTAATATGCTCCGCCTCGCCCACTTCTCGGGCCATGCTCGCTTTAGGTCAATGCCCTCCACCCGCCTACTGCAAGTCTAAAATGCCACCCGTTGATTGAGAGTGGCCACATTTGATAGAGCTACCCACGCCCATCCAAATCCGCTCCAACAGCGGGGTTGTGCGTCTTCTCGCCCTCTCTTCTCTCTCGGGACCGTCCTGCTCGTCGACACTCGGTGCGATGAGTCTCGATTTTACCCTACAGATAGACTAGTCGGAAGTCTACGAACCTACTTCCATTCTCCCCTTCCGACGAGGCTGCGCTTCTTTTCACCTCATTTTTCAGTCATTCGTTTGTACGTTTGAACGCCCTGCAGTGTCGATCCAGTCGCAAGTCATCTCGAACCCATCGCAGCTTCGCGATGAACCTCCTTTGAGAGCCGTGTATTTTCACCACCCTCTCCCGCAGCCCACCTGCGGGCAACTCCCAGACACCAACGCGACTCGAGAATGACGCAGGAGGGAGACCAGCATGTGGTCTGGCCTCATGAAATGCAAGATGATGGATTGGGAACCGGCGTCGGCGAGGACGATTTCACAAATTTCCTCGACCTAGACAATGATTTCCAACAATATGCGACAATGAACAATGGCCATTCCGGCCTTGACACTCCCATGGGTCGTCTTGGTTTTGGTAACAATGCGAACGATTTAGCTTATTGCAATGCGGAACAAATGCAGATGAACATGCCCTCGACCACCGAGTCCATGAACTTCACCAACCACTTGGTCGCAGACTCGCATTATAGCCAGTACCAGCAGCAGTTTCAGCAGATGCAGATGCCACAACAGTTCCATGTTCCTCCAACGCCTGTGAGTGCGGAGATGCAAGCGACCAAATACGCGCACCACATGGGAAATAATGGGCAGATATTGTTCGACCACCAGCAGGTTTGTCTGATTTGTGTTTGTAGAATGATGGCGATACTAATGGCTGTCTAGGTTTCGTTCACGCCTCTTGTCTCCCCCGCCCAAACACCTTTAGACGGCACGTTCGCCCTTAATGACTTTGGGCTTGGGGACGACTTCTTCAGTCCTCTCACTTCACCTGCCATCGAGGCGCAAGGAGTGTATACCGGCACGACCGCTTCGCCTGTAGATCTCAATGTCGACCAGGGAACATCTGCGCCTGGGCCGACGACAGGCACGAAAAGACCTCGGAGGAAAGCTGCTCCCGTGGCTCGAACTCCCCGCAGTGTCAAGCAATCCCCATCCTTGAAGCCTCATACGCGCAGCCGACACCCGTCACTAAGCAATTTGTCGTTGGACAAGAGCGCAAACGTGTTACCTCAGGGGGCTCAGGCATCGTCCTTGTACCCTTCGGCACCCAATAGCGCCGTCATACAACCCAGCGATGACTCGGTATCTCCCGAAGCACTGTCCGAAGCCGCCATGAGACCACCTCCAGTCCCTCAGCCTACCCGATCTCCTCGGCCACAAGTGTCGTCCCAGGGTTCCAACAACCCTGTTACTCCGGCTACCCTGATGAGGATGCCGAGTAAACAGTCAGTATCGGCAAAACAGGTGGAGCAACATATTTCTGTGCCGCTGATGGATGAGCCCATGGAGGACATCATGTTGCCTGATGCAGCCGCTGCGGGTGCACAGCAGCCCGTGCCAGAAAATGGCAATGTCAGTAGAAATGGCGATGATAGCGGAAACACACCGACACTTTCGGCAAAGACGGCGAAGTGGAGTGCCAGCAGCACGCCCCGAAGTGCCTTGACGAGGTCAGGCTCTACAGAGACATTTGCAAAGCCTGGCAAGGTTGAATCCCGCGGTGGTCGTGGCAGCAAGAAGCGCCAGAGTACTTCTTCTGCCACCATATCTCCGGCACTGCGACCGAAGATTTCGCCCAGCATTAGTCCTCTGGTTCCAGCAGCGGGTGAGTTATGACCTTTGTTTTGTTTGTCAGAGCCCCATACTAATTCAAACATTCAGGTCCGGGTATGGCACATCTATCAGCCGAAACGAGCGCGTTGTATCTTGCGTCGAAATCAAATTACCAAAACATCCTCGAAGGCACCCATTTACCCGGAGTTTCTTATCCCGACACTTTGGCCGAAAACCTCACCTCGAAACGAACGTCACACAAGATTGCCGAGCAAGGACGACGAAATCGTATCAATCTTGCCCTGAAAGAGATTGAGGCGCTCCTGCCTCAATCGATTGTCGCTTCACAGAACAAAAAGGACAAGGCCAGCTCACAGGACTCGGGCGAGGCCGACTCGAAATCTTCAGCTGCCAACCAAGGCGCAAGCAAAGCTAGCACCGTCGAGATGGCCATTGTTTATATCAAGAGCCTACAATCAGAACTAAAGGTGGCGCAAGACAAGCTTGATGCGGCGGAAAAAAAACTTGCCGAGGGCAATAGTAGTGCGGAAAGCCAAACATCTGAAGGATGAATAATCAACAGGACTAAGAAGATTCGGGATCCAGGTTCATGTCACGTCTTTATGATTTTCTAATTTGTTGATGGGATTTTGGGTTTAGTGCTTCAACTTTTTCCAGACCGTGTGATGAAAGAGAGGGAAAGAACTATCAAATTTACAGAATCGATGGGATTACGATGAGTTGGAGTCGGAATTTGAGGCCGAGGAAGAGTGGAGGATATATCATCCCGAGTTTGGGTGTGCAATGGTGCTGTTGATATCGCGCGTTGAAACGTTACAGCCTCATAGAACGTTTTCCGATGTCGTTCAAAGATGCTTTGACCTTTTGTCAAGAGATGTGAAAATCTACCTTGTCTACCTAAGGTATTTACTACGTCGACTACTTATACCTTCACCTATACATATACTTGTATATAAAGTATATACACATACATACATACTCTGAAAAGAGGGGATCGGATTGTCGCCCAGATACAAATAACACGTACGGGGAGCTGCTCTGCCTGATTTCGACCAAGCTTCTTCGATCCAAAATTCCATCTGTGGGTGTGTGTCACTAAGAGGTGCAAAATTCTCGCGAGCACGAGACGATAATTAAGACAAAGGAGAAATTATTGGTTTTGATGGGCAAAGATTCCAAGTCCAGATCCGTATTGATGTCGTACTTTAAGGTATATGTTTGAGGGGGCGTACGAAGTATGTTGATTACATAACACTCCGTACCTTTGATTGATATAGGAAAATCAAACATACGGAGAGTACCGCGAAGGGATACGCAGAAGGAAGACATCAAGAATTGTTTATGACGACTCAAGTTCCTTTCTCTCAACCAAGCATTCATTCTCCAGGTTTTCCTCGGGGTGGATCTATTTTGCTTGACTTCTTTTCACTCTCTCCTGTCGCCACTAACCCTGCTTTGTCCTTTTGCACAACTGCTCTCCCCGACTTCTTGTCCCGTTTGGCAAAAGTTCATTGACAAACTTACGGAGTGGCCACCTTCTCCTCCTCCTTGGATCGTAGGCAAATCAATCCCGTGACTTCACGCTGGGGAGATCAATCACCGTCAAGACGAATGTTTACGGGATGTATCGGAAATCAGGATGATGGTGGCCCAGATCTCGCTTCTCCTGGTCGGTCAGACCTTCGAGGCGGTGGTTGCGTTTTCCCGCGGCCCGGACGCGGTTCTCGCGAAGGTTGTAGAGGATGCCAAATGTCGCGAGGGCGAGGGTGATGACTTGGGCCCCCAAGTTGATCGAGTGGCCTATCGGGTAGCGGGGGCCATCGCGTACGAGGTACGTCCAACTGTTGTGTGGGATGTGTATCAGCATTGCGTTTCCGAACGTCGCCGTGTAGGTTACCGGGGTGTCAGGGAAGGAAAAGGAGAGGAGAAGAAACAAAAAAAAAACCAAAAACAAAAGAAAAGAGCACAAAACTTACGTTGCTAGTACACCTCCTCCGGTACCGACGGAGACAATGTACGCCGTGGCCACGGCCCTGGTGGCGGGGCCAGCACTGTTATTGATACCCCAGGACATGAAGCCGGGCCCACCGGGAAAGGCGCCCGTGGTGATGAAGTAGATCGCCATGTACCGGATGCTGGGGTTCGTGTTCCACCTGAGCAGACTGAATCCGACAATGGGCGGGATGGTGAAGAGGGCGAGATATATGCCTCGTCTGCGGGTCTTGTCGCTGATGTAGGCGATGGCGATGGCGATGAGACAGGCCGCGACGTAGGGTGGGACCGAGTACAGTTGGGCCTTTGTCGAAGTCCAGCCGAGGTCCTTGAGGATCGTGGGGAGGAAGATTGAGAGACCCTGGACGGTTACGTTGATCATGAAGAAGCCCAGTGCCGCCATGTTGTTGTTGACGTTGAAGATGGCGGCCTTGATGTGGCGCCATTGTACTCGCTCGTGCGGATCCTATCGAGACACCCGTGTGAGGTTCAAGGACATCTGAATCAAAGAATGCAACCAAGGACTTACTGCTCGATGTTCTCGGATAAGGCGCTCGTGGGCAATGTGTCGCTCCCTTTCGGTCAGGAACATGCATGTCTGAGGATTGGACGGCATCAAGAAGGGGGCGCCGGCTGCGATGAGCATAGTGAGCTGGAGAGCGGCAAATAAAGTGTTAGCAAATTCTCTTACAGACAGGGTCACTCATAAAGTCTGCACGATGGGTCATAACATACCAGCCCTTCGAAGAAAAAGATATTCCTCCACCTGACGCGTCGTTAGTCAACTCCGGCTGTAGCTGATATTATCAAGGTATAGCTCTCACGTGTGTATTGGTGTGGAATTTGTTCCCCATCGAGGAATTCGTCTGTATGAATAAATTGTCAGTACAGTGACACTCTGTTTATGAAATCACCGCGAGGGAGATAGGACGACATACGCCAAAGCTGTGGCAAAGAGACCACCAAAAGCTCCCGCGATCGAAGCTGCCGAGATGAATATACCAATTCTGAAATACAATTCTCTTCTCTTGTAGAAAGTACCTTTGTGTATCAATCACTTGTTAGTTTATGCGTGGCCAGAAGTTAGCTTGAGGGTGGCGCCGAGCGCTCAGCCCTGTAAAACAAGACATACTGAGGAAGAAGGCTATTCCTGGCATGGTGCCACCTTCGAAGATTCCCAGAAAAGCCCTTGCGACGCAGAGCGTATCAAAGGACTTGACAAAGGCGGTACACATTGACACGAAACCGAAGCCCATGACCAGCATCGGAATGTAGAGCCTGGGGCCAATGTGCTTCAACAGAATGTTGCTCGGCACTTCAACCAGCAGATATACTAGGTAGAACACACTCAGTGCCCAGTTGAATCGGTAGCCGACCAGATCCAAGTCGACGGCCATCCCCTGGATCCGGGCATTTCCAATATTGGCTCGGTCGAGGAAGCATAGAAGGTAGAGGACGGTGACCAAGGGCACGATACGTCTGTCGATCTTCCTTCGTATGCGTGTCTCATCTTCCTCGGTCCAGTCGACTTCGTCGCTAATGCCCGAGCCTTCGCTCTTGATAGGGTCGACCTCCAGATGATCAAACTCGGATGCCTTCAGCGTGGTTATCGGTACTGCGGAAGTCATGGCTGAGGATGTGTGCTGCTCTTCTCAGGGAGGAAAATGTCCTTCTTTTCGTGAGAGAAGCTAAAGGGCAATTGATGGGAAAAGTTGCTCCATCAGCCATGACGGCAGGTCGTCAATATATACTCGACACAAGATTGTTGAAATGATACCCCGTGGGGCACATTAGCGATTTTCTCGCTGACGACAAGGCTCTCTCGTGGGCTGCTGCTGGCACTTACACACACACAGTGACCCCGCCGGATGATATCCCTGGAGGCCATGTGGTCGGTAGACGGTAGCAGGAAGCGGCAATCATCCTATGACAGCGATATGCAACAAGTTTGTTGGCTCTAGATCCCTCCTGACGAAGAGTATGGACCCATTCTGGATGCGACCTGGAAGGAAGCTGGACCACACACTTGTTGATTGCAGGCCAAGAGATCAGTGTGTCTTGGGTGACGGTGCGCTATACCAAGGGAGCACTGGATCACAAGCAGCGGCATTTCTTGGCATGTCTTGGCTCTCCGGGGTGGACTCCTGAATGGGATGCGGAGGAAAGGATATACATGGAGATCAGAGGCGATTTGGTATAGATATCCGCCAAGGGGTGAATGTAGGAAAACGTGGGACCTCGAAAGGACCTGATCGCCTCACCCAGTTCATAACAGTTGAGCTACATCAAGCCGCTCTATGTTCCCTCCGCGCTTGGAACACCCAAATCAACAGAAGGGTCTCGTCAGTGTGCTTATCTCGACAATATGATTTCATGGTAAGAACAATATTCAAAGTGGTTTCGTTGACTTGTCATTGCAGAACGGATACTTCGCATTCAGGCTGATACCCATGTCAAGGACCTCTCAGCGAGCTTGGCCTTTGCCACAGAATTGATGCACCCGCTTTGCCTTGGCATAATATTGTTTGTCTTTCGGCAGTTGATTCACGGCTTCACATAGAGCTGTGCCATGTCATTATCGTAGCTGTAATACCCTATCCATTCAAAGTCATAGTTCTGGTTCCTACACGGACAATGATGAAGAGCCGCTGCTTCGGAAACCAACATCTCGCTGAATCGGCAGTTGTCGTCTCTACTCAAAGTCAAGCGAGTCGAGTTCTGTGGTTTTCAGTGCCCCGCTCTTTGGACTTGGGTCATTTGGCGAATCCTCTAGACACAAAGGCCGCGTCGATCAAGATCAAGATTGGTTATGACTACGGAGTGGATTCAAACAACATTGCGAATGCCCGTTGCCAGATGTCGTGCTTAGTCAAGAGGAAAAAGCTGGCTGCGAAAGGTATTGATCTCAGCTTGGTGTGCCACCTCGCGTCCTGTGCCAAAAACTGGCTCACACAATTCCCCAGGCATGCGGAATATATATATGCTGTAGCGTGCTCATGTCGTCGGAACCAACCCAAGATAGTCGAGGGTATCCTCGATGCGTATGTCTGGAAACCCGTCTGGAAACCCGTCTGGAAACCCGTCTGGAAACCCGTCTGGAAACCCGTCTGGAAACCCGTCTGGAAACCCGTCTGAAAAACCTCGACCTCTACCGTCCATGAAATCCTCTTCGCCCCCGTGGCGGATGGACCTGAGCATGCTGAGAGGACCACCCGAACCCATGTCGTACTCTCCTTCGCTGGACATGACAAGCGCACAACGCAAGACGGTGAGAGCTCGTTGAGCACAGCCCACAGACAAGGCTAGGGTCTCGAGCAAGCCGTTGATGGCGCCCATGATGACCAAGCCTGGGGGAGTAACCTTAACAATTTCATCGTGGACAGTGGAAACGTCTGCCAGGACCCACGGAAGAACAAAGTCAGCGATGGCCCCCCTCCCTCTCCCTCCCCCCTTCGCCCCCAAAATAGGAGGCAACTAATGTTGTAGGTATGTTGGGGCTTCGATGTTGAGCCAAAGTTTTAAGATATCCCTCTCCCGGCTGAATAACAACCAGAGTCCCTTTTTTAGTTAGTATACTTGTCGGTCCGACCGGAATCCGGGATATATTATTACTCACAGTCATTCTCCTACACCCAGGTGACCAGTCAGGGATGACCTTGTCGATGAGTTCCTCGTGGCCAGGGCCAAGCTTGCGGATCATATCTTGGCTGAAGAACTTCTTGAACTGCTCATTGTCTGCAGAGCCGCGCAGGCACGCCTTGCCCCATTCGGGCCTCGAATTCCTTGCGATAGGCGAGGTGGAAGTGGGCGTCCTCTCCAAAGGACTTTTTTCTTCTTCCTCGGTATAGTAGCGTCTTCCGACGACGGCTTCGAGGCCTGCGGTACCCGCCTTTTGTTTGTCGGTTTGAATCTGTGGTGAAATCCAACTTGTTTCGCATGAAAACGGTCAAACGTTCGGCACCTACAGTCGGTGTGTCGAACAACCTGGATCAGCTCTTCTTGATCCTGACTAGGTAGCATGTAAGGGGCATGAAATCCTTGAAGTTACCTTTGGCGAGGTTGGGCACCATTTGAATGGAACTAGAGCCTGTCCCTACGACAGCAACCTTCTTGCCGCGCGCATCGATTGTTTCATCCCAAGCAGCGGAGTGTGCGAGTTGTCGGCGGAAATCATGCAAGCCTTCGATGGCAGGCCCTGGGTATCAGTGAGCATTCCAAGCGTATCTCAAAAGCTCCGTCAAGTAGTTAATTTACATTTCCTTTCGTTGACAACCCCTGCCCCATAGATCAAGACGTGACATGTATCGTGAATGACTTCGCCATTGTGTTCGATCTCGACATCCCTTACATAACATTCATTCTCTGTTGATTGCAAACCCACCCCTAAAGCTGCAGCTTTGTCCACGCATAAAAGGAGACTTACAAGTACCTCCAAGCTCCTTCCACGTAGCGCTGAGGACCTTATGTTTGAGCCTGACGAAGAGTTCCAATTGGTGCTTCTTGTAGAACCTCAAGAAATAATTCTGGATCTCTACATGACCAGCATAGAAGCGGACCACTCCGTATCTGGCTCGAAAGTGTAGGTGTAACAATGTGTGGGAATGTCACAAGCACAGCCTTGGAAATGTTCTTAGGGTCAGTCACACTTCCTACTATTCTTCGGCTTGTGAAAAAGACTCACCTGGATATCTGTTTTCCCACCAAGTTCCTCCCACCTCTGGATTTCTGTTGGGACAAAAGTCAACTTATGATCAAGAATAGAAGGGGGTTTGGGAAGCATATGTGATTTAGTACTTTTCGTATAAAACCAGTTCATAGTTCTAAAGCATCTTTCTGGCCTTGTAGGCCATCAAAAGGCCCGAGGCACCTGCGCCAACATGGATGATCTTGATCCGATCCGCCGTCGAGTGTACCTCATCGAGGATCTCAATCATGGGTGGAGGTGGATCTGCGTGAAGCATTTTGCAAGGTGGATTTAGTCGTTTGCAAATGACCCGGCCTTGACTCCCTGGTTCAATCCACGAAGCCTGCGAAGCGTTGAGGCAGAATTGTCAAGCCGATAGGTATTGAGTTCGCTCCCGAATGGACACGATGAGTAAGTACCCCGGTATACATACGGACGATCACTTATCTTACCGCCACAATAATTCTAGTAGAGCGGACATTCAGAAGCAACAACTTACCTCGGTCACTCCCCTCAGCCTGGACGGGCCTAGCCTACTACCATTCAGTAAGGTCCCGGACGACAAGATGGCCAGATTAGGATGAACCAGAACTCCGAGTCCTCGGACGTGATATCGGAGACCGGTGACTTGGGAATTTGCCAAGCCGGAACTGGCCCCACGGAAAGGGAGTGACAGCCTTGCACGAATCTCTCCGCATAGTCAACTAGGTAAGCTATACTCGTAGTGAGCAGTACAGTAGAAGTTATAAGGACTAGGTGCTGTTAGCACATCTGAAACATGTTTAGCGCTGAACATATATAAGTCATCTCTGATTGGCGTGATGTTATTGGTGCCTACGATATCAGCCACGAATCCTCAACGTGAACTATGACATTGAAGCATTGCCCATACAGGGAAAGTGGTGAGTTATGCCAGTAGTCAAATGGCTGCCATAACAAGAGAAAAGCACTATATTCATCATTGATGCTTTTGCAAATTTAGTCTCTCATGCTGGAGCTCTTCGTGTCTTCTCCATCTGTGCCTTCATTATTGCGAGGAGTTCTCGAAACTGTTTCTCATCCCCGTTCATGGACCCAAAATACCTCGCCGTATCATCACCCAGGTGCCCCTCCATTTCTACATACTGATCATCGGCGACAAAAAGGGTGTGGCCGTGGTAGGAAGCGTCGACCACAAGTTTGGCAACGGCCAGGCCAACGGCAGAAGGAGGTTGAATGGGCAGACCAACACCCCTGAACTCGCTCACCATTCCTTTGGTTTTGTTAGATTCGGTATACCCCGGTGCAACGACATTGATGCGCATAGGAATATGTGGGTGAAGCTGCAATTTCATCGCCCTCAGAAATCCTATTACGGAGAAAGCGTGTCTACATACTGTATGCTGCAGAACTCACGCCAAAGTATCCAGCGCCGGAGGACGTCATAACAATGCTGCCGCCAGGAGGTTGCTACTTTTGCATATGATGAATCACTAGTGCCACCGAGTTAAGACACCCAGAGAGGTTGACATCGAGAGAGCGCCTGTCCGGTTCCAAAACTTTGCCGTCCTCTTCTCGTAGGCTGACATAGTCGGATCTGTCCACAATCCCAGCATTCGCAAAGACAACATCGATTCTTCCGTATTTCTCGATGGTCGCCGCGAATAACAGTCTGAGGTCGTCACACACAGTGACATCAGCCCGGATGTAGAGCACTCTCGAGTCTAAATCTTCTGGAGGACATTCGGTGTCTGCAATAACAACTGCGTTTGCTCCCTTGCGGAGGAACAATTCGGCCGTGGCAAGGCCGATGCCGGACGACGCGCCGGTGATCAAGAAAACCTTGTCCTCTAGGCTGTTCACCTCAGACGCTTCAATCTTGAAATAACGCATTGCTGTAATTGTTCTCTGTTTTCTCGACCTGTAAGCAACATGTCCGAATATTTGAATAAATGCTGGTAAAGGTAGTAGAGATACAGAATACGTGTGACCATCACCGAGGCCCGGTGATTTGTTCCGAAATTTGATCTTTCCACGGTTCGACCGACGGTGGACCGGCAGACGGTTATCCCCTCCACGGGGTGCTTTGTGCATATCGCTGAGTTGGATTGGGAAGTCAAAACCTCGCATGGTGTGCAGCGCCGTTACCATTTAACTAAGAGTCAGGTCTTGGGGTCATTGATAGCTTCAGCACCAGCAATCAATTCGAAAATGTCGCATCAGAGTGTAGATGATGTGCGGGCGCTGGGACAAATCGACCTGGAATTCAAAGCCGCACATGCTTCATCTGCTAGCCATATCTTATTGCTAACTTCGACCTAGTTCTTGGATGCGCATCCACTTCCGGTGCCGAAGTACGACGACTTACTAGAATACAAGCAGATAGCTGCACAGCGAAGCTCCATGGTCGCAAAGGCCCTCGGAGATCCGCCCTAAGAGATCAAGCAGAGCGAATTGCACTACACTACCAGAAATGGAGCGAGAGCCACGGCCAAGCTCTACCAACCTACCGTCCAGCCAAAGCACAAGAGTCCAGAAATTGTCATGTTCCACGGTGGCGGCTTCTGCATTGGTTCGCCAGATAGCGAGGAACAAAGCTGCCGTAACTTCGTACAAGCATTCGGCGCGGTTTGCATTTCAGCAGCATACAGACTTGCTCCTGAGTTTCCATTTCTGTATGCCGTCAAAGATGGCTGGGATGCTCTCAGACGGGTTACCGAGCAGGCAGAGGTTTGGGGAGCAGATCTTTCGTCTAGTTTCATTGTCGGCGGAATATCCGCGGGCGGGAATGTTGCTGCAGTGTTGGCGCATCTTGCAAGAGATGAGCCTCTTGCAGTGCCTCTGATGGGACAGTATCTTGCCATTCCCGCAGTCCTGCCACCTACCGTTGTCCCCGGCAAATATAAAGAACTCTATCTTTCATGAGATGAGCATCAAGACAGTCCGTGCTTCCCAAAGCAGCAATTGACCTATTCGACAGTGGATATCGGGCTGACTATGACGATTCGGTGCTATTTCCTGTTTTCAACCACCCCAGAGGGCACGCAGGACTCCCACCGGCTCAATTCCAAGTTGATGGTATGGACCCGATAAGAGATGACGCCCTCATATACGAGCGTGTGTTGCGAGAAGAATCCCGAATTGATACCAAGTTGTACGTATACCCGGGTCTGCCACACGGCCATTGGGCGTTCTTCCCATCGTTGAAAAGCAGTGCCAAATTTAGGATTGAGCAAGTGGAAGGGGTAGGGTGGATGTTGGGTCGCACTCCGGACTACAGCAAAGGTGTGACAGGCGCAACCGCAGTTACCGTCCAGTTAGCTAGGATGAGGTGGAAGTTGATCAGCCTGGTCAGAAATGGGTTGGAAGTACTCCGTACGAGCACGAGTATCGTTGTTGTGATATACCTGCCATGGCAACGATCCGGTAGCCGATCATGTTTGTAGCGGGGAGACTAGTGGTTTCACATGTCAGAAATCAACAAGACCAAATTGAGCTGCAATTCGATTGTGTTCATATTGTGGGTGAAGTGAAGGGATGTATGCACAAAAGTTTGTCAAAGTGAGTGTCTGTTCTCCCTCTCACCATGGCACTAGAAGGTCATGGCACTGGGGAGTACACAGGGCAGCACAGGGCAGCACCTGCAGGGTCCAACTAGAACGTTCTTTCGTGGTTGCCGTTTGAACAGAATTAGGCAACCAATGGGGAGGTGCATATTGAGCTCCCCACACTACAGAATGGCCTTTCCAATGCAACCACCAGCCTGCGCCCAATAATTCTGAGTGTCTGACAAGGACCGTGACACCCTTGACTGCGCCCTATTTCACTGACACGGGCACTTGGTCTTGCCTAATAATCCTTATATCTCACGGTCAGACAGCCACCCATGGCATTCACCTTCAGGCGTCTTTCGATGCGATTCCATAAGACCCACTCAATTTTTGGAGGCTTCACAGCAACATAGAAATACTGCCAGCCTGCTCTCTCACTCTTCAGCTTTTTCTCCCACAACTATCCTCTCGCGCAATAGATATCTCGTTCTTTGCCTGCCTTGAATTAGACATACCTCTTTTCCGGTAAGTACGGTCCATTGTTGTTGATCTTTTGTCCCCATCTCAGAGTCCCTGCGCTGTGTTGACGGCTTGATTTCACATGTCCTTGTGAGACCAAAGTCAGCGCAGCCTGAGAAGTCAAACGCACATTGCTCTACCTACAAAACCATATTCGTTTCAGAAACACTGACTTCTCATTCTCTACAGACCTCAAGATACCCCTTCACATCCGCAAAGATGGCTCCCAATGAGACCTTCGAGTTCCAGGCTGAGATCTCTCAGCTGCTCTCCCTCATCATCAACACCGTCTACTCCAACAAAGAGATCTTCCTGAGAGAACTGATCTCCAACTGCTCAGATGCCCTAGACAAGATCAGATATGAGGCTCTCTCAGATCCAAGCAAATTGGACTCTGGCAAAGACCTCAGAATCGACATCATCCCAGACAAGGAGAACAAGACCCTCACCATTCAAGATACCGGTATTGGCATGACCAAGGCCGATCTTGTCAACAACCTTGGTACCATTGCCCGATCAGGCACCAAGCAGTTCATGGAAGCCTTGACTGCCGGTGCTGATATTTCCATGATTGGTCAATTCGGTGTCGGTTTCTACTCTGCATACCTTGTCGCAGACAAAGTCACTGTCATCTCAAAGAGCAACGATGACGAACAGTACATCTGGGAGTCCAGCGCCGGTGGTACCTTCACCATCACTCAAGACACCGAGGGTGAGCCTCTTGGTCGTGGTACCAAGATGATCCTTCACCTCAAGGACGAACAGACCGACTACCTGAACGAGTCCAAGATCAAGGAAGTCGTAAAGAAACACTCCGAATTCATCTCCTACCCCATCTACCTTCACGTTCTCAAGGAGACCGAGAAGGAGGTTCCTGACGAGGATGCCGAGGAAGTCAAGGAAGATGACGACGAGAAGAAGCCCAAGATTGAAGAGGTGGATGATGACGAAGAGGAGAAGAAGCCAAAGACAAAGAAGATCAAGGAGTCCAAGATTGAAGAGGAAGAGCTCAACAAGACCAAGCCAATCTGGACCCGCAACCCCTCCGACATCACCCAAGAGGAATACGCTTCCTTCTACAAGTCCCTCTCCAACGATTGGGAGGACCACTTGGCCGTCAAGCACTTCTCCGTTGAAGGTCAGCTCGAGTTCCGTGCCATCCTCTTCGTTCCCAAGCGTGCTCCTTTCGATCTCTTCGAGACCAAGAAGACCAAGAACAACATCAAGCTGTACGTCCGACGTGTCTTCATCACTGATGATGCGACCGACTTGATCCCTGAGTGGCTTGGCTTCATCAAGGGTGTCGTTGACTCTGAGGATCTTCCTCTGAACTTGTCTCGTGAGACTCTCCAGCAGAACAAGATCATGAAGGTCATCAAGAAGAACATCGTCAAGAAGTGCCTGGAGCTCTTCAATGAAATCGCCGAGGACCGCGAGCAATTCGACAAGTTCTACTCTGCTTTCAGCAAGAACATCAAGCTCGGTATCCACGAGGATTCTCAGAACCGCCAGTCCCTTGCCAAGCTCCTCCGCTTTAACTCCACCAAGTCTGGCGAGGATACCACCTCTTTGACCGACTACATCACTCGTATGCAAGAGCACCAGAAGCAAATCTACTACATCACTGGCGAGTCCATCAAGGCCGTCTCCAAGTCTCCCTTCCTTGACACTCTCAAGGAGAAGAACTTCGAAGTCTTGTTCTTGGTTGACCCCATCGATGAATATGCCATGACTCAGCTCAAGGAGTTCGACGGCAAGAAGCTTGTCGATATCACCAAGGACTTCGAGCTCGAGGAGACCGATGAGGAGAAGAAGGAGCGTGAGCAGGAAGAGAAGGAGTACGAAGGCCTCGCCAAGAGCCTGAAGAACATCCTCGGTGACAAGGTCGAGAAGGTCGTTGTGTCACACAAGCTCATTGGCTCTCCTTGCGCCATCCGTACCGGCCAGTTCGGTTGGTCTGCCAACATGGAACGTATCATGAAGGCACAAGCCCTGCGTGACACTTCGATGTCCTCCTACATGTCTTCCAAGAAGACGTTTGAAATCTCGCCCAAGTCTGCCATCATCCGAGAGCTCAAGAAGAAGGTTGAGGCTGATGGTGAGAACGACCGCACTGTCAAGTCCATCACTCAACTCCTGTTCGAGACCTCTCTCCTCGTTTCCGGATTCACCATCGACGAGCCAGCCTCGTTCGCCGAGCGTATCCACAAGCTCGTGTCTCTTGGCTTGAACGTCGACGAGGAGGCCGAGACTTCTGAGGAGAAGGCTGCCGAGGAGGCTCCTGCTGGTGAAGCCACTGGTGAGAGCGCCATGGAAGAGGTCGACTAAACATCTCGCCACATCTGAAACGTGTGATGTTTCAATTTGACACGCTTCCTTTCCGCCGCTGGTCACATTGTATCATCTTCGAAAGTCGAAAAAGGGCGTTTTTTTAAGGTGTTTTGTGGTGATGATCTCTCTCTCTTCATCAGCGATATCCCCGGACATGGATAAATGGTTTTTTTCTTCGTGAAAGACGGACATGATGAACAAAAAAGAACACGCGAAGCGACAACGGCGGGGATGAATGAAATGCGCTTAAGCTATGGCAGTTTTTTCAGTACTCGTAGCAAAGAAAGGAGAGCATCAGTAGTTTAGTTATCCTCTTTTTGTCCTTCTTAGGAGGGAGGGGGCTTCTTCTACTACTTGTACTCCGTATGTAATTCTCAATCAAATTGCGATTCCAAGCAAAAAGTTTCGAAGTGTACCAACCTCGCCAGCAGTGTTTTTTTCCCCTCTAGTATTCATTGTTTTTCAATCATGCGTCGTATGCGATACATACTATTCGTACAGGAAGGTGTGCGCCGACCAAGAAGAATTATCCCCGGATACACAAAAACATCGTGGAGTCCTACTTCTCTTCTCCCATCCACCAACAAGAAGAAAAGAAAATGGGAATCAATCGATCGAGAAAGTTTCTCGATGACAAGTGAATTGATTTCATGGGTTGTGGCAAATTAATATTCGGGTGTCCTCGACGCCGTGGTTCGGGCTGGGTATCTTTTTTCTCCTCTCCCCCTCTCTCTCTGTCTCTTAGATGAAAAGGTACCAAAAAATAAAACAGCGGATAATGTAGTAGGCGCGTGATATATATGATACACCGCAATTCTCTCCCTCTCTCCCCCTCTCAATCCAAGATTCTCAAAACCCCCCTCGATCCATACTACAACGTGTCAAAGTGGACATGATTTCTTCCCTCCCCTCTTTCCCTTCCAACAAGGATTCACGAAAACCTCCTACAGATTCTCGTCTCACGACGCGCCATCATCGCCGTCTTCTTCTCTTTTGGAATCTTCATTCACTTCTTCGTCCGGCGTGGGACTGACTATGATGGCAGGTGGTGGTGGTTGAGACGACGTCGGACTCAGGGTCCCACCCGACGACCGCTTGTCATCCACCGATGCCTCGTCCTCTCCATCGAGTCTGGTCTCGTCATCGGCTCCGGCGCTCTTGGTGGGTGACTGCACCGAATCTCGCGTGGAACTGCTTTGATGTGCCGTCCGCCTTCGCATTCGTCTGGCTTTCCGTTCCTCATCGGCACCGTCTCGTCGTCTCCGAACATCAATCTCATCCCCAGTGGATGGGGCAGAGCTCCTCATTGACTGGAGAGCTTTCAATGCTCGATCAGCAACATCTTCACTTTCGCTAACGTCGCCCTTTCCACTTGTGCCATCTTCTGCACTCAGGCCATCTTCGTTGCCTTTCTCTCCGACGCTGGCTAGCCCACGGCTTTCTTCGACGCCTTCCTTCGTCGGGATATCTGGGAGCTGTTGACCACTTGCGATTCTCTGGTCGTGCTTCTCCTTCAGTCGAGCACGCCGTCTTCGGTCACGCTGATCCTTGACTTGCGGCGCAGCGGCTCGAAGTTTGGCAAGTAGGTCTTCCATGGCACCATTTGCATGAGGGCTGCCAGGAGTTTCTGCTCCACTTGTTCCACCGCTAGCGGTCAACCCACCTTGCGCTCTCTTTCGAGCCATACTAGCCTCAAGGCGACGCCTGGTCTCTTCCATGGCAGTGTTCTTTTCTCTCGATTTCTTCCATTCCGTCACAAAGCCACCGAGCTTACTAAAGAATTCTCTCCTGGCATTCTCATCTTGATTATCTTCTCCAAAATAGGTCATAATATCATCGTACGTTCGTGAAGTCTCTTCCAGGTATAGTTGCATTTGCTCGGCTTTCCGTCTTGCCTCTTTCATCGATCTCTGAACCACTTGAGCCACGCGATCTTGAGGATGGAACTTCTTAGGGTCACTCAAGTTTCCTGCGTCCAGCGAAGCTTGAACGTTCTTGATGTTGTCGATATACTTCTTCGCATCGAGGCGCAATTGATCCACGTTCAGCTTCGAGGCAGGCACGACTCCAGAGATGTCCTCAACGAAGACTTCCCATTGAGAATACTGGTTGCGCACGATTCGCTCAATGAGGTCTGCAAAAGTTGTTTCATTCTTGTCGTCCTTCACCATGCCCAGGCGCGCCAACGAACTGAGTTTGAATCCAGATGCTTGCTTATTCGAATCGTTCATGTAGTTACCGATATCGAGAATAAGAGCCAAGACGCTCATTAGAGAGGTCGAGTCCCGAATGGCCTCCGATACGTTGACAATCTCTTTCAGCTTGGCCGAGATCTCGTCATACTCGTTTTCGTAATTCCTGGCCAAGGCCAAAGCTCTCATCCTGGCTTTCCAATAATGGTGCAACTCGTACGCGGTCTGAAGATAAATTTGATCTTCTCTGGTCAACTCAGATGGGTCCTGCTCCCGCTTAGAAGTCAGCGCGTCAGGCCCAGTCCAGTCTTTGCTGTAAGGAGCCATGAGCTTCGCAATGTTTTCGGGGATCGTGCAGAGATCTTCCCTCTGCAGGAAATCCATCACAACGTTGTTTTCGAGTACTTCTCGGTCACAATGAATAATCTTTCGTACAACGTCATCGGCGGTGGCGTTCTTGAACTTTGCCATTGACACGTGGAAGTTTCTCATCATATCACTACTGATGATCTGCTTCTTGTCGTTCTTACCCTTGCCAGCACCAGCACCGATAATCTTGATGTCTTTGGCAATGAAGAGTTTCTCGACTTCGTCGAGCACGCCCTTTCTTTGCAACTCGCGGTACTTCTCTTCCTTGGCTTCCGTGCTTGTACTGCTTGCCCATACCGTAACTTGTGGCGTGTCTACTTTATCCCAATGGAAAGCCTTGAGCTTCTTCTTGGGACGCATGATTGGGTTCTTAAGCATAGGCACCGGTACAATAGGTGATTGGGGAAGGAAATGGCCATGCTGGAGTCCTGGAAGCGGCGGAGCGCCAGGAGGTGGGGGTGCAGCAGGTGAGATAGGGCTCATAGGAAGTGAACCCGGCGGCGGAGGAGGTGGTGGAGGCGGACCTCCAGCGAAGCCAGGCATTGACGGGGTTGTAGGAGAAAGAGGCATTCCAGGCGGCGGAGGTGGAGGTGGAGGGGGTGCGCCGGCCTCAAATCCAGGTATAAGAGCCGGAGAAGGCTCCGATGATCCTGGAGGTGGTGGTGGCGGCGGGGGCGGAGGAGGACCATTGAACTTAGCTTCACCGTGTGCTTCATCAGTGGGCGTCTTGGGAGACTCGGACCCGAGGCTTGGATGGGAAGGCCCAGTTGTGATGCCGTCGCTGTCCGCTGTCGCATCATCACTGTCATCGTCCAGCTTCTTCACCTTCGAAGTGAGTTCGCCCATCAGATTAGACTGCTGTTCCGTATGGATCTTGGGCCTTGAGAACTCGACGAGCCTTGGCTTCTCATAAACCACTGCTTCGTCTTCTTCACCAGACTCGTGTTCGTTTTCGGCCTCTTCGCTGATTGACAACGCTTCCAATGCAGCTCTTCGAGATCCCTTCAGAGCGTTACTGCGGTGGACACTTCCCATGACACTATTTGTGAGATGTCTCTTCGTCTTCTCCTGGAAATCAGCGTCGACCATATCGTCCATCTTCTCACGGAGCTCTCTGAGCCTATCCGACGGGCCTTGTTGGCCCCAGACTTTGCCTTCAAGCTTGAACTGTGTTTTGGTGCGTTCCAGATTTCGCTCTAGGCGCTCCATCAGCTTCTCTCTGTCCAAAATGCCCTGCATCTGAGTTGGATCTTGGCCCGTAGTGCCATCTTTGGCGGCGCGAGAGGCTGCGACTTCCTGTGCATCTCTAAGCATAAGGTACAGTTCGCGACTTTCAAGTTCGTTTCGTTGGAGCTCTTGTGCTCTGATGCGCTGGAGCTCCGCAACTTCGGATTTCAAGGCCTCTGCTTGCCTTGACTGCATTTCAATGATGGCAGCTTGCTCCTCCACTTGCTTTTGTAATTTCTTGACCATCCCATCAGCACCAAGAGAGATCTGGGCTGCCATTTCATCTCGTTCGGCAATGGCGGCTTCTGCAATCTGCCTCGACTCTGTCGCCTCGTCAAAAGCGATACGAGCTTCATCGTCGGTGTGCAGCCTATCCAAAAGATTCTGTACTGTGAAGTTCAGGCTTTGCTTCAGATCCATATCTGGCAGTCGGCGATCCATAGCGACATAGCTGAGCATAGAGTCGACCAACTGGAACATCCTCAACCTTTCGTCCGCGTTGTTCTCGCGCAGTAGTAACATGTGCTGCATGGCAGAAATGAAGTAGTCTTGCGTCCTGCTACCTTGGACTCTGGACATGATGGCGTCGGTAATCTGCATGGGGTCTGTCATGTCCTTGACTTCACCTTCTATACTGTCCACCATACTGTTACCTTCTCGCTGAAGCAGGTCTTCATAGTCGATGGCTTCGTTCTCGCGGAATTTGGCAATCTGCTTGTCGATGACATCGTACTGGAAAGATTCCATCTTCACCAGTATCCGTTTGATGCCACAAGCAATGAATTGCGCCCTGATATGACATCGTAATTGCAGATCACGTTCGGGGGCATCGACCAACATGTTGATCAAAACCAACGTGGCGACGGCATATTCCATCAAAAGGTTTTCCATACCAATACCACCACTTCGAACCTCCTCACTGGCCCCGACCAGACTGCCCATCTTACCTCGGCCGTCGATGGTGACTTCGACAATACGCATCCAAGCGTCAAAGCGGCCATTTTCGTTGATCTGGTTTTTGACCATGTCCATGGCTTGAAGCACCTTCAGATGACCCTGTCCTTGATCCCAGTGGCACAGAAACGTCAACACCTCGCTGACAAGTTTCCGTGTGGTCAATCGTGGTGATATCAGGCACGTGGCCAGCGCTACCAGGATCTGGTCGTGGGTCAAGGCATCATCAGCACCATACTTGTTGTTCATCAGGGCTTTCAGACATTTGACGATGTCGTACTCCCTGTCGAGATCCTTTTCTGCTGAACCAGTGGTGCTGACTGGAGTCGGGCCACTCGCCTGGCGTCGATTAATCTTTAACAAGACACTGGTCAAAGCGACCTGGCCTTGTGCCTCGATGAATGCCTTGACCCAACTGATTGGTTGTGTTCTCAGGCTGACGCTCAAACTCTGCAGTTGTTTCGCAGATATACTATTATCCAAAATCTTCTTGACGTACCATTCAGGAGTGCCCTCGACGTCCCTTGCTGTCGGGCCGTCCATGGTACCCGTTTGGCGAGCCTGCTGTCTTCTCTTTTGTTCGCCCTGCCACTCCGTCAATTTATCCTGATGGACGAGCGTCCATTTCTTCGCGGGCGCGTATGCCATCATCTGCCGTTTCGCTTGCTCGGGCAGATTCTGCCAACCACGCTTATGCATGAGTTGCAAAAACAACTTCTCGATTTCCTCGTCGCTTTGCGGCTTCGGAAGATAGAACCCGGCAGGTGTGAACGAGGTAGTCGAACTGAACGGTGAAGATTGTTGCGCCGGCCAGCCGGCATGCGAACTAAGCTTTGATAGTCGGGAGTGCGTGGGGGACACCACTCCCATCGAGGTATCGGAGTCTTGCCGTGAAGGGACCGCTGTTCTTGAAGATCTGTCGGATGAAAAAAGGCTCGACCCTGCCGTGGCGGACGAGGCAGTTGACTTTATGCTGGCACCGTCAAACGACTTCCGTCTGCTTCCTCCATAGGAGTCACTCGTGGACACCGAATCGTAAGCGCCGTGTTGAGGGCCGTTACTGCTGCCCGGCCGACCCCACTGTTGGTATTTTGTCCCGCGATCTCCTGCCTGGCTCGAAGCCATGGTGACACCGTTGGGGTTCACGTGAGGCGGCGGGCGAGGCCCTGTCGGATGCGAGGCGCCATTCGTCGAGGAAGAACTGAAGGCGGGATACTGATGAAAGTCGGACCCGCGAGCCAGCTGATGCGGCTGCGGCTCTCGTCTCGAGGTGATTTGATCCTCCCGAGGCAGGTAGTCGACGGTCACGGGGGTTTGGGATCGGTCGGTCGCGGAGTAAGGTATCGAGGTGATGACGCCTGCGGTCATGTTGAGGCCGCCCCCATCCCCTTCCTGACCATCGTTCGAGGCGACTGACTCCCTTTTGGAATGCCTAGACGTCCAGGAGCCATTGATGTTTGGTTCTGGTGTAGCTAGGGTCCCTCCTCCTCCTCCATCGTAGCGGCTGTCGGCTTTGTCGCGATGGCGCCTACTGAAGAAGCCTTTGCCGGCGGACGACTGTCTGGAAGCCTTGTCTGATTGCGTTATCGGCGGCATCGTCTCTGCAGCGCAGGCCGAACAGCAGGACGCATGTGTGTGTTGGTGAGATGGCCCAAAACAGGTGCCCACTTCCTGAGACTCGTTTTAGTTTGTCTCCCCCCTCGTTACAAATTCAATGATCGGGCGGCCCAGTATGCGGATGTTTCTATTCCTGCATTGTCCCTGCTCTTTCCCCGGTATACCTCGTTTCTCGTTCTGGCAAGTGGAATCGACGTCCGAGCGTTTCGATGTCGTTTGTTGGACTTGGGGATAAAGAGCGATGGGGACAAAGTAATCGTGCGTGAGAAAGCGGCGAACAGTTCGACGGGGAAACAAAGAATGGCCGAATTGGGTACGGACGTCCGTTTTGTGCCAGCTGCAAGGCGGACAACGAAGGGAAGAATAAAATTCACGAAAGATTAGAGTACCAAAAAAAAAGGCGAAGGAGAGATTGTGTGAAGCCAATGTCAACTGTGTTGTAAGTACGGAGTATAGAATTCTGAATTACGGAGTACGATGTTGAGGCGAGTAATGACAGTGTTCGCGATGGGTATGGCCAGTGGCCAGTGTGCTTGGTGGTGGTTCTGGGTTGCGCAGCCGCTGCCCACTTGCGCTCCCAGGGGTTCGAGCCATTGTACTCGTAGAAGATTCATGGCCTGCATCGGCCTAGTCCAAGTCACTTAGAGGCACTCCGAGGAACCAATTATTGGGCGCTTGAGGGCCTTTTGGACAGCCCCAACTTCTCGCGCCAGGCCTGATACAGCCGGATCACCACCGCTAACCACCACCACCTGGGCAGTTTGCTTGCACGCGATCCTGTCAAATTGATTTCGCTAAGTCCGTAACTCGTACGAGTAGGTACTCGTGCAGACTACAATAACAACAAGTCTCGCCTATTCAATTGTACTAATAGACTACTCCGTAAGAAGCTGACTGTTGACTGTTGGGGACCCTTAACGAGGCATTTCCTCAGTTATCACTGAGACATGGTCCGGAACTCACCTCGGTATCCCAATGCGTGGCTTGCATAAAACTACAGCAGAGCCCAGTAGAAGTACAGATCATCAAGCACATCTCTACCCTGTGCCCAGACCAAGACCAAGGGCTTGACTTCGGGGATTGAAAACAACCTTAGACAGCGTTCTCCGTCCCCCCTACAGAATTCGGCACAATATCTGTACATCACGGAGGACTACCTTAGCTAAGCTCCTCCGTAGTTCTTGCATTATCCGTTAGGCCCCAGTAATCATCTCAAGTGCCCGGGCTGTCAGCAACACTTGAGTTGTGCCATCCTCCTCCCTTCCCACCACTCCCGCCCTCGGACGCCTTCAAACCTTCCCAAGGGAGCCATTGAACGGATATTGCACGGACAGTTAGACCCAATTTCACACGTCCCCCCAAATTGACAGAGAGAACCACTCTGTCTCTTCACGGGCCACTCCGTGCGACCATCTACTACCAGAGTATATATCTATTCCACCCGTGCCCTTTTCCATCCATCGAAGCCGCCATCATGGCGGCGTGATGATGAAATATCTTCGACGTTCCATCCCAGGCACCATCGCCTCGAACAAAGAAACACCACCCGTGCAGGCTGAAGTAACAGCGACAAGCACCGCCACGGCCGCCGCCGACTCCTCCAGCAAAATGGCCGGGTCCGGCTTTCTCAATTTCACAAAGGTAACTTTCCAAAACGCCGTTTTCAAAGAGAACAAGTAGTCTTTTCCAGAGAGTAATCGTCACCACGGACACTGACAAAAGAATTGCAACCGATCCCTATAGACCGTCCTGATTCCGATCTTCATCGCCGCGGCGCTCTACCTCGTCGTCTTCCACGCCCTGTTACCGCTCTACCGCCGCCATCGAGCCCGATACTCGCAATACCTCCCTCTCCAGTCGACCTCGTTGTTGTCCTCCCACTTCCCCGAAGCCCTGCAGCCGTCGTCCGTCCGTGAGCGGGTAATGGGCGTCTTCGTGCGCCTCTTCCTCCCTTCGACGTGGGCGTTCCGCGATCGCTTCCGCCGTCGCGACAGCGTCGTCAGCGCCGACGGCGAGCTCTTCGACGTCGAGTCCGGCGAGGCCATGGTCGGCTTCGACGTCCAGGAACGGAACCAGCGCCGCCACGGCATGGAGCGTCAGGTCTCCAACATGGCCGCCGCCGCCCGGACCGCGAGCCAGCTCCAAGACGCCGCCATGGACTCGGACCGGCGGTTGAGTCGAGAACTGGAAGAGGGCTTCCGGGATGACAGCGAGGACGAAGGAGATGCACCACGAGAAGTCGTGGTTGGGAACAGAAGCACGAGTGGTGGTGGTGGTCGACGGTGATGACAGGTCCCCGTATACACCTCCAGAATAGAGAAAGAAGAAAAGAAGGGTACACTCTCTCTATACAGACGAAAATAATGAATGTCCACTTTTCTTCACCCTCGAATCTGTGTGACATGCACTTGCACCGTCCATGTACTGCTTCATTTACGGAGTATATATCCATCATGCGCTATATACGGCCCTCCCAAGCAAGTGTAAAAAAAGTCCAGCACCAAAGTTGATCTACCAGGAACAGAATGCCCGGCTTCACCAGACGATGAGAACTGGTCAGGTCCGAAGCGTCGCATTGCTCATCACCTCCCTCGGCTGCGCATGCTCAACTCACCGTCAAACATCTTGTCGACCGACAACACGCTTTCATTAGCTAATCGTTGACCGTGACCTTTTCCAGTATGCAGCTTTAGCGGCAGCGACTGAAGAGCACGCATGACTGTTTTAGCACGCCCACATACACAGAGCGACCTCGTAAGCAATGAGAGCCCCTTTAGACACCGAAATTTGGTCAACTCCCTTTATTGAGCATATGAATAATGGACAAGCATGCATGCAACTGCTCGCAAGAAATAACAGAAAGACATATATGTACAGTTGGTCCAGGTAGTGCCATTTCTTTTCATGGCTTGGATGTCAGAAGTAACCCAAATCCAAGCAAGAATTATAACGTCAAACAAACCCAAAAGACCGCCCAAAGTATACAGCTCTCAGAAAAAAGGTGTACACAGGCCTCAAGAAGCATTGGAACCGAACGCTTCGAGGCATAGAAGGTCTAAGAGCTCGCTGTTTGCCGTGATGGTCGCCAATCCAAGGCTGAACCCTCGTTCATCATGAGCACGTCACCCTTTCTTTTCCCAGCCCCTCGCAGAAGTGCGGAACAAGAACAAAAACAGCACCACGCCCTTTTCCCTTGCAGGAATCATCTTCTTCGTGTCATAATATGTCTAGAGATTTTGCAACATGGAAGGTTGGACTAGTTGACTTGGAGCCATCATTGGCTGCGACATGGATTGTGGCATAGATTGCATGACAAGCGTTGAAGGTGGTGGCATGGACATGGCCATCATGCCGGACACGCTTGTAGGTCGAGTGACCTCATCAGGGGATGATAATTCATCCATGGAGCCGAACTCATTTTCTTCGTTTTCAAGCTCCTCTTCGCTTGTTGTGGGAACAGGTTGGCCGTCTTGTTGAGATTCATGCGTACGGCGGTGCCTGGAAATTCATTAGTCCGAGACAATATGGCATCTCAGGGGGGAACTCACTGAGCAAGGTTGTCAGATCGGGAGAAAGCCTTGTTGCAATAAGGGCAGACATATGGCCGTTCTTGAGTGTGGGTTCGGACGTGTCTAGAATGTGTCAGTAGGCGCCAAGGAAAATTAAAGGAGGTCAACATACCGCTTGAGATGCTCGAGGCGCTTGAAGAGTCGCCCGCAGCTAGGAATTGGGCAAGAATGCGACTTGTACGGCACACCAAGCTCCATCATGGTTGCACTTCGTGCTCGTCGGACCGGGCCCGGTCTTTCTAATCGAACTGCAGGACTAGCATGCAACGAAGCGGGATGCATGTCGTCTCCAATGAGGCCAGGCATAACTTCAGAACCAGTCACCATGCCCATGGAGTGCACAGGGTCTTCTTCCAGACTAGCAAGCGGCGTCGTGTGACGTGAATAGTCATTGAGGTGGTCTACCTTGTGGGCAAGGGATGCCGCATAGTTTTGAACCATTCCGGAAGGGGAGTGGTCGCCAGACTCATCACCCTCTGCGATAGGGAGTACGGAGCTGGACATGGAGCGTCGAAGATCACTGGGTCTTTGAGGTACATGTGTCTTCATACCATGAGTAACTTGAGCAACAGCATTGGCAGCGACTGCGTTCATGATTGAAGAAGGTATCGAGGAACGCCTCCTCCGCGCCTTGTATGTTGGGGAACCTTCAATGACCGAATAGACATTTGCAGGTGGGAAAGGACGAGGAGCAGCCGCATAGGTAGGACCTGCCAGAGTAGAGGGAGGCAGTGAAGCCATTGGGTTGTATGCAGGCATAGGTTGCATTTCCGGGATGGCCGAGTAGAGCCCGGTGTCTTCGTTGGCAATGTAGGCTGGTTCCGCGCCAACTGGAACTGCATGCTGAGGAGGGGTAATAGGCTCATACGACAAGCCTCTCGTGCTGTAGTCCTCAAAATGTGAAGAGACAAATGAAGGAGCCGGCGAATATTCCATGTAGGCAGGCATAGAAGCATGTCGCATATGTGAACGGTCATAGGGAAGACCATTTCGATCGTAGCCAATGGTGGAGAAATCCTGTTCCCGTGACATCGCTGTGGTCGTAATGGGTGTTTGCATACCCATGCTGGTATACATAGCAGTTGGTTGCTCCTGTGATCGCGGTATCTGAGCAGGCATCATCTGGGGAGGGGGCATCGAGTCTGCTGCACGAAGAACCGGAGAGGTTGACTGGGAGTAATTCACATTTGCGTTGGCGGTTGCAAATGACGACGAATTGGCTTGTTGGGCTTTTGTCAGCTGTTCAAAGAGGGACTGTGATGAGTCGAACTCAAATGACAGGGCCGGCTCTGCGACAGCCTTCGTGGTAGCTTCCTGACCCATCTTCTCCCGCTTCAGATCTCTCTCCAGGGCGTCGAGGAACAGGCGGTCGTGGGGCACACTGTACCAGTAAAAGACTTTTTGCTTCTTTTGTGTTCGGATGCAGTTGTTCTTGTACAAAAAGTCCAGGAAGGGGCTCTTTGGTTCTTCCAACGAAGCATCCGTGCCCGACTTGAGGTTGCGCAGATCAGAGAAAATACCCTCCTCAAATTTCTTCGGGTTCTTGACCGGGCGGCCAAATGCTTGGAACCGGAAAGACAGACATCTCACGATATCTGTTCCGGAGATGTGGAAGAGGTTGTTCCATAATACACAGGAAACATATTCGCCCGTGGGGAGGAGAAATCTTCGGATCAAAGAATCGGGACTCCAATCCACAGGGGCGGAAATGAGGAAATATTTGAGGTTATCGACTTGCTGCAGAGCGACTTGCGCATCTTGCGGTAAGCTTTGTTGTGCTTCGTTCGAGAGCATAAAAGTCTCGGGCTTCTGAGGCTGGGCCATGGGCGCACCGCTTGAGGGGTACATTGATCGCGGATGGAAATGTTGACGCGACCAAGGGCGGCGGTACGGTGTGGAGGGGTTAGTCGTCACTGACTTTCCCACTCTTGTCACTTCTGCCTATCCACCGGACAAAGCGCAGGTATGTGTGCTCGCAACTTGAGGTTGGTATCGGACCGGAAACGAGTGGTATGAGCCGGACCCAGGATAGCAGGTGCAGAAAGGGGAGGATAGGACAACAGATCTGGCCAGGAAATCGGCGAGGAGCAGGCGGTTGTTATGATGCTCTGTGTATAGCGAACGATGGTGCCGATGATGTAAATGGAGTCAATGCGAGAGACCAGCTTCCGCAGTACGTCCAGACGTGGTGAAGCTCCTGTCTCGAGTGATGGGCAAGCGAGAGCAGGTGAAACGAAAGTGGATAAGGAGAGAAGCTAGCCTCTCCAAGTCCTAAGGGCAAGGCCGAGGACGGGAAAAGAAGGATGGAAAAAGTCGCAGTGCAGGAGCAACGACAAAGTTGAAACAGATGGAGGAGTGATGAGGCTTAAGAAATAACAAGAAAAAAGGGAGGGAGAGTAGTAGTGGTGATGATGGGAACGAAGATGTGCTGGGGTAGTGCTCGTAGAAGGAAAGCCGGGAGGAGTGAGACCAGCCAGTGCGAGAAGCGAGAAACAAGAACGAAAGGGTAGATTAGGTGGACGGCAAGACATTCTCGCTGCCACTGGGCAGATGGGTCTCGTTTTTACTTAAGCTCAGTGACTAGAAGGCACCTCCCATGCCTAGCGGTCTAGCGTTCTAGGGGGGGAGGGGAACGAAAATCGTGGGCCAGGCTAGCGGATCAAGTGGCTAGGGGGGGCCCAGTCCGGGTAAGCTACTGGCCTTTAGGCGCTACTGCCAGCCAGAAAGCACAAGAGGCGGAAAGGGATGGAGACCAGGGTGTCTAGGGAGGGACGACGACGTACAGGGGATCTTTCTCCATTCTTCTCATCCATTCATCGACCAACGCGAATTCGGTCTTCATCTGCCACTCGTCCTGGCACTTCTGCACATCTTCGGTATTGACGAAGACTTGTTTGAGTGGTCAGACGCTGTCCGACCTCCTGCAAGGCACAGGTGCATCCCAACCTGGGGCCATGTTTGCCGCTTGCTGGATGCTGGCATTCGCATCTCTTTGGACTGCTCGCTCTATCTTTGGGGAACGCGCCAACGACTCGGCCAGTAGGCTCTCCGTCTGTCCCACTGACAATGCGCGCTAGAACAGGTACAAGTACAAGTACGAGCTGCTCCACTGTGCCATGATGGGTGATCTTCCAGGCTGCATGCGGCCTATTCATATGCCAACAGTCCATACGAAGTACTGTACACCTCAGCAGGGCCGACTCCGTATATCCTCGGAACACCGGTAGTCCGTATCTCAGTCAGCCCCAGCTCAGCGATATAGTCGGTTGTTGACACAGACACTGCCTCTGATTTTTGGAATGCACATGGGCAATTGCGTATGCCTTTCCTCGACCGATCCTGAACAGTTCGTCCCGCAAGGCGGTACCTAGCAAAGACGAGTTTTGATCGCGGCCACTCTGTGCCAGGATACTATGGACCGATGACCTCCAATCCCAGGCACGAAGGATGTGCCACTACCGCTTCTGATCGCTGGTCCGTAGAATACGATGCAATGCTTAGGCCAAGCAATAACTTAATCGTGACTCCGCAAAGCGACCATGTTCGCAGGTGGGTTGCTATTTTGATCCTGAGGAGGTCCCTGCGCGCATTCCTCATGTTCAGCGTGTCGCTTGAATATGGTCCGTGAAAGTCGAGTTGATGAAACGAGTGGCTGAGAGTTGCAGACCCCGTGGGCGAATGGGTGTACGGCGCACCAGCTGCTTGTCCCGCTCTGGCGCCGAGCCACACTGACCAGTGCCCGGATCATTTTCAAACGCATCTCAAACAAAGGCCGCCAAAAAGGACGCCCAGTTTCATCTGTGAGCTTAAATCATCATACAGAGGAGGCATGGGTACCCGGTTTTGCTTACCAGGTACAACGTTGACGACCTGTCTGAGCTACTCCATAGTGAATGCTCACTCTCATGCACGATGACTGCAGTCGGATTCAGCCACCTATGGCGTCCTAAGCTGTCCTAACAGAATCTAGGATATGCTCCGAAGTCACCATGGATTCAACTGACAAGTGCCCCCCCTTTTATTGGAAAAAGGCGAAGGACTAGGATAACTATCTTGAGTGGACTTTGACACCCAAGACCCGCCATCGCATAAGCGTAATTGAGGTCACAACAACAGATTCTGCGCGACTGTCAACGGTCAATGGTCAGTCGCATTTACGAAGGGGCCATCTGTAATTGTGGCAAGCACTTCGGCAAGTGTCCAACTATCCAGCTTTACAAAAGGGGCTGCATGTAGGATGGTCGCCGTATATAACACAAATGTTTGGTCGAGCGCAGGCGCAAAAGAACGCGATCAGCCCGAAGCGATTGGAGGGCACCAGAGTCGACTCAGAGACCCATGGACAAATCAATCCGTAGCACACGTGACGGCTCGCTCATCACGAGGAGCATGGGCTTTTCTCCTCCCCTATCACAAGCTTAACAGGATGTGGTTTCCTGTGCTTGTCACAGTCATCTCCACAAATGGACTACTGTGACTATTGCTCGTCTTGTTGCTCGCCTCGCACATTGGCGAGCGACGAACCCTCCCTGTCTCCAATGGCCGTAAAAAGGGGCTCCACCACGAGCTGTGATGGCGGCCTCGACTACGCCGACGCTTTCTAGATTGGCATCGTCAATTCCAGGCGGGCGAGCTCGCTTAGACAACAGTTTCATGTTGGGATGCGAGGGACATGGCAACATCGATGCCCTTGCGTTTCCCTCTTGAGGGATTGGTCTCTCCAGAATCTGCAATGCACGCGCCGTCAGCAAGATGGCGCTACGTTTCAGATGTAATTCTCCTGCTGCAGCCGCATTGGTCGACGCCGAACCAAAGCCCGCCACCGCTGTCGGCTCAGATGTCACCGTACTTCGAGACGTCCTGTTTTTCTCCGTAATTATTGCGATTGGACTTTGAACCCCGATCGAAGCACGCACGGTGGTCATGCTGCACATCATCTTTGCATGCGACTGCGCTTCTTCTCGTACGAGGACAATCATGCTCGATCTTCCAGAAAGCATTGGCACATATCGTCGCATTTGAAGCCTCTAAAGAACTTAAGAAATGCGACTGCCATAAACCTGGCCGAATTGTCCAAAGCCTGAAACTAGGCACAGCGTGCTATGTAGTGGCGTAATTGGTACCAAAGCCCTTGATCCTGGCAAATCTCCGACAGTCAAAATCAGTCCGTCCTGTCCGTGAGAACGCAGGGTCACGTCGCAGAGACACCAAAGCGGTCACTGTCCATCACAACTTACTGGTTTGGGACACCCTGCAAGCTCCGCCACCACGGATAGACCACAACCGAATGATGGTGAGACGCTGACGATAGAGAGACGGCTGAGGGCTTTGTTGGGCTCTTTGGCTCGGAAGACCAACCTTGCTACGGTGGCGAGAAGTCCCGAGGCTGAGGCAATGGTGCAACAGCAAAGAATGTTCTTCGACCGAGCCAGCTGCCGTCGAGGCCAAGTCGATGGGGGGCACGTTTCGAATCGCCCATTTCAACCAGTCATGATATTCAACGTCACTCCGCTAATGACAAATGCCAGCCCTGGCTAGCCACTCTCCTGGATAGATGTCATGGGATTCCAAGCTGTCCAAAGGATTTACAGCATCCAGGCTGTGAAAATAGCTTCAAGCCAGTTCAAAGATCCTGGCACAAGACGAAACAAGCCCCTCCATACAGCCTTCCAAGCGGATAGGAGTTCGGTGGAGAGCGAGCGGCCTGCCACGCATGAGATGTTTTTCTCAAGGGCTGTCATGTCTCGAGCAGTTAATGACGCTTTTGACGGGTATTGCGACCACCTCCCCGGCTTGAACCTTGGATGTCGAGGACATCCTTCCTGCTAAGTTTCAGGGTGCCACTTCGGAATCTACCTACTGCAGGGTTATCGACGCCTCGCTCCCTCCGGTTCGTAGCCCTGGCCTCTCCGGACGGCTTCTCCAGTATGATACCATTCTCCTTGGCCTCCTTTCTGCGCAGTGCCTCGCGGCTTGTCGCCTTGGTCACAATACCCACTCGATGTGATCGGGGCATGTTCTTCTGGTGAAACAGGGAGTCTTTAGACCCCAATGACCTCATTCGCATATCAATGGCCTTATGACGCTCTGCCCCGGGCATTGTCGACGACTTCGCCTGTTCCAGCAAGTGGGATTCTTTCAGTAGCCGTTGAAGATCGAGGTCATGTTTCAAATTTTGCGCTTCCAATGCGTCATCTTCTCCGACTGCCGCCTTGTCGGGCGTTTTCTTCGTCGCTCGCTGTAAGTCCTTGGGTGGTTTTGAACTCTTTTGTCTTCGGTTAACATCTCTCTGTCTGGGTGAGCATCATGACTCACCATGAACGACTTGTATTGCCGCTTGTGAGAGTCGAGCTCCTCTGCATCTTGCGCCGTAGCGTTGTGCTCAACAACAACCACCACCTCTGCATCTTGCTGGCCTGCATCTGACAGACCTTCCCACGCCGACTCTTCACTTGTAGCCTCACTGTTTTCGTCCTCCAAGTCCTCGCCTTCGCTTTCGCTCTCATCATCCCCTTCTGGATGCGAAGAAGGCTTCATCTTCGACTCGGGCAGAGGTTCAAAGGCAGATTCGAAATATTTTCGAAAGAGGTCTTGACTTGCATCGGCGCTCGTTGTAGGAGTAGGGTTTTCGTCGTCTGTCGAAATGCGCTCTCGTCGTCGAGGAGCGACCGCAACTTCTCGTTTCCGCTTGCCCAGCATCGTTGCTACACGTTTTTCCGTGATCAAGACGTAATTAGAAATCTCTGTTGTCGAATGTCTAGTCTGTAGCAAGTAGTCATTCACCCGTCAGGTGAAAGGATGAGTTCGTTACATCGAGTTCACAGTCGGAACCTCTGCGCCTACGAAATAAAAATTATTGCGAGGACAATTCATTACGCAGGCGCGGAAATAGCCGTTCCAGTTAAGGAAAGGCGGCCGCTCATGCGTTTATTCGCTGCCGAGGTGCCACCACTAGGGGCCATCTTTCCGGGCTTCATTTTTGGGACTGTGTACAATCTTCCATTACAATTGAGATAAGAAGAACCGCCTGATACTCTGTACTGCTCTAAAATATCGTCTTTTACAAGGGCCGGTGGGGGCATTCGGGGATTAAAAGCGCCTGAAAGTCATGTGCCGAGAAGGGTCTTATTGCCAGACGACATGCTACCAACCTGCACAGTGCCACGAACAGAAGTAGTCACTGGACAGTGAAATACCTGGATAAATGGTAACTCGTTATACATTATCTTGATTCCACTTTACACAGTCCTCGAACCTGGCTCCACTGCCTCCAAACACGTCCAGTGCGCTACCGATAGTCAAGTCAACTTTGCCATCACTACATTGCCTGACGAGGCCGAGGTCGTCGACTGTCCGGGCGCCACCGGCGTACGTGACTGGAATGGTGCACCATTCGGCCAATTTGCGAACGAGGTCCGTGTCAATCCCTTGTTGTAGACCCTCGTTGTCCGCGGCGTGGATCAGGAACTCGCAACAATATGGCTCGAGCATGGAAATGCTCTCTTTTTTTGGCTCGTTAGTATGATTGGTTTCACAGAGGATCGGCGCCTGGCGGAGGAAAACAATACCTTTCGTGATCTCCATCTCAGTAATGGTCTGCCACTTGTCCATGGCGACGAACCAGGTATCTCCTTTCCGTCTACAGCTCAGGTCGATGACGAGTTTGGACGGGTCACTGCCTAGGGATGAAAGGACGGATTTCAGACGTTCCAGCGAGAACCGGCCGTTGGGGAATAGAAAGGAAGTTATGATGACCTACTGCTGCGTATTAACATTCGCATCCCAGACAAAACCCAATTAAAAAGGAAAAGGGCTTTTTCGGTCTATCGGCCGTGTTACGTTCAACCTACCTTTTCAGCACCAGCGTCAATCCACTCTTTGGCGTTGGTGTTGTTGATACCGCCACCAACCTGAAGATGGCCGGGCCAGTGAGCGAGTGCTTCTTTGGCGGCAGCATCATTGCCGGGGCCGAGCATTATAACATGGGCACCGAGCAGGTTGGCCTCGCGATATAGCTGGGCAAAGTAACCTGCCGGGTGTGATGACACATAATTCGTCTTCAGGTCGGACTCTTGCGTGCTGAGTGTGCCGCCCACGATTTGCTTCACTTGCCCCGCGTGCAGGTCAATGCAAGGGCGGAAGCGGGTCATTACGGACGAAGTATAGGAAGAGATTTCATGCGAAATATTGGAATTGTAGAGAAGAGAAGAGCGTGCCAACTTGAGTAACTGGGGCTGTTCCTTGCGTAGCGCGGGACAGAAAATTTCCAAGTAAGCAGGTTAGCCGACTTAATTTTCAGCCTTGTCAGCCCGTATGACGAGGCTGAGATATGAGTATGCACATCCTTCGTCGGCGATGATGAGGAAGCCTTGAACTCTGCCATGTGATTTTAGAAGAAAAGGGTTTCAAGGTTGGAAACTGATTAGCCTATATCGAGAGTTTATCTCACTGGCGCGTGTATCGGTGTGAGCTTCCTATAGGCAGTATGCAGTGTGTTGACTACACGGCGAACAAAAAGAGTCAATGGAGATTCAACACTGGCGACATCGTAGCAGGCGGCGGCTAGTTAATTACGAAATTGACTACGTATCTATATGATATATGTCCTACCTTTGGTCGAATCACCTCCCATTGAGAAGCAAGCCCGTGACGACAGGAGCCAGAGATCACTCTTATCTCATTTACAGATAGCTACAAGATCTTTGGTTGCGAAGCACATTCTAACCAACATTGCTCCGAGAAGAGAACAAAGCTCGAAACTAGTTTTGGTTGATTAAGATATCATTGATGGACTACCTAATGAAGGGTCCGTGTTCTGTAAGAAATACATAGGTTCCAAGCTCATAAAACCCGCAAAACGTGCCAGGTGTATTCAATGCTCATTACTGTCATGAAACCGACCACTTCTCCATTGAGTGTTGAAGAATCTTTAGGTAGAATTGAGCAAAGGAGACATGGTGGATCGAGTCGATCGTCTAAGACGCTTAGTGAGTAGCAGCCTGCTTGTTGCCCTCAGCAGATGCCTATCAAGGATTGTTAGTTGCTGTCAAAGAAAGATGCCTTTGATCAACTTACGGAGCTCTTGCTCTCATCAAGCTTGTCACCGACAGCGTCCTTGGCGGCAGAAGCACGAGTTCCAAGAGACGCATCGGAGTCCTTGGCGACGTTCTTGTTGGCCTCCTTGGAAGCACCAGAGGTGGCTTCGTTGACCTTGTCAGAGACGAAGCTGCGACTTATGTCAGTACGATAGTCCAACACGGTGAGGTTGAGTAATTTGGGCATACTTGGCGGTGTTCTTGATGGTATCCATTGTGATGGGTTGGTGTGTTGATTTGCTTTGGTAGAAGGAAGACTGTTTTGATTGGGTTGAAGATGATTCGAGAGGTTGTGGTGATGGGAAAAAATGAAAGGAGAATTGGGGGAGAAGAAGAGGTACTTATACGAGTCTTGCAAGCAGGTGATAGAGTTCCAAACTGCTCCGTGCCTGCTGCCTTTACCTGGACAAGTGAATTGCCCCGCGATGTTCCTGCCACTTACTCGCATCTCACCCTTTTGACCCCACCGGTTCCAGGCGGTACTGCTGTCTGATTGCTTCAGATGACGGTCACCGAGGCAAACCGAGCTCGAACCCAGCATCTAGTCCGTTTCAGGTTCTCTGCCATTCAATGCTTATGACGTGGTCGAGGCAGGTGACAAGGCGACACAACGTCCACGGCCAGAAAATGCGATATTGTTCTGATGTCATGAGCCAATGCCGCCATCGACTGGCCAATCAAAGCAGCTTCACCGCCACAAGCCTTCTCCACTCGTCTGTGGCTCGACGAGGCGCGATCGCATCTTACTGGCTACGTCACACTTCGTACGCGATCTGGCGGTTCGGATCTTGAGTCCGCCCATACACCGATCGTGAGTTCATCATGACGATCTCGAGCATCATCGTCACTATTTGTCTTGAACAGGTGGGAGTGATTACGACTACGACGAATTGAGTTACTCTGCAGGTAACAAAGCAGGCCGCGAGGCAGCATGACGCATTCGCTCACATGTTCATTTTTGCAGGATGAGACGTGGATTCTGTTCGGTTCGGCTCACGGAACACTCGTAACTCGTACTTCACATCAACATTGTCTCAAGACGATTTGAAGGCATGTGAAAATACAACTATAGTGATGCATCCCGAATTGGTCCACCATTGATACTGTGTGTGGTGATTCTCAAATAGTAGCCATCAGGATCCGTCAGCCTCAAGTCCTTCAATCCCCATGGCTGCATAGCAATATCAGCATCCAACAACCAGCCTTTGCTCACGATGACATCTCTCTCATGATCCAAATCGTCCACGGCAAACACAAGCTCAATTCCTTGATTCGGAGAACGATACAACTTCTTCTGCTCGACTGTATCGGACGATTGTGTTTCGACGGCTCCGATGAAGATATTGTCACGCTGAAGGTAGGCGTATGTACCTTCGCGCTTGAGCAGCTGGAATTGCAATACGTTCGAGTAAAAGTCGATCATGCGCTGAAGATCAGAAGGGAAAATCTCGATTCTCAATGAAGCCGGCATGGTTGTAAAACACAAGATCTTCTAGGTATATTCGTTATGATGGCCTTCTAGCAGTATTGGAATAGTTCCCAACCGCTTTGTCTACCTAAGGTAGGCATCTCTATGAAATTGATGGCTTTTATCGACGGGTTACCATCGCTGCGACTTTGTCAGCTAGACGTTCTAGATCGGCCTATAGCAGTTAGCTGCAGCATTCTTTAGCATCACTGAACTAATGTACCGGAGATCAGCCAGCAAGTCACCAATCGTCCTGGCCGTTGGCGGTGGTCAACGCTGTCTTGTTTGCGAATCAGAATTGGCCATCTGCTCCAAGGTCAGAACATCCCCCAAGGTTACAAATCAGATGGATAGAAAAAGCAGATGAATTGCTTACTAAATATTCCGTAGATACTTCAACAACTACTAGGCTCAGAACGTCCGATTGCCAAGAACCAGCTCTCATATCTTATGTTCGTCAAGGAACTCCAGCATCAGCCTCCCAACTTCCTTGGTATGACTCTCGACCAGGAAATGACCACCATCCAATAAGACAAGCTTTAATTTCTTCGCGTCTCTCTTGAACGCTTCGGCTCCAGCTGGTGGGAAGATGATGTCGTTCTTGCCCCATACTGCCAGAACAGGAACCTGGCTGGTACGCAAATACTCCTGAAACTTTGGATACAAGGCCACGTTGGTTCCATAGTCCTTGAACAAGTCGAGCTGAATCTCTTTGTTTCCAGAGCGGGACAACAACGCATAGTCGAGGTGATAGGTCACCGGATCGTCAATCTTATCTGCGTCAGGCTCGCCATGCAGATACTGACTCTTCGTCGCCTCCAAGCTAAGAACTGCTCCACTGACTGCTTGTCGAATCGACCTCTCTTGATCGGGGTCAGAAGTGGCCCAGAGTTGGCGTAATGGATCCCAAAAAGAACTCAAGCCTTCCTCGTATGCATTTCCGTTTTGAGTTATGACGGCAGTGATCGCTTGGGGGCGTTCCAGTGCAAGTCGGAAGCCTGTGGGAGCTCCATAATCGAAGACGTACACTGCGAACTTGGATATCTTCAGGACATCAAGGAACGATCCAATCGTCGTCGCAATGTTGGCGAATGTATACTTGAAGTTCAGCTTTTCTGGGACTTCGGTGAAGCCGAACCCAGGCAGATCGGGCGCGATTACATGATACTTTTCGGCGAGGATGAGCATGAGGTTTCGATATTGGAAAGATGAGGCAGGGAAGCCATGAAGCAGAAGGACGGTTGGATTTGAAGCCGAGCCGGCCTCGCGATAGAAGACGCGGATTCCATTGGGTAAGGTGGTGTACATATTGACGGTTGCTTTAAGATAGTGGTGGTCGTCACTTTCGGAAGTTGATTTGGAGTCCAAGGTAAGGATGTGTAAATCACTCTCTGGATGAATGTCGAATATCAAAGGATCAAGAGCAACCCTCTTGGGTCTATATACCTACCTTTTTCGAGTGCCGCCATCGTCAAAGCCACGCTCAGCAACGAGCGATACATAGACGCCGTTTCCCATATTGGTCGTCATCTTACTAACCCAGTCGCTGATGGGGACAGGGTGTGAGTTTGCTGTCACACTGCTATATGGATTGGGTGTCGAACTAGGTGTCACAGTTTACTCAATCACTGACGCGTCATAACGACAAAAGCGGCGGAGGTCCTTCAACATTTTTAAAAACGGCCTGATTTCCATCACACAACGGCGACGATTTCCCTCCCAAAGAAGAAGTCCAGCTGACAGGTCTCTAAAGTGGCATTGTTTCCTACCCGGGAAGGATCAAGATTACACCATGTGCAGCATCAAGCCTCCAAACTGACAGCACGAGCAAGTTCTCGTAACTTTCTTAGCTTATGACCCAGATCTCATTCCGTGTTACAAACGCTTACATTGTGGACGCTAAGGTATCTGGCCACGCTCTAAGGAGAAGAACATTACCTGCCGTTTGCTCATGGTCTTCTTGCCATTCTAAGCACATTCTTCCTACAGGACGGCTTGCCCAGGCAGTCGCTTTTACCTGGTAAGCCAGACGTGTGTTTTCCTCGAGTCTGTGACAGGAGCTGGCTATGTTTCGTGCAACCCGAATTTCATTTTGTACTGATTGATTCAACTGACCGAGCTACATGTTTACAACTTGTGCCTCTTCTCTCCACTGGCGAGTTTTCGGAACTCTTCCTGCGGCGCACCCTTTACGAATCTCGCCATGCCTTCCATGACTTCCCTGACGCCTTGAGCCTCCAATGTCTCGAGGAAGGGCCTCCGGATCAGTTCCTTGATCTTGATCAGACTCTCCTGATTCAAGTGCTCGCCGAGCTTATCCTGGACCTCGTCCAAGACTTGCTTCAAGAAACCGTCGCTGTCGTTCTGGTCCTTTCCACTAAACACTTTGGTTATGAAGCCACATGCTACCAACTCCTCGCACGGGATCTTTCTCGACATGATAAGCGCCTCATTGGCCTTCGCCAGACCCAGACGTTGCACGAGCCCGATACTCGCGCCGCCCTCGGCCACCAAACCGAGCGACGAGAAGGGCGTGAGCAGGAACGTATGTGGCGTCGCGTACACAAAATCGCAGAAACCCAGCACTGCCGCTGAAAGACCGACGGCCGGACCGTTCAGTGCAGCCACGAGGATCTTGGGATGTGTGTAGAAACTCCTGGTGATGTCGAGGTTGTTGCTCACAAAGCCTTTGAGTATGTCATTCCGTGCTTGATCTTTGCTTATACCCGGTCCCACACCAGGTCGTGTCGTCGTCACGTTTGCTCCGGCCGAGAAGAAGCGCCCTGATCCAGTGAGCAGGGTGATGGTGATTTCTGGATCTTCGGCGATTTCGCGCAGCAGGCAAGAGATGCGGTAGTAATAGGCTTGGGTCATGGCATTGAGCTTTTTGGGCTGCGAGAGCGTGATGATGGCCACGCGGCCTTGTTTGCGGTAGAGAACCGCTTCTTCGGGGCTCGCCATGGTAGACATTGTGGTAGCAGTCAACGAATGATTTGTAGAGGGAGGGAGACAGTCGAGTTCGTTTGTTCTATCAAAGGGAATGGACACGGCGCAGGACGAGATATAGAAAAGCAGGAGAGGCAATGTGAGGATATAGGTGACTTCCAAGGATCCCTCGGTTATCCAGTTTCTCAACAAGCAGGATCAGTACCTGGATTGAACAGTAATCAATTGGCGAGGGCTGAGAATCTGCGGAGAAGGAGATTCTGGAGATCAGAAATACCGGCTGAACCGAGGTTCAATCTCAGCGTTCAGTGACAACTTGTTTCCGCTTGGGGAACGGGAGTTCAGCCTCGCCAGCGATCTCAGCCTTGCGGCTCTTTCGACATTCAACTATAAAGCGCAACAGGCAGGGAAGAACGACTTCAAACCAGGAACCTGTAGGGAGGTTGTTTGGCGGTCTACGGACATTGAGCCGCGGTACTATCTGACCTATTCGTTTTCATCGTGCTATTTGCAACTGCGTACACGATCCAACAGCCACTGTGCATGTTCGATTCCGCTCCATTTCTGGTGCACTAACCCGTGAATCCCAAGCCCATTTCACCTATGTCAACATCCCTTCCTTTTTGAAACCGACGGGACCGCTCGGGTGCCATTTCCACAGTAGACCGGAACCCTTGCCAACGAGACACTTTCGAGCACAGAGTCGCACTATGCGATATCGGCCGTGAAGCACTCTTGAATTCCTCCAAACTCATGGACCCAGTCCAGTTGAAAGACCAGTTCATATTATAGACGACGGCCTTATCGGGATAATTCTCGTTGAATAGTTTCGGCAAGTCGACTAGCAACCTCAAAGTCTAGCTGCCAGGTTCAGCCCCGAGGAGCTCAAGCAAGGGCTTAATTTGGGTCACGGCCTCGACACCGATAGTGCCTCGACTGGATTGCGGGATGTCATAAGAGAAAGAACGGTGGCTAACTCACCGGTTTTGGGGACAGGTTATTCCCGCGTCATGATTGAAGAGTCGGGCGAAGCACAGGTTTACTGAAAAGGTATGCCATCAAATATGTTGTTGACTGACACCGTGGCGGGCTATTGTGGTTCGACTTACACATACCATCTAAGAAGGGGTCTCTTGATTTCACAATCCACCAGACCTCGAGAAACACTTGGGCACTCCTTGGATGGAGAGCCTCAAAAGAGAGGGAATTCATCTCTCTCAGCGCAGGTCAGTTCTTGTCGACGGAGCGTCGACCGATAGATGGTCGACCTCGTTTTGAATTAGCCAGAGGAAAGAGATTCAAGTGCGTGAAGACGATTTTCCAAGGACCTGATATGATCGCCCGCCTTGATTCCACTTGCACGTTCAGCATATTGCGGTGTGCCTTGTGTTGTGTACGGAGCATTCCCGGGCCAGCGTCGCGGATGGTCAAACTCATAGATTGTAGAGCACCGGCGTTGAGAGAGTGCGAACCACGCTATGACCGCAAGGGGAGATTGTAAATGACCCAATAAACAAGTTGACTGTATCTAGGTATGTTTGAGAGTGTGCTCGTACGGGGAGCTATCGATCGAAGGTCAAGTGGCGTGGGGTGTGGTCTTAGAAGTACAGTAAAAGCGGCATGGGTACGACTAGTTACATCTGAGCGAGCACACCACCACCCGGGCGAGCTGTTTTTCCCAGAGCAGTCCTTTTAATTTTCTAGAAAGTACAGTATACAGCCAAAGCACAGCGGATTTTACGGTTTGGGGGGACAATCATTCTCTGCAATATACCAGCGACTGGATAAATCTGAGGCCCGTATCAATCCTTGCTGGTGGTTGCATTACACAAGACACATCAGTAAACAGGAACAGAGAGTCTCCGCGAGTGGACGGAAAATGGTGTTCAACTACATCCTGCGGTCTCTCCGCGGGACGAACCTCGAAGTCTTCAAGGTAATTTTGTCAATGTTTTGAACTTTGTTCAATGTTGTTCCTGGGCTAACATGTCGACGACACCAAAAGTTTGGAATGTACCTCGCCTTCCCCATTGGATACATGTACTACTTTGGCACGAACCTGGAAAACCGATTCTCCGTGCGCGGGTTTTGGCCGACGCAAGAACAGAGCCACAAAATCCCGTTTGAAAAGGACGAACTCGAGGCCGAAGTACAGCGAATACGCGAGAACATGAAGAGGCAGAACGAATGGAAGGCGGCGCAGGCGCAGGCGGCGGCGGCGTCCTCGGATCAGCAGCAACAGCAAAACCCGTCGCCATAAGAGAAGACTTGATGCAATAGTTCAAAGGTCTAGAGTCTAAAATGTGAATACGACTTGAAAGGGAGAGCAGATCAATGCAAAAGAGCCCGGGGCTCTCGATACCCGTCTCCCTCCGTCCCAAACCCCTTCAGCTCCTGGTCGAGAACGTCCAGCGGGATCACTTTGAGACCCCTTTCGCAGGGCATTGAACGTCATACCGCATCTTGCGACAACCCTAAACGATGACCAGGTGATGTATACGCGCCTCGAGCGCGTGTAACGTGGCTTCCCGAGGAGAGTACACTGACAATCGCATCGAGTATGCGAAGGGAAAGCGTCCAAAGCGTAGGGAGGGAAAGTGATATTTACTCCACTCAACCCAGGCTCATATCGTGCCGGCGGCGTAACAAAGTTATGTCTACGCAAACACCTGCAGAGAGACGACCATCGCGCATGGGGATGAATTTTTGAGCTCGAGGATGAAGAGCTTCATGATTCTTGTATTATCACATATCTCAAAAGGCAGACAGTTGTAGTATTATTGAAAACATCACTACCAACGCCCATGTTGTCCATGCATTCTCCGATTGATTGTTTTCCCTCTTTTGGACCAGAAAAAAAGTATAGAATTCACGTCACCAACAGTATCTCATTTCACAATTCTTTCGCAGCGGTCGTGACGGAACCGACGAGGGATCGTGAGCTCGATAACGCCGTCAAGCCATCCGCAGTACTTCTAGACCCTGCAGTGAGGTAAACGCTCTGGTTTCCTCCTCCAGCTACAGCTGAATAGGCGAGTTCACCCTGCAGATAATACCATACACGGTTGTAGATGAGGAAGACATGGTCGGGGAGATAGTAGTAGGCTGCGGTGACGAGGAGAGAGACGAGCATGAAGAGTATAAAGTCTGGAAAAAACGGATTAGCCCATCGCAAGAAACAGAGGAAAGAAGCGTGGGAGTCGTCGGTCCCCAAAGGGTGGGCGGCGCATACTGAAGACGAATTTCTCGGTCGGCGTGAGCATGTACAGTGAGAAGGTCACCTCGTACTGATACTTTTTCAACTGCAGCCATCGCACAAAGGACGACAGGTACGAGGATTTGTTCTCTCGGGTGGCTTTGGAGTGGCCGGACATGTTGTTGACGGTGAGCGTCGGCATGGGCATGTATGCGCGTTGTCTGTGCTGTTGACAGGATTCGAAGATTGCTTTTGCCTGATTTTAGGTGAAGGGCAGAAAGACGTCTGGAGATTGGAATATCAAGGACGGAAAAGACGGGTCCGATCCCGCAATCAAGCCAAATCAAAACGAGCGACAAGGCGGGCAGGCGTAGGAGGGCAAGGGGGGAGGCGTTCAGGTGCGAACGTGGTTCGGATTGGGTGAATTCGTGAGAGTACAGTTAAAGATACGAGTTTGGTGTAGTAGGTGTGTTTGTCGGGGCCGCCACGATTAGGGTGAAGAAAGGAGTCGGGCTGAGATTGGAGCAGAAATCAACTTGGATTCGGTGATCGCTGCTTTAAAAAAGGACCCTCAATTGACGAGAATTAATTACGGAGAAGTTATGATTCTTTATTTTTAAAGCCAGTATACTGTATGTACAATATTGTACAAACAGGACCTAGATCTACAATGAATTCTTGTACACGTAGAGATAGATGCCTGACTAGGTACCCATTACTACCAACTACCCATTAATCTCTCCTCCTGCGTGGCTGTTTTACTTCAGTCACTTCGACTTCCTATCCCAGAGAATCCTTCGCCAGCGAACGCATCTGCATGTTTCTCATTCCGCGCGCGTGGCCAAGGACGCGACTCGGAGTCCATCTTTTATCTTGCATGAGAGCGAACCGAAGTCCGGCCAGGTCTTTGATCTCATTCGCACAAAGCAAACACATGCCAATCTAGCGGCCCGAAACATCAGCAAACACCTAATAAACATGCAAAAGCCAGTCTAGACCGATCCTGATTCTGATTCTATAGTGTTGTCTTCTTTGTTCATCAATCATATGTACAGTAGGCAGCCGCTCAAAGATGCGCAAGGGGCCTTTCAATGGCACATGGTACACCCTGTGAGGTCCCTACCGATTATGATCGGCCTTGATGACCTCTGGACTCCATCGCTATGTGGCTTTTTCCCAATCTCACAACATACAGAGGGCATGACACTGCTCGGCGCTTATGGATGCCTCTGACAGACCGAATGAGGGCCAACCTGCATAAACTTATCGAGTATGACAATCCCCCCGGCTCGGATCGGGTGTCGTTTTGTCTTCCGAGACCGTCCAACATGTTCACCTCGATCAGACCCAAACAGGCTATATGTGTCTGTGTCAGTCCGGGCCATCGATTGTTGCTTAGAAGGTGCTCAAAAAACATCCTCTGGGTCAACCTTGAAATTTTCACCGTTCTCTCTGACGTGGATTCGGTCCTTGTCCCTGTCCAGAGGTTTTCGCATGTCCAGGGCATCCTCCCCATCCTGAGAAACGCCTGTCGGGTCATCCGCATAGTATCTGACCACGGTACGGTAGGTCGAATAACCCATGGTTTCGTACATTTTGATGGCATTCGTATTACTTTTCCGTACAAAAAGATCTACGAACCAGGCGTTCTGTGCATTGCAAGCCTTTTCAAGAGACTCGCTCAGAAGCTTGCCATATCCGAGCCTCCGGTATTGCGGTGCTATTGACAGAGCCGTGATATGGCCATGCCATGGCAGGAAGTGTGGTGTGCCTCTGGATAGATTCTTCAGGCATGGCTTCAGCTAAAAGAATAAGTCGAATGAACTTACTGTAATTGTGCGGGTGATGTTTCAACTTTCCCGATGATGTACCCTACAATCTGACCGTGCTCTTCGATACACTGAAATAACGAAGGCCATCTCATCAAGTAGGTCAGGTAGAAATTCAAGTCGTAATTTTCAGTATATGGATCCAGGTTGCATAGGTTAAGATGCAGTAGATCTGACGGCTGGACTCTTCGGATGATAGGCATGGCAGATCGATTGATTTATATTTTTCCGAGTTCAGCTGATGAATCTAGCGCAGACGGTGCCGCAGTCGACTGGCCTCGGTCGTACACCTCAGGCATATACGAAGTACCAGCAGAGAACAAAAGTCAACCTTGGGTGATGCCTAGGACAACGAGGGCGATTTAAAAAGTCTGTCCGAATATTGAGGGGTTTGCTGGTGAAAATACGAAACGAGCCGTTCCGTGTGCCAGTGAAATTGGGGCTAAATAAAGGTACGACAAGGCCGTATATTGAGGTTCGCCATACAACAGCGTTCGTCGCAGCCGATTTAGACAACCTCAACATCAACGGTGATGGATGCTTTACTTTCTTGAAGACTCCACCATCACACACCCTGCATGCTTTCTTGCTCATGAATATATTCTCGCATGCCCCCCTCGGACTCTTTCGAGTTTTGTAGTCTTTTTTGTCCTTGCATATTATGCACTTTCGCGCATTTACGGATAGACCATGACGGTGACATCTCCGCCAGTCTCCCCTACGACGCCTTCTTCGCGAAAGCGCAGGTCGCTCAGACTATCAAGTGTCGATTCCCTTTCCCATGAAACGATTTCGACGAGTCCATACACGAGCGGAACGACCAATGGCACGGCCTATTCCAGACGATCGTCGCGCACCTCGCAGACATCCTACCAGCCACGATCTCCCATGACGCCGCGACCCATGTCGGCCAAATCCTCGAGACCACCTTCACTTTCCATACAGCGCAGGGCGAGCCGCACAAGCATACACAGTGCTCGGAGTTTGGAACAAGGCGAGAACGGGCTCGGGAACCTGGCCGACGAGCTAGAACAAGCCTGGGACGACGGAGAAGAAGAAGAAGGCGAATCGAATTTCTTGGAAGGATTGAGAGAAGGTGACGTGGAGCAAGATCACTCCTTGCATGGGCTTCAGAGTCCCTACGCCATCAACGACATGCACGACTTCGGCTTTGGCATGGTGGTGCAGAGTCCGCATCCGGCGCAGTACGACGGAGCCTCGCCGGCCTTGCAAGTACCGTCGTCGCAAGCCATCGAACTGCGGTCACCTACACACCCGAAGAGAGGACACCAGAGACACGAGTCCGCCTACGATGGCTCGGATTACGGGCCCGAGTCAGACGCGGACGAAGAAGAAGAAGCGACGCTCTCGCCGATTCTTCGAAAACGGATTCACGACATCCAGAAGTTGACCCGCATGTGCGTGAACCCAGAGGACGCAGTGAGTGAAGGTGGTGGAACGATCAAACGGACCGTCAAGGGGTTGAAAGATCTCGGCCCGCAAGGAAACATCGAGTACGGAGTCACGCGGTTGATCACGGCGTATGCGTCGATGGCGTCGCATCGCACCAACAAAACCCGGGACCTGTTCACGCAGAGCCACTCGCTCATGTACGGAGGGATCCTGCACCTCCCGGAAGAGATGATAGACGTCCTCCTGGAGGAGATCAGGGAGCTCAACTCGACCTTGCCGTTCCTGCGCCCCCAGAATCCGTTGCTCTCCTTGCAGATCCTCGCCTCACAGACGGACGAGTTGAGCCAGACACTTCGCTCGCTCACAGACCTCCTGCAAGAGTCACGGCTGGCCGCCAACGCCGCCACGCGGAAACTCAAGTCTGTGCGCGATATGGTCGAGGACATGAACGTCGAGGACGAGCTGGTGGAGAACAGCATCATGTTGATTCAGGCGGGCGACTGGGATCGGCGGTGTCGAACCCGTCAGGCCGCAAAGACGTGCCAGGAAGTTTGTGAGGGATTCGCCGACCGATGGGGTCTGACTATGGATGTGGACCTGACGGCGAAGAAGAAACCACCACCATTACCATCACCAGAAGTTTCGGTACCGTCGTGAGATTACTGGTCGGTCGTTGTTTGTCCGTTATTCGTGCGTTGTGGGTTTTTTGTTTCCTTTCTCCTTTTGATGAGTAATTAGAGCATGGAGTACGAGTACGACTAAAGGACCCTTTTTTTTGTTCGTTGTGTGTTGGGAATTCTACTCTTCTGTGTACTAAAGCAAGCATTGGGGGGTTGATGGAAGAGAAAGAAGGAGAGAAAAGAACGGGCAAAAAGACGTATCGGTTTAGCATTGGAGGCTGTTGCTTTCTTGTTATTGGAGAGAGAACAAAAAGAGAATATACCTACAGTAACCTTTGACTCTAGAGGTGCCCTTTTGGTCCTGACAAAAGAAAGATATCGTAGTATATTTTAGGTCCTCAATGGGAAAGTCGGTCTGTACACCTTGGATAACGTCTACATGTCTTACCTAGCTTACTCAGAGTGCGGGATACTGAATGTGGTTGTTTGTGTACGTGAAGTATCCGTGACAAAACGCGGTGTTTATTTTGATTATATTTTTACATGATGCACGAGTTACTGTCGATGTGCCTCTTCGTTTGAACCCAGTCCTCCCGCCGTATATATATCTTCTAGCCTTGTGATCTATATCCCTTTCCTTTGAGTAAGGCCAAGAGTTTCTACCCTTTTGACACGGCATACACACGTTGAGTATTTTTTTTGTCGTTGGCTCTTTGCAAACTGTTACGGAGGGTGTCGGTTACACCGACATAATGTCAGCCACCTGTCAAAACATGGGTTCGGAAGGTTGTTTTTGTTTATGGAGCAGTGACCCCCTTCTCTTTGGCACACCTCCGTCGTCATCTGGACTGTCCAAAGCGATTCTAACGAGTAGTACTGCTTTGTTTGTGTTACCATGAACGGCCAGCCCTTGGGAGACATTTGCCCTTTCTTTCGATGTGTGTTTTGTATACCACAGACTACAGAGTACTCAAACCTGGCTCCTCGAGTCGGATTTATAACTACTGCTGTGGAGTACGGGGTACAGTACTTTAATATCATTTTATGCGGTGTTTCAATATCGTCAGAGCAAAAGAAAACAAAGTAATTACTCCGTCAAGATGTGTGTTCATATTAAGTATAGGTAGGTAATGGTACGTGAGATGATTGATTGATGCATGCCCCCAAAACGCGCGCTTTGGAAAGAGAGATACGAAACAACAACAGCAGCAATAAAAAAGATTTGATCATAAAAATTGCTAGATTGCCCCTTTGGATGTGTGTACACCAACGATCTCCCCCAATTTTGTGTGTGTGCTGGTATGCCAGGTTCCAAGGTGCGTAGACCAGTCCAAAAAGGTCAAAACCGTGAGTGACTTGTGTGTGAAACTCTGGGAAAAACTTCCTTTTTTGAATTGACATGTCTGGGAAGGGGGGAGGCGGTGAATATCGAAGAAAGTGATTGTGTTGATGGCGGGCGATGGAGAATCGAGAAAAGAAACGCCTTTTTTGGTTTGTTGTTGCTGTTGTTGTCCGGTGGTCAAGTTCCCACGAAATCAATCCCACGTGGTGCCATTGACTTCATGTTTCACCAAAACGTTGCACGAAAATATACCCTTGGCCGGGCCACGTGCGACAGAAAGGAAAGAGTGCATTTTCGTGCAACGTTTGGGCTTCCCTCATGGCCCACGTCTTCCACCCCCTTCCCCTCTCATGCTCTCTCAAAACGAAAAAGACAAATGCATTTGTCTACACACTTATGGGTGTGCAGCAGCGGGGAGACCGTACTCGTACGCGGTGTAGATACCAATGGGGCACTCATCTTGGTCCTGGAAGAACCAGAAGTTGGTGTCGTTGGTGGACTAGGGGGGGGGCCAGTGTTAGCGTTTTGGCTGATCTTCAAGAGATACAGAAAGATACTGGGGAAGATGTCAAAAGACTTACGGTCATGCCAGCGACGCATGTACCGGCACCGACGAAGCAAGGACCGACATCGATGGTGTATGCATTGCCGGGCTCCATGTGGATGGGAGGGAAAGGTGGGAAAGGACCAGGGGCGGGCTGGTTGTTCCAGGTGGTCTGGGGACCGGGGCAGCTGCCTGGGTTGTAGCCGGTGAAGAAGAACGAGCCACCACCCTCGTAGTCAAAGTTGGAGGTCTTGAGTTGCGACTTGAGGGGGAAGATGAACTCGAGGGTGCAGTTGGCGTCGGCGCGGTCGGCGGGCACGTCGAAGCTGAAGATGGAGGCGATGTCGTTGGGGGTGAAGACGCCGTTGTACTGAGGGCCGAACGACTTGTCGGGCTCATTCTTGGAGATCTGGGTGATGTAGTGAGGGAACTCGAATTGACCGGGCGTCAGGTCTCGAGGACAGCCGCTGTCGCGCTCTGTCAGGGCTCGCTTGCGGAGGACCTCTCCGGGGTATGCGGCGACGAGGCCAGCCAGCATGGCGAAAGCAGCAACCGACTTCATCTTGAAGGTGGTGTGTTGATATTACGGAGTAAGTTAGAGGTGATGGGTAGGTGAGTGACGACGACGAGGTATAAGCGAGTGACTGCGGCGAGAGATGGTTGCCAGAATACAAAAAAGCGAGAGTATAGTAGGAAGAATACAGAGAGGAGGGCAGCAGAGCATACATACATACGGGGAGTATTAAGGACAAACCGGTAAGAGTGTGGATATATCATCGTCAGGTGGGAGATTGCTCTGGAGACACACACCCCAGTCGCCGGGAGTGGTAACGAAACGTTCAGGTCGCTAGACCGGTTGACAGGTCCCGTCACAACACCTGCTTGCCGTGTTCCAAGGGCAAGTTAGTGTCCGGTTGGACATGAGGCTGAACAAGGGTGATCCATCGAAACCATCTTCCCCTACCGCCTGGTGACTTCACGGGAAGCTACCGTAAATAAACACGGGTAAACACGAGAGAAGGGCCTCACCGTCTGGGTCGCGTAACCAATACGAGGACGTCTCGGCAGTAGAAAATAGGCCACGAGGTGTGAATCCTGCCCTGCAGCTTGACGGGTGGTGAGACATTAACGCAAAGCAAAAGGTCTTCAGAGACGTTGATGCGACCTTCTGGCCCTCCTCCCATCATGGTGTTTACCAGACGCCCTTAGCTGCCGGTCGGTGCAAGCCACGTTTGTTGCTTGTAGCCAGTCACAAAAGCTTGTGATTGGAGCTTGATGAGGAGGAAGGGGGCCAGCGCTTTGCTTTTTTGCCTTTTTTCCAACCGGGCTGAACGAGAGAGAGAGAGAGAGAGAGCACCAACTTGCAAAGGGACCCGGGGGCGCAGACCCAAAGTGGATCCGGGCGGCAGATGCCTTGAGGACCTTTCATCTCACAATCACATCTCATTTGCAGGTGGCCTTAAGATGGAGACCATCGAAGCATTTCGATCGCCGTGTTTAGTTGCTACAAGCGAAAGTAGACAGCTTGGGTGGAAGAGCTTGAGCAACTACTCGTGCTCTCCGTGTGCAGTACTCTTTTGACTCTCTTGCTTGATCTATAAACGGAGGGACGTACTCCGTACCGACGTATCCGCGTACATCGTCATATTTGTTTGTGGCGCCGGCAAAATGCAGACATACAGACCAACATCTAGAATCAGCCACCCGACAAAAAGACAGAGAACAAAGGCAAAGAAGCAATCTTCTTGAAGAATAATCAGGCTGAGGCTGTGCCACACATCCTCGTCCCCTCATCTCTCTTTGGCCCACAGATTGAATGCAGGACCGTTACTCTCCGTATATAACAAGTCACGGCGAGAGCCAAGATATGTCTCCTGTTACGAAAGAAAATTGCAGGTTCAGGGTCCGCCCCCAAGGGGAAAGAAACGCACACCAAACAGAACGGCGAGAAACACCAAGCCTGTTTGGATCTGGGGTAGACATACAGGACTCCGTACCTCCCGTTCAGAGTCCAACCAAGCATCGCGAAAGTCCATGTGACTACTTAGGGATGGGCGGGCCATAGTATTGTAGACACCAATAACTCAGGGAAAACACGGCAGAGAACTTGTTGTCTACTGTACTTGTTGACAAAAATAGATTTCTCGACACGGCCCCATACGCGAGTAAGTAACCTGACAATCCCATTCCCGTTCCCCGTCGGTTGGATATTACAGTACGGATCCTTATTAGCTTGATAAGCTTGTGTGAAAACGGCACAATCTTATCCGGTTGACGATATCGATCATTCAAATCAAATCCACCTCAGCTATCCGTATCTCGTCGTAACATACGGAGTACTGTACAGGAGATTAGCCGCTTGGAGGTTGATGAATTGCGTGCTTTCTCCTCTTCGACGGACGGCGAGAGTACGTATGTGGATAGCTCTGGTCATGAAATGTCTTGGGTCCTTCGAAAGAAGTACTCCGTACCGAGTAATTTTACATTCAACAAGTATCTTACCCACCTCAACCACGTACGCTACGCGCGCACATGGCACATGTGAATTAGAAGAGGATGACTGAAGAGATTCAAGCGAGGCGAGCTTCATCACTATTCAAGTAAGATACGTCAAAGTGAATCACTCATTCATCGTCATGACCACCCACTACCACCACCACCACCCACCACCACTACCATTAGCCCCGCATTATGATCCTAAACCAGTCCCCCGCATACGAATCACAATCTCGAAGGCTGGTTGAGTGAGTTTGAATAGCCACGACGAGTGGTACGTGCTTTTTTCTGCTTCTCTTCTACGCGAGGTGTCTCGATCATGATAAAAACAAGAGGAAAAACAGCCTCACTGAACTAGTGGACTTGAGGGCACGTCCACCACACCTTCTTTTTTTAAACGATCAAAAAAAGGCCAATGAAAGGTTGACTCTCGGCTCGTTGAACAATGTCAATCATGATTATTCATTCCATCTGGCCTTTTCTTCATTACACACAAGCCGTCCAAGAATATCCCCTCGACAAGGTGGTACACCACACGAGCAACGCTCCAACAAACACCCTTTTTGTTTGGTTCTTTCTCATCAAGCCACCCGGTCGCCCGTACCTATGGGCGAGGACACGTTCTGCGAAGAAAAAGAAAAGAAAACGTCCTGGCTTCAAAGTAGATTTCTCGTACTCGCCTAATAACCACTTTCAAAGTTCCTCTTTTGAAAAATCACACTTGGCGAATGCCGGGGCAATCGGATAGCCCCAGATCTGTTGTCGGTTGACGTTGCCGAGAAGACAAAGACGAGGCGTGTCTGCCCCCCCCCCCCCCCCCCCCCATCGCCTTCTTCAAGAGCTTTCTCGCGAGATAAGGCGTGTGTGCTTCTTCCTCACTCGCCTTTGGCTTTCAGCAGGTTACCCTGACCTCGTATCATTGATAAGAATAAAAGTAAAGGTCCAATCCTGGGAAATTAAGTTCCTTTCGCGTCTGACGTTTTCGCTTTATCGAAGAAAACAACAGCATTGACGGGCCTCGGAACCTTGAGAGATAAGAGCATGGATGATCAACATCTATCCCCAGTGTGGGATAGGTGATCCCTGCCTCCCTCCCTCCCTCCCTCCCTCCCTCTCTCTGTCTCTCTCTCTCTCTCTCTCTCTCTCTCTCTCTCTCTCTCTCTCTCTCTCTCTCT